CAAAATCAAGTCAATTTTGTCCGCTTCTCTAAAGCAAAGACTGAATAGACACTAATAATACGGATTAAGATTGGCCAGCTCCAGTCATGCCCATACGATAAATCCCTTGCTCGCTTAAGCTTTGATATAAATTTCACGCCAATTTTCTTTCTCAAAATAGTAAAAAAAAAAAAGAAGAACGAAGAGAAAAACAACAATAAATAAAGAGAGAAACGTGCTCAGCGTTGCTCAACCAGGGCTCCCAAAACTTGTAACCTGACCAACGCCCAACCTCACGTAGCCAACCCTTATCTCCGTTTTCTATGTCTTGATATACATTACCACCCGGGAATCAGACCGAAAAATGTCGTGGGCATCAATATGTCTGGGGGGGAGGTGAGGCCCCTAGATAGTGAGTTGATATGCAAAATAAACATGATGAAAGAAGCCCACTGCTTCACTCATGTTTTTTATGAAGAGAGGAAATAAATGAAAATGAAGCGATCGTTTAGTGTTTTCCGGCATCGCGGACGCTTTGCATGAATCGATCTTCGGCGCCGACTTCGCTCAATGCTCGGTTCGATGAGGCGCCTGCGCTGGTTCTGGACAGGACGGCTTTTACTTCTTCCGCAGTCTTGCTCCCCATCAAGTCCATCTCTCGGTTGAGGAGAATGGCAACAGCTGCCCGAACCAGGAGTGTGTCGCCCTCAAAGACGTAAACATCCCAGAGCCTTGCTGCCTCGTCAATGGCCAAATGCGCAGTAAAGAGGTTGGTGAAGATGTTGGTAAGATACTGGTCCAGCTGGACGCCCGGCACCGTCCTGGTCAAGTGCTCGTAGAGGGTATTTGACTTCTTCTTGAGCGTGTCATGCACGAGGTGGAATGCTGATGCTTGCGCGCCGCGGTCAAAGGTGTAAAACGACAGTGGTAGAGGGCGGTTGAGGACGTTGGCCAGCGCGATGAAGGCGGTTTCGGGATTTGGTAGATTAAGCAGAAGCAGTGCGGCTATGGTCTGTTTTCGTCATGTATGAGTTAGCAACGCTTTTCCTACACAAGGATAGAAGGCTAAATAGAAACGGCATCACTCACGTTACATCCTGACACATAGCCAATGTCGTTCCTGTACATGGCATATGCTCTCAGCACATCTACCAGGCCCTGGTGAAGCGGGCCAGTCACTTCAAAGATTCGAAGCTCCCTCCACGTCTTCTCGGCGACGTCTTTGCGGATTTGCTCAAACCACTTGACCCGCCTCAAGTCCTCTGCGTCGCCCCTGTCCGTCTTGACTCTCTGCTCCAGCTCTTCTGATCGGGTCAAGGCTGCTCGGAAAGATGCCTCCGTCAGGCCAAGCTCGTTGCCGATGGCCTTTGCCCATACGGATCTCCGACTGCGGGGCGCCACTCCCTTCCACCATAGCTCCCTCGTCGCCTTTTCACGTATGGCCTGGTTCCAGCGAGGAAGAACATCGTCCTCCCAGATGTGCATGGCCCTGTCCGCATTGTTGTCCCTTGCGTCGACCTTGTTCTTTCGCGCTGCTTCACGGCGCTCCTCGGCCTTGACGCTCGCAATCATCATCTTCTGATACTCACGGAGATGGCGCCGCTCTTCGGCGGGATCTTTGGGCGGCAGCCACGACGGCCGAGTGCGGCTCAGGACGGCCTCCTTCTCCTTGGAAATGGGGAGCGGGTCAATCATGATGTTGGAGCGGCGCAGTGGCGGGAGCTCTGCAAAGGACGACTTGACTCGCTGCTTCTTCTCGTACTCCATCTTCGCAGACTGGTTCGGGTTCCATGTGTTGGGCCGCGCACCATGCTTCTTGGCTTCGATCTCGTGCAGCTCGTCGGCGTGCTCCTCCAGCTTTTCCACAAGGTCTTTGGTATCAGCATTCAAGTCTGCAAGCGCAATGGTCCAGCTGCGGGCCTTGCCTCGGAGGGGGCTCGGGGGCGGCCTGTCGCCGTCGGTTTTCCAGCTTGGCGACCGTAATGAGCCCTGCGCTTGGGCGACGGGGGGCGTGCCATTGCCAACACTACGAACTCGGTTGTTGCGCCGGCGGTCAGGCGATGGAGAGACGGATTTGATGGACTGCGGCCGACTGGCAGGTCGATCACTTTGTGGGCGCGGGGAAATGGGCACGTTGTCGAGAAACAGACCGTCGGGGATGTCGTCGTCATCGTCGTCGTCGTCGCACTCTTGCTCAAGCTCCGAGATGGACTTGCGGTCGCGGCTGACCTGCCAGCTGCCCCGTCGCGGCTTGCCGGCGAGACTTGGGTCGCGAGGGTCGGGCGTCAGGCCCGGGCTGGTGCTGCGATGGCGGCGACCCTGAGGGACGGACGATGTCGAGTATCCCTTGGTGAGAGTCGCGGGCCTCGGATCGGCAAAGGACGAAAGGCTGGTGCTCCTGGGATTCGATGCCGCCGCAGTGCCGTGGAGGTTGGGAAAGGACCGCTTGGAGCGCGGCGCCCGCTTGGCAGAGGCAAGGTCTCGAGGCCCGCGAGCCTTGTGCAACGCAGCCTTTGGGGTGACACCGTCGTCGTTGAGGCCAATGTCCTCAAAGTGGCCGACGTCGGACAGGACGCTGGCGTCGTCGCTGTTTAGCGAATGGAACGAGGACGACTTGGAGCTCTTGGACGTGGTCATGCCGGGAGGAGAGTCCGGGCTCGCGTGGCCATGGATCGTGGCGTGGTTAGCGGCCGTTTCCAAGCCACCGTTGATGATGCCAATTCCAACGCCATGATCACGAATCATTGCTGCATCAACAGGGCAACCAGCTGCCCAGCGTCGGTTTCGTCTGCGGTTGGAAGAGGATGGAGAGAGAGGTTGAATGGGAGTGTGGGGGGCGGTAGTAGAGAGAGAAGACGACGACGACGGATCGAGGTTGTTTGACAGAGTTGATGCTCTTCTTCGGGTGCTATCGGTACTGTCAACAAGAGATCAGATGTCTCGAGATTTGAAACAGCGTAGAGTCCTCGCAGGGTCGAGAGGTTCGGCTGTCTGTACAGTAGTAAACTGAGCCAAAAAATGAAGAGACGACGAAAATGAGCGTGGGAAGAAAAGAGAGAGAGAAACCGAAGAATCAAAAGCAAGGAATACCAGAGGCAAAACGACTGAACGCTCTCAGCTTCAATGTTTGATCTAACGAGTGTGGAAGGGATACAGAAAAAAAAGAAGCTGGAGAAGGAATCTAGAAGAAAAAAAGGACGAGAGAGAAGATCAATGCAGAATTGCGGAGGATCGAGGGAATGACGAGCCAAGGAGGCGCCAAATCGATGCTTCAAACAAGGAGGGCTTGGGTACATGCGCAATGATCTGGGAGCTGGTACAGGGTACCTGGCCGTGAGCATTCTGGCAATTGAAGGCTAGCGGACCCCCCCCCCCCCTTCCAAGGTCCTTTTTTCTGCTGCGGCGGCGCTGTATTTTTGTATTTTCGGGGGCAAGGCCTCCCAGATTGCTGCACTTGAGGCGCTGCATTGATGGTGTCTGTGCTAGCCCCGTTTCCAATTGTTGCGTTGTAGCCGATACAAGCGCGGCCTTGTACCGGATCGCGTTCAGGGCGGAGTCGCCTGTGGACGAACTAGGCCAGAACCTGGACAGACGCATGCAGATGGTGATGGTGCAGCGACAACGCCAGTGAGACTGCACTGCACGCGTGCGTATGTCTGACGTTGGGCCTTGGAATGCCTTATCTACAGCGCTACTAATACAGCCCACACTATTGATTGAACAAGTACCGAGCGGGATGGTGTGGCCATTGGATTGATGCTTGTGCTTGTGCTTGTATTTCCCGAGGGGCAAACCATGTGCTTGTCTTGTCTTGTGTTGTCTTGTGTTGCACCATTCACAACAACCAGAGTAGAGCTTCCATCCATGTCTTTCAATGCAGGTTGTTAGTCAAGATACAAACAAGCAAGCATCAACTCACTCAAACCCTAGGTACCCAACGGCCGTCTGCAATCTACTGTATCTGACACGCACCAGTGGGCAATCCAGCACTCCCATCCTCTCAAAACAGCCATGCTAAACCATCTTCGCACCGTACGTGTGGTTGTAATCTCGCGGCCGCATCACAGTGTCGCATCAGCAAGCCCCTGACCCAAGTGGAGATGAAGCTCAATCTCGGCTGGTTCGGGGGCCGAGCAAGACTGTGCAACTTGGATCCTTGCCGGCTGTATCAACCGCCATCAGCAAAGCTTGGAATGGAGTGCAATCATGCTGTATTATTGCTTTACTGCTACCATCTTACTTGTGTACAGTAGTCAGACGCAACCAGCTTCAAACCCTATCCCAACTTACATACGAGTATACACAGTCAGCCCTACCGGGAACCAGAATAGCTTCACCGCCGGCGCGACAGAAATCCCACATGGCTGTCCCATGTACGTTTTATCGAAGCGACTTCCAAATTGCCATAGCTCCCTTTCGCTTGTATGCAGACTCTCGGCTGCCCTAAGAATAGCACCTTTAGATTATGACATGCCTTGTCTTGCAGATACTACATGGACTACCTAGTATACCAAAGACATGCCATATTGCTATTAATATCCATCTGTAGATTCTTCTTATTGTTGTCTGCAATATCTTGACCGTGGCTCTGGGTTAATACAAGTTCTAGATCTTCTCAGAACGTCCAGAGCCCCCTTGCTTGGGAAATAAATAGTCCTGGTCGCCCCCACAAGGGCATGGCTGAGAAGCAGCCCCTTCATGGTGAGGCGATGCCGGCTTACTGTACATGCACATATAAGTGGGATGTGAGAAATTCTATTTTGCTTTACATCAGGTGCTCCATAACCCAATATTCAAAAAGGGACCAGACTCAAGAGCTATGGTACGACATGTCAACGTGGGACGGCAATCTCCTCAGTGCCCTGTATTGTAAAATATCCATGGTCTGTCTACCTATACATGTCATTATCCTCTTGCTCCTAGTTCTGTCTCTGCCACCTTGTGTCGATGCCGAACCGAACCATCTGTGTCACATACAACTACTACCAACCCTAACAAGCTCAAGCCAACGAGATCCTACATTATTGCTTCTTCTCTCCCCTCCCCTCCTTCGCCTGCTGTGCCGCCTTCTCTTCCATCATGGACTCGTACGTAACCACATCGAGTATCTGTTTAGGCCGAGTAAACAACGGCCCTGGTAGAGCTTTGAAAGCAGCAACGTTGACGACCGAGTCCCATTTTCCTGTCTGGGGAAGCCGATGACTGGATTTATATGCCGCTCCGTGAGGTTGCAGCGGAACGTTGATCGGTTCAATTAACGAATCTCCTTCAAAAACATTTTCTTCATCTTTGTGTTCCACCGTCGAGATGATGGGATCCGACCTTTCTGAACAAGATTCCTCAATTGGCGTAAGATAACCGCTGTTATGCAGCATCTTTCTCATAGTACAGGCATCCGGCGTCGTGCAGTCTCTTGTATCAGCCAATCCTGTTGATTCGGGTGCCTCGTCAAACATTCCAACAATCCCATGCGTATCTTTGTCCGAGTCGCTGAGGCTTTCTCTCTCGGGAGAAAAGTCGAGAGTTGCCGTGGAGGCGGACCTAGAACGAGTCCTCCGTTGGCCAAACTCATCTCCATCGTCATCGTCATCTTCGAATTGAGGTTCTTGTTTGCTCTCCACACATTGCGTCAAGCTTGGAAATGAAATGCTCGCCGCTTCCGAATCGTCGTCAATGTAGCGTTGAATAGAGAAAGGATCCTCCAGGTCAACATGCGGCACTGCATCGACATCGTTTGGCTCTGTATCAGGCAAATGATCCGTCTCAGAGTTCGTACCCTGGAGGCCACAACCCGCTACCGTCAAATCCACGCTCAGACGCCTTGCGTATCCTTTCGATGCCGATGACATGCTGGGACAATCCTCATCAATGACTTTGTCTAGTTGGCGCATCGTCGTCTCTCTGCCTCTCCTTTGCGTGTTGCTAGAAAGCTTGTTCTGCCATCTCGACTTGTTCTTGCCTCGCTTAGCAGGCGATGGAACGACTTCCACAATTTGGCAGTCCGAGTCGCTATCGGATGACTCGATAGATATGACATTGTCGGTTGAAATCGCCATTTTCATGGGGTTTTCGGTTGCTGTTTTGTTGTGCTATATAGGAACGAAGAGCAACAGGGCTCTCTGCGTTGGCCTCTGGGCAGATATTTGTGTAGTGGTGAGCGAGAATGAATGAGCAAAAAAGAACGTTAGTCAAGTTAACTGCAGAGCAAAAGAGAAGGTACGGAAGAAAATGTAGGACGGCTACGTAAATGTTGGTCAAAAGTGAGGAAGAAGTGAATCCTGGGCCACGCCACCAGATTCACGCCTTGAAGTCGACGTTATTCATTATCAACCAAATGCAATACAAAAGGTTCTTGTTCATGGCATTGTATTTTGTCTGTCCATGTTCATGCATCTATGGTATCGCTACAATCCACATTAAGCTTCTATCTCGTTGAGATCCGTGGCGCCTGAACTTTTTGCTTTCTTTTTCCAACTCTCCCAGCCTCTTACATGCGCTCCCGTCTCCGTGGGGCCGCCCGTATAATGTCGTCGACTCTCAGGAGAAGCTGCATCGTGGATGTTAGCACGCCGTCATACAAGGGTAACCATAGTTTCAATAAAAAAAAGATTCTCTTACCTCTGCTGCCTCGCTAGCAGATGACACAACCGCCTTCTTCAGCTTGTAGCTCTCGACCACGCCAACCTCACGCATATCCGCAATGCCACCACCGGGAGTCATCAGGTCAAGACCATACGTGGTCAGACCGTCATAAATGGCCTTTCGCAGGCGTGCAACCAGCTCGCCGGAATCCAATCCAGCATTGTCGGCCAGAATCGTGGGTAGCTGTCGCAGAGCAATTGCAAAGCTGGAGACGGCCACCTGCTTCTTGCCTTCGATCCGTGTGGCCGCACCCTCAACAGCCTTGGCCATGACCATTTCGGCACATCCACCTCCCAGCGTTGTCCTGGGCTCAATGACAGTTTGCGACAGTACGGCCAAGGCGTCGTGTAGACTTCGCTCGGCCTCGTCGAGCAACTGCTCTGTAGCACCGCGTAGCACAATGGTGCATGCCTCGCCAGCAGCCACGCCGGAGAACTTGATCAGCGTATCCTCGCCAATGATGACCTCTTCGATCAGGTCGCATTGACCAAGCTTGATCTGGTCGGGGTGGTCAAAGGTGGAGGCAATCTCGCCTCCAGTCACCAGCGCCAGCCGCTCAATGCCGTCAAAGTCGGCGTGCTCGATGGACATGATTCCAGCGTCGGTAAAGAGCTGCTCGGGCCAGTTGTAGATGAGCTGGCGGTTGATGAAGCAGTTGATGCCGTGAGCCTTGATCTTCTCCACCTTGGCCTTCATCTTGTCCTTTTCGGCCTTCTCCAGCTCTGCCAGCTTTCCAGTTGAGCCGACCTTGACTCGGGCACCGAAAATCTTGACCTTATCCGTGTCCATCGATGTGTTTGCGACCAGGATCTTTGCCTTCTCCAGCCTCTTGGGTTGGTTTACGCCAATCTTCTTGTCCAGGATGAAACCCTCATCCAGGTAGGAGTCGCTCAGCTTTCCTCCGGCCTTCTTGATGATCTGGATGTGGCTGAGGTCGGATGATTTCTTCAGACGGAGGATCGCGTCGACGGCAAGCTGGGAGAAGTGGTCTCGGTCCTGTGACAGAACCTTGGAGCTGAGGGTTGTTCGCGCAATGGCAACGAGATCCTTTCGGAAGGCCTCGGGGCTCTTGCTGTGGTCCACGGCAGACTCCTCGAGGGCCTTGAGAGCAGCCTGGCTGGCTATCCGATAGCCCTCAATGATTGTCTGAGGGTGAATCTTCTTGTCAACCAGCTTCTCGGCCTCTCTCAGAAGCTCGGCCGCCAACACAGCAACCGATGTCGTGCCGTCACCGACTTCGTCATCCTGAACCTTTGAAATGTTGACCAGTACCTTGGCGGCGGCGTTGTCGAGGGCTATTGACTTGAGGATCGTGGCACCGTCGTTTGTCACCATGATATCGCCGGTGGAACTGGATGGAAGGACGGGTCAGGGGCTGAGGGGCTGGCTGTCTGGGGATTTGTAATGGACGGGCACTCACGCAGATTGAAGGATCTTGTCCATGCCTTTGGGACCAAGAGTGCTCTTGACCAAATCACCAACGGCGATGGCACCGACAAAGGCAGACAGACGCGCATTCTCGCCCTTCTCCTCAACGGTGCCCTCCTCGAAAATTTGGGTCGGGAAGAACGACTGCATGGCGGGGGAGATTGATAGCAGAGGTTAGTTGGGCAACAGAAGCAGCAGGCGATGATGCCGTGTAATAGGCAGGGCGGCGACAGTGAAACATACCATGATGAACTGCTGGTGACAAACCGGACAAAAGAGTACAAGTCAAGGGAAAAGGAGGCTGTATCGGGCTGGCCTGCAAGCTGAAGAGAAGCAACTGCTTGGTGCCTGTTTTTCCTGACGCCGCCGAGCTCTCCTTTACCTGCAGAGCGCCATCTCAAAAAACCCCCACCATGCAAAGACGCGGCCACGTGACTTGCCCCTCTGTCGGAGAAATCTCGGCTCAGGAACATCGCTTCTCCGCCGCACACTTTGTTCAAAGTTAGAACAACAAATTTGTGCTGGACGGGTATCGCCGCCAAAAAAAAAAAATCCACGTCCGCAGTCCCGCTGTCGCCTTGCCGCAACAAACAACCCACGCCCTGCGCTTCGAACGCACCGGCCGATTGCCAGAATCTCTTCTCGCCGCTCCTCACTTGGAGATTCAAAAACGAAGCCCCTGAGCCGCTCCCCAATCCTCAACTTTTGCCGCGCCGAAGCGGGGCACTCTCGGCACCCCTCCTCCCATCATGGCGCCCTCATTCGACCAGCTGCGCGAGGCTGACCTCGACGACGACGAGTTCAACGAAGATGAGATTGACATCTCCGACCTGCGCGAGAAGTTCGAGGTCCAGCTGGAGCTGGGCTACGACACCTTTGTGGTCATCGATGGCCTTCCCGAGGTCACCGAGGATCAGAAGCCAAAGCTGGTCAAGTTCTTGCTGAAGAAGCTCAACACTGTTGGCAAGACCAAGGAGGAGCTGATCCACATGCCCATTGGCGATGATGGAAAGTCGATGCGGTAAGCAGGGTCTTTCGTTTATTGATTCTGGGGCCTGGTTTTTGACTTTTTGTTGGGGCGATATTTAGCTTTGCGTTTGTCGAATATTCCTCAGCCGCCGAGGCCGCTGCCGCTACCCGCCAGCTGGATGGCGTTCCCCTGGACAAGAAGCACACACTGCGCGTCAACAAGATTACCGACATTGAGCGATATGGCCGAGAAGGACGAGTTGACGAGAAATACGTCCCCCCCGTTATTGACGAGTTCGCCGAGAAAGAGCACTTGAGATGGTGGCTGAAGGACCCCTCTGGCCGTGGCCGTGACCAGTTTGTCATGTATCGTGGTGAATCTGTCGGCGTCTTCTGGAACAACGAAAAGGATCAGCCCGAGAACATTGTCGATCGCCAGCACTGGACTGAGGCTTTCCTCCAGTGGTCGCCCCTGGGCACTTACTTGACTTCAGTCCACCAGCAGGGTGTTCAGCTGTGGGCTGGTGCATCTTGGTCCCGTGCCGCCAGATTTCCTCATCCCTTTGTCAACCTGGTCGCCTTCTCCCCGAATGAAAAGTACATTGTCACCTGGTCTAACAGACCCATCTCCATCCCCGAGACTGGCCACCCTGCGCTGTCCGTTGACGACGACGGCAAGAACTATGTCATCTGGGACATTGAGACGGCGGCTCCTCTCCGATCATTCGCCAACCTGGATGCCCCCAAGGGAGAGGAGGGCAAGCCTCCCCCAAAGATGCAGTGGCCCGCCTTCAAGTGGTCCGCGGACGACAAGTACGTTGCTCGTCTGACGCCCGGTGCCTCCATCTCCGTCTACGAGCTCCCCCGAATGAACCTCCTCGACAAGACCAGCATCAAGATTGAAGGCGTGGTTGACTTTGACTGGGCCCCGGCAACACCTCAGCGTGAGGGCGTCAAGACGTATGAGCAGCTCTTCACCTTCTGGCAGCCCGGAACTGGCAGCAACCCCGCCAAGGTCGGCATGATGAGTATCCCCTCCAAGGAGGTTGTGCGAAGCCTCAACCTGTTCAACGTCAGCGACGCCAAGCTGCACTGGCAGTCGGACGCCGCCTACCTGTGCGTCAAGGTCGACCGACACTCCAAGTCAAAGAAGTCACAGGCTACGACGTTGGAGATCTTCCGTGTCAAGGAGAAGGGTATCCCCGTCGAGGTCGTTGATACTATCAAGGACACCGTCATCAACTTTGCATGGGAGCCCAAGGGCGATAGGTTTGCTCTCATCACCACCACGGAGCCCGTCGGCCCTACTGCCGTCCCTCCCAAGACATCCGTCTCCTTCTTCTGCCCCGAAAAGTCCAAGGGCGCCTATGCCGGCAACTTCAAGCTGCTGCGCACCCTGGACAAGAAGAACAGCAATGCCATTTACTGGTCGCCAAAGGGTCGATTTGTAGTCATTGCCACCATCGCCAACCAGCAGAGCTCCGACCTCGACTTTTACGACGTCGACTTTGAGGGCGAGAAGCCCGAGTCAGCCAAGGACCTGACTGCTAACCTGCAGCTCATGAACACAGCCGACCACTACGGCGTCACAGATGTGGAGTGGGATCCCTCAGGCCGATTCGTCGCCACGTGGGCATCAGCATGGAAGCATGCGGTATGTTTTTATCGTGTCCACACAAGGTGTAACTTGTAATTTTTTTTCGTGCATGAGCTGACTAACGCAAAATTATGACAGATGGAAAATGGATACCACATCTACGACTTCAAGGGTGAGGCCCTGCGCGAGGAGCCCGTGGAAAAGTTCAAGCAGTTTGCTTGGCGGCCTCGACCGCCGACACTGCTGTCAAAAGACGAGCAGAAGCAGATCCGCAAGAACCTGCGTGAGTACAGCAGAGTGTTCGAGCAGGAAGACGCCGACCGCGGCGCGTCAGCCGACCTCGCAGTTGTCGAGGCCCGTCGCCGCGTCCTGGACGAGTGGCATGCTTGGCGTGCGGAGGTGGAGGCCGAAGTGGTGGAAGAGCGCGAGGTGCTGGGTCTCCCATTGGATCCACACGCCGCCCTGCTGGAGGCAAAGACCAAGGAGATGGAGGGCACCGAAGGAGGAAGCATCGACAGCGATCGGGTGATTGAGGAGATTGTCGAGGATGTGTTGGAGGAGAGCGAGGAGGTGGTAGGGTAGGTGGGCATGGTCCTCTCTTTTGTCTAGCATGGGCATTCCGGGAGTGCTTTGCGCTTATGTATGGGTAGATATTTCCACCGGATTTTTTTTACGGAAAATTGGCACAAATAATGACAAGTGTTTTGAAGAAGAAGCCTTTCTTTTGCTCACCACAGCCACCACCAACACCAACACCACCGTTGGTGCTTCATAAGCTTATTCCATGCTTCGTATTCCCCCCCTCTCAACCTCGCCTTTTACAGTACTGATGCTGTAATTTTCTTTCTCTTCTCTGCTTTTTCTTTTATTTTCCTCTAGTCTCAGGGGGAGGCAAAAACAGTCGCAGCCGTAGCCAGCATCTGGTCATGGCGCCATCTACATACAAGATTCTGCCCCATACCATCTCAAGTGAGTCGGTGCATCGACTGCATGGATGCTTTGTTCCATCAATTCCGTCCGCAAGCGTGTGCTTCGTAATGCGAGTCCACGCTCTCAGTCAAAAGTGCACACGTATGCCGAAACCTGGAACTGTACCTTCTCGCATACTGTATCGTAAATACTGTATACCTAGGTACTGTAAGCAATTTTAAACAGCCTGCGTCAAGTTGTTTTTTTGGTGGGCTGCAGGGAATGCAAGCTTGGCAAGGCAAGCTCTGGGCGAGCCCGTGATTCTTATTCGCACCAATTATCTGCAATTGGCTGCTGAGCACGTTTGAGGATCCAGCCCTGGTGAGAGCCGGGATGGGCAAGGGGGTTTTCTGGCGACGGTACGTGGGGATTGCTGGCCAACACGTACCGATACGCCCAGGGTACTTCTAGGCCCGCTGCCGATGCGCTGCTGAGGGCAGTACCCGCGCGGGCGGAGAACTCGCTAAGCGACTGGCACCGCGTACAAGTACCCGGCCAAGCGTCGGGCCAACCCACAAACCCGCACCACACCATCTTGGAGTGTTCTGGAGGACTAATCTGAGCCACTCTCCCTCTCCCTCTCCTCATCGCCCTTCTCCTGAGTTCCGAGTCCCTTTTACGAGCGTCGACAGACAGACAGACACAACCTGTGCTGTGCCGGTACTGATACCGAATCGTGTACCACGCTGACGCGTATATTTCCGGTATCACGACTACATACAAAGAAGCGAGAGGGGGAAGAAGATTCAGCCTTGGTCCATTTATTTATTTCATCTGTGGATACAAACCTACTATACCTTACCCCGACCATCGAACCCACAGCCTGCGTCACGTCTCGTCTCGTCCCGACAGCCTCGATTCTCGATATCCCGCAGCAGACCTCTCTCGAAACCTGGAGTTTGTCGTTGTCTGAGCGACGAGTCATTTCGGCGACTTCCTACCTAGCTACCGCGCGGTACCGGTCCCTGTCCAACCTCCTCTCTTTGGGCCTCGAGCTTTTCTATTCTTAATCCCTCCCCCCTTGAGGCACAACGCGAGATTCCATCCACTTCCATCCGGGCCGGGAATGGCTCCTCTGGCAACCTAACAGCCTCTACCTCCCTCCTGGTAGAGCCTCTAGCCTGCAGCTCCCCATGTGATCCGTTGTCCGCCAACCGACTTTCGTCTCAACCATGATTCGACGGCCCCCGGGTCAAGGACGATGGTCCGCTCAGCAGCAGAAGCTCCTCCTGGCTTTTGCCTTTATCCTCTTACCATGGCTCCAACTTGCCGATGCTCAGCAGCAGCCTCTGCAGCCACAAATCCGAATTCACTCACAGAGAGGAGACGTTCCTCTTGACAAACTATCCGAAGACACCAACAACCGTTGGTACTCAGCCCAGGCCGCACAAGACGTACACGCCGAAGCGAGGTTCGACACCATCAACCGAAAGCAAAAGCAACAACAACAGCAGCAGTCCACTCCTTTGCCGCCGCAGCAGCAGAAATATCGACGGGCCCCATACGACTACTCCAACAAGGCCCAGAACCGAAATCAATCCCCAAGCAGAGAATCTGACAAATCAAACTACATAAAAGTCCCTAGCGATGCGAGCGCCCTCGCAACTTTAGCTCCGGCTCAGTCCGTTCGAGCACCACACACCTCACGACAACACTGGCCCAGCGCTTCTGGGTTGGCATCGCCGCAAAATGCGCGGAGTCTGGAGGACTGGGAAGTTGAAGACTTTGTTCTTCTGGCGACCGTCGATGGAGACCTCTATGCCAGCGACCGAAAAACCGGTCGGCTACGCTGGCACCTCGAGGTCGACCAGCCAGTGGTAGAAACAAAACACTACCGAACAAACAACTCCGTCCTCGACGACGACTACAACCCCGTTGACCATTACATCTGGGCCGTCGAGCCAAGCCGCGATGGGGGGCTTTATATATGGATTCCAGATTCCGGCGGCCTCGTTAGAACCGAGTTCACCATGAAGCGACTCGTGGAAGATCTGGCTCCGTACGCGGGCGAGGAGCCGCCCGTCGTATATACCGGAGACAAGAAGACGACCATGGTAACGCTTGACGCGGCTACTGGACACGTCCTCAAATGGTTTGGCTCCGGCGGCTCCCAAGTTAACGAAGGCGACAGCTGCCTGCGGCCCAATGCCTTTGACGAAAAGTGTAGCTCCATGGGCACAATTACCCTGGGGAGAACCGAGTACACGGTGGGGATCCAGAGGCGAGATGGTCGACCCATTGCAACCTTGAAGTACTCAGAATGGGGGCCGAACACTTTTGACAGCGACCTCTACCACCAGTACCATACCTCAATGGATGGCCAATACATCACCAGTCAGCACGACGGCAGAGTTTACGCATTCGATTCTTCCCGGACAGATAACGACATGCCTCTCTTTAGCAACAAGTTTTCGTCTCCCGTGGCTCGCGTTTTCGATGTTTGCCGCTCTTGGGAAGTGACGGTAGAGAGCAACCCGGAACTCGTTGCTCTTCCTCAACCTCCCATGCCAACGCGCGATGAGACCATTGCCAAGATGCGAAGCAACAGCATCTTCCTCAACCAGACCGAAGGTGGCAGCTGGTATGCGCTGTCTGGTCGGGCATATCCGCTGATTATTGATGCGCCCATGGCTCAGATATCGCAACGTGACTGGTGGGAGATGGATCCCAACAACGCTTCTGACTTCCCAAAGGCGCTGGTGGGCACTCACTTTCTGAATCCCTTGCGGAGAGGCGACCGAGAACAACCGGAAACGCTTCCTGATGGTCCTTTCAACGAGTATCATGAGTATGACGACGACCTGGAAAACGAAAACGCCTCGAACAATGCTCACGCCGTGACAAATACCGTTTCGGAGGAGCCAACCATTATAACCAAAGTCAAGGCTCTCCCACAGAGTGCTGCCAACAGCGTCATCGACTTTGTCAGCAACCCTGTCCTCATCATCTTCTTGATCGGCTCGTTGATATACAACGAAAAGAAGCTTCGGCGGTCGTATAACCGATTCAGGACCCATGGTACAATCAAGGATGTTTATCCCTTTTTGTTTCTGGATGCCGATGCCGGAAACGAATCCGCCGATGACAAAGATGGCGTATTTTCTTCCCTGCGAACTGTATCTCAAGACGAAAAGGTGGAACAAGTGCCTAGACCAAAGGTAGAAGATAAGGTGGACGACAAAGACAAAGACAAAGACGCTCAAGATCCTTCCAAGTCATTAGAGCCGACCGATAAAGTAGAAGATAAAGAAGTGGATGTCGTCAAGCAGGTGGATGCTGCTCCTCCGGATGCACAATCACAGGATGGTTCCAATGGTTCTGCGCCCGAGAAGAAGAAGAAGGCTCACAGAGGACGCCGTGGCGGTGTCAAGCACAGAAAGGCTCGGCCTGCTGATGGCTCTCAATCCCGTGACGATGAAGCAGACCTCACGACGGTAGATGAGGCTGTCAGCAACGCGAAGAAGCTTGGCGATCGACCAAGCCTGGAGCCCGACGTCATGACCATTTACAACGACATGCAAGCCGTCACTGGCTCCATTATCAGTATGGGAAATATCGAGGTCGACACGGATGTGGAGCTCGGCATGGGCAGCAACGGCACCGTTGTCTTTGCGGGCAAGTTTGATGGTAGAGACGTTGCCGTCAAGAGAATGACGATACAGTTCTACGATATTGCTACACGAGAGACCAAACTGCTACGTGAGAGTGACGACCACCCCAATGGTAAATATTAACTCTATCCAGTGGCGGTTCTTATTCACCAAGTTACTAACATGATATCCGCAGTCATCCGATATTACTCACAGGTACAGCGCGGTGACTTCCTTTACATTGCACTGGAGCGTTGTGCCGCCTCATTGGCCGACGTGATTGAAAAGCCATATCACTTTGGCGATCTCGCCAAGGCTGGACAAAGGGATTTACCTGGCGTGCTGTATCAAATCACCAACGGCATCAGTCACCTACACTCGCTGCGCATTGTTCACCGAGACTTGAAGCCTCAAAACATCCTGGTTAATCTGGACAAGGAGGGCAGACCCAGGCTCTTGGTCTCTGACTTTGGTCTCTGCAAGAAGTTGGAGGATCGACAATCTTCATTTGGAGCAACGACAGGTCGGGCAGCTGGAACGTCTGGTTGGCGTGCCCCCGAACTCCTTCTCGATGACGACGGACAGAATCCTGCGGCCATGGATAGCAGTACGCACAGTGGCTCACACACCATCCTGGTTGGAGATGCCACCACGCCAAACGGAGGGCGGGCCACGAGAGCCATTGACATCTTCTCCCTTGGGCTTGTCTTCTTCTACGTGCTGACCAACGGGTCTCACCCCTTTGATTGTGGTGACAGATATATGCGGGAGGTGAATATCCGAAAGGGCATCTATAACCTCGATCCCTTGGACTCACTAGGCGACTTTGCCTACGAGGCAAAGGATCTGATTGCATCGATGCTCCAGGCGGCTCCCAAGCAGAGGCCCGACTCGCGAGAGGTCATGGCTCACCCTTTCTTCTGGTCTCCTAAGAAGCGCCTAGCCTTCCTCTGCGACGTCTCAGACTCCCTCGAGAAGGAGATTCGCGATCCCCCGTCGCCCGCCCTGATGGAGCTGGAGAGACACGCCGCGGCTGTCATTGGAGGAGACTTTTTGAAGGTGCTCACGCGCGAGTTTGTCGATTCGCTCGGCAAGCAGCGCAAGTACACTGGCAACAAGCTCCTCGATTTGCTGCGCGCCCTTCGCAACAAGCGGAACCACTACGAGGACATGTCGGACTCGCTGAAGCGCAGCGTGGGGTCCTTGCCTGATGGGTACCTTGCGTACTGGACGGTCAAGTTTCCGATGTTGTTGCTTACTTGCTGGAACGTGGTGTATAACCTCCAGTGGGAGAATACCGATCGATTCAGAGAGTATTATGAGCCTGCTGGATTGTAAGGGGCCATTAGGGGTAGGGGAAGAAGAAGCGGTTTAGATGGGAAAGAAGGAGAAGAAGAAACTTGTAATTGAAAGATATTTGTCGTGTGTCGCATGGCTGAGCGGGTTTGTTGTGTATAGCATAAAAGCGTTTGATTTTCTTCTTTCCTTTTGTTTTCTTTCTCTTTATTGTATTAGTTTTAGCTTCCATCGTACAATGAAAGGCTTTTATAAATTAACAACGTTCGTGGCTGCTACTAGGTAGGTATCCGTGACATGTTTCTTTATTCTGAATACATCTGTCTTATTTTCACATTGATTCTCCATCCCAATAATGACAAGCACAACAGCCCTCCGGTCATTCATCCAGACGATTTTTGGGAGAACAAGGGGAAACTAACCAAATCCAACGCCTAGCCAAAGGTGCTCTCCACACAGATCCCATCAAAACAAAGCAGGGGTAATAAAAAAAAAAGTAATGGAAAAGATGACACTATGCAGTTGTATCCCGGAAAGCGAGACAAAACGGCGACATTCTCCCTTGTTTTCTGTTTATCCCCACTGCACCAGAATCTGCTTCTTGCCCTTCTTTCCTCCCTTCTTTCCCTTGCCGCCCGTCGCCTCAGTATCATCAGGCTCTTGTAGCTCAGCCGCCGCAGACGACGATGCCGGCGCAGCTCCCCATTGGAAGTTGGACTCCTGCTGGCCAAAGTCTCGTCTCACGCCGCGGCCCTTGCCGTATCCAAAGATGGTCGTCTGTGGCTTGGGTGCCGCAGGGAGCGCAGGGAAAGCATCTTCGGCGCGAGTGTTGGGTGGCGGGGGTCCGCGAGACTGCGTCGACTGCGAGGACGATGAAGCTGTCCAAGATGGAGCAGATGCACTAGAAGCCACACGCGCGGCGGCTGATGATGATGATGAAGATGGTGGCGGCAGAGAGGGGAATGCTGATGATGACGGCGGCTTGGAGGACGAGGATGCCGGGACCCAGCCGGGAACGCTTCTCACCGGGTTGGGTGCCGGACCGCCTAACCGAGTGCTATTCTTCAGCTTGAGGACCCTCGTTGAGTTTCGTTGCGATGCACCGACGACGGTGAAGTTTGTGTTCGTGGCGGCAGCACTTGCCCACCCACTGGAGCTCGACGTTGCTCCCTGCATGCCTCCGAGGCCGGGCAGGCTAGGATAATCTTCGTTGATGGCACGCCAGTCGTGCCAGGCCTTTCTAAGGCTGTCGGCTTTGCTCTTGTCATCGAACAGATCGGCCAACTCTCGCACCAGGATTCCAAGGGCATTGGAGGAAACATCGGCAAAGAGCGTGAAGAAGGCCTCGACGAGCTGAGGTGCTGTGAAGCCTCCCTGGCGATACGTCGAGATGTGGCTACGGAATGCCGCCATCTTGTGTGAGTCGTTGCCCAACAGGTTGGCGGCTCGCTCAATGACGCTGCCGTGGCGAACCAGACGAGCCCGCTCGTCGGCCGAGAGGTTGGCCGTGTCGGTAAGGCTGAGATTCTCAATGGCACTCGTGGGAGCAGCGGGGCCGGCGCCTGGGCCAACGCTCCGGGGCCTTGATGGTGCCTGAGCAGCATTCCGAGTTGAGGAAGCTTGAGCAGGTGTTGGGGCGAGGGTGGGGGTTACGGGGGCGGTAGAGGGAGCGGGAGCGGGAGCAGCAGCAGGGGCAGGAGTAGGGGCCGATAGCTGGCCACGGAACGTCCGGTTGGAGCCTGAGGGTGCCGAGACGATGGCCATCTGCCGCTGGAACGCGAGTTCGTCTCTCCGTAGAGGAACGGCTGAAGACACGGTAGGCAATATGCTGTCTTCGTTGGGGTCCCTCCCCCTGTTGGCTCTTCCTCTGGCTCGCGATCGTCCTTCTCCATCTCGCTGGCCGCCACCACCTCCTCCACCACCTCCTCCACCTCCACGTCTTTCCTGTTGATATGACTGGCGGATATCAAAGGCAGAGATGTCGACAAGCCGGGCGTCTCGGCCCACGTGTTTGCCGGCATGCTCAGCGAGGTTATGCGCTTGCATATCCAGTTCAGACTCGAAGACGACAAACTTCTTCTCCAAGCATCCCCGGTCAGAGCACAAAAAGTGGTCCTTCTTAAAGTGCTTCTCCAGCTCGTCGTAGTTGAGGAAATAATGGGGCTGTCTAGAGTCCCTACGATCGCAGAGGAAGCACCGCTCGTGCTTCATGCGGCAGTGCTCAAACAGCTTGTCGTCGTCATAGAACCGTTCGCCGCAGAAGCCGCACAGGGGGTGGCCCTTGAAGCCCGTCTGATCGGCAGCGCCCGGCTTGTCGTCACCGTGGCGCATGTGCTTTTCCAGCTCCTTGTCGGTGAACAGCTCGTGCTCGTGGGTGAATACTTTCTTGTTACGGGTGCAGAGGTCACACATGCGCTTGCGATGCGCCGACTTGACATGGCGATGCAGATCGGCCCAGCCCAGGCCGGCAAAGTCGCACGACTCGTCTGGGCAGTTGTATCTCAGCAGGAGGACGGTGTCACCAACAATGTCCTCGTTTGTGTACTTGATGCCGATGCTGCTGTCGGTGGTGGTGAAGTCCCTGTCTGTGTAGTCTTCGAATCTCTTTTCGGCATCGTCGGTGAAGATGACAAACGCAGCTGACGTCTATAGAACCGTGTTAGTATACATTTCGATGGAGTAGGCAAAAAAGAATGGAGGAAGGGAACGTACACGACAGTGAGCACAGTCCTTGGTCTTGTACAGCGCCCTCATGCGCAGACCGCAGATGTGACATGTCTTGTGGTTGCACGGCGCAATGGAGTGATGAGCAACAGGATTGGCGCAGATGAAGCAGACCTCGGCATCGTCATCGTCGTCGGGCTCTGGGGCAGTGGCCAAGGCAGCCTTGTTCTCCTTGATGCCAGTTGCCGGCGCCGCAAGCCCAGCTTGGCCAGCAGCATCGGGTGGAGCAGCTGAAGCTGAATCTGGGCCCTTTTGTCCTCGTCCCTGCCCTCGATTGCCGCCGCCGCCTCTTCCTCCTCGTTTGGCGCCCCGATTCTGGCCTTGACTTCCTCTTCCTCCGCCTCCACCTCCGCCTCCGCCACGGCCGCGTCCTCTAGAGCCGCCGTCGCTTCGGCCGGTGGTTGTAGATGCTCCCTCAGCACTCGACATGGTGGATGATTGTAATGAAGGCGTATGCGTATTCGATGTGGGATGCGTGTCGCAAGTCTCCGTAGAGACAATCTCGATGAGATGGGAGAGCTTTGTCGGATTCGTGTCTATGCGTGTCTACCAAGGCTGCTGTTGTCTTGTCTCGTCCCCTCTAGATCAAAGCCGTGATTCAGCTGCTGCTGCTGCTGCTGCTGCTGCTGATCTCCCCACAGAAGCTGGATAGATGGACGCAACAACGGGAGAAGAATGACAAGGTAAAAACGTCGCCAAAGATTATCTGATGAAATGTATGTCAAATAGATGTTGGGACGCCTGCAAACAGCCAAACAGTGGCAAAGAGACGCAATGATTGGAAGTGAAGATGACAGAAAGGAATCGTTTGTCTGCGCTCGTCACAAAAGTTTTGGCTGCGATTTTTTTTGGCCTCTTTCGGGCCCCTCCAGCTTTGGGGGGGTTTTGTACAAACGAGGCAGGCGCAATTGGGGGGCAAGTTGCCTGGTTTGGGGGCAGCAGGAGAGCGTTTGTTAGTTACCCTGGAGCTGAGCGGGCCAATCAGCGGCCTTGAATTCACCCAGCAAGGCCGTTTTTTATTGAATTTTTTGAATTTTTTGTGCTGCCAAATCAAGCTCCGAGCTGTCCGCCTGATGACTCAGCTGCTATTGGGGAGCAATTTCGCCTACCCAGGTACGGGGTACAGAGTGGGAGTCATTCGGCCAAGCCGCATTCATTAGTCCCTGAGGCTGAGAGTTAATAGGGGATCGGAGAATAAGGCTGACGAGATCCTTTTTGTGTCACATTTCTATGATGGATTGAATTGTCTCTGAAGTGACGTATGCCTTGCAAGATGCTTTACATATAACCAGTACGATTTTGTAGAATTGATTACATTCAATTCCCCCTGTGGGCTTCGTCTCGTGCAGTAAAGTTCACAATGTCTGGTGGCAAGGAGGTTCGACCATGTGGAATCATTTTATTTCTTGGAATTTAATCACAGCCACAGACAACCCTGGGGAAATACACGTATAAAACATAAAACACCGTTTACACGTATAGAATAGAACTACCCATGCAGCTTTAATACGTAAATACCGTCTACTTGGCGTAGTGCCCACCTCTCCCCTTGCCTCATGTACAGCAACGGCACAAGAGGTATATGGAAATCAATCATCACCATCACAAACACTGTATGTATACTCTTCAAATCAAATGCACTTGATATATTTCTCCTTTCAGGGCCTTGACTCTCATCGAACGCCACAGGATTTGAAAGCTTCAAAATATTGTAACCCAACCACAGCTTAAAACACCATGGGTCGATTGAGATCCCATCTTGCCCTTCCTTAGTTCCCTTCCACCGTCCCGTTTCCGATACTTTGAAATACCCAGTTGATTTCGTTGCTATCCCTCCTCCACCTTCGTCCATCCATCCCTCCCTCCCAAAGAAATTGTACTTGAAAGATGACGAATGATAAACCAACCTTGTGAAAAAAAAAAACCCCGAATACGCCACCGGGCGCCAGAACCCCACTGCATTAGACAAGGGTTGTTTGCCTTTGTCTTGGGTGCTACCGGTTCAAGTGATGATAATGATAATGATGTGTGATGCAGAGTGTTTTTGAGGAGCAGACCAGACAACCCCTTTTACTCCTCCACCGGGTAGAGGTGGCTCCCAATGTCCTTGTTCATGCGAAACATGTCGACCTTGGCCTGCTTGAATACGGCCTGCATCTTTTCGTCGCAGCGAATCTGGCGCTTGTCCTTGGGATCTTGAAGATCGTTGGCCTTGATGTGCTCCCACAACTTTTTGACGACTTGAGGACGAGAGAGCTAAAGAAAGGAGAGAGAAAGAAAAAGCCAAGTCAGTACAGAGTGCACATGCACACAATCCAAACCATTGACGCTTTGTTTGCTCTTACCTGGGTTTCACCGCACAGCTCCGACAAGGTAGGACTCAGGATAAAGGGCTTCTGGAAGCCGCCGCCAGCCTTGCGCTTGGGAGCAGAGTCTCCGCTGGCGTCCACCTCGCTGTCATCGTCGTCGCCGACCTTTTTGGCGCTCTTCTTGCGCGGGGCCTTCTTCTTCTTGGCGAATCGCGCCTTGTCGCCTCCGCCGCGGGTGGTACGGCTCCTCGCGAGTCTGTTTTCCTGCGCTTGAAGCTGAGCAGCCAGGCGGGCGTCGGCATCCTCGGTGGACGAGGACCGCTTGGTCTTCTTCTTGGCCGGCTCGGGAGACGCAGAGGGGTCGTCGTGCGACGAGGTGCCGTTGGTGGCTGACCGTTTGTTGCTCGGGGCATCGGGCATGGAAGAAGGGGGTGCGTCGCCCTGGTCAGCGCCAGAGACGGCGTCGAAGCGCTCCTCTATCAGCTTTTTGATGGCATCCTAGAACACACGCCGGGCGGGTTAGTTTAGAGCTAGGGCATGCTTGATTTGCTTCCCGTGTTTTTTTTTATTTGTTTTTTTTTTGCTTGCCTTTTGCTCGCTCAAGTCCTTGCCGCCCAGAGCATTCTCCAGGCCCTGGCGGACCTTTTTGCGCGAGATGGTCTCGAGATCAGCAGTGGAGAGGATATCGTCAATGATGGCGGTATAGCGCTGGTTCTCGTCGGAGGACACTGCGGCAGATGCTGGTTAGCCATGGGATGCGATGCCATTGTCACCGATTCGGGACGTTGATGTTGATTGGCCCCGTTGCATTGGGATGGTGATGGAGGGAAAGCAAGGCTGGCGAATCAAGGGAGACGGAAGATGGGAAAAGGAAACAGGGATTGATTAATTGATTTGCAGCAAAGACAAGACAAGATTCGAGTACGCAGAAACCAGACAGATACGCACATGGGAGACTCATGTTGGCCGCGTGATGCACAGGCCTGTTTGGTCAGGCTCGGGGGGTTTTGTCGCGCGAAAAGAGGTGGAGCGGCGCGCGCTACACGCCAACAGAGCTTCAGTTTCGGGATCGGATCAGAGCAGGGAAAAAGAGAGGCGACGAGGCTGGAGCGACAGATCGGACAAGAGACGGGAGCGCGCACCAGCTCTGCGGACTCAGAGCATAGCCTGCGGGTTGCGCGGAAGCCGTTGAAGCAGAGGCCCGATGGAGGATATTCGCAGCTCCAGGTCTCGGTCTTGCAGCTTGTCAACTTTTCTTCTTCTTCTTCTTTCTTCTGCGTCTGTCCCAGCGCTCGCTCGTTTGCACGCGGGGCACTGGCCGGATGCGTCGATGCTGGCGGGTTAAGCAGAAGAAGCTGAAGCAAGAGGAGAAACACGACGGGGATGTGATGCGGCTCAGGGCGACGCAGCAGAGGCAGAGGCAGAGGCAGAGGCAGCAGAGGTAGAGGGTAACGGACAAGACAGACCCAAGGGCTTCGGTCGGATTCTGATGCTTCTCTGCGCTGGCGGTTTTCGGGTCGGTACGCTGCGGGTGCGGTGACGTTCCCCGTGCGACGGATAAAGGTGGATCACGAGGCTCCAAAGGCGCTGCGGCTTAGCGTCAGCCCTCTGAGCGACAGGGCGCTTGATTGGGCTCGGCAGGCGGTTTTACAGGGGGCGAACAGGGCGGTTTGGGGGGGATGGATTAGATAGAATGCTAGGGCAGACGCTGCACCTCCGATTTTCTGTGATCGATGGGAGTTGAACTGCCGGGCGTGGGGATGGATGGATTGGGGGATAATGACGATGGTGCGATGCGGAATTCTTCATCAATGTGAAGCAGGTAAGCAGACACGCGTGAATATTATTCCAGATAAGCGGCACTGCACGAGACAGCAGCTTGGATCAGATCAGTGCAGGTGCATTCAATGTCAGCCGAGCAATGGATAATGTACTGCAGTGTCAGATCAGCTGTGGTTGACCGGCAGTTTATGTGCCTTGACGGTGTTGGGCGCTAAACAATTGGTCAACGGTATCAGCAGAGGGCATTTGCTGGATGCAGTTGAAGTTTCTCAGTCTCATAGGCTGCAGGTACTCCTGCATTTGCGTTGGAATCACGTGGAAGTTAAGCGCCCAATGCGTTGTACAGGCTTCAATTACAAGCGCACTGCACTCACTCATCTCTGCTTGAGTCTGGTTGAGTCTGGTTGTGTTCCGCGTGGCTGTTGCTGTTGCTGTTGCTGTTGCTGTTGCTGTTGCTGTTGCTGTTGCTGTTGCTGTTGCTGTTGCTGTTGCTGTTGCTGTTGCTGTTGCTGGTCGGTGAGCTGCAAGGCGCGTGATTGTACATGTGGCTAGCTGATGCGTGCATTAGCATGTAATCTCGCGGATATTGGGCATCTACAGTAACAACAGCATTGATTGATCCAGTGAACATTTTTCAAAATTACAGACACTGCATATATAAATATATAGATGAATACAGGAAAAGGTGCATGCATACATACGTACATGCATATATGCGGTTGCTGTTACTGTACAGCATCTACTATACGCTGTTTCAACCCATCAAGACCGCAGGTACTTGCAAATCGGCTCTCCCCACTGCGGCGCGCCCTTGTACCTCCACATGCCCGGCGCATTGCCCGTCTTGAGGCCCTCGATTGCATCCGCCACCTGCGGCCCCAGCCCTTCCTTCTTGAGGCCCTCAACCGGGTACAGATATGTCTTGAAGGAAAAGAGGATGGCCCGTGTCTTGGGCAGCCGGCTGAGCGTCTGGAGCTCGATGCGGGCGTATGTCTGGGGGCAGGGAAGAATGGAGATTTCAGGTCAGCGAATACACGTATATATGCGAGACATTGGCATACCTTGCTCGTGTCGATTTCTTCGCTTGCCACGGGCTCGTCGCTCTTGTGCTGATCGTGTCTGTCGTAATGGAACAGATCACTGTGCGTTTGCATAGACCACTATCTCCGTTACCTGTTAACCACATGCATGCATGTCTCCAACCCCGAGCTTCACTACCTATACCTATGATGCAACAAAAGAGGTACAACTCACATTCGTCCGCTTCACATTCTTGCCCACCTCAATCTTGCTGAAAAACCGCTCCATGCTCGGCCCAATCTTGTCGTACGACGGCACCGGCGCGTGAATCTCCCTCAGCAGCTTCCCGACCTTTGTCGACGGATCAAAGCCCGACGGGAAACAGCACACAAAAGCCACCGCCCGGTGTCCCTCCGGCTCGCCCATCAGCAGAAACATGTCCTCCTCCACCGTCTCGCCCAGCACTCGCAGCGCTGCCGCTGCCGCTGCCGCTGCCGCGTCCTCCGCCTCGGGCGTCGCCGTGGGGAACGACCGGCCCGTGACGAGGTTGTCGAGATGCCGGCCTTCGTCGCGGAGCCGGAACACGGTTGGGAAGCGGGTCGGAAGGTAATCCCGGAGGAGAAGGTGGTGGAGCTCGCGGACGGCCTCGACGCCGGCGGGAAGACAGGCGTGAACCATGGCGCCGTGCTGGGCGATGATTTGGCGGCGGAGGGAGACTCTGTCGAGGTATTCCGAGTCGATGGTGATGAGCTCCGAGGGTGAATCTGCTTGCAGGGCTGTTGTTTGCGTGAGTTTCGTATACTTGATTGTACGTGTACTGACGTACATGAATTCAGCATTGGGTGTGCAGAGACTGGACTTACCCATGGTGATGTGAAATATGGGCTTGAATGGTCGGTATTGGGTGGGCTCAACTGCCCTATAGTCGAGGCCATTCAACGGCTTGATCTCCGTGGAATCCTTGGATGATGACCTTGCAGACCGCTGAGGACTAGGTGTCGAGCCGTTACGGCGTCCTGATGATGTCTACATGTCCAGCAAGGTGGCGTTAGCTGGTGTCGTCTCATCAGAAAAGAGACTGCATGATGTGCAAGCCGTATACATCAGCTGGGATGTGCCTTACAAGTGTATATACGGCGCTCATGATGGCCAAGACAACTCCGAGCGCCGTCACTACAGGAGACATTGTAATCATCCTGGTGAGATCCCCGGGAAGGAACTCCAGGAGTGAGCCCATGGCTTCAATAATTGCGCTCTGCTTCTTGAAAAGGAAACAAGAAGAAACAAGAAAGTAAACCCGTCTAGAGAGCGCCCTTTAAGTGCCTGTAGTCATCAGTAGCTGATCTGCCGGTATTTATACCTATCTCCAACATCACACATACCTGCGAGTATTCATGACAACCACCGCTGTCCAGGTATGGTGTTGACAACGCCAGACTACATGTACCATGCAATGCTAGTATGAATCTACAGGGGCAAAAAAGCCCTTCTCTCACTCGTCCTGCCCGATATAGGCAATACCACTACACAAAAAAAAGGCCACCATCTCCACAGATCTCTCTCAACCCCGCCAATCCGATCCGGCCATCTTCATTCACTCTCGCAAATAGCGTCGACTGTTAAAGAACCTGGTTATCTCGGCCTCGTCCACCCCTCCGCAAATCGGATATAGACGTGCAAACGGCAATGTCTCGGTAGCATCAAATGGGATGCTGTTCGGAGAGGTTTCACGTCTACTGCCTAGTCTTGTCTGGCCTGCTGCTCACAGTATGACGCCGAGGTGAGATGCCCAGCTGCGTTACATGGTGCAACATGATGTGTAGATGGGCATAAGGTAGCTGTGTAATACCCCATGTTAGAAGGTACGTATGTTACAATATCCATGATCCCGAAACGCCGTCAAACTCCCATCACCAGGAACCTATACCCTCATCTATCCTTGCCAATCGGTTCATCAATCAAGCGTACATGTACCAATAGTAACTTAAAATCCAATTCGCACCAAATGCCCGCTCACTCCATGCCTGTGTAATTGTAATCAGTCTCGCGTCCACTCCCACCAAATCTCCACAATCTCATCCATTGCCTCCTCCTCGCCGTCGTAATCCAAGTCCGAAACTCCGTGGTGTAGAAACACCTGCCGCAAGTTGCCGTCCACCTCTTCGGCGTCAATGAGGCGGTAGCTCTTCTTCTTGCCCTCCTCCGTCTTTCCTCTCATCTTGCCCATGGTGGCCTCGTAGCCCATGGCCGCTTCCCATGTTCCCTCGATGGCATCCAGATCCTCTTGGCTTATGCCGTCTTGGTACACGCTGATGCTGTATCCGTTGGCGAGAACCGTGTCCCCGTCGAACTTCCATCGTTGCAGGAAGCAATCTCCGCAGAAATCGGCAATCTTGGCCATCTTGTCCACCGGGGCCTGGTGCCATGACTTCCAGTGATGCAGACTCAGTGGGAATACGCCTGATTCGTAAAACCCGCTCAAATCCCCCCTCATATCGAGCTGATACAGCCCGGGGATGGCCGTCAGATCCGTCTGCGTATGATTGCGTATACAGTTGCTCAATAGTCCGTCACCTTCTCGCGTGAGGCTCTCGGCAAGACAGTCTTCCACGCGAGAATCGAGCTGCTGCATCAGGGGCATGCTCATGAAGACGCCAGCCCCCCCGTAGGCCATGACGCCAAAGTATTCCACTGCCCCCGGGCTTTCGGTGAGGCCCCCGATGTATGTCGGCACGGTTGGATCGTAGCTTGCCAAGAGTTGTGTAATCGAATATGGGGACGGGAAGAAGGTATCGTCGTCGATGATGACAGCCCACTGGGTGTCGCGAGTAGAGTAGTCGACTAGATCGCGGATGATGGCAAAATGCTGCTCATTGACGTCGAAGGAGCAGTTCCATGGTCGGATGGCTGTGAGGCTCATATCGTGACTGTCGTACATCGACTCTAGAGAGTCCAGCTCGTCATCCGCAACGGACTCATCAACAACAATCGCGAGGAAAATCGCACCGGTTCCGGACATCCAATGAGAAAACTGAGAAACCGAGTCCTGCAAGCGAGAGAGCGTCGTCGCCACGCCAATTATGACCTTGGAAAGATCCGCCACAGGAAATGGCTCTGCTACCTGAAGCGTAATTGGTTCACAGGATGCAACTTGGTCAGGCGTATCTGATGAAGAGATTCTTCTGCATTGATCGTCGAGGTCCAAGATGTCTGCCCTTGATCCTAATAATGGGCTGTCAACTTCGGAGACTGAGTCCCGTGCATTGGCATCGGAGCTATAAACACCGCGAAAGCAACGCTTGCGGTATATGACATTTCGAGTCAACCCATATTCTTGTCGCCTCAGATAGTCTAGCTCTGAAGAACAAGGCTTCACCGAATGGAAGCCATCCTGTGCTGAAATCGCAATGCCTAGGTCAAAGGGAAGCTCATATTGTCTTGTGCCTTTGCTGTGCTCTCTTTTGGCAAGTAGAGCAAGGAGAAGCACAGTAGACACAAGAACAATGAGTGTTATACCTCTGTGTGAAATCGGCGAGTGGCAGCGCGTGATGAGCATCCTGGGATCATGCAACGATCATGATCCGTATCTGGAAACGTGTCGGTCTATTTTTTGCGTATTGTAGAGGTAGACCGAGAGTATTAGTGTATATGTATAGCTGAGACTTGTTCCGCTACATCTGAATATGAAATATAGCAGACTGTAGATATAATACCCTCCATCACCTCCTTGCTGGTCTAGAGTCAATGTTAGGGGAATCCTCCAGGGATACCCATACTAGCAGTGCCAATACATGCACCATCATCTTGTTTCAATATTTGCCCCTAGCAGATTGCATCTTGATTCTTTGACAACTAATTAGCACGTAAAAATGCTCCGATTCTGCGTTGATAGCCTGCAATGTCTGTTGCTCCACAGATGCGATAACCAGACGAGGACGCGCGTGCCGGCAGTTTCAAGGCCGTGATAGCCGGGGTTGGCACTGGTGACGAAAAAAAAAAAAAAAAAAAAAAGACGCTATAGTCGCTGAACCCCCTCAAGACCGGGACGAGTAGTATAATTGACAGCCGTTGATGAATGCCAGGGATGAAGAGAAACTGGGGAAGAAACGACGGAACCCTGTCCGGGATGGATCTTGGATGCTCCATACAGACTGGACTTTGTGAGGCCTCTATTTGATGCTGTGAGAGGAATCTTGCACCGCCTCTTGCATCCCACATTCCGAAGGCCATGGGCCGCTGTTCGCCCTTGAATAAAATCCTATTCGCACAAGTACAAGCAGGGACTCGAATGGCATTATTAGCTGCAGCCATCGCCGGTTGAACAAGACGAAAAAATGCCGGTGGTGACGTGCATGTACACGCAATCCATGCGCCAAGGGGAAAAAAAGGGGCCCGCCTCGATTGTGATGTTCAACTCCACATGCAAAATGACGAGGCCCGTTTCAGGCGCTTGGCAGCTGCTTTTTTCTCCTTTTGTTGGAGTAAATTGAGCTTTGCGGCTGTGTTGAGTCTTTTGAGATTGATAATTTTAAGCACTAGTGACCAGGAAGACTGTTGAAGGTTCAATGGGAAGATCAATGCCAGCACTTACATGAGAACCTGACCGGCAGGAGAAAAATATCCATGGAAAACAAGCAACAGAGTATCTTATATACTAGAAAAATCACCCGACAAGGCTTAATCAGAGTAGTAGAGCTCAAAGTCACAGCCATCAATGACATCTCGACAGCTGGTTGGACCATCATCCACACCATCCCAGTCTGTGCCCGAGTATACAGACTCCAGAGAGAACCTCCCTCTTCTAAATATAACATCGGCCATTGAAAAGTTCTGAAAGCGACAGCGCCCCGGCATTGCCTGTTCCAATACCTTTATCGTCTTTTCTTCATCATTTGCATCCACCACGACCTCGGCTTCTCTACTGAGAGACCGTCCTATGTAGTCACAGATTGGTGCTATCCGCGTGATCATTTTCGCGGGGGTATTCTCCAGCTCTTCTTCAAGCGATTCGCTTTTAGAGGGCTGCTCCGCAATAATCCCGAGCATCGAAAGGTTACCGAGAATACGATTCCAGATATTCGGGTCCATTCGGAAATCGGGGTTGCAGAAAGCTCGAGTCGGCCTTAATATAAGAATCATTTTGCGGATTTTCTCTCGCGCCTTGGGTAACTGAGCGAGTTTAGTCTGGCCAATGTTGTGAAGCCCGACTAACATGGTAGCATCGTCATATAATATATCCGTCACCTCCTCAGTGATTTGTTGACAGCAGAGAAGGAGGCCAGGGAATGCACTCCGGCTACTCGGATAGAGCTCGTACATGATCCTATTGGTGCCACAAACTACAGAAGTTTCAGACTCGCTCTCTTCGCCCTCTTCAATCTCGATGAAAGGGGTGTCGCCAATCTCCTCCAGGTCATGATTATGGTGCTCATTTAGTTCTTCGGACCAGTCAAAGCGGGTTTTGCGGCACACGCCACTGGAAACATCAATGAGAGGCTTTTGTGGGATACAGTATCGGTAGATCTGTCGACGAATCTCCAGCGGTATGGCTAGGAAAGCACTCGAATTTGAAGAGGAAATAGATGAAGCCATATTCCTCTTGAGCAAAAGAACTTGTTTGTCAGTAAAAGACATCTGCAAAAGACGGCGAGGTTCAAAAAAGGTAGAATCTATGTATAAGGTTCGCTACCCGTTCTGAGCTATCAAAAGAACTGATGACGGTTCTGTGGCGTCATGTGTACAGTCTATACACGTTAGCCATAGCTACTGATTCTCTATCTACTAAGCCGACATTTGCTTCGGTCTACGCTGTACACGCCCATACAATACATTGCTCATCCAAGCCACGCTGCCGAATGTACAACTATGCCCATTTCACCTGCTGCCATCCCTTGACGTTTGATTGCCAGCTATCAATCAGCGCGGGCAGCGAGTCCATGCTGAGAATGCTCTTGATCTCGTGCTCACCATCCAAAAGCCATCTCTTCAGCTTAGGCTCGAAATCCCTCGACACGATTTCCGTCTTGAGCTCTGAGATCCAACCCTGGCTTTCCTTGATGGTCGCTTCGGCAGCTGTTTGCAAGTCTTTGAATTGAGAAGCCAAGTCCTTGGGAAGGCCGCTCTTCCCTGACCTATCTCGCGCCTTTTCCCTCTCGTTGTGGTTCAAGATCCACTGAGAACCTAGCTTAATCGCTGCCGTCGTGTCCCGAAGCATCGTGATGTTGTGCATCGAGCTAAGCATTGTAATCGTTCGATCTATTGAAGACGCTTTCTCGTGCAATATTTGGTCTCGCTGGTTTGCTAAGACCAACTTCAGTGCATCGATGATTTGAGTCAGAGCATCAGAGCTGTCGGAAGATCTGTCAAATTCGACACACAGGGACATTAAAGTACAGATGAGGCTGACGGCCTCAAAGTACAAGAATTCTGATCGAGTCATTTCGTCATCCGGACCGGCCAAGAACTTCGGGAACGAGTTGCTGAGGCGTGCCAATGTCTCGATAACATAGATGTGGTCATATTCCAAGCTCCCGGCCGATGTTTTATAGCTAGCGGGGGGTTTATAGGCCAGCAGTGCATGGAATGCTTCAGATAACAGGGACAAGTGGCACCGGCGATTCTTAGGGTCGTTGATGTCAGCTTGAATGTCAGGCGGGGGTTGGGCAGACAATGCTTCACTTACTGATGGGGCTGGCCCAAGCCTGAGATTAAGATGCATCGGCTGGGTTGTGCCGCTGTTCCAGGATGGAAACGACCCATAGTCGATTGTCTGGATGAGATGTGATTCATCATCCACCTCGTCTGCATATATTGTTAGTTTACGCAATGTTTGAACGGGTGCCAAAAGCATAAAAACATACTGAATCGCGGATCTGACTCTAGCTCATGTGATGTTTGTCCCAAGAGTCTTTCGATCCTTCTCGCTTCTGCTAGACTCATTGCGCGGGTACAACTCATCCGAAGGCGATCAATATACTTTGGTATTCCCATCACGCTGCTGTAGCTTCCTGACTCAAATGCATCGACCAAGCGTCGAGGCATCCTGAGCTTCAACGATATCTGATAGTGAGATTGCAAAAGGTCCATGAGATGGCTTCCCCAACTATCATGAGACGATAGGAGCGCAGGGGCAATTGTTGATAGGCGATCGTAGAAAATGGGCCCGAGAGAATCGATAGTGGTGCGCTTGACGCCAATAACATCCCAAACATCGGCGGCCCTGTAGGCTGAGCCAAGACGCATGTGTAGTTGTGTCAAAACGAGAGATAGCTGACTGTGGGCCGGATTCTGTGCGAGCTGGTCATCCAGCAGGAGAGTAGCTCGAATGAGATGACGTGCTGCCGTTGATTTCAGCGGCTGACCAGTCTTTGCAGGACCATCAAAAGCCAAGTTGAGGCTGCAAAAAGCAATTAGTATTGCAAGTTCTGGGAGCACCTCGGTCTTGATTTTCGTGTTTTCGCCGTCGGATTTCGTAATTGAGTCGTAAAACGCCACACTTGCCTCGGAAAGCCGCGAGAGGCAAGTGTTGCACAACGCTGTTTTCACCGTGGCTTCACAAACAGTACATTGAAGCTGCTGATCTTGGCCCCCGGATTTCGTTTTCCGGTGTGTCAAGAGTAGATACTGTGTTTTTGAAACCAATAGTCTTGTGATGGCTGCCTTGGAGCTTTTCTCATCGCCATCTACCAGCTGGGGCAAGTGAACAAACGCGAGATACTTCAAGCCGTTCGCATCTAGGCTTTCCATCAACGTTTTGACATCACTGAAACAAGCAGGGCTAGTATACTGATCATCAAGGTAGTGAATCAGCTCTTGAAGTCGTAGCGACGAGGGACGACCGTCCAGCAAGTCACTTTCATCACTAGGACCAAGGTTGAATACTGCCAAAACTCTTGCCAGTAGGATGTTGCGTCTGTACATAGGTCGCATGTGCTCTGAAGATAATAGTTTTGCAAGCAATTTCTGAACAACGCTCGTAGATCTCAAGGTGATGAAGTCAGCACACATTCAAAGCTGTGGATAGTTGGGTTTGAGGGGACACTCACTCTGGCTCGGCATCCTTGATATGTCCTGCAGCATCAATTATATGCCGCCACACAGTAATGTCAGATGCGAGCAAAGTCAATTGTCCATCAGCGTCGCAATCGCTGAGACAATCCTTGCAGAGGTTGAACACGGCAAGCCAGTCGCCGTCTCTTCTGAACTTGACAATTGCGCGCAGGGCCACCTCTTTTCGGCCTTGGCGAAATTGCGCGGCTGGAGAGAATACGGGACTGGAGATGAGTTTGAGGAAGTCTTGGGGGGTTCCATGTGTCTCGACAATGTCGTAGAGCAGGAGAGTCTCTTCCTCAGTCTTGACACGTCTCGGTGGAGGCTTGGCTGCTGTCTCGTTTGAGTTTGCTTCAGCCTAGCGCCAAAGAGACAATTAGAACTGGAATTGGTATGACAGTGTTTTGAGAGGGTAAAGCCAATACCTGTTCTGTGACTTGGGCAGCTCGCTCAATCTGTTTCTGGGCCAATGTACCGTACAATTTCCTCTTATCGGGTGAGGCCTGAGGACTCATCTATGCCCACGTTAGCATGTAGTTCACGAAGATTCCTGGTGGCAGCATGAAGTCGTTCAAAATGATGACTTACAGAAAGAAGATGCGTGACTACAATGTTCCAGAACAGCATGTCCCTGTCCTGTGGAAAAGAGCGGTCGATGATGGCCGCAATCTGCACCTTGTCAGTTTCCTCGAACATATATCGGCCAGCAAGAATGTGAGATACTAGAGCCTTACCTGTTGAGCGCTGGCCAGATCCCAGTGAAGCAAGCATGATTCGAGACATCGAGTTGCGGCAAACTTGTCCTTCGGGGCGGCCTTGACAGCGCGCACTCTCAACGGACCCAGCGTCTCGGCAAAGTCGTCCTGGTCCAGCAGATTCGTCGTGGCCCATTCCAACAAGTCAAGAGCATCTACATCCTTGACAGTGCTTCCCTCCTTGACAAACTTCCAGACAGCCGCAACTGCAGCGAACTTGGCGGCTGGATCGTCCACCTGGCTCTCGGCGCAGATTTTGACGGCCTGCATCGTGTAAATAGCTGGTCAGCCCAGTACGTTTTGATCCAACCTTTGACCGAGAGCCTCAACACCGGCGGTTCGGAATCGCCAAGCTCACCTCATAGTACTGATCGTTGAGCGTCTTGGCTCGCTTCTCGGCCAGGCGAATCACAACGGGCCAGTTGCCGTCTTGAAAGGCCGACTGCAGCTGGAGATCGACCCCATTCTTAAGGTGAGGCCTTTGGCGATTCATGAGGAGCGCGTTTCGGGGAGGATTTGGCTGCACGCTCTCAATGGCTTCCAGATGTCGAGGCGCCAAATGGCCGTGAGAATCGTTGAATGGTTTGGAGGGGTCAATTTGGAGAGCAATTGCTGATCTGAGCAAGGCTGAAGGCTGAGCCACGGATACCCCACCATATGTGGCGGGAGAAGTGTGGCGCTCTTGACGAGGCTGTCACTACATGTGCACAGTTGAGGTTGCGGGTGCTAGAGGGAGGCCAGTTTCATCTTGTAATGAACGGCAACTATTAAGAGACTTTTACAAATAATAGCCGAATATTTCCAAGTTCTTCATGATATGCCCGCCATGTGATGCGAGTTGTGAAGCACATCTCTGATGGATCCTTCTTCTGATGGCTAGCACTAAGACGGGAAAACGACGCGACATGGTCGAATGTTGCACACGACATTACTGGATGAGCACAGTATGTGTTTAATCCGTGGCAAAAGCAGAAGCCAGGAAATCATTGCCATTTGCATTCAGTCGTGGCGCGGGGTTTGTCTTGCTGCATATTCAGCTAATGTCATGCTGTGTTTATTGATCGTCTCTATTGGATGGATGCCTGTATTCAGCTGACACCCCTGTAAAACGCGTGGTTGAATCCTTCAGCACAAAGATGGAAAAGCACAAGACACTTGTCTTACCGGCCAAATCGAAAGATCTTGCTTCATCAGTCATTCCCGGTGAATGCTAATATGCCAAAATGTTTTCAAGAGTCCTGCTATGGCTCTCCATAGCGTCCCTCTCGTCGGCCGCTCTGCCCTGGAGTCAAGGTGATGTGACACCAGGTCTCCAAACATCCTCAACCGTGTCCTTCGACCCGCTTGCCGTCCTGGCGGTTCTCTGGAACCCACGTGCTTCAGTGAGCGCATCGAGGCTCTATGCTCAGCCTCATCGCTCCGAGACCAAGCGCCTGCGATGGCCGCATCTCATGCAGATTGGCGCAGTCACTGTGCCTGTATCTGTACTCGTAGGCCATTTTATACGCAATTACCGCTCTATTCATCCCGGGTTGGAAATGTTCATGGGCAATGTGGACAATCTCAATGTCAAGTCGACAATCGGCAAAGTAATCAACTTGTTTCCCACACTACCCCTGAGCGGCAGTGAATCGAGCTTCGTCGACTCGCTAGCATTTCGCCCGTCAGTGCACCCAAGAAATGACATTATTATTGTTTCACTTTTGCGGCCCGGAAGAAGGGCATTGGCTGAAAAATACGTCGTCTCGGAGTCACAACACAGCAATACGAGATACAGAATGAAATGGCTTCTTGGCAAAACCATCTTTGGACTGACTGAGCTCGTTATGGGGCTAATATTGGCAGGCGGACTGATTTTCAGTGTCTTGCTGAACGATATTTGGGGTGTAGTGCTTTTTGGGTGCTATCTATTACATTGGCTGGCGTCTACTGCAGTCTCGTTCTGCCAGTTAGTTGAATCGGATACGTGGAAGGCAGAGTTGAACATCAGACAAGACGATGATATTGTTGTTGCCATTTATGAGCGGCCAGCGGGCGGCTGGGTAATCTTCAAAGGCACACAAGAGACTATGGAGAGATGGGCCCGCACATCATGGTGGTTTGCGGGCGAGAAGCTGCATAATAAACTAGTCCACTGGTCATGGATGATCACCGGCCTCATGGCAGCTCTCGCTTCGCTTGCCAACATGGTCAATATGACGGGCTACATGCAACTAGGCTTCCTCGGAATTCTGGTGTACGGTTCCCTGGCTGAGCTTTGGCTGACGGTCGTGGATCAAATGTTTCAACCCGAATCAATGAGCTTTCTTGGCCCATATAGCACACGCACGGTGGCGGCCAACGACAAGAAATACAAGAGTATCATACAGGCTTGTCTCGGTGTGGACGACATTCATCGTCTCGGCAGCGTACCATGGACTGCACTGGGACTGCTTCCAAATCGAGAACCGTTTTTGGCTTTAGAACAGGTGATTCGGAAATTGCACAATGCTTCTTGCGAAAATGGAGGTGTTGCCGAGGAAAATTGCCTCGAGGGTGCTCTGGCCGAGTTTGACAACTCGTGCAAAAAATTGCACCAAGATGAGGCGGACTACTCGCGGGGTATTCGCAACGAAGTTGAGAGGGTGTGGCGAGAGAGGATTGCAAATCAAGTGATGCAACAACAGGAGAAGGAAGGGAAGAAAATCTCGGTGTAATCAGTTGCCTTATACTGATGGCACAATCTTCATTCATACTGCGTTGGGTTTAGGACAATACTTTCGTTTGCCAGTGGTAGGGGAATTCGTTAATTGAAATAAAAAGAGATGCTACAGTCCGACATATTGCGTTAAGCGTAGCTGGTATATACCAAGGAACAGACCGGTAGCCCATCAACCACCACAAAAGAAGAGAATTATTATTGTATCAGAGGGGAAAACAGCAACAGTGGCTCGTAACTGCTTCGGTAATGGCAACCGAATAAATGAAACACATTGTAACACTGATCTAAACGGTTAGAAAGGTAATAAAGAGGGAAACAGGGAGGGAGCTACTTCAATCACTCTGAACACTACGTGCTACAATTGTTAATTTATTGGACCTAACCTACATGCAGATATACTCCAAAATCACAATCTTTTCTGCTACACAAGATGTATTAATCACTATGTGACAGCTTGTTTTATAATCGCCATGTAGGCTACATGTATGTTTGAGCAAGCGCTTTATTTCTTCAATGTATTCTTAAAGCTTTCGTGACATGTATGATATTTGTTTTAATCAACTATATAGTCTATTTGGATCATCATCCTTTTCTATTTCAACCGGACCGTTCAAATTTGTAATCTGAGTTTTTAATTGCTGCCAGTAACATTTAGGTGAAACTTACTTGCAGCTCGTAATCTGGCTCCAAATTTGTAAAATACCAACGGCAGTATTCCCAGAGCTAGAGCAACAAATCCCAATGTGCTAGTAGCCCATGGCGCACCGAGTTTCTCATACATTGTTGTAGCAAATACTGCAAAGCCAGCGCCAAAAAGACAGCGAAGCATCGTATTAGCTGCCAAAGCACTGGCACTGTAACGTTCATAACAATCAGTAAGATACGCATTGATGCCGAGGAAAAGCATCACTAGAGCGAAACCAAAAGGTATGCCGGCAATAATAGACACAACCCAATGGATCGGTGGTAGCGCGGTCCAACCGAACCAAAAAATGCCAATTGGCAATAGCCAAACAATTGGGATCAGATGTGGCAAACGGGCTTCAGGTACCGGACCAATCTTCTTCTTGTAGTGAGCGTAGATATTGTTCACCCACGGAGAGAGGGCGGTCGCAATGGCCATCCCAACCCCGATTCCTGTGAACGCCAATCCTGAAATGCCGATGGACCACCCGCGCGCTTTCTGAAAGACGACAGGATAAGCCGTAAAGTCTAGATAGAGAACGCCGTAAACAAACGCCATGTAAAGCGATAGCGTGAACAAAATGGGCTCCGTGAAGAGCATGATCCAAGGGCGCAACAGACTTTGAGAAAACTGTGCCATTCGGAGATCTCGCCGCGTTTTGATGCCAGCTTTGGCGTTCTTCACTTCAAGCAGCCTGGGGGCGTATGTCTCAGGAAGAGCAAACAGAACAACCACATAGATTGCCATGGCGACGATAAACACAACCCAAGAGGTCCATCTCCAAGACAGGTACTGTGTTAAGAAACCGCCAACGAGCGTCCCCAAGACCGGACCACAGAAGCTAGCTGCTGTATAAAGTGCAAGTGGAACAGATCGGTGGGATTGAGGCCACAAGTCAGTGATGGAACCACCCGTGTTTGCGACTGCAGGGATGCCAAAGAGGCCCGCAAAGAACCGGCAAACTAGCAAGGTGTTTATGTTCTGGGCGAGTGCGCAACCCATCGTGGCAAGGCAAAACAGCAGAAAGGTGCCATAATAGAGTGGATTTCTGCCCCTATTAGCCGCAAAGAAATCAGCATTATCGCGTCGGTTGATTTACGACAATCCACCTACCAAATCTCCGACAGCGGGGCAAAGAACAGGGGACCAAATGCCGACCCGATCAAGTAAGTCGTTGACCCCAGTGTGGACATGAGATTGGAGACATGGAGGTCGTTGGCAATCGATGAGATGGCAGGCGTATATACGCTTGCGCTGAATCCGACAATGCCGGACATTCCAACAACGGTGATGGTATAAATCCCTAAAGAGGTGATAAAAGTAGATTAGTATATCAAATCAAGTGGAATGATGCCCCCTTTCTCGCAGCAACAAACGCTTACACCTTGCAACTGGTGACCAGTTCAGAGGGTCATCTTTTCCTTCCAATTTTGTAATGACCTCTATTTCGCCGATTTCAAGTTCCGCCACGGCATCTTCCAATGCCGCGGATCCGTTCCCGACGGCCTCCTCTTTCATACTACTACCCAGTATGAGGTAGCCAAGGTACGCTCGCAGTCAGAGCTCCGGTCTCGATGTTCGAACTTCGATATCGGGTGGCGCAATACGTGCAATAGCGAAGAAAGACGAAAGAAGGCTAGAAGAGGCGGCGAATTTGCTATAGCTCTGAAATTTTTAATCTCTTCAAAATTTCAAGCTTGTGAAGAGCGCTTCAAGCAATATTATTGATAACGGTAGTTGTTCACCAGGGTGACAGCGGTGGACTTTGGTCAACCTTAGGGCGTGTCAATACCTCCCAGGGCTTTCAAAAGTTCCATCCAAATCCAGAGCTTGGCCCATTAAATGGCGGGAGCGTAATCAGGAAAGGTACCCGGTGGCTTGCCTCCCGCAAATATGGAGCATGAGTCAGGGTGTGTGATTGCTGATCAACAAACCTGCGATCGTATGAATCCACACGTGCGTGGGATTGACAGTAAGCGGACGGGTGCGGCACGAGAGACGGGGGTCAAGGGGTCAAGGGGTCAAGGTAACATCGTGCCGATACACGTCTTGAATCGTGTTCTCTTGGTATCAAAGACTCTCCTTTGCGACGTCTCTGCTCCGCATATACTCGCGAATAATGCTGGTTACGACGTGCTGGGTGGGTGGCAAATGCACAAATCATACCATCGACCCTTCGTATTGCTACAATGCATGAGTATGAGATACATGCATGCAAGATTTACCATTGTCCGAATGCAGTAACTTATCAAAGGCCTCGAAAAAGACTAGCTGTCTATGCAATAGAGAAGACATTAAGGTGATAAGCAGAGTACCTCTAAGCTATGGAGGGCCTGAATCTGCTTTCACGTCACAAAGTGAAATAGCAGCAAAAACATAGCGCTTCGATTTATTCTACAAGAAGCTGCTGAAGCTTTATATGATAGGCCCATTCATCTTTAATACATATTGAACAATCACACGATACTTAGGTAGTCTTCCTTTATGCAAGCCGCCTGCTCAAAACTTGATTTCTATTGCTCTCGAACTTGAAAGTTCTTCTTACGCTAACCAGGTTTCCTAAAAGACCTCCATATACTGCACATTCATGTGTTTTGGAATTACGCAGGCCTTGAATCTGCGAGAGCTGATATCAGTCTTTTGAGCACGTCGCTGATCGTCCAGAGTTAAAAATTCACGACCAAGAGCCAATAGTGGGACGCCGGAGTCAACGTCTGAGCCAACACTTTCAGGTTTGTTCTGACGGCCTAGAAGTTCGGCGGTTGTGTTCAAAGCGGAATCTATAGCTCCTGCAATCTATACAGAACATGTAAGTACAGAATCCTCCATAAGACAAAAAGTCAAGAAAAAGAAAACGGAATGAGTAATGGGAACATCACTTACCCATGTGTGGTGCTTTGATAGATGTTCTCCAGCGAAAAAAATGTTACCCTCTGGCTTTTTCGCTACTTCAAAGAAGCGTGAGAACTGACCGGGGAGGAACATGGCGTCTCCACCGCATGACTCGGCCGACCACGTTATGTCAAAAGCCTCGATGAATTGCTCATAGACATCAATTTCAAGCTCATCAGCAAAGTATTTACTAAGATCATGCAAGCATATCTTGATTCTTTCTGGGCGTGATAACCCAGTCCACTTGGCAGCATCGCTCATCCAGCTGTAAAGCAACAAAACGCCAGAGCCGTTGCTGCCAAGGTCGTTGGATGGATAAACAATCCAACGGAAGCGCAAATCAGTTGTGCTCTGGCCGCCAAAACACGGGTTGGCACTGGAGCGTTCCCAGAAGCGGGTTCGAAAGTGCAGGCCAATTTTGTACAGAGGTTCGTAGTGAGCCCCTCGAATGGACTGTTCTTTCATGAAAGACCAACTGGGGCGGTCTACAATGCTGTGAAGAGCAGAGGGCGGTGTTGCAACAACTACTTTGTCGAAAATAGCAGTGTAAGTCTGATGAAGGCCTTGCGCTGACAACTGGACCTTTCCATTATCTAGATTGGTAATGCGATCTACTCGCGAGTTTAGGCGAATGTTCTTTGAGCCAAGCAATGAAGCAGCACATTGAGTGATGCGTGACATGCCGTCTCGAACAGTTGCCCACTGAATGAAAGTTAGTCTACAAATCTGAAGTTATAAAGGTTGAAGGAATCAATCGACTCACATCTTTGGTATCAAAGTCCAAGTTCTGCATTATGATCTCCGTAAAGCTTAGATCATATTGGTTAGTTTGAGAGCAGAAAAGCTCGACAAACTCTATGACCTCGTGGGGCCATCCAACAACTAGACGGAGATATGCCCGGAAGGAGTATTCATCGTATTTCAGCAATTTTTCAAACCCAGTATCAAAGTCTTTGCGAAGTATAGATAGCCAGGGGAGAACAACGCTTCCAAGAAGTTGTTGAGGGGTCTTGTTGCAATAGGCTTCAGGAAGACCAGCCTCAGCTGCCCATTTACTATCTTGTAACGCACCCTTTTGGTTCTGGAAAAAAGATCTGTTGTTCTCATGATCGAGAACATATGGAATAAGTTCAATCTTATCTCCAGCAAAACCATGCGTATTGAGATAACGAACAAAATCAAACACCTTTGAATGTAAAGAGGAGCGGGGGATGCGCATGGCGCCAGCTTCAAAGTAAATGTCTTCCGATTTGGCCTGCGGCGTAAATCGATAGGTGTAGATGCGACCGCCAACTCGATCAGCCGCCTCGAAAATTGTCACTTTGTGACCTTCTCGGCGTAACAACAGAGCTGTATAAAGGCCTGAAATGCCTGCGCCAATTATTCCCACATGCATGATTGCTAGTTTCTGGAGACGAGATGTGGTATACCACGGGTTTTTGGCAACGAAGAGAGATATTCAACACAACAAGTGTAATATCAAGATGATTCAAGAAAGAGGGTAGCCGTTACATACTCATAGATATAGCAGCGTTGTTTTGATTTATTTATGTATTTATATATTTTTAAAAATTTATTCATTTATGTATTTATTTATGTATTTATGTTACTTTATTTGATTTCATTTTTCAATGTCCTTTTTCGTCGTCGAAATACGAAGTGAAAGAGCTGGTTGAACCTGACACATGATTACGAAGGCGAAATCACATCCTTGTTTCGCCCCATTAGCATGATGTTCATCTTCCACCTCCTCCGGGCTACAATCCAGGGGTGTTGACAGGCCATTCGACAAGGACCTTTGAAGTACTACTGCCTTGATTCGCATTGCTTACTGATTAGGCTGATGTCGCGTCAAATCCCTCCAATGGAAGTTTTGGCGGCAATCACTCAAAGTATATTCAATTATTGCAATCTTTTACCAATCCGATTTATACATAATCTGGCAACCCTTGTCTTGTATATGTTGCCTTGTAATATCCCACCATCGTAACTACCTTATCAAAATGATCAAGTTTAGTTGAACTCAATATTTGTTGAACCGTTATCTGCAGTGAGACTCAAAGTGACAGTAGACGTTGAATAATTGTTTCCAGCAGTACTTGCTCAATGTTCTTCGGACTTTCTGCATAGGTACTCCGTACGAACCTTTGTTAAATTAACCTTTTGCTACCTACCATCCTCGTGGGCGTACTAATAACACGCCAGTTGCGGCAAATGTACACACCGGGATAATTAAGCCTTTTGACCATTTCCCGATCCCAGGGGGCTTCAAAACCAGCCAGATCCCCGTGTATGCTCCACATATCACACACAGGATTTTGGTCGATTCTGAGACCCCCGATACAAGCAATGTCGTATTGGCTTAGTGGGGAATACTCCGCGAAGTTACATTTATGTAACATAACGCTATGCCAGGGTTTACCCTCGTCAATACCCTGCATGATATGAGACCAATGGGTGATGAGAACCATGTCGTCATGAAAGTATAACATATCCTGCAAGATAGCTTCTGCAACGCATTGACGGCTGCAATGCAGTGATTGCTGCAATGCAATGTCTCCCGCGATTGCGATGACTAGCGGTGTGAGAATCTTACGTGCCTGATTATGATACTACTATAGTTATAATGTGAGTGTTGAAAGTAATAAACGGTAGGAAATAAATACTTGTTAAAACTTAGCGTAGGATCTGTTGAACATGTGAATTTACACATATCATATGAACATGCTTAATATGAATGGATAATATATTTCCCAAAAAGACTTGCAACTAAAACTGTCTTTTAGCCTACACCAAATACACTTTAATATTCCATATCAAACTCATCCTGACATTAGTGGCGTACTTCGCAATTACGCGCCTGGAGTCCTGGTCTTTCCCCTCATGATATGCCTGTGTCTCCGGGCTGTATGGTCTGATATCGAGTCTAGGGAAACGTAATTTCGTTACATCAACAAGAGAAGAGAACCTTGTCAAATTGTCAACAGAAATGTTTCGCTAGGCAGCGACATAAATCGATTGACAAAGGTAATTGCCGACGCGGGAATTGGCTGTCTTGCTACAAGTATAAAGTCTCGGCATTTCACCTCTCCATCCACCATTCTTTCTCAACAGACTCACCAATAAGCACCATTGACACTAAATACCTACTACACATTCTTCTTTTGACTTTTACCACATCAAAATGCCTTCTTCTAAGAGCGCTCCCGTCATTGACTTCTCCGACTTCTTGTCTGGGGACAAGGCACGGATGCAGCATTGTGCTGACCAGATTCGAGATGCTTGTCTTACCCAAGGATTTTTCCAGATCGTTGGCCATGACATTCCTGCCAGCCTTCAAAAGGATATCTTCAAAGCATCAAAGACTTTCTTTGCGCTGCCGTTGGAGGAAAAGATGAAGCTTGATAAGTCATTGGTAAGCATTGTGCTTGTGTAACAATTAGGCATTGGGATTAACATGATTGGAAAAGAACAAATACAACCGTGGATACGAAGTCATGCACGGCCAAATGATCGAGGCCAACACCAAGCCCGATCTCAAAGAGGGCTACTATGTATCTCGTGATTTGCCCATGGACCACCCTCAAGTCAAGGCAGAGAAGTTTGCCCATGGCCCCAACGTGTGGCCCGAGTCTCTGGGAGAGTCTTTCCGAGAGACTTGCATGGACTATTTGAACCGCATTATGAAGCTTACGGAGGAAGTTATGCGCGCTATGGCCATGAGCTTGGGCTACGATGCAGACTACTTCCAAGAGTTTTGCACCGACCCCATGTGCTTCTACAAGTTGCTTCACTACCCACCCCAGCCCTCGTCAGCTCATGCTCTTCAAAGAGGTATTGGTGCTCACCGCGATTTTGGTGTCATCACTTTGCTCCTTCAAGGCGATGTTGCTGGCCTCGAGGTCTGGGATGAGGAGGTCAAGGACTGGTACCCCGTTCCTCCTGTTGAGGGAGCCTATGTTGTCAACATGGGCAACCTGTTTGAGCAGTGGACAAACGACAAGTACATTTCCAATGTGCACCGTGTCATCAACCGCTCTGGAGAGGAGCGTTACAGCATCCCGTTCAACTACAACGGCAACCCCGATTTCGTTATTAAGTGCATCGAGAAGTGCCGCGTTAAGCCCGAGGAAGAGAAATATGCTCCAGTCAGCGTTGAGGACTACGTGGTTCAGAAGTATAAGGACGTTTATGGTCGTGTTGGTATTTACAAGACTGAGACATTTGCTCCTCAGAAGGTCGATGCTTAAACTGCGACAAATGTTGAAATAAGTAGTTTTTTGGCGAATAAGAATTGAGTAACAAATTGGACTATACTTATACTGTTTAAATAAATTCTTGTGACGTCTTGACTTGATGCTCTAATAGTATAGAGTAAGTCTTAGAACAAGCTAAAGCAAATGCGTTTATATAGCTAAACTGAACAAAACTAGTTTAAATAATAAAGGCTAATTACTTCTTGATCCATCAGACCATTTCGAGGCTGCTCTTAGCTTTTTTCCATATAGATAAAAAACAAAAGGGACCGGAATTAAAATTGCGGCAAACCCTCCCGTGATACTTGACCCGGGACCAACTCCTATGTTATGATAGAGGGGCCCTACGGCGAGTGGCAATGCCCCAGCGACACACGACCGCAGAAATGTATTTGCTCCGATTGCTGAAGCTGCATATGCCTGAAATGTATCGACGATATAGTTGAGTGCCGCTTGGAATATGGTGAAAAATCCCGTACCCAGCATCACTAAGCCAATACATGGGGCAACCCAAGTCGTACCAGGTTTAGCTGTCCAACCTGTTAGGAACTGACTTGCACAGAAAATAAAAGAACCCAGCATCATAGGAGGCAGACGCATCTCGGGAACAGCTTTATTTCCTGCCGCATAATAAGCCTTGTTATAGAGGAATTGGTTGTAGATGTTTATGCCGCAACCTATAGCAGCGCCCAAAACAATTGATAGGAATGGCAGAGCAGCTGGAATTGGATGCCATCCACGGACCTCCCCAAAGATGATGGGGATGGCACCCAGTTGCATATATAGAATTCCGTACACAAAGCTGGCATACAACGTCACAAGAAAACAGATTGGTGTAGAGAGAATTCGAATGGGTCGAACGAGAAATTTTCGCGCGAGCTGACGAAGATCAATCTGCCACTCTTCGAACTGTGCATGGAGTGCCCAGTTGCCCGTCTCGTGCCGTAATCTCTGAGCTTTATAGACAAGAAGCAGGGGCGGGTAGCTTTCGTCGATAAAAAGGGCGGCTACTAGAAGGATAGCTGATTGAAGGATGCCCGTGAAATACTCTGTCCATCGCCAGCCTAGAGAAGACTGTTGAGCAAGTACCGTGGAAACGACCGGTCCTAAGAGAAGTCAACAGGACGTTCATGTCACAAAAGGGGACCATCTTACCGAGAGCAGGACCACAAACAATGGCCATCGAATATCCAGCCAGTGCAACACCTCGCCAAGCTGGCGAGAATAAGTCGCCGAGAACACCGCCAGTGTTAGTCATGGGAGCCGAAGCACAAAAACCTCCCCAAAACCGAGTTATCATAATCGTCTGCACATCCTTTGCCGTAGCTGTGGCAAAAGTAAAGCAAATGGCAACAAACATGGGCGTAAGAACCGGCACCCTCCGGCCGTATACCTCGCTTAACGGGGCCCAGAGTAAAGGTCCGATTCCAAAGCCAATGAGATACAATGTTGTGCCTAGAGTGGCCACTTGTGTAGATATGTGAAACTCCTTGGCAACCTGGTCCGTACCCACTGAGTACGAGGAGGAAGCCCATGTTGCTGACATAGTGACCAAACCATACAAGACGGTAGTCAGGATTTTTTTTTGTGTAGGCCAGTTTAGCGGTCGGTAGGGATCCTGATCCCCGTCGAAGTCAACAAGGTATTTCTCCTCTGTAGGCAGGTTGGCCAATGGATGGGAAAATTCCACGGCCGGTCGTGATCGAATGCGCGAGACAATTGTTTCTAGTCGTGATGGTGCAGGGGTAAGACTTGTTGTCGTACTCAACTCGTCCTGGCATCTACTTCGACATCTTGTTCGTGAAGTCGTAATCTCATATAAGCTCGGTCGATGGCCATCGAGGAAACCTTCCTCAAGATGTTCGCCTTCAGACGATGCTGACTGCGATGGGCGTATCCCAACTTCAAGTGTTAGACTGGCGTTGGATGTCGTTGAATGTAGAGATAACTGGTTCCTGAAGTCATTCGGAGCAGCCATGGTTTGTTCAAGATGTAACGGTAGTTAGGTAGAGAGTGTAAGTCGTGATAATCCTGATTGGCTATCTGTACCGACGTCTTGGACATTTAGTTGTTATATACACACATATATATATTTAGATATATTTAATAATGATTTTATTCTGCAGGAACGGTGCTATATTTGTCAAGTTGCGCTTTGTCATTTCATTGTCCCAGCAGGCTTTTGCTCTTGAGCAATTATCCAGTAGCGGTCGGTCGTTGGTCTCCAGTCATCCAGAATAGGCAATTCCGATCACGTGATTGATTTAACGCCGACACATTCTCTCATGATTTTTAGGCGTATCCGATTATTCGGCACTTTTATTCCGCGGACAAAGTCAGGCAGGGAGAGAATCTTGAGTGTAAATTTTGTGGCTTGCAGGAATTTTTCTCTTTCGTATTAGTTATCACCGAAGTCTCTCTCAGCAGGTTTTTCAAGTTCGCAAAGAATCGCGTCGAACCGCATCATCCGCGGGAAATAGGACGGCAAGGGAACAAGGCGAGGCTTGAGATGAGATAATGGCATCCGAAATGCTGGACCAAGTATAAGGTAGTTTCGTGTCCCATAAAATTTGTATGTTGGACTTTCCAACTGTGTTCAATAACTGCTTCAACGTTTTTCAGTGATAAGACATAGGCAGGGGAATGCATCTCTACCAACGACTCAAACAAATAACTCCCCCTTCATGAAAACATGCGAAAGGATTCCAGGACCTGGCCGCACATTGCTAAGAAACTTGCTATATTCTTATTGAATCAGGTAGCTTGCCGCGCGTCCATCCATAGATTTCAATACGCCTCATGTCGCTGTCCCTATGACTCATATTACGCCGCCCATTTATAGGAGAAACAAGCTTGCTCGCCAAGTCCCATCTCAAGGCAGCCGTTCTACAATGCTACATTCCGCCTACCGCGATGGCGACAGTGAGACGTTTCGATGCAAAAAGTCCATTCCTTGTCCAGACCGCCCATAAAGCCTTCTATACTCACCCTGAGGGTATCATGGGCTCTGCTCTGTTGGTCTAACGGCGAATATGACACACGTAACTATCGTTATGGGCCATCCTCTGCCACCTTGGTAACGAAGCGCTTAGCACACAAGACACTAACAAGATCCCTGTAATGATCACCACTGCACCAAGTATCCTAAATGTTCCGGTAAATGTCGCTGCTCTATCTCAGAAACTCGACACTGGAATGTGGGTTTTGCCGCTTTAGAAAAAAGATTTTTATCATGCCCAAAAAGGATGTTGTCATTTGCCTAGATGAGCGATGACCAGAGACCCATGTATGCGAACACGCGACGATTAAATGTGCTGAGATATGACAATGCTTCACGAAGGGGCAAATCTAGGATCTATTTGGCTCAAAAGCACAGTAGAAGGTTTACCGACTTTGCCGACCACGCCCCCATTGCGGTAAGCAAGTGACGAGATGTCGTATCTTCCCCATTGCTGCATCGGGGCTCCCGTAGGCAAGATGTCGCGTTAACCCTGCAATATGGGACAGTTAGCGAAACACTATGATACGCATTTTGTTCAAAATATGTACAGATTTTTGGGAGTTATATGCCGTTAGCGATGCTTTCATCTAAACCCTGTTACACCGGGCCAGCTCTCCCTGATTGGAGCTTGAGCAACGATCTCCCATGCACATGCATTTACCACAACTGATAGCTTAAAGAAAGGGAGCCCGAGTGTCACCGCTGAAGCCTCTGCAATCCCAATAATGACGATGACTGCAACACTCAGCATTATATCAAATCATTATGCGGGTTTTCCTGGGCGCCTTTGACCACGGGAAACAAGCCTATCAGTTTCTTGCTTCATTTGCCTACCAAATCTCATTCGCACCAAGTCTCGCCCAAGGACAGACACAGTAGATAGCAGTACCTAGTTAACCAGATCAAGATTAGAATGCTTCTCGGACAAACCGCGAGTCTACCATGCATACGTCATATGTCTAGATTGGTACCAGCTTGATTTGCCAATGATAGCGAAATAACTGCCCTGGAAAAAGAACGTTAAAGAAATAGCTCTAGCGGCCGGCTCGGAACAGTGCCATCAAATCATCCAATAACTCAGCCCAGTGTTTGTAGCGTCTGTCTAGCTCTATCTGCATTCTGGGTACTAAAGACAGTTCGTCATATAGCGGGTCGCGGGTTGTTGTTCATGTCTTGATAAATTCTGCGCTCAAGAGTGATGGAGCGAATAGTTGATACCGGTAACAGCGATCGCTCTGGTCGCCCCTCGAGGGTGACGAAACGAAAAAAGCGCCCGCCCGTGTCATGCACCGAATGTCGCAGGAGAAAGAGAAAGGTGAGCTTCTCGAGGCCCTCCACAAGCAGTCACCGCTTGAACTTACTCTTGAATCAATGTTGCAGTGTGATGGCAAGCTCCCATGCTGCGACTGCAAGCTTCGCGATAAGCCTCAAGGCTGTGTCTATGCAGACGGTGCCATGCCGAGGAACCGAGAAGCTGTGTCTCCTTACGGCGGCGCAGCGACCATGTCCATCCACAGCCCGATGTCAGCTAATACGGGCACCATAGCTGCGGACTCGGGCAGCGGCAAGGGGCATCAACTTAGCAAGCTTGGGTACGCACGAACCGGCACTTCAACAGCAGATTATCTGGATAGAATCGATGTCGGTGATGATGAAGTCGTGGGTGAGCTCGAGACGTGTCCTACTGCAAGCGGCTATGGAAATCTCTGGGAGCGTTACAAGTCCCTGACCAAGCAGCTACCGACACGTGAATGTATCGCGGAACTAACTGATTTCTACTTTCAAAAGATCAATTGGCAATATTACATCTTGGATGAAAGTTCATTCAGGCAGAAGCTTCATGATTGGTACAGGCTTGACTTGCAGCCATTCGCCGCAAAAAAGTTTGAACTTCTTCCCACGGACGTGAAGGCTTTTCCAGCTCTGTTATTAGAGGTCGCTGCCACTTCTTTGCTATTAATGACACCGGATGGGGCGCTGGAGCTGAAGTATCTCAAGCGTATTGATGGCATGTCATTCGAAACCATGGCCGTAAAGTATAGTGAGACTGGCATGGCCATTCTGAACCTTCTTGGGAAAACTCGGATCTCTTTAACAACGGTATTTGCGGATTTTCTCCGCGTTGCATTTCTGAAGTACTTTGGACAAGTCATAGAATCAGTGAGTAATTTCTTGCAGGAAAACGATGTGCCAGGTTTCATATTAGCTTACGCTTCTATAGTGGCACGCCCTTGGAGAGGCCGTGAAAGATGCACAGGAGATCGGGTTGCATCGAGCCAGTCGAGATCCAAAGCCTCTCACGGAGGATATAGCAACAGTAATCGAGAACCAGTGGAATATTCAGGATCGCCGGAGACTCTGGATGCTTCTATATGGCTGGGACATTCACACGGCTATGGTTCTTGGGCGGCCTGCGGCTATTGACGACAATACGGAGCCGATACTTCCAGTCGATGTACCCATCACCGCAAACCGGCCGGTGACTCCGGTCTTGCCCAGAGGCGCTGATGATGTCCCAACACCCCTCACTCGTGCCATCTGGGCGTACCGGATTATGAAGAATCTTCGCCAGATTCAGGAGTTAGAAAAGGAAGGCTCCTGTCCCGAAAGTTTCTCACGAATTGACAGCCTTGATCAAGAGCTACGACAACTTGACCAAAACATCCCTCCTTATTTCCGTCGCCGCAATCCTGACAAGAGTTTTGATTCAATTCCCGAGTGCTACTGGCTATCAGGTGCGAGGGCCACCCTTCCACAGCTCTTATCCTTTGGCCTGGTGGCCTTGCACCGTCCATACATTTTCACACGCCTTGAAAGTCGGATACACGCCCTAGGTGCTTGTCTCGACATGCTACAAGCACAAAGAGAGCATTTTGAGTCAATCGAAGAAAACCAGTATAAAACGTGAGCGTATCCCAGGAAATTTTGACCCTCGCCTGCTGACCTAAACCCACAGCTTCTTCTTGTTTTTCGGTACTTTTGATGCTATTGTGCTGATTGCTTCAATATTCATCTTCTTCCCACAAGATCATTTGGACAAGGGCGCCCAGGCGATGCAGCACTTTCAGTGGTCTACAGAGCGGTTCGAGGCAATGTCTGGCCAAAGTGCTCTCGCCAGGGCAGCGGCTGTCACCTTACGTACCTTCTCCGCACGCCTCAAACAGACTATTCAATGGGAGACCTGCTATCCTTCGGCCGATGCTCTATCTGTCTCAATAAATACTCCAAGCTCGCACATGCAGGCCAAGCGCGATAACTTGGCATCTTATTCCGACGCCGTATCAAGCTACTCAGATACAGGGTTGTCGCCTTCCGGGCCGAAAATGAAGTTAAGATTCCCGAACGATGAACCACCAGCTGCACTATACGACTTCTCTTCCATCGAACCCATATATGCGATAAGTGATATCGTATACAACGACTTGATCGGCAGTTCAGATCTGCAAACTCCTTTCAGCTTCGATAATGACCCTTACTTACCTCAGTTCAATGGTAACTTTAGCAATAATAGTATATGGAGTTTGTTGAATAATAGCCTCGACTATACGAACACTTAAAACGAGTCAACTAGCTATTTGATAATAAATTTAATAAATGATAAATCATATGGTTAGACTTCAATCAGAGACACCTGAGAAACGACGCGTGGTCTGAGACAAAGAATCCTGTTCCCGTAAGCTTGGACGCAAGTAAAGTTCCGTGGCAAGATGAAGTGTACATATAGTCAGTCGAACTTATATACCCAGTAAATCCTGAGCTGCCTACTTCGTAGACCCACCACTGCAACGATGAGAGCCGGGCTGTAGCCCTAAGCCTCCTAAGACTTGGTCATACGTCAATAACAACTATCGGTGAAATATAGAAGCTGATTCCCAGATGTAGTTCATAGCCTTGAGGCGGTGGATATCCTTCTCTAGAGTTACGCCCTTCGTTGCGTTGAAAACAATGTTGACCGGAGAATTCACACCGTATTTTGGCCAATGCAAGTTAAATCCATGGACTGTTATATCAAGTCAGCTATGTTGTCAACTTTGGTGGGGAAAAGGGCTGACCAACCTCCATGGTTATTAGGGTCCCCGGTTTGGACAAAGCTCAACCACATTCTAGTCATAAGCTGTGCGAGATTGAGGTATTTTTGCTTCAAGGACTGGTTATTGACATCAAGTGGATTAACACCATATCCCTCGCCATCAATGTTGTTGAACACGAATGGAACCTCTTGAAAGTGTGCAGCGCCGTAGACTCCTGGGGACAGACCAGCTGGGTTTGTATCAAATCGAAAGCTGTAAGCCGGTATGTTTCGCTGTGCCCAGGCTTGACAACTGATACGCCGGCCAGCAGTAAACAACGAGTCTCCAACAAGCACAGTCAACTCTCCATGCAGCTTCCCGTAGGTTGGACCAGGATTGGGAAGTACGGTGCCCAGTAATGCTTCGGATGGATTCTTCATCACGTCGGAGTAAAGTTCATGGAGTCGAGCGACAGTACCATTCGGAAGTTGGTGGGGAAATACACTCGCCATGAGCACCCTGGACACATCATCGAAAGTATTTACTGGAGAGCCTTGGCTAAAAATTTCCAGGAAAGTCGACCCTTCGTTGGTGTTGGTACCAATAAGTAGCGGGATCTTGAGGAAGTCGCCACGCTTTATAGACTCAGACGACAATTGTGATAGTAGATCGTTGTCTATGATAGGGTGCCAAAACAAGCCTGTTGATGCTTTGATGAAGTCCTCAGCGGGAACTTTTCGCAGACACGAGACGACATCTTTGGAACTTGAACATTCCGTTCGGTTTAAGAACATGTCCAAGATCACCTTCTGGTCTGCCAAAGTTGGGAAGCTGTGAGCAAACAATGGCGTGCCGCTTTCAAGAATTGCCCGCTGAAATAGACCCTCGTCGCGACCTTTGTGTACCAACATGTTGAGGGATATTGACAAGGCTCCGGCAGATTCTCCTTGGAGAGTAACCCTGGCAGGATCACCTCCAAAAAATGCAATGTTTTCCTGAATCCACCGAAGCGCGAGCCGCTGATCGTGGATACCCAAGTTTGCGGCCCCGATGCTATTAAACGGCTCCCCAGAGATAAATCCAAAGGCGTTCATGCGATAGTTGAAGCTAACTCCGATAACAGGTTTGCCCATCTCGGTAGACATCTCAACAAGGCGTGACATATTATATCGGGGGTCCGCACTGCCGCCTTCTTCAAATCCACCTCCATATACCCAGACAAGTATTGGGAGGCCCTTGGGAGCCCATTCATGGTGGTAGTTATGGGGTCGCACCACGTTTATGGTAAGGCAGTCTTCGCTCGAAGGGTTGGTGATATTGTTATCGAATCCAACCAAGCCAACATTAAACCCATAGCAGTATGGCGCATATTTCGTTGCCTGCTTGGGGCCAGTCCACTTTTCGGTGAGATGCTGTGGACGAGTGAATCGAAGGTCTTGAATAGGGGGTTTGGCGTAGGGAATCCCCAGGAACAGGTCTTGCTGGTAATGAGCATTGTATTTGCCCACCAAGGTGCCGTTTTTGACCTTCACTGTCGGTACATTAGATGGAGGACAGCTAGCAGAAATGCCGCTTACTACCGAGAGCAAGGCTGTCAGAAGATATGAGAAGCTGATCATGATTGGAGGCTTTATGGATGAACTTGAGCGTTTTAACCAAGTCTGGGAAGAAGTGGCCTATATATATTATGCGCTGATCCCCTTTGTAGACGATGCTTTCTAACACCGGAACATGCTGAAGCAAAAGCCGAAGACTCTTTTCAAGGTTGTTAACTGAAATCTCTCAATAATTAATAGTTATTGTTAATATTTCTGTAATACAATACAAAGTAATGGCATGGGCTACGGTAGCTCTCCATTCCCGGTAGATGGGAAGAATACTACCCAAATACCGAAAATCCGGGTTTCAACCCGGCAATTCCATCGTCAATGCACCAGTTACGGGAACTGTCAACCAATAGCTGACAAATAAAGTCGCTTTCGTGCCATTACGGGAGCCCCTGATACTCGAACATCATGTTTTCAGGCAGGCCGAATACTGAGAAATCATCTAGGCCCACGCCAGTCTCCGCCTGATCATCCTGAGGGGGCTGGATCTGGGTCTCGGTATTATGCACAGAGTAGAACCAATCTCTTGAGGATCTCCGTACAGCACGATGATGAGTTTCTCCGTTAGGAAATACTTCGCCGCCCCAATTGGGTAGTAATCCCTTTTTAGCCAAACCCCATTCTGCGACTCCAAGAGCCACCTGAATTTGCGGCACATCCCGACACTGTTTCATGCAGATGAGAGATTGTTGGATGTAAATAAGAGATCGTGATTTAAGCTCCTCAACCTCAGAAGATTTGAGAACTATCTCAAGATGTAAGGCGAGGACTGCAGGGGCACAGATCAAGCTTCGAAGGGTAATTAGCTTTATCTAAGCAGCGAATATTCGGATTAAGGGCTGATGGAGGGTTTTTCACATACAATGCAATAGGAAGATTACGCAACATATCATAAGCTAAGGCCCTACCTATCATCGCATCCAATTCGTACATTGCAAGCTTGAGACGGCTGTTGGCATTTTCTGACAACAGTGAATTCTTCGCCTCCCAGTGTTTCCTTAACCAACGAAATAGCATACATTGGAAGCGATAACTCGTAGCTATGAGGACAATATGCCATGGGTTGTCGCGGGGATCTTGGCCTGGATTCGGCAGCAAAGGCTCAGGAACTGATGCATGCCATGCGCTGAAAGCTTCTTGAATATGAGCTAGAGAATTCGGAGATCCGGATTTGGCTACCGAGAGGCATTGAGAAGCTGACATTTGCGTCAGACTGGTTGGTATATACTGAGCTGATCCTTGGTACCTGCACTTACCGATGGTAGCTAGCTTGCAATTCTCAACGAAGTAAAGACTCTCTAGTAGCGTCAGAGGAGACAGTACAGATGTGGATGATGGTGAGAGACTCTCAGACACCCATATTTCTGCAGGCGGTAGGACTGTCGGACTCTCAGCACTGCTTCCCAGAAGACTTTTATTCTCCACGCCAGAGAAAAGTAACATTATATCACGGCTCTAGCCAAATTAGTCAAACAAAGATATTATAGAATTAGTTGTTCGTAGGTATACAATGCCTTACATATAATGTCCACCAGATCCTCTGGTATAGCCTGTAAGTTGCCGAGTCTATCTCATGGGTGTTGAAACTGGAACAGGAAGCGAATTAGCCAAGCCGGTACGTGACTTGGAAAGGATTTATAAGGATAAGCGAATACCTTTGGTGATGTATTCCCATCTTAATCGCCAGACGGATAGCATTGTGGTACCAGTAGCCAAAGTCTTTATCCCGAGTTCCGGCAAATCCCGTCATTGCCAAAACAGCAGAGCCTTGCAATAATCTCAGCTGGCTCTTTTCGCAGTTAAAGTCGTAAAGCAATGCTGCTCTGGTGCAAAATGTTTCTAAAGCTTCTGATCGGCTTGCGAAGCCACATGCTTCCAGTACCTTCTGGGATACGTACAAGGCCGCATTGGCCAAAACGGCCTGTAATAAAAAGAATGAATAGGTTCCAGAATCGTATGACTGTATGAACTCAAACGGATCAAAGACGGGACAGGTTGGATAAGCAAGTCTAAAATATGACTGGAGGAATGCTTCACTATAGCTAGTTAGAAATGACGGTGGGTAGGGCGGTTGTCCTTCATACCAATAATGCTTTGGAGGCAGACTGAAAGCGCATTTTTGTGTGAGGTACTCTCTGTCTGTAGGATCAAGCACATCCATAATTATGCGATTATCTACAGGCGATCCTTTCTCCCTAACAATAATACGAGTGACTCTTCGTATTCTTTCCTCAGTAACAACCTCGCTCATCATAGTGGCATAATGCATCTCACTGTGGTATTGAACCACATCTCGACCATTAGGTGATGGGTCTAGCAGCATCTCTGGGGCTGGAAGACCAGCACCCTCTGCTATTTCTTTGCATCCACGAATGAGTGCTTGCGCACCTTGGTGTGATGCTTCATCAGGACATGGCAGGACCTTAGGAGCATAATGCAAATTTGTCCCCTCTGAATATGGAGAAGCCTTTCCAAAGTTAGCACATTGTGCAAAAAGTTCATTTGAGATAGACTAATTCATCTTACAGAGGATGATGTGCGCCTGGTATCTCGGCGGCCCGGCACTTGTGATGGTAGTACATGGGATGACTCTCGGGCGGACTCGGCTGACCCGGAAATTGATACCGCGGTTACTCTATTGGAGGAAACTTAGTTGCCTTGCCTTGTGATGAATAGCTTGTCCTTGATTGGGGGTAATTTACCTTCTTTGCTGTCGGAGAATGCGGATACAACTTCGGTGTTGTGAGGGATCCTGGGCCTTACACCTCGTGCAAGGTAATCCAACTCGAGCCGCATCACATTTCAGTTTCTTTTGATGGCAAGGAAGACACGCCTTGATAAGATTGCGGGGCATTTGCAGGTAGGATCAGTATTGGACTGGGAAGAGCAATGAAGCTCTAGGGTTAGCTTATTAGCCCGAAATGCTATATGATCCAAGATTACCTTGGGGGTGATGCTAGAAAAGGAGCTCTCCATCGGCGTTTCGTTGTGGGGTTATTCGGTATTTGCGGGGATTCGGGGATTCGGGGATACATGGATGATCAACAGGATGCAATTGAGTAAGTACAGGTAAATCCAGCAACAGATCTAATATTATTCCGGATTTATCGGAACTTCTATCGTGTCCAACTGGCACTAGGATGAACATGCGACTTGTGTAGGCTCCTCCCTTGGGTCTTCATCGTTGGCGAGCACATATGTCCCGTTGCAGGTATCTCCACCGTCGTCCGACCGGTGGGTGTCTTATACGACGGCATCGCGGCATTGGATGTTCAAGGGCCGTCCGAGCCAGGTCGTGAACTCCCGACTTGCGTAGTGTTGGATGATATTGTGATCTTTTGCAAGGTCTGCCATTTTTGGAATCAGGACAAGTTCTTGCATGAGGTGCTTGATTAGAACTGGAACTGTCCTCCAAGTGTTTTCACTTCTCTACGTGTTGACACAGCTAGACCCCTGCCCTGAGGATGACAGCACGTATAGATGGTGACTGAAGTCTTTGTCATCCCTTACAAGTTATCCTAATATTTTACACAAGCATGATGTAAATCTTGCGGTATGTCTTTTCCATACATAAACCAACAAGCTATTGTCTCCATATACTACAAAGCTAGAATGGATTTAAACACACGCTCGAGCACAGAAGCAGTGTCATTCACTATGCTCTGGCTTCTCCACGCAATGAAGTTGTCTGGGCGTACAAGGACGCAGCCGCTCTCCTCTACTTCCCGCAGTCTGTACCAGTCATTGAATACGGCTTCATACTCGAGACCGTAGCCGACTGAATACACGGCGATTGTGATTTTCAACGCTTGCTCCACAGACCGCGCAGCATTACGCCATGCCTCTCCTCCATGGCTAATAAAGAGCGCAAATCGTCCGTGGCCTGCTAGATCCAGTGTTGAGACTTGTTCTTGCGGAGTAGCCGTATTTAGCCACGCATGAGGCAATCGCATACCAGGAAACGTATGGGGCTCATAGTACAGAACGGGATTCGAAGGCAAGGGTGGTTCATCTCCCGATCCCTCGAGGAACACAGCAGCAGACTGGTATCGCTGGTTCATATCTGAGCCCAAGGCCAAGAATTCATGTGAAGTGTAGTTGATTGCTCTCATGAGTTCACGTCGCCTTGTACGACCGCTCTCCGAATCCTCTTTCAATACATCGAGCTCCTTCTTCCTCTCCTCGAGTGATGGTTTTAAGAAGCCAAGAGCGTCGAATATCGGCTTATGTTCTCGCAAAGATGAATTGGCCCTTGAGCAGACTTGATTAGCCATCGTACGGTTTGATCTTATGCGTCCTTGTGTTACCTTGCTACGACTCCGGCTCCAACAGGTTGACGCTCAATTGTATAGCTGTCCAGAAGTGCAGGCCTCGCTAGCCCTATGTTATGGATAGGCACATGTTAGTATCTATTCGTTTCATATCCCATAGAAATGATTTGTTGCTTTTTACCTTTCTCCACCAAGTTTAACTTCCAGGCAAGATTGGCGGCGTCCTGGGTGCAGGTATTTGCCCCGAGACCATTCATCGGCGGATGGCGATGCACAGCGTCTCCAAGGCAGAATCTATACCCCATTAGAATCAACAAACAGAGGTGATGATAAGTGGGAGAAAGTTACATATTGCCTTTGCTGTACACTTCGGCTACTGTGTCATTAATGATCCATTTGTCAACTCGATTAATCTCGACTGGGACGGACTGATCCCCAATGACTTCGTAGACCTGGCATTTGACTTGTTCCAGAGTTGGCATAAATTCCGCCGGACAGGTCGGCTTGTACATCATGATGATGAGCCATTCATACCAAGGCTTTACCATGCGTACAATCGACCACCAAGCAAAATCAGGGTAGTCTGCGTCAGGCCGGATCACATAGTGCAGATTTCCGACGCGATTCTTCATCAAATGGGAAAGGTCAGCTCGAACAAGGACGTTGAGAGCTATGCCCTGGCTAGGCTGCACCGCCATGGGAAGACCAAGCTGTCGAACGATGGCACTTTTGGCTCCGTCGGCTCCAAACAGGTATTTAGTTCTGATGGTGTATAATTTGTCGAAAATCATGTCTCGGACGGTCACAACAATGACGCCGGCTGTCGAGTCATCGAATGAAACGAATTGTGTTCGAAATCGACAAGGAAAGCCGTGCTGTGAAGCATATCGAAGGAGGATAGGCTCTGTCAGTGTTTGAGGCAGCTCCAAGTGTGAGCATGGGCTACTCATTTGAAACTCGCCCTAAAGACTGCAATTAATAATTATGCTTTCTTTTCTGTAGTTGAAAAGATCGTACCCCTCGTTGTACATCTGATCCCCAGGACGTGATACGGCCAAACTCTCTTCCATTCATGGTCTCACACCAACGCGTGAGGCCCTTCTCTGGGCCCGAGTAGCCATTTCTCATGAATTCTTTCTCCATGTCGGGGTCGAGGTCACGGATACACTCTACATCGCGGTGAGTCGGCGCTTTTCGTCATGCAGAAGTAGACTCACCCATCCCAGGTTGGTTGATTATATGCGCGCGCGGGGTGTTCGCCGACGATGGAGCAGAGCTGATGATCAAACCTTTGAAGCCTGGAAATGTCGCATATACCATTTAGACATGCTTTCAGTCGTGAGTAAATAGTGATTGAACGCACCATATTTACCAAGGAAACTTCCCAAAGTCGCCCCAGCCGGGCCTGCTCCAACGATTAAAAAAGTCAACTCCAGGGAATCATCGCTACTCGTATTATCGCGCAAAGGAAGATTGCTTTGGGCCATTTTCAAAGGTCCAGATATCACCTGTGAGGAAGATTCAAGACGTTAAGGGAGAGTAACAATGGAACTGCTCTCTCGATCACCGCATGATTGTTCTTGTACATATATGCAGCCTTCCGATGGAAGGCATTGTAGCCTTCCGACGTAATGCATCCCTCTGTCATATGACTTTACCATTCAGTCAAATAAGTCTTATTCAAAATTCCGTTGTCACTGAGGTGGGGGAATCGGGTAGCTACAGAGCAAAAGTTCGTAGAACTTTAGGCAAATTTCATAAAGCCCTGGATTAACGGGGATCGGAAAATTCCGATCTTTCCGAAATTCATCACCTGCTACATCATAATTGAACTTTCATGAGTAACAGTTGTTAAATAGCTGTAGGTTTGCTTACGTTCAAATTAATCAGTGGTAATGGCGTCATTAATAATAGCTTGACAATCTATCAGGGGGGCACAGTGGGACGGGATCTTCACTTGCTACACATATATCATCCAGATCAACTACGCTTAACACTCCAGTCAGTCAATACCATTGTCAGGCAATTTTCGACCATTGTATAATTCTAGAAAATCATCATGGCGGACAAGCTTATTTCTTCGTTCGGGGCTCGACGCTCTGTGTATCAGCTCTCAGCTGAGACCGACCTCTCGATTGGCCGACTGGAAGAGATAGTTCGAAACGCTCTTTTAACGGTACCATCAGCCTTCAACACTCAAAGCACACGTATTGTTGTGCTTGTTGGCGATCATCACCGGAAACTCTGGGACATTGTCAAAGCAGCCGTTGCCCCGTTCGTGTCAGGGGACCAAGCCACCAGTACCAATGCCAAGATCAAGGGTTTTCAGGGAGCCTACGCGACAATTCTGTTCTTTGAAGACCCTGCGCCATATGAGCCACTGGGTGCTTTCAAGATGTATGCGGACAAATTTGAAGGCTGGCGTGAGCAGGCAAGCGGCATGCACCAGTTCCTTATTTGGTCGGCCCTTGCTCTGGAGGGAGTAGGAGGCAACCTGCAACATTACAACCCGCTTATTGATGACGAGGTTAAGAAGACTTGGTCTGTTAACTCAGACTGGAAGTTGTTGGCCCAGTTGGTTATCGGGAAGCCTGTCGGAGACGCACCTGCTGGGAAGGAGAAGAAGCCCGTTGAAGATCGATATGTCATTCACTCTTAGAACGACATGCTGGAAGCTGAACGGTATAGATATTATTGAATACTAGAAGCATCTGAAATAAAAGAATTTGGACATTTTTATGTTTCAACAGTTGTTCATTGAATTGTAAAAGCGATGCTACGATACAGGCTACGTGATATCCTAGCCGCTATTTCAACTTCGATAAATGAGAAGCCTAAAGGTCTACACAAGCCTGTTCTCCTAGCCATGCCCGCCGTATCATCTTCTGCATTGAATCTCTATTGAGCGGTCGAGGGTTCCAAAACGAGGCCTTCATCAGGTTATCCGTAGCCAGCTCAATACCCTCCTCCTTCATGCCCAGAGCCTTCAGGCTCGGTGGAACTCCCAACTTGGACAGTAATCTATTCAGTCCTTGAATGGCATCCCCTTCACTATTTGGGATAATTTCTGCAAGGTCCTTCATGACTTGCGGAATCTCAGGCGCTATGTAGGCGAGCGCATGAGGCAGGATAATGGCGTGGGTTTCGGCATGCGGTAAATTGAAAGTCCCGCCTAGAACATGACAAAGTTTATGATGGAGGGCGACGGTTGTCATTGCTAGACATTTACCACATAACCAAGCGCCGAGTAGAGCGTCTGAACGGAAGGCAATTGATTGAGAGTTGTCCACCACTCCAGGCAGCGAAGAGGCCAAGGATCGAATTCCCTCGAGGGCAAATAGGCGAACGATTGGGCTCGTATCTTTTGCATATAGAGCCTCGACTACTTTGGCGTCAATAAGTGCAAATTGACTTCTTTTAACTTCCACTTACCAGCATGCGCCATTGCATTAAGGCCACTTGTTGCACTCATGCCCGTGGGCAGACTTAAAGTGAGATTGACATCGTAGATGACTACCTTAGGAATCACTGCCCGGTCAACACGAGTCACCTTTTGGTTATTGTTGGTTTCACCCAAGATGGGTGTCATCTCGCTTCCAGCATATGTTGTTGCGACGCAGATGTGAGGCAAGCCAGTCCGAAGAGACAACGCTTTGCCCAGGCCAACCGTGCTTCCACCACCAATTGATAAGAGACAGTCCGCATTCGTAGTCTTCGTATATACCAGTGCCTCTTCTGTAACATCGGTTGGGGTGTGCATTGTGGCACGGGTGAAAGAACCCGCAACATGACCATTCAGTATCTTGGTAAGATCTTGAACGGCCGTGGCTTGCTGGGGAGTTGTCAACAGCAATGGCGCCTTACAGCCAAGCGCCGCAACCTCAGTGGGTAGCTTAGCGAGAACGCCTTTGCCAAACACGACTCTCTGGCTACTTTCATTGTATTCGAAGTTTCGCGGTTCAACGTCCATTTTTGCAACTGATAGCTGAATTATTGGGGATAGTGAGGCACTGCGTCAGTCAACACATGAGAATTGATACCAAGTAGTATGAATATGCTGTCATGCGCTGGATGTTTTGTGTCCTTGGACCTATTTCAGTTTTCGCAGCCGACCTCCAATGCCGAACCTGTTCACTAATCTAATCCCGGCTTGGCAAACAGTCCATTAAGTTCAGCGCTCGCCACCTTATGAAACGATTTGCAAGCAGGCGTATTTTTTTAGATTACATAAAGATAGATCAGCATTAGAAGCTGAAACAGCGGAGTTTGTTTTATCGGAAGCATTCCGAAAGCGTTCCGGAGTTGAAATCCGGCAAAGTTATATGGGACGCCCACTGACTACAGATCGTGTACTGCATCAAATTTAAGTATTATTGCCTTTTAATACTGGAGAAATGGAGTCCAGTCTAGAAGAATTGACCGCCGAAAACCTGACCCCCCATGTCGTCAAGGTATCAACGGAGAATGTCAAAGACGAGAGGCTTATTGAGTTGGTTACCGGCTTGATCCAGCACTTGCATGATTACGTTAAAGAAGTTAAGCTGAAGCCAACGGAATGGGAGGCGGCTGTCCAATATCTTACTCAAGTACGCAGATCCTTATACGGCACTGCCTTTGTTTATGGTACTGATATACAGGCTCAACCCAGGTTGGCCAAGACTCATCGCCTGATAGGCAGGAGATGATTCTGCTGTCTGATGTTCTTGGAGTGTCTGCACTGGTTGACACCATTAATTCTGCACAGGCAAAGGCCAGCTCGGCAACAGAGTCATCTGTCCTCGGACCCTTCCATTCTGAAGACACACATAACCTTGTTAATGGGCAATCCATTGGCTCCCCCGGTGTTATAGGAGAGCTTATGCTTATACACGGCACAGTGAGATCCGTCAGCGGTGCCCCAATTGAGGGTGTCGCCGTGGATGTTTGGGAGACGAACGGGAACGGGCTCTACGATATGCAAGACCCCAATCGCGACGGACCCAACTGCAGGGGCATATTCCAGACTGATAGCCAAGGTCGGTATTATCTAGTAGGCGTGAAGAGCGTCAACTACGACATCCCTACCGATGGGTCTGTCGGGGTTTTGCTTAACAAGTTGAAGCGGAATATTACGCGTCCCGCACATGTGGTATGTACGGCCACCACCAGCAGATCTAGCGAATTATTAACACTCCGCAGCATTTTCAGTTGAAACATCCCAAGTATCTCAATCTTACGACAGCGTTATATGCTAGCGACAGCGAACACATCGCTTCAGATCCAGTTTTTGGTGTAAAGAAATCCCTCGTCAAGAGCTTTGAGTGGAGTGACAACCCAGCTTCACTTATCAATGAGTTACACTTGCAGACAGCTCTCCAACAAATGAAATATGAGGAGGGTAAGGGGCTTTGGGTTTTACACCATGAGTTTGTCTTGTTAGAGAAATAGAAATCTTGTAACGGAAACCTATCAAGGTGTCAAAGACTGAATAGTCAGTCAGTCGAGGAGACACATTGTTATTTTAGTCTAAGGAAAAAATATTAAACAAAAAAAACTGTAAACCAACAGTAAAGACACCTATTCTTTCATTATTCAGTGATTGCGGAACGAAATTGCGTTTGAGAATCCATTGTCCGATTTTACGGCCTCATTAGGTGACCGCAACCTCAATATTTCAATGATACTTGAGGGAGAGGAACGTGCACCCAAGCTAACACATAAGATTGGGTGCGGCGGAGTGTATAGGGATCAAAGAGAGACATAGAAGTGAAATGGACCCAAGAGGCCTGATCGACTTGTGGGGAGGGCGGCTTAAGAATGTCAAGGCGCAAAGAGCATCTCTCAATGTCACATGCACTTATGTCTCCGTTACGGTAATGGCTGTGCCACCCTGAATGTTTTCTAATTTCGTTGCTGTCGATAGCTTTCAAGGAGTCGAGGTGAGTATCTGTGTTTATTTATTGTCATCGTTGAATACCGATTGAGAGATTTTGTGACGAAATCTAAGAACATATTGATAAACCACTGAGAAGTTGAGTTCCTGCCAAGGCCAGGATGTCAGACTACTTCTTGCTACCAGAACCATCATACATAGTGCTTCTCCCTCCCATGACTGCTATGAAAGAAGGCTCGTCGGACGCCATCTTTCCATACTCTTTCAAAGAATCAGGAACAACAAAATCGCGCCCTACGTCCTGAAGGCGGAGTATCATAACAACCAAGTGGGCGTCAAGCTCCGTCGGTTGCTGCTGACCAAAGAGCCATGGACCATCGCCAGGGTTTAGCAGCGTAGCGGCCTCTTCCAAGTACGCCTGGGCCTTGTCCAACTCCGCTTGTGTCTTCTCAGGTGTGAGAGCACTGACCTTGTCCCGACGCAGGCTATAATTATCACCGGGTTAATAATATGTCAATCGTGTTGGATAGTACTTGATTCTTACATTTCAAGCTTATACTCCAATGCCTCTCTGTACCTAGCACTTATGGACTTGTCCTCAAGGCGCTTCAACGCAACATCGGCAAACCCGGAAGCAAGCTGCGGACTGCCCTTGAAAGAGAGGGTGAAAAAATTCATCTCATGCATCTTGTGTACCATCTCGTGGATTTTAGCGGCATGCTTAGGGGGTAGAAGCCCCGGATATCTCGCCGCAATGTACTCGGAGATTGCAGTCGTTTGAGACATGGGGAAGTCGAAAGCAACATCGCTTCCGAGAACCGGAACCTATTTGAATCCCCAGTCAGCTTTGCCTTTTCTGGAATCCTAGTAGAAATATACTTGGCCATTTTTGTTGACGTCGCAGAGATACCATTCGCTGAATTGTTCTTCTTGAAAGATGTCGATCTCCTTCAAGCCGATATCCATGCGCGATGATTCGTCCTTGGGCTCACCGCGAATTTCAACCAACCATCGCATCATCAATGAGCAAATCGAGAAACGATTGTAATAAAGCGTGTACGGAACACCATTCTCAGATTTGTTTGCCATGTTGGGTTGCTTGGAAATTGGAGGTGGGTACGCAAAAGATTCTGAGCTGGCTTGATTGATTCTAGGCGACTTCTGGTAGTGTTGAGACTATCATTCAACTGCATGCGTTGGTGATTCACTTATATTTGCTCCTGCGCTTTGTGTGAACTTACAAGCATTCACTCCTATTCCAAGTGATTGTCGGAACTCTTCCGCACACGTTATACTAGAAATTATCTCCTTGAATCTGTAAGGGCTTCCAAGGTTGACTTATTCATCGAGCAACAAACGTATTACACGTCTACCCTAACGGATGCGCAATTATGCATAAGACTTATTAATATTGCTTTGTCGTCTCGCGAATAGTCCTTGCTCCTCTCATGCATGTTTCGGAATCGGAAGGTTCCAAAGCTTGCTTCCGTGCCCCTAATGGGAAAGTGACTGAAATATGACACATTAAATGACTTCACCGCAGCCCCGGCGCAGCTTTTCATTGGGCTGAGGCAATCATACCGGCCACCCTTGTAGATGCTACCTCAGTGATTGGGCTCATCAACCACTGTGTTGCAGGCATACCATAGGCTTCCGTTGCGGACATACCAGCCTGTGGAGACTTGTTCCCAAGACACAACAACGTCTCTCGGAAACAGTATGTATGTTTTTGAAGATTTTGAATATCATTTTGGTATGATTCGGAATGTAAATAATCGCATGGGTTCATTGGTGGCATATAATAGGCAAGAAGAAACACTTATTGTAGAATTGCATGAAGAAATACAATCTTTCCCACCCATTACTCGAAACTCCTTCCAAAGTCTAAATGCCTTGAGCACAATGGCTTCCTATAGCACTACCCTGCTCCCACTCGTATTATTGTCTTGTAGCCTTGTCTGGCTGCTACTTTGGATCTTTGTTCATCCTTTACGAAAGATCCCCGGTCCTTTTTGGGCTCGCAGGACTTCTTTGTGGAAGGTGTATCATGTTTACAGACGAGACTTGGCGTTTAGTATACAGAGGGCACACGAGAAGTATGGCCCTGTAATTCGAATTGGGCCCGGTCATGTCAATTTCCAAACTCGAGATGCCATCGACCCCATCTACAAAGCCGGGCGAGCTATGCCTAAAACAAAATTCTATGATGCGTTTACAGCACTACATCCCAATCTTTTCAGTACTCGTGACGAAGAGGTAAGGACTCTCGTTGGTTTAGATGCAACAGAGAGGATACTAATTAATGTCTAGTTTCACAAGATGCGAAGACGTCAGATGTCGCACAGTTTCTCTATGGCAACGCTACTCAAGTTCGAGGGTAGATTTGGAAAGCATTTACACCGCTTGTTCGCTAATCTCGAGCAGCAGCCAGAGGGACAAGTCTTTGATCTGAAACAGAGTGTCGCATGCTATGCATACGACGTTATAAGTGACCTAGCATTCGAAAAGGATCTCAACACCCAGAGCAACCCAGCGGCTAATGAGTTGCCGCCAATTCCTGACCATATCCTCATTGGCACAATGTATGGCATGGTATCGTCTCTCCTTCCTTATAGCATTCGAATTGGAAACAAACTACCCATTCCGAGTCTTCAAAAGCTGCTTCAGTCGCGAAAACTGCTTAGCCAGAAAGCTTCTGAGTACGTCAATACTGCTATTGAGAATCACAAGGCAGGAGAGAAAGAAACTCTGCTGGACAATCTTCTAGAGGCAAAAGATCCCTCAACAGGAGCACCATTGACGCCAGCAGAGGTTAGCTCAGAGGCCTTTGCCTTTTTGTACGTTTCAGAGACCACCAAGAACGAAAATGCCACTAATGGAAGAATACAGGGTTGCAGGAGCACATACCACATCTGCCACACTCGGCCTTCTATTTTATCACCTCCTCCATAACCGATACGCCGCCGAGAAACTCACGGAAGAACTCAACGCAAATGTGCCCCTATATAACGAAGGCGGTAAAGAAATTTCATATTCGGGACTCGAGAGCAAACTACCGTATACCATGGCATGCATCAAGGAGAGCTTCCGCATCACGCCGGTCTTTACAATGCCCTTACCCCGACTTGTTACAGACCCCAATGGCGTTGACATACACGGTTTCCATATTCCACAGGGGGTAGGCCATAATCAGAAAGTGAGATTCTACGAGATATACTGACGTACTGCAGACCACCGTTTCAATGATATCACAGGCTCTACATCATGACCCGCAATTCTGGGGCGGCGATCATGACCAGTATATTCCTGAAAGATGGCTTGAAGAAGCTATTTCGTTCAATGAGATAATGCCTTTTGGCATTGGACACCGAGCTTGCATTGGAAGAAACATTGCCAGCATCAATATTCTCAAAGTACTGTGTGCTCTTTGGCGCAACTTTGAGATTGTTCCAGTAAACAAATACGAAAAATTAGAGATCAATAGCCTAGGTGTTGATGAGAAGAAAGGGCCGCTCTTATGTACAGTACGAAAGCGACAGATGTAGAGTCATGGCCCATAGTTACAAGGCTACCTTATAATCATAAAAATACAAATTGAATAAGATAATTCTCATTAGGATATCAGATTAAAACATTCCTCATACTTGTAATTAAACATTTCATTCATCAATCCCATTAAAGACGGAATCAGGGCCAAACATTATGTCGAATGCCGAATAGATCTTGCTCGCTGAGGTGGATCCGTCAGCATTATTCTCACCGACAGGAAATTCAAGTGCCGTAACACTACTTGGTGACAAGCCAGCGAGCCCCTGCTCCCAATTACTCGTGTGTGTCTCCCATGTATCGGTAATGCTCATGGTTTCCGCGGTACCTGGGACCTCCTCAATGTTGCCGGGAGCGACGGGAGCCAAGAAACCCAGGAGATTCAAGCGCGAGGCAAGATCGCTGACACGGCTCCACAGATGTCTTGATTGTCGTGATATATCTGCTCGATTTCGCAGCAAATTGAGGCAAAGGATCGCGCTTTGCTGGGCCCTCAGGCACGTTTCCGGGTCTAACGGGCTCTGTGCAGCAATTGGGAATAAGGAGCCTTGCAACATGGCAAGGAACGAGATGCCCATCGACGAGACAAGAAAATAGTTCGACTCGGATTTAGTAGCCTGGAAAGCCGCTGGGGAGCCGTCAATGGTGGCCAAAATGCAGGTAGTGTCAGCAGCCACATCCATGCATACGGACCACAAGTTGGCTGGGACCATGCCGCGAAATTGTCTTTCGAAGAACATAAATCTCGTTACTACAAAGTGCAAGTTGTTGGCCCTTAATCGAAGGATTGCGTCAAGTTGGCTGTTCCACTGATCTGCCCTCTTGCTTGTGGATTTGAACTGGAATTGGGTTCCGATCGCTTTCCGCCATTCGCTAAGGCGATACTGAAAGTATGTATATGCATCTTGGCAGTCTCCGGACATCACTTGGGTGTTTGATTCATCACAAGACAATGTTTCACATGCTTTTGCACCAATCCGAGCGTAGTGAATCATTGCTTCCAAATACGGAGCGTTGACCTAAAGGGCAACATGTCAGCGAAGCCAATTGCTCTTGGGTGGTGAGGAAGGCTACCGGTTTTGGAAGAGTTGGGTCCATGAAAAAGTCTTGCATGGTCGTAGAGAGTCCCAGGGCGTACCTCAGCTGTTGCTCAAGTACAAAGACAGTCCACATTGTGTTAAGTGCCTGGGTATGTGCCTTTTCATCGGGAAAGGACCGATCCAGAACGATTCTTCGATTCAATCCCAGCTCCAGGATAATTCGTACAACGTTCCTTATGAAACGCCAGGCTTTACGCCACTTATGGGAGTAATAGTAATATAGACTCTAGATGAATATGTTAGTTGAAGTTAGAATTGGTGCTATTGAAAAAATTGGTGGTCACGTACCACGAGTACCAAAAGTGCTAACCCTTGAAGATCAACTCTCGTATTCCACACCATGTACTGAACATCTGGTAACACATGATCGTGGAGGGTCTGCATCAGTTCTGAGGAAGCCTCGTTCTCATCAGTCAGAGCAATAGCGACCATCATCTCGACGATGCCTATCTGGCTTCGATTCCACTGAGGAAGGCTCTCTGTATTTGTCTTATCAGCGGCCCACACATTTTCGACCAATTGCTCTGGATGCGTCGCATCTATCACTGGATACAACATCCCGGCTATATCTTGATATTTTTGTATCAGACGAATGATTTCCGTTCTTTTAAGGGTTTCGAGCGCGTATTTGGGAGCTTTGGGAGACGCATTATCCGCAATTGGACTCCATGAGTTGATGTCGGCATCTTCGCCATCCCACGCCTCGATATCCGTTGCCCCTCCATCCAAAATCTGGTCGTGTAAAATTGAAAAGGAGGAAGAAGAGCCGGCCTTGGTCCCATCTCGTATCTGGGCGTTTTCGGTGCAAATCTCCAAGGCCCTTAGTTTCACATCGATTACATGCAAACAGAAAAAGGCACTCGTCGCACTTTGGATTAATGGAAGCGGGGCTTCGCAGCATGAGAATAAGTTTCTTGACGGTCTGGAGAGGCTATTTTGGAAGCGATATGGTTGATGTATATTGGAGATGTGCTTGAGTAATGCATCGAGCTTGGTGTTCTGTTGCTGTAGTAGAATCTTGAGGCTCTGTTCTTCGGTCGAATCAATGGTGCTAAGTTTATTAGTGGAGGACATTAGTATATGGGATAATCACGATATACTTTGACCGCTGCTGAGGTTGAGTGGTTGGTTCCCGGGGGGATTGTTGAGACCTGTAAGAGCAGGACTCAGGATCCCTCGGAATGCAGTAAGAGCATGGCGATTTCCCGTTGCAATGAACTTTAGCGGTCCTACAGCGATTGCAGGCATTCGGGACGTATCGATCGCGTTTCCGGGCCGTAGAAATCTTGGGCATATTGGCAGATAGAGTTTTAGTAGGTAGTTAGAATGGTGATGGTTTTGCCATTAACTACCCACAGGAGAGAATTAAAGAGGCTAACAAAAGTAAGGTTCAAGGACGGAAATCAGCCTTTGAGATCGGAATCGCTCTCACTCTCGCTTTTTGTACTGCGTCCGATGTACCGACATATGCGGGGGATCGCCAAAGCTAAGGAGGTAACTGACGCTGGTGGGAAATGCTACTGTAACCTTGCGCTTATAAAGCGGTTACTAAGTGGCACAGGCCTGGAAGCGGAAGAGAGGATGTAAGTTTCATCCGCTTTGTGTTGCATAAATAAAGCAATGTTAACAATAAAATGAAAACCTCCTTTATCGAAAGAAAGTTAGAAGTGCATATTGTTAACATTGAGTATTTAGCTATAAGGTTATAATTGATTAATTGTTAGAAATGAAGTATCAGAAGCTAGGTACATGTATATAAGTTTACGTTCTTACACTCATTTAGACAACTTAGCCACTTTGTCATCGTAGCAATTAGATTGGATCAGCTGCCATTCTACTAGTTAGCAATAAGAATGCCCGTTTGCCAACCAGGCCCGACCTGACCGACCGTTATTAAAAGCCTAGGTACTGGATTGTCCCCTGAGAACAACTCCCCGTGCTCGTAGTACCAACTTGAAGGTAAGAGTGGTTCGGTGTATGTGCAAAGTCCTTACTATTGGTAAATGTTTTTTTTTTCAAAGTTAGGTACCCATTTGGACATTCTGATGACATCTAAAGCAACGCACGTTTGAATTGACTCGACAAGCACATAAGACTCTAGCTTGTCTGACCGCTATAAAGACCATAACGCGAGAACAAGTCAAGGAGCCAATTGATCTCGCTGCCATAGCCTCGTTCCACCAGGAATGAAGTCACTGTTTCGGCTGAGGGTCACTTTCAACCAGGTAGATAACTCGCCTTGTTTTCTTTATCTAGACATGAGGAAACCGTTTCTCTTCTCTACCTTAATAAGGAGCAGACCCGGCTTAGTCACTAATCCTTGCCACAGACATATTAATTGATCACGGGGGCCGGTTAATCTCTCCTTCAAAACATATCCCAACCGACATACCTATGAAAAGCCTAGGAGTGGATTTAAACCATCAAGGAGTAATTACTCCCATTGTGGTTTTAGCAACTTTTTTTTGGCGAATGAGGTTTGATGCAGATAATGATTGTTTTCTCATCTTCTTTCTTTCTGCTCTCATCAATATTCTCTTTCTCTCCATTTTCCCATGGTCGTCCTTCCCTTTCGCTCTAGTTAATATAATTTTGTTTAAACCAAAAAAGGACCCCTTTTTCACAATATATTTATAGTTTCATTCAATCCCGTCCATCTACTCCGTAGACTCATGCGCGTGAAAAACGCCGTCTATATTTTCCGCAGTGGGTCAGACACCAGGCTATTTCTCACTTGTGTACTCGTAAACGTCCCGACAACACTATGGAGTTACTTGTGGGATATACTACTCCGTACGCATATTATTAATATATCCCTGCTCTGAGACAGATATCACACGAAATCCTCCCTAGCTAGACGCCAAAATGTCGGTCTAAGCTCAGCTTAGAGCATGACAGATCATTGATGACTGGCAAACTTGATCCATATCTTCTCCACCTTTAAATTGAAGATGGCACATATCTTGGACCTCTACAATCGGTAGCTTCAAGCACAAAACCTAGCGTCCCGTCAATATCTATCCGCTTCGTATGATCCATTGGGCGATGAACCAGGCCTGTGCCGAATAGACGTTCGCAGCCGTTGCATTATATTGGATGCTAGCCCGCGCTGGATAGAGGCAGCATCTCCCTATTGACGACGACTTTTTCCCGCCTTTGCCGTCTCTCTTATTCGCGACCTCTCTTATTGAGTCGTTCATACATATAGGGTCACGAACAACAATGCCTCAACACAACCCGAAGCAGAAGAGACCTAAGGCCGAGTACGATTTGATGCTCGTCAAGAGACGAAGATTTCGTCCGGCAAAGGCTTGCTACCCATGCAGGCGGCGCAAAGTCAAATGCAATCTCAGTCGGCCCTGCGAGAGCTGCAACATCCGTGGACACCCGTATCTGTGCGATTATACCACGCCTCTGCAAGCAAATGCCCCAGATAAAGCCAGCAATGCCTCGGGGGCAAGCAAATTGCATCTCGCAAGCGATCACGAAGAGGCGGTCACCACTCCAGCGGTGGACGCCTCCATAGGCCTTTACGTGGACCCCGTTGCGCCGTATGACACAAAATTGCACCTGGGTCCGGATTCACTTCCCAGCCTTTTGGCAAAATATGAGAGGCTCAACTCTCACCAACAGCACCAGGAACGGAATTCCTGGCAGGGAGTTGCCTTCAAGCCGCCAACGAACCCGCAAACCATCTTCGAATTGCTTTGCCTACAAGATTCTAGTACTGTGTCGCCATTCACCAATCTATGGAAGCCTGAAGACGGCCCCGAAGTCGTTTATAATGCGCTTCCAGAGGATGAATCTTTGAGAGGGTGAGCCTCAAAAGTACATGGCCTTTCTGAATGAACGATTTAAATTAACGATGAAAAGCTATGTTCGCTTCTTCCAAAATTCACTCTTACGTATTTTGCCATTCGCCATTGACTTCACTCAATTCGAAACTGCCCTTGCCGAGTTCCTTGAAAAGCGCTCAAAGCATCCCGCAGAAGCTCTTCAGAATCCTCCATCTGCTTGTACACTGACTTGGTTTGGACTCTTATTCGGCATTCTTGCATGCGGCGCACAACTTGGGTCTGATCAGGAATCTGAGTTGATCAAGGCTCGTGTTTTTGGTGAGAGTCCCGCAACCATCTTCTGTCCTTGATATGCCGTCGACATCAAGCTGACATTCGATTCGTGTAGCATGTTGTGCGTTCCAGTGCTTAAGGATGAGCAATTTTCTTTCTTTTCCTGATATCTACACCATTCAGGCTCTCATAATGCTTGCCAATTTTTTGCAGAATCAGGCCAATGCTGGAGCCTCTTGGTCAATTTTGGGTAAATACTAGAGCCAATCGCCAATGCTAACCATGCCTTTGACCGGATCAAACCTCAAACCTGGTGCTGAATAAAGTATTCATAGGTCTTACTATACGGCTCGCACAGACACTAGGGCTACACTGGTCTCCAGAACCGGATACCGTGGATGCGGATCAACAGGACGAGGCTACGGTTAAATATTACATCTGGTACAGAAGTGAACTCTGCTTATTTCTACGGAAATTGATGCTAACATGAGCATCAATAACTAGGCGATCACTGATATGGCAGGACACACTGGTCTCGTTATGTTACGGAAGACCGTCCTGTATCACTGTCATGGACGAAATCCCATCCGAATTGCCGTCATCATCATTGACACCGCCTCAGACGTGCTCTTTCATAGCTAGTTGCAATCACCTATTCACAATTGCAAACAAAATCTGTCAAGCGCTCAACAAGGCAGGATTCTCCAGGGAGCCATTATCAACGAGTGAAATACAAAACTTCAAAAACATAATTGACCGTATCACCAAGCAGTCAACTCCTCATCTTCAAGATGTCACAAAGTGTCAGAATCGCGACGAATGTATCCAGAATAACTTCTTCCGGGAGTTTGTGGACTCTGTCATGCTCTGTCTTTACCGTCCGGCGTTGCTCTCCCATGGCGACGCATACAACAAAGAACTTTGGACTCCGTATTTGCAGCGCTGTCGTTCTGTTCTTCACACTTATCTTGAGCTGCTCAAACTTGACTGCCCTATCAGGCGGTCGTGGGTTTTTGTTCATGTCACACTCAGTTGCGCCTTGACCCTTGGAATTGCTGCTAGTTCACAAAATGACATTTCCGATAAACTCTTTCTGAAAGGGTTCCTAGATACGTTTTCGAAAGCAAATATTTTTGCCAACGTGTCATCCTACCAAGAAGCGCTACGGTTACTTCGACAGTCAATGAGTACATATGATTAATCCACAAAGACATCAAAGAACTCATAATGAGCTTACTGATTCAGCACTGAGAAGAAGAAGCATTTGGACTTGGACGTCGTCTAATTGCTACCTGCTGTCTCCGCTTGTTGCTGGAGGTATTTTGGCACGCTTTCGCCAGCTCGCCACTTGTACTGGCTTCCTGGATGGTCCTCCGGTAGTCTCTTAGATCCGATGAACACTTCTCTGGCCGTTGCACCTTCTTTCTCGACGCCACTTCGGAAAACTCCTCGTCGCCGTAACTCTGGAAGAAGATACTCAATGATGTCCTCAAAACTACCCGGGTTTGTGACGTGAGCCAGGTTGAAGCCGTCTACTCCAGACACTTCGATCCACCTCTCCAGCTCATCAGCTACTGTTGTTGGACTACCTACAACCTTTGCCCCAAGGCCGCCAATGCTGAGATATTCTACAATTCTTCTCTTGGTCCATGGGAGATTGTCGGTCCCTGGGACGGTGTCCGACCATCTCCGGACTATTGACTGCAACCTAGGTGAATCGGTGAAGCGGAAATCTTCGTCATCTGAATAGCCAGAGAGATCAACTCCAGTCCACCCTCCAAAAAGTGCCAAAGCTCCTTCTTGGTCAGCGTATTCAAGATAGCTCTCCTTCTTGGCCTGAGCTTCCTTGTCTGTTGCAGCAACAATAACATTAATTCCCACAATCACTTTAATGTGGCTCGGATCCCTCCCTTCCTTTTCCGCTACATCACGAATGTTATCCACTGTCTTCTTAACACCTTCAGTTGTCTGGCCGCCGACAAAGATGGCTTCTCCGTGCTTTCCTCCGAAGCCGTTGCCCGCCTCGGATACTCCAGCTTGGAAAAGAAATGGAGTGCGCTGCGGAGAAGGCTCACAGAAGTGAGGACCGGGCACCTCAAAGTACTTGCCCTTGTGGTGAATTTGGAGAACGCCGTCACTGGCAATGTAGTGTCCATGCTCGCGATCTCGAACCACAGCGTCATCTCGGAAACTTCCCTCCCACAATTTATACAAGACTTCCATATACTCATGTGCAATGGCATATCTTTCGTCGTGGGGAATTTGTTCTTTCAGACCGTGATTGCGAGCTGCACTGTCGAGGTATGACGTGACGATATTCCACGCAACGCGGCCCTCGCTGAGATGATCCACTGTAGATAGACGCCGAGCAAGCGCATAAGGCTTCTCATATGTCAAGCTAGCAGTGACTCCGAAAATGAGATTCTTGGTCACAGCTGCCATTGCAGGAACCAAATATAGAGGGTCATTGACTGGAAACTGGGCGCCAGATGCTAGAGCTGGCACGACATTCGAAGGGCCCTTGTATACGTCGTAGGGTCCCAGCGTGTCAGCGATAAACATGGCATGAAACTCTGCTTTGTCGAGGAGCTGCGCTAATTCTGTCCAAAAGGAGAGCTTTGTGTATTGGTCGGTCTTGTTTCGTGGATGTCGCCAGAACCCGGGGGCGAGATGACCCGGAGTGTTCATGACAAAGGCATTCAAGATCATTTGCTTTTTGCCTTGGGCATGCCCGTCGGCAGCGGCGCCAGCAGTAGTTGGTATGCTGTCTCCCATTGCTAATTGAGTGATGTTGTACAGTAAAAGTTCATGAAAAGGTCAAAAGACTTGTTGTGGGATATGCACTCAGTAGCAGTGCCGCCGCAGCATGTACGAGGGATATGCTTATTTGGGTTATAAAGGCTTTTATATAAACACCGGAAATAACGCTTCATGTACCTTGACACATTATCAGAAGAATTAAAATTATCCTATTGGCTCTATTAAAACATCCTGGATCCCATGGTTATTACAACATCATAGCTTCTTTCAGCTAAAGTTGCGCGAAAGGCAAGGCTGATGTTCCCCATAAAGTCGTCACACTATGCGCAGAGCACGCAATACACACCATGATCTCACATCAACGGCCGATCTCGCATACATACGGCTATCAGCACCCAGTAAAAGATCGAATTGCAATCAACTATCAATTTTCATTTCATTTAGCCGGATACCGTCACTAATTTTCGATTGCTGCTCGCCAGTTGTGCGGCATGATTCCAGGTCCGTTTGTCGGCCTTCCAGAGGGCCCTATCTCGCTTTACCTCAACACCACGGGGCTTTGGGGTAAGCATTTGGACACGCAGCTGAGCGAGCAATTGCCGAGCCGTTTAACAGTTTGAGGGGACGAAATAACGTCATTACTTCCTAATGCAACGTGCTGAACTTATGGGTCCTTAGTTCCCAAGGTTTCCCGACTTCTGGGAGAACGGAGATCGTCCGAGATGGGCTGCATGAAGATAAGAAGTCGATAACGGTCAATGCATGATGATTTAAAAGAACATGCCTCTGCGCTTGGTTCTCCGGGCCAGCTGTTGGGAGTTCATATCAAGGCGGCTTATAGCTCAGAAAAACATCTTGTCGCTGCACTTCGACGAGTCAACTTCCTCAGGCAGACAAACTCTTTCAACTGGCATTCATCATGTCGGTGCAGCTTGGAGTCTCTGGGGTGCCCGTTATCCCCCAGGGGACGGCATATGGCCTCCTCATTGGGCTTGGAGTGGCCTTTTGCGGTGTCATTCTAGTTGCTATCAAAGTGCAAAGGGCCTATTTATCCGAAGATTCATCAACATCAGAGATGTTCATGGTCGCCAATCGATCAGTTGGGAGGGGTTTAACGGCGTCGGCGGTGTTTTCATCGTGGATGTGGATTAACGAAACAGTGTTTTCAGCTGCCTTTTGTTACAAATTTGGACTGGCTGTTCCTTTTGTAAGTCGTTGTATTGTGTCAATAAGCTTGATACAAAAGGCTGACATGTGAAAATTACAGTGGTGGGCTACGGGATTGTGTTTCCAGATTGCCTTGATGGCAGCCCTTGGTGTATTGGCCAAGATTCGAGTTCCGTATGCTCACACGTCATTGGAGATTATCCGCATGCGCTATGGCAAAATCGGACATATCGTGTTTATTATTTTGAACATCACAAATAATGTCTTTGGGTGCGCATCCATGATCTTGACAGGATCACAACTCATATACGGCGTCTCCGGTATGCACTTTGTTGCAGCTACCATTCTTATACCCCTTGGAGGTAAGTGCTGTCTAAAGTGCCCTATATCGTTCACCGAGGGTAATGATAATAACAATCCTGAATAGTGGTTCTGTATACAGCAGTGGGTGGTCTGAAGGCCACCTTCTTGACGGACTACCTTCACACGGCTATTGCCTTGATTCTCATCATCTATTTTACCCTGACTACTCTGACTCACGAAGCTGTCGGGGGTCTTGGAGGTTTATATGACAAAGTTATGGCAACAGCCTCTGAAAATATTATTGCGAGGAATTATGAAGGATCCTTGCTTACAATGAAATCCCAAGACGCAATCATTTGGGGTCTGATCTTGAAATTCGGAAACCTCGCTCTCGTGGTCATGGTAAGAGATACAGTTCCGCGTCGTCATAGTTCACATGGCTAATGTTTCGCTCTCCTCCCAATAGGACACTGCATTTTGGCAAAAGTCATTTGCTACTGAAGTCAAGGCTACTGTGCCAGGATATAATATCGCGGCAGTCGCTATATTCGGCATTCCTTGGGGCCTTGGCACTGTCATCGGTCTCACTGCAAGGGCCATCCACAACACACCCATATTCCCGACTTACCCCGGCGAGTTCTCTCCGAGCCTGGTAAATGCAGGGTTGGTGATGCCGTACACTATCAAGGCTCTTATCGGTGACAAGGGCATTATTGCCTTTTTTGTTCTCCTGTTCATGGCTCTGACTAGCACTGTCTCTTCTTCGATGATTGCTGTCAGCAGCATTTTATCATTTGATCTGTATAAAACATACATCGACCCAAAGGCGTCAGATAAGAGACTTATGAAAGTCAGCCATCTTGCTGTCGTTTTTCACACCATCTTCATCACTGGTATCTCGCTGGCGCTTAACTACGGAGGCGCTGACATGACATGGATCGGCTATTTCAGGCCTATCCTCTCTTGCCCGGGTATTATTCCTCTGGGCTTGACCCTTGCCTGGTCAAAGCAGACCCGACTAGCAGCAATTGCTTCGCCTATCCTAGGATTTCTCACAGGCCTCAGCGTCTGGCTAGCCACTGCCAAGTCACTTTATGGCACTATCAATATTGCAACCACAGAAGCGAGTTTCCCAGCCCTCTACGGAGCCATTGCTTCGTTTTTCTCTCCTGCTCTTTACTCAGTCGTCATTTCTCTCTACAAACCAGACTCGTTTGACTGGCGACGGTTTCTGCTCATCGAGTTGGCGGAAGCGCCAAAGGGCGATGACAGCGAAATATCGTCTCCACCAAGTGATGATGAGAAGGAGACCAAAACGAATATCGGACTCGATGGCTCTCAGAATAATGGCATTGTGGTTTCTGAATCGCCAAGCGAGAATATTTCCGTAACTGTTTCCTCCGACCCCGAAAAAGCAAAGACCGTCAACGTAGGGGAAAAGAGCACGCTGAGCATCTCCACGGAAAGGGAGATTGGCAACATCGACCTCGATAATGTGCGACACCCTTTTAGTGAAGAGACATTGCAAGAGCTTCGCCGATGGTATCGCATTGCTTGGATCTTCTTTGTTGCGATTGTCCTCATCACCTTTATCGCCTGGCCAATGCCCCTGTACCGCAACTACATCTTTACCAAGTCTTTCTTTTCAGGCTGGACCACCGTCGCCATAATCTGGCAGTTCTTTGCTTTCTTTGCGGTAGTTTTATACCCTTTGTATGACGGAAGGCACGCAATTGTCAAAGCGTCTCGAGGTGTTTGGAGAGCAGTTAGCGGAAAGTTCAACAAGACATGAGCGGATGGCCGGCAATTAAATACTTGATAGATTGGCCGGGAATGGCCTCTTCGAAATAGAATTGATACTAGTGCTTACCTTGCCAGGATCTATTCATGGACCAGTAATCGATATGAATGTTACGGTTGCTGTCAAGGTGCCACTTGCATACAGTTATTTTAAACGCCGTACGGATACGGCAGGTAGATCAATCGCTTAGGTGGGGCTTCGGTGATTTAGAATCCCGTTGAATTTAATAGTTTGCCGTAAGCAGTTGATTTAATCACTCGGCGATTGATTCTTAAGGAATATTGCGGACCCTGGATGATAGCATAATCATGATGCTGGGGTCCATGGCCACTTACTACAACTTGGTTTCCCATGACTGGTTGTAGTGAGAAACCCAGAATAGGACTCATTGTTCAAGTGGTTTAAGCCCATGTCCCTCCAGCTTCTACGGAGTTGACAACTACCTACGAGTACGTCTTATTGATTATGGCACCCAAAAAAGGGGGTAAATTAGATGTGAAGGGCAATTGTACATGTATGTTCATGTTTATTCAACTATGTTCATAAGTCGATGAAGTATGTATATACAGCGAGAAAAATATATAGAGAATTCAAATAAACATCATCGCCCATCAGTCATACGGACCTGCTTGTCTACTTGAAGATAGACATTTAGCACTGGCCGTTCTCGTTGCAGAAGTGCCTAAAGCATATTAGTTATGTCTCTTTATATACGAGTAGACAGTACTTACCACTCAATGTTGACAGTTCCGAAAGGAGCCCAGTTGGTGAGCTGGTTCCAAGCTCCGTGAGACAGATCAATGCTGTCAGCAGACGGGCATCCAGGGCAGGTATCCTTGACAGTGGCAACGATAGTTCGGCCCTTGCCGCCAACACCGTCGTTGCTACCAGTGTTCTGGATGAAGACCTTGCGACCGCAGTACTTGGGAGGCCAGCCGTTGCCCTGCCAGCTGGGGGTAAGGGCAACAATCAACTCGTCGTCACCATGCTTCTCGCCACAAGATCCGGCAGCACCGCCCTGGTCGTAGACGGTACCGGTACCCCAGTGCCTAGGAATTTGATGTGAGTAAAGTCTCTGAGAAACTTGGCCAAGCAATCTCGATCATAAGTAGGAAGGCATACTCAGTTCGCTTGGCTTCAGGAGCAGATCGAACACGGGACGGAGGCTCGGGGAGAGCGCTGACGAGGCTGGCGGCAGCGGCCAGAATAACAACGGCGGTCTTGGCGAACATTTTGAAAGGTTGGTATTTGGTCTCGGAACTGAAGTTCGAAGGAATAGAGAAGCTGAGTTGTCAGGAGCTGTGATGAGATGCTGTGCTGGATGATTGAGACAGAAAGGGCGGATGTGGCCAAGGCTTTATATACCCATTGCTCGTATTGTTCCCTGGAACCTTTTACCAACTCGTCCGTGTATTCATCGTCGTCGGATGCCCTTCGGCTATCGCCAACCCAGGGATCCAGAGTTTCGCGAATAGCTCAAGCCGGCGAGCCCGACACACGGTTCCAGCATCATCATGCTCTCGGTGTAAGACGTACAATTTTTCCGCTAATGCGTTTCTCATGGATTTACACGCGGGAGCTAGGCAGGGCGAGCAGCCGTGCCCATGTAAGCATAATAGGCCAACTTTAGCCCCAAGTAGAAGCTAGTCAGTAAGGCGATGGTGTTTCGGGAAGGTAGAAAAATAACTGGGTAAGACTACGAGTTGTTTTCTGTAAGGCGCAGGTTGCTGCGTAAGTCGATCAGGCAGAAGCAATTAATCTAGACCACGGCCCCCTTGACTCAAGTATGCTCATATGGTAAGCGTTTGCCTGCATTCATATTGCTTTTGCAGGGGGCACGTGGTCCTATGAACCATCGATCGTGAATCTTATGGGCGCTCATGGGTTGTAGGACGAAGCTTACTGGTGGATTTTTCTGGCTTGTAACGGGTGCTTTAAAGTTCCTATTCGAGTCTGCCAAGAGAGAGAGGCTGACAGGTAGTATCTGCAATTAAATTAGTCTTCACGTCGCACCCCAATAAAACACAGGTACACATATTAAAATGCATAACTCTATTGTACGTAAATATAAGTCTAAAATGCGATAGTCTACCCTATTGTGCACTACTGTGTACCTGCAGGAGGAGTAAGCACATACGTTTTCTTACTTTCTGGTCAGTAGAGAATGCCCTTGGCAAGAATAAAGCCGCCTATGGATGTTATGGGAGATGGCCTGATTGTAGGCGACTGCCTTGTCGGGACAACACCAAATTCTACTTGCAGAAACAGCAAAGAGGCCTCGCCGGTTCTTCATGAGCCCGACATTCATTGCACGACGCAGTAACCTCTTTGCCATTCCTTTTTGCCATTCAAGAGGCTTCGTGTTCGCTAATTCTTTTCTCGTGTTTGAATGGTTCAATTACGCTTTGCGCCAATACGAAAACTCAACTCAATAACCCCGAGGCCTGTGCCATTATGAGTGCAAGGGCGCAGCCATAAAGCGGTGGGATATCGTCCTTCCTATCTAGTATCACTTGATGCTAACGAGAAAACATGAGATAGTTAATCATCTATTCAAAAATAGTAAGGCCAAAAAAATAGAGTATCATTTTGTATTTGAGCCTCAAGCGCTTACGGGCAAGCCCGGCGATCCGAGACGTCCCATTACGGTGTGGATTGTCTGATCAGACATGGCAGTCAAGAAGCTAGATGTCTGTATGCAGTCAATATGCAGTGGGTCAACACCCTCTGCACCCTCGAAACTGGATGCATCGTACGAAAGACGAACGTGGTGCCAGGACTCCGGAGGGTTCCAAATTCCGAGCTCCCATTTTATGAATGGGTCAAATACAAGCATACCATCACCTCAGGGCAACTTCTTGTAGCATGTCAATTTCCCATCACAGTCTCAATATTCGAAACGCCGAATTACGTGGTCTTTTTTCGCTATCAGATATCGAAAAGATCCATGGATCACAGACTCCCCTGAGCTCTCTGGTTGACGAGTATTCCGCGTTAACCATTACCCCAGCTAGTGCAACCAGTCCCATGTGGCAGTGCTTCAGGGGTGTCGTACTCTCCATCTTGCTTGTTCGGGTTCCATATGTCAACATTACGGCAGCATCCGAACCAACTCCCGCAGAGAAATGCCAGCCAAACGGGAACACGGGCCATGTTTTTCGCCTAACTCCGCAGACTGGAGGTCTCGCGCTATCAGTTTGATGCCCTCGCGTCTTTTTACTTGGAGTACACAGATACCCATAGTCAACTTCATGTTCTCTCTGCTGTAGCTGCTGTAAAAGGAAGATACTGGGGACTTATAATTTGGCCGTCAACTGCTTTATGCGATGCTCGCTATTCTTAGTAACGGGAGTAGTTTAGGCAATTCCTGCGGGAGCTGAAGTTCCGGCAATCCGGGTGTGAAACTTTCCAAGACCGGGGCATAATTCTGTCGATCCGGCAGTGGTCTCGATGATCACGGTTCGTCCAACAATTTCTACAAGCGCTGATGATCATCCTTAAGATGGAAAAATTGAACATGATGCAATTGCCGGCTCGGATATTTAATGAGGAGTTTAAAGACGCTCAGAATTTAGGAATTACTTTTGAATGAATCTCACGTTTTCGTCATGGCTCACTGCAGAGCTGTGTGGCCTTGCACGCATGAGACAATATGGTAGCACGGGCACGGATACCCTAGAGCGGGCGGTTGAAGAGGTGAAATGGAGGATACGGGAATTCGTAGACACTGTGCAAAATACTTGTACATCTGTAAGAGAAAAGAAAAGGTCATGGTTTGTACATACTATCGTAATCAACATACCCAACCATTCGTGATTCCCTCAAGCCGGCTTAGACAGAGCGATTTTGATTGTTTGAGTAATAGATACCAAGTTTTGGGCTGCCTGACTTTTAATGACCTTGATGTCCACACTAGCAACTAAAAGTACCTAAGTAGTTTATACGCTACCTGTACTAAGATGGCTAAGTTCAGCGTCTATCGGTCCAATTGGAAAAGAGTTGATTTGTTATCTGCACGTGAAATGTCAATCTTGAAGTACTCGTACCTTCTACAGAACGGACTCAACTCAACAGATGGATGGGATAACAAGAATAACCGTCATTGGTGCGGAATAAATAAATTAAAAAAAATATATTAATTTTTAAGGCACATTCGGAATTGACAACTGGATACCACTAATTGCTACTATGATTAAAGTACACGTAGTTGACGCTCAGTGACTGCATCTTCGTCTCCTCAGCCAATCGCTTCTTCCGACACCGGCCTCGCAAAAGTCTGCCGACGGAAGCCGGTCACGGGACCGGAGTTTCTCCACAGATCGTTGCCAGATGCTTTTGAATGAGGCATCAGTCATTGAGCTTGCACCGACATCAAGCGGCTTCGATTTCCCATAAGGTTCTGGCCATTTCAGCATCTCGCGGTCCGACTCTCGCCAGTAATTCAAAACATCCTCTCTAGCGGATTTTCGCTCTCAAGCACAGCCATGGCAGCGTCGCTGAAGAACAGCAAGTTGGCCTTCATTGGCGGGGGCAACATGGCCTCTGCCATCATTGGAGGGCTGGCCAACCAGGGCATCGACAAGCAAAACATCATTGTCTCCGAGCCTTGGGATGTCAACAGAGAGAAGATTGCGGCTACCGGTGTGCGGACAACTACCTCCAACGTCGAGGCTGGCCAGGATGCGGATCTCATCATCATTGCCGTGAAGCCTCAGGTGACTAAGACCGTCTGCCAGGAGCTGGGCGCATCTTGGGCTCACCGTGCTACCTTGCCTATTGTTGTAAGCATTGCTGCTGGAATCACCCTTGACAGCTTGCGGGAATGGACCAAGACGAGCGAGGGCAAGACGGCGCCAATTGTTCGTGTCATGCCGAACACACCCGCGCTTGTTGGAGAGGGCGCATCGGGACTCTATGCAAGCGAGGACGTCAAGCAGAATGAGAAGCAGCTTGTCGATGCTCTTCTGGGAAGTGTCAGCAAGGCTACTGAGTGGGTGGACAAGGAAGAGTTGCTCGATGTCGTGACCGGATTGTCTGGTAAGTTGTGCTATATACTTCTACAACCATGTAAACGCTTCTACAAGGAGTTTAGCCTGACATGTGCGCTAGGATCCGGCCCTGCATACTTCTTCGCCATGGTTGAACACCTTATTGCTAGCGCAACTGCTTTGGGTCTTCCGAAAGAGCAGGCCACTAGGCTGGCGAAGCAGACGTGTCTGGGAGCTGGCCAGATGCTTGTCACATCCTCAGACGAGCCAGCTCAGCTACGCAAGAACGTCACCAGCCCCAATGGAACGACCTACGCTGCTCTACAAACATTTGAATCATTGAAGTTCGACCAAATCGTTGACAAGGCTGTCAAAGCTGCCACTTCCAGAGCTGCGGAATTGGGTAAATCATAGAAGGGGAATTGTGTGAGAATAAAAGTATTTTGCCAGTTTCACTTTTCTTTTCAAGTCTTTATGCCAGAAGAAAATGACAAGTAGAGGTAAATAAGACTCATTGATACCGTGTTGCTAAAAGGGAAATAAAATAATGAACTGGGATATCTCCTCTATCCCATCACCATCACTTGAGTTCTCTGTGGGACCCCTTTTCGGCCTTGTCCTCTTCACCTGAGTTCTGCGTGGAAACAGGGCAACCAACAACACCGTCAAATTCCGCCACGATCAAATCTTGCTGCACTCGTGTGTCAGAAATAAAGGATCGATGGAAAGTAGGGGGTAGGGCGTATGACTTACAGGGCCCAAAAAGTTCTTTCCAAAGAAAATCCAATAAACCCCAACGACCATGGCAAAAATGCCGATGACAACGCATACATAGTCTACACAACCTCATTAGTGACTTGCAGTTCCATGTTGAATATACCAATACTTACTCATGTTGTCTCCAGTGACCGGAAGAAACGTAGGGAAGCAGAAAAACTATGGATACTGTCAGCTAGATCACTGCTGCTAGTTAAAGTAAATAGACTTACCACTGAAGTAACAACAACATAGAGTGCAGCGATAATGTTCACGATCAAGCCAAATATCTTTCCCATTTTAAAGGGGGTCTTTGCAGACTGGTAGTTGGCAAGCACCTTCCTTCCACGGACGAGGAGGACCAAGATTGGGACCGAATAAGACATGTTCAAGAAGATGGTGCAAGACGCCACGTATGCGCTGAAAGCAACCACTGGTCCCAGATATAGGAGACCGAAGAGGATATTGAAGACAAAGCAGAACATGATGGTCCGTACTGGCACGTTTAAACCCGACTGGATGTGAGCAAAGTAATTGTGAAAGACGATGCCGCGATCGCGAGCCATGGCGTAAAGCAATCTGCTGACACTGGTAATGCTAGCATTCGTGCCGTTGATGAAGCACACGCTGAGCATCAGACTGAGAATGGTGGCAGCAGCCCGGCTCTTTGTTGCTTGGAGAATGAGCTCGACGATGGGCATACCGGTTGGAGTAGCGAGGATGGTTTCGGGGTCGACAAGACAGAAGAGCATAACAAGAATGAAGGCAAAGCCACTAAAGCAGACTTGTTAGCGAAACCCTGATAGAAAATACATAAAGAGACGTGGGATCGAACTTACGTGACACCTCCAATAACAATGGAGTACAGCATTGCTCGAGGGGCATCCCTGGACGGGTTCGGCATCTCTTCTGTCATATGCAACACAACGTCGAATGCAATAAGAGAGAGAGCAGACTGAAGTAGACCCAAGATCCAGGCCATTCCATCGGGCCAGCCAGTCTCGTTGTTGAAGTTTGTAAAGACAAACTCTGCGCTAGTCTTGTCTGACATGGAGAGTAGAACAATGCTGATGATGACAACGCCGAAGATGGACCAATATACTGCGTTCAGGATTAGTTTCATGTTAAAAATTGCTTCTTTGAACTCTTGTCTTGGACTGAATCACAGGCAGCATCGTTCCATTTTCCTAATATCCTATTGCCCCAAATGTTTGCGACTGTTGTAAAGACGAGGACTGCTACGAAGATTCCATATGTTCTAGCTGGAGTAATTTGATATGATCCGTTCGAAGCAACTACTGCAGCGGCAGAAATAAACTGGGCTAAATCATCTGGTGTTAGCAGCGCCCAAGGAGGTCCGTATAGGTCGTAAAAGGCAATGTTTGAAACTTACAGCCAAAGTAGTCCTGAACAGTCACCACGACAAGCCAACCAACAATATTGGCCCATCCGACTACAAAGCTCTGTAACATAGTTACTTGTTAGTAAACGAGATGGAAAGCAAATCGTGGAAACACCGAATCAGGGATCTCACCATTGGCTTTCTCCATCTTTCTGTGCAAAGAGCGTACACAAAGTGGTACTGCCCTCCAGCCGTCGGCCAGATAGAGCTGAGCTCCCCAAGACTTGCGGCCACGCAAAAACAGCATAGGACGCAGAAGATGAAACCGTACAATAGTGCAACAGAACTACCAGACGGCAGGACAAGACCTATTGAGCCAGCAAGCGCAATCCAGGTGCTATGTTGCGAGTCAGTAAGCTTGAACTCTTGATTCAGTGTCTATATGGGGGTGATAATGAATCATACTTGAGAATGGCAAAGGCCATGGCCATTGTTGAAAGAGTTGACAGACGGGGCTGAAGAGCCCCGTCTCCTGATGGGGAGGCATTCGACCCAAGCAGCGCCATTGTTACAGAGACTTGCCAAAGGTGTTGATGAAAGACAAAGAGAAACGGATACACGACGGATGTACAAAAATCGAGGCGGTGATGGGCCTGATTTGTATTCACCGACTGCTTTCAGCTATCGGTCAGCAAAGCGGAACGTCTGGAAATCTCCCAAGGGACATGATCTCCGCGCCTTGTGCGCTCCGATTGTGCCAGACACGTCGACAAACTACCACGCTTTGGTTAGTCCGGATATGCTGCATCGTTATCCTTTGATAATGATAACGAACTGTTGAGGCATTGTTCAAGTGACAACTGGTGGCGATGGCTTCGCATGTGTCTAGGACAAATGATACGGGTATTGGAGATATACCTAAATAGGCAATTTCGCGAGAGACTTACTGGTGCGTTCCCCAGACCCAAACTCGCTATCCGCTAAAAACGCGGGGTATGAGGATGCCTATCTAGATAATTGCCTTGGTCCAGGGGACTGATTTCTCAGAATCCTTCCTAAATTAGCAACAATGAAGTTCGTGGGCATGGGTAATGTGGCTCTCTATCTCAGCGGTCCGGGAAAGCCTCAAACCCTCAGTGGGTATGGGGGATTGATAGCAAGGGGGAAGATCCGTACCGAATTCTCAGCCTAAGACATCCGTATCACGGGTGGAGTTGCGCGTGGAGCGCGGACCGCAACGTTCTCCTTCGTTCCCGTTTCTCGGTAACACGGTGGCATGCGGATGGGATTCTTGTGATCTGATGGTTGCGGCGAGCGCCACGGATTGGCCTAGAACTCGGGGGAGATTCCCACTGGCCGCTGGACACGAGCGTGCTTCTATTATTTGAAGAGTGAGAAGACGATGGCACAAAACGAGAAAAACTCGCATGCGCGTGTGGGCTGAGGGCCACGTTCTCTTTTATAGATGTAGCAATATTCACACATAAGCAGGCCCCCCTAGACGCATGCTTCAGGGGTTGGCTGTGATAAGAGCCGTTGTTAGCTGCTGTCGACCAACAGCACGTTGCATTGAGCTGCTATTGGGAGCTAATTCGGTATATCGGCAACTAGGCATACTGCTAAGGACGTTGCTATCTTCTGACACTTGAGTTCGTGATGCCAAACTGATGTTGTTTTGCAAAAGTGAATCTATATCTGGGGAAGTGGGCCAGTAGATTGCTCCGCAAACAGCTGTTGTGGATTGAAACATCTAGATGATAGCTTTTAATTGCCTTTATCGTAATTGGTTTCTCCCTGACTTGAAGTGCTTGTGGCGCCGAGTGGACCGATGCCTCCCGCTTTTACAATGATACGGTCGCCTCGGCCGCCCGCATTCTATATCGGGCAATTCTGTGAGAAGTTGTAGAATGATACGCGACACAACAAATTTGACCCTTTCGTCACCTATCGATTAAAGGGACGCCGATTCTCAGAATATTTCCGCTTGGAGCCAAATCCACAGCTGATTGTATGATTTCCATGACCTGATATTGTATTTGTATAGAGATCATCCACCACGACCCATTCTCCTTGTCCCACAGGTAAACAATATTAATAGTTGAAGCGCGCCCTTTTACTCTGTAGAATGGCTCATTCACAGTCTACTGCACACGTCTATCGTTCTTTAAAGACCCTAATCTAGCGACCACTGCATCCAATGACATCAAAAGACGGCTACTCATGGACGAAGGCCCAAGGTCTTCAAGCCGGTGTCCCTTCAATTGGTGTGATTGAACCGCCGTCTAATGTTAAGAGCGCCGACACAGTCTACGATGTCATTGTCGTGGGTGCAGGTTATTGTGGTCTCACGGCTGCTCGAGATGCGAGTTTGGCAGGTAAAGAGCTCAAATGCTAATCTCAATTGGACGAATTGTGAAGATGGCTGACTTTGGCTTCCTTTTCTTCTCCACTAGGCTTGAAGGTGCTGCTTCTAGAAGCACGCGACAGAATCGGCGGTCGATCATGGTCATCCAACATCGAGGGATACCCATACGAAATGGGCGGAACATGGGTATTTTGGGGACAGGCCAACGTATGGCGCGAGATTGCAAGATACGGCATGCAAGACGAGTTGGAGATATCTTACGACTTTTCCAGAGGCATCAATAAGTATTTGCTATCAAGTCCGCAGGGCAGGCAAACCTTCACCCACGAAGAAGAGGTAATACGAAGCGTGACTCCAACAACATTTGACTGGCTAAACTCCATTTGAGTATCCTGAGAGAAGCTGACCTTGCATAGGATGCGCTGATGCAATCCTCACTCGCCAAACTCGTCAACGTCGACGGATGCCTGGGAAAAACCGTCGTTCCTTTCCCCCACAGCGGTGTCCTCACCCCAGAGGCCCGCAAGTACGATCACATGTCCGTCGCCGACCGCCTTGCCGAAATCAAGAACGATCTTACACCCAACGAACGACTTTGCGCCGAGTCATTCGTCCTTCTCTGCAGCGGAGGCACTCTCGAGACAACAAGCTTCTATGAGTTCCTGCACTGGTGGGCACTGAGCGGCTACTCCTACGAGGGCTGCATTGACTATCTCGTCAAGTATAAGTTCCGTGGAGGCCAGTCGTCGTTTGCCATCAACTTCTTCAAGGAGGCTCTGGCATCAGGGAACTTGACATACGCCTTCAACAGCCCGGTTGCCACCATCCAGCACGGCGGCAATGGTGTTCAGATTACAACGCGCGCTGGCCAGACGTACAAGAGTACGAAGATGATTTGCGCCATTCCGTTGAATGTCTTGAACGATGTCGCATTCGATCCACCTTTGGCCCCGGGACGGAAAGCAGCTGCTACCACCGGTCATGTCAACCAGTGTGTCAAGGTCCATGCTGAAATCAGCGACCGAGATCTCCGCTCGTTCACGGGCATCAGCTATCCGCATAATGGACTTATCTACGGCTTCGGAGACGGAGAGACCCCAGCGGGCAACACGCATGTGGTGGCATTCGGCGGGCAGCACAACCACTTCCATCCGGAAGAGAACCTCGAACATACAAAGGCAGCCTTCCAGGGGTTTGCGCCCATGAACATCGAGAGGCTGGTAAGCAGAACTCGTGAAGTACGTTGAACGCATGAACCATTGGCTGACAGGACCAATTCAGGTCTTCCACAACTGGTCCAAGGACGAGTTCGCCAAGGGGGCTTGGTAAGTATCATATTTTTCTCATGCCTCCTTTTCTTTCAGCGCGTGCATTTTTCTGACTTTGGGATTTTGCTGTAGGTTTTTCCCAGCGCCAGGTTTGCTATCCATGCATTTGACGGATATGAGAGCAAGAGAGCGTAACATCGTATTTGCTTGCTCTGACTGGGCCTTAGGATGGCGTAGCTTCATCGACGGCGCCATCGAAGAGGGAACCCGCGCCGCGATTACTGTGCGAGCCGATTTCGCCGGTCGAGCGAAGCTTTGAGAAGCTGGTCTCGAGGGATATCTTTGAAAGCAGAAACAAAACAAAAAAGGAAGAAAAAAGAGATAAAACTTTACAATAGAACAAGCGAATAATAACTTTGTTCGCAGCGCCATCAACCTTTACATGATTAAGATTGGGCGTTGACGAGTGACGACTTCGGTCCATCTTTGCGAATCTTGGTTGGCCCATATGTGTTCGAGGCTTTGGACTGCGATAGGGATAGTGCCAAACTCCGTACAGCTGTAGAGACTTTGTAGTCGTTGAGAGAAGAAGGCTCGGTGTTCTGGCAACGTACTTTCTGCGGCAGCGACAAAATATGTCCAGACTAGAGCATGACAACCATCGACGCTTGGTTCAAGGTCGAGAACTGTCTCTCGAAGCCGCTCTACAGATCGGATAGACTCTTCTTTTGAGATGAGATGCAGAGCACGATTGCGATATAACTCGCAAGCTTGTCGGATAGCCTCTTTCATTACAGCGACATTCGCATACTGCTCCGGATCTTGGCTGAGCGAGGGATACGAAGACATAAAGTCTAAGTAGTAGTCGGGCTGTTTCGACAATGTTTGCAGTCCTTTGGTCTCACTGGATAATGGAAAGCCAAACAATTCGAACCTAGATGGTTTGATGCGTCAGTGTATTGCTGCTTACATGCAACAAATGGAAGCAACCTACATTCGCGTTTGTTCCCTGATGAACCCCCTTGTAGTTACCGACAAAGACTGCACGGCATCAGATGATTGTGCTAGGTTTGAGAGAATCTCTAGCAGGTGCACGTAATTGTTGGCACCTGTGATTGTTTCCCCCACGAGCAACACAAGGATGGTTGCCCAGGTTGATAGACTAAACAGTCTTCTTGGTTCTAATTGGAGCGAGTCGCGAAATAGTTTCGATAATATCGCATGCTGGCCCACCTCGGCCGCCATTCGCATATGCGGCGCCCTTTGTGATAGATGAAAGGCGGCGATAACGGAGATGGCCTGTCCGACTAGTTCGTCTTCACAAGCGAGAGGAAGTAGGATGTCGCGATAACCATTGCCCTTGAAGTCAAACACGACCATTTTCGGCGCGATGAATTCCGAGACTGCCATCCGAGAGATTCCATGTTAACAGCTGCTATCGGTATCACCCTGGGATTAGATGGAAGCGTCTTACAATGGTTGAAGAACAATCTGAACTGGGGAGACACGACTTGAATCGAGCGTTGAGGGTGAACAATTGGCATGTTTCTCGGTCCAAGCTCTTCCACATCGTCGTCTAAACTCCCATCTGGAGAATCTGTATCAGACGGAGGTTTATTCGGGGGAACCGGCCCAACTATTGGCTGCGCATTTGACACTTTTGGTGGAGAGGTGGAACTCCGGTGAGAAGACAGTTTCGTAGCATCTGGAGAGGATCCCGACTGCTTGCTGGTTACGGTGACCCATCGGTAACGATTCGGCGCTCGAGAAGCAGCTTTACCAGCATTGCCGGCGGCACGATTTGCAGCCTGTGAGATGCGCGCCGGGCTGCCATTCTTCATGTGGGAGCTGAACCGACACTCGATGCCTTGGCCGGAACACTTGATCCCCTTTTTGCAGCACTTGAAGCATTCGGGCTCTGTCTTATCGCAGCGCACTCGGCGCGTGCGGCACTCGAGACAACCTGGTCTAGAGTCAAAATTACGCGCTAGGCACAGGGGGAAGAAGAGACTAGAACAGAGATTGATGGGCGTACCATTGTTCCTCTTTGCCAGCGACATGGCGACGTAGTTGGAGACTGGCTGTGCTTTTGCCACTGAAGCTCTCTGTAAGCGGAACGATGGAAACTTCAGAGTTGAAGGCGGCGTACGTACGTGTAGCTTTTGCGATAAGAGCTGAGGGGGCTCTTTGGCGCAACTTAATTTTCAGTTGACGGGGCCAGGGCTCTAGACAAGGGGGGCGAAGTTCGGCCACTGATAGCGAGGGCCAAGCAAACAACGGAGCGAGAAGCACGGAATACGGCGTGGAAGATGGAGGAATGTGGAGACTCAGCTTTGTGGGGGGAGCCGTGATGTCCGATAGTGCTAGTCCCAAAGGACACAAGATGATGGTTAAGACTCGGTTCTTCTGGCCGCGGCTATATCAATAGGTTTGCTGGTAGACCGGCATTAGAGAGAGCAATTACTGATGCTTGGGTTTCGTGCTCTTTCGCCGACCTGATGAGTCTGCACTCATAAGCCGGGGCTCCTCAGACTCTGCAGGCCATGCGTTAGACGCTACTCTCGTCAGATATCGAATTTAGCCAGTTGTACTCCGTATGCATGAACCAGAACCAACAGCACGTTACCCCCAGTCACGGCGAGTCTCGGAAGCCACTGAAGATTATCAGTATGCGGATATACGGATCAATGAAGAAAGCTAGTTCGCTAGACTGAATCAAATGCCGGCTCATGTCAAAACCTAGTGCTTACCCCAATCTTGTGCCTGGAAGTTAGAGGAATGCGATGCCATCAATGCACGCCTTGCTAATTCTAGAAGTCATCCGCTTTTTGTCGTCATGAGAACTTTAGGGTGGAAAGGAGAAAGTGCGCGATACGTGTGTGTCCGCCTATCAACTATCTAGTATTTCCGGAGCCTCGATTTACACTCAGAACGACACACATATTGTAAACTAGGTACATGAAAGTACATGTCCAGTAGGTTCGACTCCTTTTGCCGATGTATACAAACAGTACCAACGCATCTGCCGACTCTTCATCTCGCTCCGGAAAACCCTACCGAGACGCAACCCCTTTTACGACGTCTTTACATTCATGATAGGCCCTAACCACGACTCGTAATCGTCAGCACTTGTGCCATTTACGCCGTAACGCAAAGCGCGGAGCAAGGGCCGGAAAGCACCAGATATCAAGTCAAAACCAGTGCCATTCTCGTGCATGAGAAACGGATAGAGCAAGATGAATCCGGTGACCGTGTTGGGATACGGCCAACCCAGAAGAGATGCGATGTCAATGCCGGGAGGGATATGCCCAATACCCCATTGCGCCATAATACCGTAATTTGGAACGCCGAGGAAGCCCTCCTGCAGTGGTAGATCCACGTCTGCAACATCAAACTTGACAGATGGGTCAAAGCCGTAGTAAGTAGGGACGAAGGTTGTGTTGACGGGCACAGTTTCTAGGCGTATGAGATTGCTGGGCTGCACGATGATAAAGTTCACAATGGGCACATTGATATCATCTGGGACCGAGCCGTCGCTGCCAAGGATGCTATAATTGCCAATGTTGACCATGCCAGGGCTCGTCGAGTCTGACCCTACATAAGGCCTGTCGTTTCCAACCCATGCCGTTGTGTTGCGCGCAATATATACTGTGTCGCTTCTACTATATGGTACCCCGAGATATGGAACCACGTAACTGCTGCTGTCGGTGGCAATCTTGATATGACCAGAGTAGACGGGCTCCGAGTATGGCTGCGGCTCATCTGGGGCTGTAAACTGCACTTCGATCTTTGCCGACTTTCCCGGCTGCAGGGATAGTTTCGATTGGGATAATTTGGCGGTGGCGTACTTGGCCTCATGGACGTTGGTAAATTTGACGAACACCTGGTCCGAGCCCGCGGTGAAATTGTTAAAAGTTCGAATGTATGATGCGCCAGAGTGGGAAATGGAGTACGTTTTGAGTTTCTTGGACGTATTTTTGATCGTAATTGTCTTAGTACTTTGCCGGCTTTGGTGAGTCGAGCAAACTCAGCTGAGAAGGCGAAATTTGGGAGTCGGCGGCCACGGCGGCGTACGCGTTGATCAATCCACTGCCTTGCTGTGTGACAGAAGAGATGATATCCATACCCAGTGCCTTCATTGGTACTGCGATTGACTGTAGAAGCGATATAATCTCTGCGATGCTGAGATCTGGTCGCTGTGACTTGACCAATGCATAGACGCCAGCGGTAAAGGGCGCAGCCATCGATGTGCCGGACAAGACGGCATACCCACCAGCTGAGCGTGGGTATGTGGATAGAATATTTCCTCCTGGAGAAGAGAGCTGGGGCTTAAGTGTCATCTCCACGGTCGGGCCGATGGAAGAGAAGTAGTCGATGGCATGACCAGCGGAGTTGGGAGAGTGTTGTATCGTGGATGAGTTGAAGAGTAGCGTATATTCTTCTTCGGTAGCAAGGCCCTCAATGTCCTTGATTATCTGCTGTGACTGGTTGTGGGGGAGGAAGAGAACAGTAAATTGAGCTGCGGTATCTGGCTCCGGTAAAAGGACTGGTGTGTCCGGATCGTCTGTATAGTAGATGATGGTTGTCACATTGGGTGCTGACAGTTCCGGCGAGTATGCGCTGAGCGAACAAAGCTTTGTGAAATAAATCAATACTGCCGTATTTGCTCCATCTGTAATTGCGTTCTGCGCAGCGTCCAGACTCTGGTGTCGCAACCTCCAGCTTGCAGTTCTGTGACGGGAAAGTCGAGACCGCTGCCGGCTTGGAAAATAGTGACCGGCTTATCGGCAATAACAGGAAAAACCGAAATGTATTCCAGTGAACTGCCGATATTGTTTTGTGCTTTGTATACCGTTGGATAGACTTCATTTTCCACAGGGCCTACAGCCAAAACTTCCGGAGCCAGGCCTGGCGCAGAGACTGCATAAGGCCAAAGATCACCGTCATTCCCAAGAGCAGCAATGATAGCCACGCCGCTCTCCACGATACTTTCAGCCAGTGAAACATATGGGGACGGGCAGCTCCCAATACGACAGACTGCCGAGAGACGTGGTGATAAGGTCGACACCGTCTTCTGCAGCCTGTTGCATCACTGCCATGATGACGTCGTCTCCAGAGTTATCACTGCATCCAAACACCCGGTACATACCAATGGTCGCCTCCGGAGCAACTCCCACAAGTCCAAAGCCTTCGTTTTGGGCATCAGTCATACCGATAATACCTTGGATATGTGTTAGTCATTCTGCTATGAAGTGAGAGATTGGGCCTGAATGCGGCTTCTTACCAGCAACATGAGTGCCATGTCCCCCAACTGCACATGTAACCAAAGGGTCGTCATCCGGAACGGGAGTATTTGTTCTAGTGTAGTTATCTCCAACCAAGTCGTAGCCAAAAGGTATCTTATAACCTGGTCCAAAACCGCCACCAAGTGACGGATGTAGATAGTATACCCCGGTGTCAATAATACCAATCTTCACACCTTTGCCTTTAATTCCGCTTTCGTGCAACTTATCCACTCCAGCCATTTTGAGTGGCCTGTTAACGTCAGAGTTACCCTAATGTGTGGAAGAGTATCATTGCTTGGTAACTTTGGCATAGCGGCTACGAATGTTTCTGGGCGCAGCACAAGTGTAACCGGCCAGACATTCTTGACACCGCTGATCTCCAATAGATCATATTTCTGAGATATCCTGTCTATAACAGTCAGGGATAAACCATAGAAAAGTTTAGCATTGTTGAGCCCTTTTCGGACACGACACTTGATTCTTCCACTTAGTCGCTGAGAAAAAAGAGATGCAGCTTTTGTGCTGGGAGTGTGCTTAAGTTCCACAATATAGGTATTTGGGATGTAAGTGACGTTTTGGGCGCTAGTGGGGCGCGACTCTACGAAACCATTGCCGTTAAGCTGAGGGTTTGACACCACTGGGTCGAGTAAATAGAAGAGAAGAACACTTGATAGGGTGGTCTTGAACAAGAAGGTAGTGGGCTTTTGAACGACCACCCTGCTCAATTTAGACCCCTTTTTAATGAAAAGAAATACGATACGTAACATCTAGCCACATACCTTCGGTGTTGCTTTGCAGATCATTCAGTATTTTGTCTTACCATGTCGGTTCATGCACGTCTTCTTATCAACATCAACAACGCGGTAGATTTGTTTAATTTAGTGATGTATTCCAGTCTCATTGTACGCAGTTCATGGAAACATCTAGGCCGCATTTAAATGTTAGAGTCATGCGAAATGGCGTGCTTGAGATATCAGCCAAGTTCAACTTCCAATCAGTGAAATCCCAAGCAACAACGCTTTACTGATTAGTTCTATAATCACCGTCGGTTTTTGACTCGGTCATGGAATCTAAAACTAGATTCACTCACCCGCATAACCGAAAATTAGCCGGCTGTGGTAACCTTCTTGGCAGCATTTTGGAATCCATTGATCTACAGACTGTAGCATGTAGTTGTCTCCGGTGTGTTGCCCAAACGTTACGATGTTGACCTTTTTTGGAAGCGGGTTTCATAGTGAGTCCTGTACTAGTATCCCGTACTTGAAACTGTTAAAAGATTCGACTAGTTGTTGGCACGAATACAATAGGCGGATCTAAAAAGCGCCGAAGTCCGGCTGCGTGGCTGGAATCCCGTGAATGAGGAAGCGGAGAGACGAGTGTTCTCATTTTACTTGTTTCTCCATGTCAAGCGAATTTTCCTCGCTTCTCAAACATCAAAATCTTTAAGAGACATAGCACTTGTGCAGTGCCGCTCTGATATCCGTCACCGCCATAACGCGGACTGCAACTCAACCCTGAAGCTATTAAGAAAATCTGGGAATACAAAGAAGCGGGATACAATGTCTCAGTTTCATCAAATGTATCATGAAACAGCTTTAGATCGTTGGAAAAGATTCACTTACGTCGATGATCTCCCAGGCGAACTCGGCCCTTTCCGCAAGCTGCTGGAAGAGTACAGCAAAGCCCCCCCCCAACGAAACCGATGAACTTCTTGTCAGCACGGTCAGTAATATTCCCATTTTTCGTTTCCAGTCTACCCCTTCTTGTCATTTATACCTAATACCCACTCGACAGTGTTAAAAGTTCTTGAGAGGTAGCCATGTATCCATGTATTGGTCGATGGAGCTTTCTCAATTTGCGCAGCATGCAAGACTCTCATTTCAAGATCGCATTTGCACGACTAAAGCAGCCGAATGACCCTAATACTGGGTCAAACTCTACAGATACGCTCCTTGATATTGGATGTTGCGTTGGCCAAGTGCTTTGAAAGATGGTACACGATGGAATCCAGCCGACGCGGTTGTTCGGTACGGACCTTCAACCCGAGTTTATTTCTATTGGCACGGAGTTATTCAATGATGAAGGATGCGGCTTGACCTTCGTAGCTGGCAACTTGCTTGATCCTGAGGACAAGACTTTGGATGAATTAGATGGCAAGATCACAATCGTACACGCAGCGAATTTCTTCCATTTATTTACATGGGAGCAGCAGGTGAGTATCAGTGAAGAAAGGAGGGTGGATATTCCGGGATTTGGGGAGGAAGACAGATATATTCGGTTTTTGGTATATCAATTCAAAGTATAGAGGGAAAAGAATCAGCTCTTTATGAAGCATGAAGGTAAGAATGACACTGTATTTTGCTCTACTTGGGAAATAGCTGAGTCAGTGTCATTTGAGTCGTTTATTGTGATCTACCAAGGCTTTATCGAAGATATTTCCATTAGGCTGAGTAGATAAATCTGAAGGATATCATAGAAAGGAATAGAATGATCAATTGATATAACGTACTAAAAAAGAGCCTAGCGTGAGTTAGCATTAATGCATCAGCCCTTTCTTTTATTCCAAGTTATTCATTGACTCAGGTATGTTTTGGGTTAAGTAAATTATGAATACTAGTTACTACATTTATACACGATTGATTGTCTGTAGTTGATGTAATCGTAAATTGAATACCCAATAGACGTCTTATTCTCCCTGTAATTCCTCATTTGGCAGAGTGTAATGCCATTCGCGGAAAGTTGCCTTGTCGTGGGTGGAATCTAATGGCTTTCTTCAGCGGCTTGTTTAGTGTGCAATACTCCATACTTGGAGTAGATTGCTGTTAGTGTACGCCCTTCGTTCTGAGTGGCTCCGTTCAGGGCGCTCCATGACATGTAGGATTTGGAGACAATTGCTCCACTTCAGTTGCTCTCATAGTAGCCATATTGTCCGATTTTAGCCGCTCTGGGAAGACCTTAAATCGCCTGAGAGATCTTTCTGAGTTGTTATACTCTCCTTGAAATTCGACCGACGATATCGACTTCAACTACATTCAAAACTAGCATCAATCTGAAATCTGGGATACCATTCGAGCAGCTATGAAGACAGTCGGCATCATCGGTGGCAGCACCGACTTAGCAACGGTAGAATACTACAAGCTGATCAACGCGCACATTCGCGCAAAGCTTGGAGGCTTCTATACCGGCGAAATCATTATCAATTCCATGAATTTTGAGCGCAGCGCTCATTTTGTGAACAACAATCTCTGGGAAGAAGGAGGAGAGTACTTACATGGAAAGGCGCTGAGCTTGGAGAGAGCTGGAGCCGATTTCATCATCTGCGTCTCGAACACGTGGCACCGGGTTTCTGAGGCATTCATGAAGGATGTCAGGATTCCTTTTTATCACATCGCTGATCCAACAGCCCGAGCGATACTGGAACTAAAGCTGCACACCGTTGCCTTGCTGGGAACCAAGGCCACCATGTCCACGGACTATCTGCCGAATGAGTTCTCAAGCCGTTTCGGGATAAATATTATTGTACCAACAGACGAAGAACAAATTTACATTGACGAGGTAATCTTCAATGAGCTCGCCAAATCGCAATTCACAGAGGAGTCTAGACAAGGCTACCTGAAAATTGTTGACAAGTTGGTCTCTCGAGGAGCACAGGGTGTGATCCTGGGGTGCACGGAGATTCCGCTACTCATTGAACAAAAGGATCGACCAGACGTTCCAATGTTTAATACTTTGGAGCTACATGCCCGGGGTGCTGCGGAGAATGCGCTGTTGGACTAGCATGAGAAATCGTGGCCGAGATCTCGGGGAGAGTGACTCGCTTTTAACGGCAATGCACGTCTTGAATCTTGGATATAATAAGAAGCTTCGGGTCGAGAAAGGGCATGTCAATTGTTCGGACACCAAAGAGGTGAATAATAAAGGCTCGCTGGGTAGAATTGAGATATTGTGGTCCCATCTTGCAATGCGGGAATGAAGTTTTGTATATCATAATAGAAACTCCACGAAATGCATCTATTAAAGCTCATAGATGAAACTAATATAGAGTGATATGATGAACGGCGAAAGATGTTGTGTAAGTTCTATCTTCGTTGGCCTAATGAAGCCGTAGAGAGACCGTAGTGCATTTTCGGCGTCCATCGCAGCTGGCTGCCTTCGTTCGCCAAGGACAGCGGCGTTGTCTATTATTGGGCGCTGTCTTCCTGTGATCTGCACATGGAGCGATGGATTCATTTCGATTTTGCTGGTGGCAGCGGGGTCGTTGATAGTAAACAAACGACGAATTCATTTCTAATCATGCATTGAACCGCTGTGCGGCTATAATCGCCCGGTTATATAAGGAAACCATACCTGGCGAAATCACTTGAATCGATCCTAGATTGTTTGATACATCACCAAAGAACGATACCTCTATATATTGCTATCGATAACATGACTTGTACCTGCAACATCACACATTAGAGGCTCATTAGACTAATGAGGACCAGATAAGAAGACAGACGACACTGATGATGAGACATTTCAACGTGCCGCGTCTCTCATCAAAAAATACCGCCCTGATATGACATTTTTCCGCGATACATATCGCCAGTTACACAGCACGCCCGAACTGTCAGGACAAGAAGAGGGAACAGCTCGTATTGTTACCGATTACCTCACTTCTCTGGGCAGTTTCGAAGTTTTTACAAAGATTGGCGGTCATGGCGTTGCTGGGGTGCTTACCAACGGAGACGGTCCTACAATCCTCTTGCGCGCTGATATGGATGGATTGCCCTTGTTGGAGAAGACAGGCCTCTCTTATGCAAGCGTGAGAACCCAGATCGACAAGAGTGGTGTTGACAAACCGGTTATGCACGCTTGTGGTCATGATACCCATGTTGCGTCTATGATGGCTGTAGCTAAGCTACTGTTGAGCACTCGCTCTCACTGGCAAGGAACTCTCATTTGTCTATTTCAGCCTGCAGAAGAACACCTGAATGGTGCCAAGGCAATGGTAGACGATGGACTCTATGACAAAATCCCCCACCCTGATATTGTCCTGGCGCAGCATGTCGACAACGCACGATGCGGGACTATCCACTTGAGGAGTGGTCCAACCATGACTGCAAGTGTGTCTCTACAGATTCGCATCTTCGGACGTGGTGGGCACGGTTCGGCCCCTCAGGACTGTATCGATCCCATCATCATTGGGTCTTCGATTGTTGTTCAGCTACAAACAATCGTCAGCCGTCAAATTGACCCTGGGCAACTAGCAGTTGTTACGTGCGGAAGCATACACGCCGGAGATGCTCCAAATATTATACCAGATTTTCTGGATCTGAAGATTAACATTCGGGCACTCACAAATGACATTATTGACCGAATACTTATATCCGTGAGGAGAATTGTCGAGGCTGCATGCAAAGTAGGCGGATGCGATCGTGAGCCACTGATCGAAACCATTTCATCTACGCCTGCGACTATAAATGACGAGGATACTGTTCAAAGGCTTGAGAAGAGTTTTGCATCTTATTTTGGATCCCAACTCGAGCATATGGATGTGGCGACTGCGAGTGAAGACGTATCAATCTTGGCAACTGCGGTTGGAGCTCGTATGGTCATATGGTTCTTCGGTTCAACAGATCCGATCCAATGGGATACCGCTAAGCAGAGTGGGACACTGAATGAGATTCCCTATAATCACTCGCCACTTTTTGCTCCCACCATTCAGAGCTTGGATGCTGCTGTAGATGCGATGTCATTGGCGGCTCTCACACTTTTCAAGCCTACCTTGGAGGTTGTATAGGTGTTGGACTTTTACGGGATTCGAGACACATAGTCTTTAATGGCTTCAATATCTAACTAGTATATTGAATCGTCTAAGAAAAGCCCTAGGCGGCGTTTTGCAAGCCCATAAACTCGGGGCTGAGAGCTTCGTATATATGTGGCTGCAAGAGAAAGATTTGGTCTAGACCTTTCCAAAATACAGAATCTATCCTCAAAAGTCCTAATCTAAGAACAGGCAGTTGTTTTGACCTTATTCTGAGCGACTCGCGGGTATCGCGAACAGTCTGCATTCTCTGCTTGGCTTCCTCTGAGGAGCTTGACATTACGAGCAAATGCAGCATGAGGTTGACGATTGAAGAAAATGCCAATGGCGCCCAAGCTGGCCAAAATTGAGAAGAGGCATCAAGTTTCAGCTTGTTGACGAAAAGTAATGCATTTGACAGGCACTTTCCAGCCTCGTGGCGCGCACGCTGCATATCAGCATCGATTGTCGATTGCCCATCCGTGGCATGGCACCGTAAGAGGGCACGGCAGATGTTGATATGTGTGTAGTGGTAAGCCAATAAGTTAATCACAGATGCCGGTGCGTCATCCGCGGACGATATGGTAGTAGTATTATGCCAGATGGAGAGCTCCTCTAGGATTTTCATGGAAATACCCGATGTTTGCTGAAGATTGGACGATAATCGAGATAAAGCCCTCAAAGAACTATAGAATAGCAGTTTATGAGTATTAGAAAAGAGCTTTTGGACACAACAAAGACATACTGGAGTTCAGAGAGCACCCTGCGTAGAGTAGACACGAGCTGGGCATGCTGGATGAAGTCTCTCCAATCCGCCTCGTCTATGCAAGCTCCATATCCATCCTCGGCAGACATAGAGGTGACGAGCCAGTTTTCTTCACTCAAAAGGGGAGGTCTTCCTAAGCTGGAAGCCATCCACGTATCCATCTTGAAGATTATGAAAGATATCCTTCGCCGCTGCGTCGCCTGCCACCGAGGAATGGACCACTCAACAGGGTCCATGTGGAATCCAAGGGTATGAGCCGCTGAGGTAAGGATGCCTAGTAATTTACACCTAAAGGATGAATCAGAAATGAGATGATGAGGAGTGGGTCGCGCAAGGAGTAATATGAAAGCTTGAACAACAGGAAGAGTCGGGCCATATATCTCAAACTCCAAAGCTTTGAGAGAGATCTGCAATAAGGTCGAAGTTGGCAGTGGATCATAAGCCAGGTCTGGCGTTAATACATCATCAAATTGCATAAATGGTAGTGCGATAGCGTAAATGGCTGCTAATAGATATGTGGGTGATGATTTGGGTGAAGGACGCGATTGAGTTGAAAAGATGGGATACTGTGGAGCTATGAAGCGTTCGTAGAGACGAATCAGCCGCTCCCCAATATCTATAGAAACAAGTAATTCTAATTCTTCTCTGGATTTCTTTGCTTCAATCTTTGTTGCTAAACCAGCTTCCTCACGGCTCTGTGAATACAGAGACTGTGAGGTAAGCATAAAATGGGCAGGTAGGTGACCGAGGTGAACAGATTGCAAGGTGAGCTTTTTGAAGGGCAAGCGACCAGAAAGGTCTCTAAGATAGTGCCCAAACAAACAGGGTTCGAATTCTCCTGTTGTGCCAACAAACTGAGGGGTGCTGTCGGTGTCGTCGTGATCGAGTAAGACTTCGGGGCACACGCCTTCATGTGGCCGAGTTTCCTCTTGTGGCCCCAACTCACCCAGAAAATCATGTGCGAGACTTGGTTGAAAGTTGACGAAATCGGCATCAATTTGCTCCCAAGATAAAAGATCAATTTCGGGGGGGATTTCATATGACAATTGGCCGGAAGATGAGTTCAGTGCCGAATCAATTGACGGACTTCCGGACGAAGTATTGTCAAGTAAGAGCTGTTCAGGCAGCGAAATGGGTGAAACTGCTTGCTCTCTCGAAGGTGACCTAAGAGATTCTGATATCGCAACATTTTGAGGAAGAGATTTTGCATTGGTAGAGAGCCTGTGCATTGACGTGGTCTCGACAAATGTACACAGACGAGAGTGTAAGAGGCACATGCGGCATGGAGGGCCGCCCTCTATCCGACAGGCAGACTTTCGAGCACGGCAAAAATCACAGGGACGTTGCCGTTTGCTCATATACCGTCGGCTGCCAGTCGACATGTGAGAATTGACCTCAGGCATCGTGGAGCTAGCAGCTTTGTGGTTTGAAGATGAAGCGAATTGTTTTGTAAAAGTTGACTGGCTGAAGGAAACAATAATGGCAATAATGAGATTTGATTAATAATCATGCATAGCGACTGAAGTGGGTAGAGAGATTCGTAAGCTTGCCCGTTCAACTGCAATGCCGCCAATCAGGATCGACGCCGTTTGTTCTGAGTGTTGTCGAGACTTCTTACGTAGATGCCTAGCAGCACTACTCGTAAGACTCATATTTAACGGCAATGGCGGGGTAAAATTTGAGAAAAATCAGCAACAGATCAGGGTCGAGCTTCATGATGTCTGACAATCCATGGGAAATAGACGAGACGAAGAGCGGTCTCGTCTCTATTGGCAGCCACCGCTTGCAGTTGAGCGTTGCTGGGCCGCCTAGAAAGCCAAATGAACCGGCAGTTGTCATCATGGCCGGGCTGACGAGCAGTGTCCTTGAATGGCCTGCTACTATTCGTCTCCTGAGCAAATTTGTGCGGACAGTCTCTTATGAGCGGCCGGGATTTGGTGCTAGCGACAACCCTCCACCAGAAGTACAGCCTACATCCACTAGAATGGCACTTGAGCTGGATCTTCTTCTCAAAGCCGCCAACATCAAGCCACCGTACATCATAATCGCACATTCGTATGCAGGGATCACGTCGCGCGAGTTCATTCACCTACACAAAGACAGTTTGGACGACATCGCTGGCGTTGTCTTTGTTGATGCCAATACCGAGGAGACACCACCAATGCGCCCTGATGAAAACATGGATGCGGTGCTCGGTGAGCTGGACGGGCCGGTTGGGCTGCGCATCCGATCCGAGAATTGCCACAAGTTGTCCACTGCTGAGTGGCAGGCTTTATTGGAGGAAGAGGCCAGTGCAAGACACGAGCAAACTGCAAACGCTGAAATAAGCTTCTATCAGGCCAGCGCGCCAGTTTTGAAAGAGAAGGGACACCTTCAAGTAGGAAAAGCGCCGCTGTTGGGAGATCGCCCTGTGAGCGTCCTTCAAGCCAATTACGCTCGGGACTTACAAAAGATGTATGACGCTGGTGTATCCGCTGGGAATGGCACAGAGACGCAAAGAAATTTGATGCGTAAAACTATTTCAGAGACTACCGAAGTCGAGGCCAGGATGCAGAAGGAAATGCTGAGATTGTCTACACGGTCTAATTTTACTTTTGTTCCGGACAGTGGCCATAGCATCCACATGGAGAGACCAGATGCTATTGCCGACCAAGTTCAGTGGGTGTTGGATCAGCTGAAAATTCAGAAATAAATCCTAACCAATGAATTAAAAATTCCCAACTCATCGCTTTTGACATTTTCCATTAGTGCTGGTTTCTATGACTTCATATTCTCATTTTTACACCCATTGATACTTTAGACACACTCTTATTGCCTATGGTGCAAAGTGATACCACTTAATTCACGAAGACAAGTAGCATTGAAGATTATAATTACAAATCCCTATGAGAACTCCAAGCTTCCTGCAATGACTGTATTCCTTCGGTAGTCGCCAACGTCGTAACTCGTTCAATTCTCTGTAGCATACGGACCAATTCAGCTTGGTGCTCCGGCTTCTTTAAACTCTGGCCGCCTGATTATTTGGCATTAGCAACACATATCGTACTTGAGACACAGAACTCACAAACAACCAGAGGCTGGACGGCGTTTACTAGAGCACCGGGATATTTATCACCAAGTGCTTTTGTCATGCCGCATAATTGGATTGTATGCTTCAGTATTTCACCCTTCTTCGTGTTAGAAACCCATTTTAACAAATATTTTAAGCTAATATGAATGGAAGTTGACTTACTTCGACAGCTCTTGCAAACTGGAGAAACCCAATGCCGCTTGGACGGTGTGGATTATGTAGCGCAAGAAGCACCTTTACCAGGTGATAGAACTGCATCGCCGCAACTGAAAGACATCAGCCAAAAGAAAGTACACATCGGTGTAAGTATAGCTTACTATGCCAAGTGCAAAGGTACAATATTTCTGGAAACCCTTCGCCATCTTCTATAACATATACAGGATCAAACGACTCCGGCAGTAAGTCTTTCCAAGCGTTTGCTTCATTCTGCAGCTCATCCCAACTGCTTTCATCGCCACCATTGCTTCCGGGATATCGAGAAAAGCAGTAATCGATTACTTCAGCCGTCAACATGGTCATCTTTTCCGTTTTTACGTGATCCGTATCGCCGCCCCACGTAATGTCAACTTTCCAATTACGGGGACCGATGGTGGTTGGCTTCCCTGTTGCAAGAGCAACCATAATCTCTTCACGGAAATAAGTCCAGAATGCTGTCCTTTTGAGTGCCCGATAGCCAATATTCTTTCGATTATGTGTAAATAGAGACGAGCACCCCCGAAGATGTCTCTGATGATCTGTCTCATAGCTCATCATCTCATACATCCTAAGAATGACGGTGGATATCGGGAGTACGTTATCGAGAGTCGTAGATGGGTCGGCTAACGCTGGTATAAGGCCTTGGACACATAGATCATGGTAGTGAGCAGCATAAAACTCATCGCAAGATCCATCTAGTCGATTGAGATGGCATGCTGAAAATGCGAGGACGGCGTGTAGTAAGATGGGACAACTCATCGCAAGGTAAGGTACAAATGTCTCGAATTGGCGCTGCGGATCATTTACATCAAGCTGCAAAAAATAAGCACAAAGGTGGTGGTGGTGATGAATGGCCACATACCCAACAGGCCAAGTTATTGATGTAGTGATGGAGGAGGCGGGCTATCAGCGGATCTCCAAGTGGCTCAGCTGGACCTTGCGTATATATAGCAGATCCAGAGGTCCGTCTAAGGATTATTGATTTCACCGGGTCAATGGTTTCCATGCTGGTACCGCTCGTAAATGAATGAGGCGACGCAAAGTTAGCAGCCTCGCGAGACGGTCCAGGAGTTAAGATCGGAACCACATCGTCTCTTCCCGAGTCTGGTACGGGAATAGTGGGCGATAGTTCTGCAATTTATTTAGTATGCAATATTGTATGAGAGAAGATGATTTCATTACCATTTGCTGGTTGATCGAGGGTTTTGTTGTTAGACGATTCGTTGGTCGCGTGTCCACGTGTCGAAGCATTGGATGGTGGTTCTTCATCATCGTCATCGTCAACATCAACGGAATGGATAAATGTAACTGATGTCAATTAAATTAAACAATTCTTCGAGATGGACATAGAAAAGGAGTCTCTACTCTCCGACGGTGTCTCTAGCCAGACGTGATCTGCTGAGAACTGGAATAGCCCATTACTGTCCTCGCGCAGGGCGGAATTGTCAAGCGCCTCATATTCGCAAGCGCGGCGACTGATTTCGCAGTGCCGACATTGAGGTTTCCGTTCGTCACCTTCGTCATGTTAGTAATTACGACAAACCCAGTTGTAATTCTCCATGAACCAACACTTCATATGCCGCTTCCGACATGTAATACTTTTAAACATAATCTATGATTAGCATCGTCGAAGACTCGTTTACCAAATTGTCACTCAGCTCACCAGCCTAGAGGGGGCGAATTAGTAGGATGCAATTAAGTAGGTGGCGGGATTCTCACCAGTTCTGACCCGCCTGTGAACCTCTTGCGCTGGCGCCATGATTGCAACACCCCAGCGACGGTCAACATCGATGATGATGTATCATGATTGTAGGACTTATAACCAATCATGGGCTGCTGTGCATTCGAATAATAGGTATAGCCAAGAAATTGCATGTAACATGCATGGATAGACAGCTGAGAAATTGCGGGGGAAGCTGGTGATGGAAACTAAGATTAGTACTGGCCCACGTGATCCAATAGCCGGACTGTGAAATGAGATTCTAACCCGAGAAGATGATCTTCAATTGTGCATTTGTACAGTTTGTATCTGAGATTGTATCCTCGTACGCGATGTATCCCACAGACTAGCAAATTGCGAAGTAGTTGATGGATCAAAATTAGCATTAGAAACTAGCTGGGAGATACTGTTATTAACTCATTATGTGTAAAATATTCGTATAATCATGAAAACATCCTTCGGTTGCCCCTGCTAAGCATCACTGCCATTGTCTTGAACATGTGTGATGGTACCATCCTGCGCGACGCTAATGTTCTTCTTCTCAAGACTTGCTTTCACAGGGTTCTTTGCTTGGAACAGATCTTCAATTTCTTCCAAGCTCCAGCCCCTTGTTTCAACAAAAAAGAAATAAATGACGACGACGCCAAATGCGTCCCAAAAGACATAAAGGAGGTAGTATCTCCAGCCGGAATTGGCGATGGCAATTGGCGGAACGTACGTGTTCATGACCTTGACAGCATTGTTCATAAAGGCCAAATAAGCCATACCCTTTGCTCTGGAATTGAACGAGAGAACTTCGACCGGGTAGAGTGATTGCATTGGAGTCTATTGTGAAGCAGAAATAGTTAGCGATGTCCCTGGGAAGAAGGAGAGCGGAGACATACCCAGGCGAAAGCGAAAACGATGAGGAAAATGTAAAGAAAAGCAATGCCAGTGCCGCCAACGGCAGGTCTCCCAGCCTGTAGAGCAGTGCACGCCGTTATAATTGCAATAGACACGGACATTCCAGCACTGGAAAACATGAGAAGTTTGCGGCGACCAAACTTATGCACAACGCTAAGCCCACAGAGTGCGGCAATTGCCATGACTGGAGTTTGTATCGCGTTTAAGAGGAGTTGGGTGTTGACATCTGTGATACCCACTGTCTTGACTATATAATTTGTATTAGACTTGAGAATGACCTGGGAAGTAAATGCATCGTATCAGGGAAGACGTACCCATTAGCGGGAAGTAATAACTTGTCGGTGGCAAGTCAAGCTCTCCGAACCAGGCGATGCAAGTAACGAGAAAGGTCCGATACCGTGCTGCTCTGGTGTTGAATAGCGACCTAAAATCCCACCACCGTTTGTCGGAGCCATCAAGTTCAATGACTTCAATCATTTCTTGTAGTTCGAGATTCGCAACAAGAGCATCTGGGTCTCCATCACCATGGTACTTGATAAGTATACTCTTAGCTTCAGCTACTCGTCCTTGGCCCACATACCTATCATCTCAATTAGCGTTATTCCATAGGGATATGGGAAGCAAATGCAGCTGTGCGTACCAACGTGGGCTTTCAGGGATGAACCAAACTGCACATAAGATAATGACAGACGGGAGACCTTGGATCGCAAGGGGAAGTCTCCAAGGATATGAAAGTGTAGTTTTGGCATGATTCAGTCCGAATTCCAGCCAAGTCGACACTATGGTACCAAGGAAAAAGCAAGCTTGATAACCACCAGTAAGTTGGGCACGATATTTGGGATAAGACATTTCCACGACATAGCTAGGGCCGGCTGTTTGAACAAGCACCGCACCCATGCCCAGAATAAATCGGCCTCCCATGAGCATGGACAAATTTGTACCAGCAGTCTGGAGAATGGCACCGACCACGCAGATGGCCGATCCAATAGCCATGCCTACGCGGCGGCCATATGTGTCAGAGCAAGGCCCAGCGAAGAGAGAGCCTGCTATGTTGCCTATGACATAGAGAGCTGCAACAAGGCCTTGATTATGGATGGTGATGCCAAAGTATTTGGTAAACTGGGGGATGGCCGATAAGCCTCCTAAGGTGGCATTAGCATAGGTAGGGACTCAAACATGTTGCCATCACATTGTAAGGTCACCAAAAGTATTGGAGTCGAATCCATTTGTGGCCGAGCACAAGTATCCGACAAAAATGCACCCGTACAGCTTCAAGAAGCTCTTTCGAAATACGCGAGGATTCTCCCTTAGCAAAGCAGCTTGCATGCGCGACTCCGTCATGCAACTCTGCGTGGTAACTTTGATTGGGTCCGGGTCCTCATCATGAACAATATCATGAACAATGTCATGCTGGTTCATTGCCTTTGGGTTATCCATGATGGATGAAGTAAGCCTGAGTAAGGCCTACTATGGCATTCAATTAAGATGAAATTTGGCATTGATCTGCCCGTCTCGGTGAAGAGGGGCCATGCAGTTATATGCAAGTTCCACCTGTTACTACTAGTCCCCGAAATGCACGGCTCCCCCACAGCTTAGTATGGCTTCCCCAGGAACTGTTACCGGGAAACCCAGATCATTTCCCCAGAAACAATATTTTAGATCTCCTTCTCCGCACTTTCATCATGGTACTTTATCCACACACGGGGACATGAGATCCGGCTTTCTTCACAAGAGATTGGGAAAGAAGCTTCGGCAATACCCAAGTTTCGATGATAAGCGAGGAGGCTGCGAGCATCATTACTGTTTTGGCTTCTGAGTATTGAACCCCCTCTTGCTAAATCCTCCATTCAGCCGCTTTGTTTGCCGATCACCTGATCGGCTAAACGATCATTTTGGGCAGACCGAGTACCCAAACCACATATGGCCACCTACATATACAAACGATACGCCAACCTACAATCTATGGAACATTCATTGGCTATTCAATATCATCAGTTTAAAATATAGTTTGCAAGTGCAGAAACATATAAGTTGTCTATACAATTTGTCAACTGCACAAGGCATAGTAATTTCTCCGTCAACATAGCTCTAGCACCCCTCCGAGAAGTTCGACTGAAACCTTGGAGTGGCGTGTTGACGAGTGGGGAGGCCCTCATCGTCTTAAAAGTACCTCTATCTATGTATGCGTGTAGATAAGTAGTCCAATTAGTTGTTTAGCCTGTGCCTTGACGTACGGTTATGCCCACTACTTTTTCTCTATTCGTTGTTTCGATGAATATCTCCCAGATGTATCGTCAAGAATTTATCCAGTTCGAATAGATATATGCATCTTGCATCTTTGCTCTATTGTATTATACAACAGTCGATATTTGTATGTAAATCTCCACCCAAAAGAAGAAGGCAGAGTTCGCCCTAGTATAAATCTACTCTGCCCCCGCCAGAGCACATGCTCTCTATAATTGCCAAGTCATTCAGTGCTTCTTCTGGGCCCGCCTTCTTTTCCGATTTTCCGATTTTAATGGCCTCTAGGAATGCCTTGATTTCCAGTTCTACCCCTTTGCTTCGTATCGTCTCTGATCTACTCTCTCCTGAAGCAAGGTCTAGAGACAATACGAAGCCATCAGGGCCATCAGTCAGGAAGAAGCTGCCCTTTGATCCAATTATAGTAAGCTCCGAAGCTCGTCGTGTTGATGCAAATGACATTGATATGGTCCCAGTTCCTCCACCACTCAGAAGGATGCCGGCATTAAGAGTATCGAGAGGTGGCAAATGGGGCGCAACCTGACGGGCAAACCCAGCCGTCTCAACAACCTCTTGGCCAGAAATGTAACGAAGCATGGCAGTTTGATGTACTCCACCGTCAAGCAAGAAACCGCCTTGATATTCCGGCACTTTTCGCCACGGGGTTTCGTACCATTTCCCCTCAGGAGGCTGATTACGCCATATTTTGAGGTGTGCCTGAGTAATATCACCGACTGCTTTTTCTTCAACGATCCATTTTCGACCAAGTTCAAACTCGTGCATAAATCTAAATTGCTCAGCAATATTAAAAATGAGTCCTTTGCTTGCGTACAGCTTGTTGTAGTCCTCGATCAATTCGCGAGCAGTTGCGACATCTTTGGCGATTGGCTTTTCGCAAAGCACATGCTTCCCGGCAGCTAAGCAGCGCCTGACAATCGACGGCTGCACCAGAATTGGCAAAACGATAATCACCGCTTCAATATCGCTGCGCTTAAGAAGATCATCGAGCGTATGCCCAGAAGTGTCTTCTGAGTAAAGCTCAAGACTAGTGACACCGAGTTTGCTTGCTTCTGCTACAAGTGTAGATGCAGTAGATTTGGAACGAGAATAGACTGCCTTGATGTTGGCCTTGTTTAGCACAAGCGCGGGCAAGTGTTCTGGTGAGCGAGTCAGTGCCATGTACGCTTGTTACCCTTGCCAACAGCTACAAGTAGTTGATTACCTTCTGTGGCAAAAATGCCAGCTCCTAAAATTGCGATACCCGCCATTACGCAAACCTCGATGAGCTTCTATTCCGATTCCGTACAGTGAGTGTGAGCTTATTCGGGGTCGTGAAGGAAAGCTATAAAACACCAAGAGAGAAAGATGGTATTACAGACACTGGCGGGGGAGGCATATATATTGCGCACTAGGATAAGCAAAATATTAACGAAGTCTGCATCGCCCGCAGCATGTTCCTCGTACTTTGTACTTGTTTCCTTATATGAGGGCGAGGTGCCTCCGGCTATTGTCAAATTCGGATTACCCGAGACTCATTAGCACAGAATTTCACGTTATCAGGCGATCTTAGCCGGCTGGCGATTGAACCAACCAATGCGAACTACGGAGTATTTGCGGATTGACTCTCCCCGAGTGTAGCAAAGCAAGACGCCTGAATTAACCCGAACGACGAGTAGGAGGGTAGAAGGACCATTAGTTCAGCAACCAACAGGCGTTTAGACGAGAATAGAGGGAATCGATCCGAAGTCTGCTCGCACCAGACGCCACTACTGCCGCCTGCTGCCACAATTGGAACATTTCCACGTTGTTCTGGTGACTAAATATGTTCAATAGTCCAATACCTTTGCACGAGGCTTAAAAGTGACGAACGGTTATCCTGCGCTATCGGAGTAGTTCCGGGGCATTGTCCTCCATACTTTGTTGTCTCTCGTCCAATCTCACCATTGTGGCCAGCTATGAACGGCCACTACCCCGCAGTTCTGAATGGTTAAATGCACCGGAGAGCCAAATGAATGATGTAAGCGACATTGGGGAGCAGAGAGTCATCATCCACGTGAAACAATATCCAAACTGAAAGGGATGAGGAAGTAGTACTAGTAACTTGAGCTACTTTTAATAGAAGGATGTTGGTTGAGAGGTTGGTAAGCACGCCTACCAGAAGAATGGTGGCTTTCGCAGATTTGTACGGGATGCTCAGACCCTATCCATCATATAAGTCTAACGTAACTGCTAGTAGTAGCTAAAATCACTGAGAGGGCATGATGGTGCAGCATTTTATTCGTATAGTCCAATAATGTACTCTGCTAGTACTACGAAGCACCGACTTTTTTCTTCTTTCTTCTTTTTCCAACTTAAAGGCTCTTTTTCTCCCCAAACATCAAGGAAGTTGAAACACCCTCGTAAAGTCGAACGCCACTTGGAGGACATGATTATTAAACGTACGTCTTCTTAAGCTTGTTACACGACATCCGGGATAACTTAGACTCTATCGTTAACTTTACAATCGGGTCGAGTTGCCAGGGCCCATAGAGCCACCTTGATGCATTTGTCAGAAAATAATAGGTTTTCATCAACAACTTTGTAAACCGAATCAACTACTTTCCTACATCTGGAGATCAGTAGCCTCGCAGATTGCCTAAAACTTGGCGCTATGCTGATTATGGACAGCAGTACCCTTGTAAAGCAGCTTCCTGAGTGGTAGAGAAACTAATCAATATTGAACAGATGATAACTACTTGTAACCAGACAACTAACATGGAGAAAACCAGAGGTATATATAATCGGACCACCGGCGTTATGGTGATACAGGAACCATCAATTTATTTCGCCGTTTCTTATCCCGGAATTCTTCAGTTATACTTCTACTGTGCTCTTCTACTACATTATCAATCCCATATATACTATTCCCCTTCTTGACAACTTACGACTTCCACGTTGACAGTTGTGTCCCCCCTTACTCCATTAAGGCTGTTGATCGATACTTGTGTTAAAGCGTCATAGTCGAAGAGAAAGGAAATTGTATCCAGGAGCTACTGGCATGACAAACAGGATGGCTTCAGTGCGCTCTAATATACTTTATACGATCGGGAATACTTCCATGATACAGCTTCAAAATGTTGTCCCGTCAAACGGAGTTCGTATTCTGTTGAAAATCGAAAGTAGCAATCCAACTGGTAGTATGAAAGATCGCATGGCTCTTGCAATGATTACTGCCGCCGAAAACGATGGTCGTCTTAAGCCAGGCGGTGCAGTTGTCGAATATACTGGTGGCAGTACAGGAGTTTCCCTGGCATTGATTTGCTCCGTCAAGAAGTACTCACTTCATCTGGTTACGTCTGATGCCTTTTCGAAAGAGAAGCTTGATCACATGAGGCTCCTCGGCGCCAACTTGACCATTATACCAAGCGACAATGGCAAGCAAACTGAGAAGCTGACCAAGGACATGATTCGGGAGGCGAAATCTATAGCCGCCAAAACGGGAGCCTATATCACTGCTCAGATGGATAACATCGATCAGCTCTCTGCGTATACACAACTCGCAGATGAGATTTATGAACAAGCCGAGGGCCGCATCGACGTCTTTTTGCAGAGCGTCGGATCAGGAGCTGCTCTTCGAGGTATATCAGAACGCCTCCGTCAGCATGACAAGCGCATCCGTTTTGTGGCTGTTGAACCCGCAGAATCTGCCGTACTATCGGGTGGCCCGTCAGGATCGCACAACATTGATGGTATAGGGGCTGGATATGTTGTACCATTATGGTACGAAGGTATCGCAGATGGATTCCAGGGTGTGTCGTCTGCAGATGCAAGGGCTATGGCATTTCGGCTATCTCGTGAAGAAGGGTTGTTCTGCGGGCTTTCAACGGGGGCTAACGTGACGGCCGCATTGCGTGTAGCAGAAGGTCTCAAGCCTGGGTCTACTGTTGTGGCCATTATGTGCGATTCAGGCATGAAGTATACGACGGGATTTTCTCAGCATCTGGAGCCGCTTCAGAAATGATGTAATTAAAATACTACCTTGATAAAAGTTGCAAATTCAAGGTACATCTTTAAAATTCTGCAACATGTAAAAGTGCAGGCTTGGGATCGAGCACACATTGTGTTAGAATGTGGTTTGGCTGATGTCTCATGTATATTTATCACGACTTCCTTTGCATGCGTTACATACAGGACCTTGAGTCTCATACAAACTATTACAAGCTGTTAACTCATTGAACTAATATCCACAGCCTGGCTGTAGCCCTTGAAGCGTTCGCAGACCAACCTCTGGTCTTCACATCCACATCTGCAAAAGATAGGTACACTTATGAATTGATATGGGTCGTGACAGTTGTAGCAATGAAACATGGATCAAACGGATACATCATATAAATTAGACATGATTCAGTATTGTATAAAGTAGGTATGTTGCCGCCGGTAATGCGGGACGTACAATCTCCGGTGGGTATGGAAAATAAAATATGTGCGGCGTGGATCAGGACTTTAAAGAGGCACACTTCTATCGAGTAATAGCAAATGGCCGATGAAAATTGCCACTTATGTTGCCAAAAATGGAAGATGTCTTTTGTGTGTAAGCGGATCTAGATCAGGCAAGCACATAGTATACGCGTAGACTATGTTCATTAAAAACGATATAGGCTCGTATCGTATTCCTTTGGGGTTGCAATGCAAAAGTACAATCTCCACTGCACATAGAGATGCAAAGTAGATTCTCTCGAACACCTGTCTCAATACAGTTTTAACGTCATTCGAAATAGTAATCTACGATTTTTTTTTATTACTCAACAAGGCCCGCCAATTGAGAATAGGGTTTCTAACGAGCCAGAGAGTCTGTGAATCTACCAAGAGCCAATAACGATTAGGAGTTCATTCTTCTAACCAGCTCTCAGTTGGAGATCTCTTTCCATTATTCTATAAATGATGACCGTTTCATGGCTAGTTGGTCATCGTGCCGACATGAAATTGGAAATGTATGGACGGGGAAGACCAGCAAGTACAAATAACGAATAGTTGTAATGATGCAGATCGGCGGAAGACCAGTTCTCCAAAAGTAAGGATTTAATGAGAGCTATATGTTAGTGGGTATTTTCCCCCTGGCATTTCGACAGAGAGCGTGTGAAACTTCTAGAATGAGATTTTTCCAAGGATTGGTAATTTGAGCCTGTTATCCAATATGTGGATTCACTGAATGTGGATTAATTAGACCTCAAAAGGAAAGAGCGGTATGATTTTGTAAGCAGACACGTGTTTGCACATCATGCCTGTAACATGTGGGAATTTGATGGCCACGATGCATACCCTTTTGAGTATAAGACTACAGGGTGTTTCGTACCTCGATAGCAATCATGCACATATTACCAATTTCACGATTTGTAGTCCTCGATTGAGTAATCAATGTATACTATCGAATTTGAAAGTTGACTTTCTGTCACTGATGTATAGGGGTTTTTCTGAGTCTATAAAAGCTTCAAAGATGACGGTTGCTACTGAGGAGGGATGAGAACTTCAATCCTTTGTTTTCCATTAAAGAAAGAGCTGCAGTAAAGCATCAGCTACAATACGAAACTTGATAAGCCTGGGTAATTCATTCATAATGCCTTATGAGCGCTATGGAACGAAGGGGGCTGATCCGTCACCATTGGGTCAGCCCATTACCTTCTCTCCTTCTGGGCGAACAGCCCTCAATCGATTCATGAAAAGTCCTATGGCTGAAGGACTGGCTACATGGGATCCCAAAGTACCTCATTTACGAGGCGAGCCAACTGACGACTTAATTGAACTATATCGCCGGTATGGACATACTCATTACGTAGAAGAGGTCGCCATGACTGCTAATATGAGATTGGATCTAGATGGGGAGAGGGTGGATGGGGTATGATTGCTACCGGCAACATCGATACGTCTTTTGATGCTTTAGATGACATCGGTGATATGATTATCACTACCAAATGCGAATTTCGTGGACCACGCTTTGAGAAATTCCAAGAACTGGCCAAAGGAGCAAAGGCCCATGGAAGCTTCATCCTTGGCCAAATTAGTCATCCAGGAAGACAGGTTCAATATCGTTTGAGCAAAGAAGCCATATCCGCGTCAGATGTGCAACTTGGTAAGAGTTAATGCCCCGAACTTCATTGGTTATCTGATAATTGACTAAAAATAGAGCCAAAGATGGACATGATGTTTGGAAAACCTCACGCTGCTAGTAAGGCAGAAATAGATGAAATAGTTGAGGGTTTCGCATATGCTGCTGAGTACCTGGAGAAGGCTGGTTTCGATGGAGTTCAACTTCACGGGGCGCACGGTTACCTCATCTCACAGTTCTTATCTAGACGAACAAACAAACGAACGGACGAATATGGAACTCAGACAGTCGAGAACCGCCTACGCTTTATTACTGATATTGCTAGAGCTATCCGTAAACGTGTTTCGCCTCATTTTATCGTCGCATCCAAACTCAATAGCGTTGAATTCCAAGATGCAGGAGTGACGGCGGAAGAGGCTCAAGAAGTTTGCATATGCCTTGAGCGAGAGGGGTTTGACTTTGTTGAGTTGAGCGGAGGTAACTACGAGAGTTTCGGACTAAAGTGGGAAAAAGAGTCGACACAAAAGCGCGAAGGATTCTTTCTGAAATGGGCAAAGATCATCAGTGATGGCCTGAGCGAAGACAGCAAGCTCAAGCTGTATTTGGTCGGCGGTCTTCGGACAACCGCTGCGATGCTGGAAGTTTTAGACATTGTTGACGGGGTTTCGTTTGCGAGACCAGCAGCTGCAGAACCCGATTTTCCTCTCAAGGTATTGAAAGAGGGCGTCACAGGATCTATTAAGCCAGTGGACGGCTACGACAGCATTGGCGGCAACTTTGCTGTTGATCTCGGCATAGCAAAGGCGCAACTTACACAAACTGCTCGTGGCTATGAGCCAATCGACTTGAGTGATGGAGAGGTTGTGAAGAGTTTTCAGCAAGACATTGATAAGTGGTGGAAGAATGTGGTGGCTGATGGTGATAAGCTCAAGTATATACGTGCGCCTGAATATTCGGGCCCGCTGAAGCTACACGAGTAGGCGACTCTGAGTGCATACCTTGTAAACACAATATGGTAGAACAAATACAATCTCGTTCCATTAACCTCCTCCACCTCCTCCATACCATTTTTTCTTAAAATATTACGCCAAGGTTATGCATTCAAATTTTCTTGTCCATTTTTCTTTTACTTCTGCCTTCTCTCAACCTCAAAGGCAGTTGGTTCTCTGATGCTTCCCAAAGGTACAGCTTTCATTCCGACGGCACTAACACTTGCGTGACAGCATTGCCGATCCTTATATGTCACTGAAAGGAAGTTGAACTAATGCGGGCTCCAACGTTTACTCTAATACTTGATTCCAATCAACCATGTTCATGTTTCTCCAATCTGCAGTCGAGTTACTCTCAAAGCGGGTTGGTTTACCGTTCCGTCGGATGATACAGCACCCCACCAATTCAGTCTCCCCTCACGATCACATCAAAGTCGAACGAGGAAGTCCCCAAATATCAACGATGCGAGTCAGAAGGTAAATACGAAAGCAGAGTGCGAGTTCCGACATTCAGGCAGAATAAAACTCAATGATTTTCGTCACCCTGCATTTTAATACCTACAAGAGGGAATCCCCCGCAATAACTTGATCAACGAAAACCTGTTTTCAGTTAATGTGAGAGAGATCAGCAGTGACATTTCCCTCTAGAATATTGCACCAGACTCCATTGTTCAATTCATTAGATGAGAGTAATATTCGTAAAGGGGACCTGCTTTAATAGGCTAAATTGAAACATTCCGTTCTGGCGAATCAGTAAAGCATCATGCGTCCAAGTGGTTAACCAACTCAAGACACTCAATGTTATATAAAGTTGAGACTACAACTCAACAGACACAAGTCACTAAACAGAACACCTCAATCATTGGACTTTGTTTATATCTCTCTCTATTCTCGACATGAGAATATTCTCATTGACAACCTTTGTAGAGTTATCTCTATTTCCAACGGTTTACCCTCTGTTTCCCAACAATGAGATTCCGTTTCCGGATTGTTCTCAACCTCCTCTAAGTCAAAATGGTATCTGTGATACAAGCCTCAGAACAGAAGCCAGAGCAGCAGCCCTAGTCGCTGAACTCACATTGGATGAGAAGGCCGCAAATTTGGTCCACAATGCACCCGGCGTCGAGCGTCTTGGCCTTCCTCCTTATGAATGGTGGAACGAAGCCCTCCATGGACTTGCTGGAGTTTCGCCGGGTCAGGGAATCAACAGTACTTTCACTCAGGGAAATGTCGCATTCAATTCGTCCACTCAGTTCCCATCTCCCATTGTTATTGGAGCAGCATTCGATGACCAACTTGTCCACGATATTGCAACAGCGGTCAGCACAGAAGCGCGAGCTTTCAGTAATCATTTGAAAGCCGGCTTGGACTACTGGGCTCCAAACATTAATCCCTATCGGGATCCCCGATGGGGTCGTGGTCAAGAAACGCCCGGAGAAGATCCTTATCACGTTGCACAGTATGCTTATAATTATGTCGTGGGATTGCAAGGCGGCGTCGGCCCAGCCAAACCCAAGGTTGTCTCAACGTGCAAGCACTTTGCCGGCTATGATATTGAAGATTCCAATGGGGTAGTTCGCGGTTCATACAACGCCATTATAAGCACTCAAGATTTGGCCGAATACTACCTCCCCAGTTTTCGGTCTTGCTTCCGCGATGCTAAGGCCAGAGCCGTCATGTGCAGCTACAATGCCGTCAATGGACATCCTTCGTGCGCCAATTCTTATATGTTGGAAAATGTGCTACGCGATCATTGGGGCTGGGAAAGCTCCGCTCATTGGGTAACTGGAGATTGTGGTGCGGTAGACGGTGTCTTCAATCAGCACCACGTCGGTCAATCTGATGCCCAAGGAGTCGCGTTTGCGCTCAATAATGGCACAGACTTGGATTGTGGAACAGCTTATTCTTCTCATATAGCAGCAGCCGTTCAGAGCAACTATACTACAGAAGCTCAGCTGGATCAAGCTCTCGGTCGCCTCTACGGCTCTCTTGTTATCCTAGGGTACTTCGATCCACCTGACGGTCAAGATTATCGAACTCTAGGAGCTTCCGACGTGAATACGCCAGCTACACAAAAGCTTGCTTACACTACACTTATCGCAGGTATAACTCTTTTGAAGAACGATCACAATATCCTACCTATCCGTCCAACGGGGCAGACAGTCTTATTTGTCGGTCCATGGGCCAACAATGCTTCTGTGTCAATGTTCGGCAATTACAATGGGGTTGCTCCTTATAAGACGATTCCCGTTCCTACCGCAAATAGCTCTTCATACAACTGGAAAGTAACGTATTCGCAAGGATTGCAGTACGTTCTCTCAAACGATACGTCGCAGTTTGCCGCCGCAATCAGTGCTGCCCAAGAAGCCGATGCAGTGGTATACATTGGTGGAATTGACGAGCAGGTTGAAGCCGAGGCTCATGATCGAACCTCCATTGGCTGGCCTGGAGCGCAGTTGGATCTTATTCAACAACTAGCAGCAGTAAAACCTATTGTTGTTGTGCAAGTGGGTGGCGGCCAAGTCGATGATTCCGCTCTTTTACAGAATAGCAACGTAAAGGGTCTGCTCTGGATGGGTTATCCCGGCCAAGAATTCGGACCGGGGTTGATTGACATACTTAGCGGCGTTGCAGCACCAGCCGGAAGACTACCTGTTACACAGTATCCTGCGGATTATATCAACCAGGTCCCAATGACAGATCAGTCTTTACGGCCAAGCTCATCCAATCCTGGCAGAACATATCGATGGTATAATGGCTCAGTAATACCTTTTGGCACAGGTCTACACTATACAGAATTCAATGTCTCATGGGCGACAGGGGGCACCGGCAAAGGAACGTACAATACAGCCGAATTCACTGATGCGGAGGATCCAAAGGACTTGGCCGAATTTGACACCTTTCGAATTAACGTGGAGAACATAGGTTCAACGGCATCGGACTACGTCACACTCCTCTTTTTGAAGAGTACAGATTCTGGACCTCGGCCATATCCCCTGAAGACTCTAGTAGCTTATGCCCGCGCCCATAACGTTCAGCCTGGTGCGACGACAACACTCGACCTGAAAGTCAACGTTGGACAAATTGCACGCAATGATGCCAACGGAAATCTTGTTCTATACCCCGGTACATACAAACTACAAGTTGATATAGAGAATCTTGGTGGGCCAACAGCAGAATTCCAAGTTCAAGGAGCAGAAGCTGTGCTGGATCAATTCCCTCAGCCATAGAACATTGAGCTTGAACCCTTATGAGCTCGACGTTCCAATATGCAGATCTTGACAGACTACAGCGATTCATAGTCATTGTAGAGTATATCGAATAGTTAATATAGTTAATAATTCACCCAAGTTTCTTTCCAATGACCTTCTCTATCCCCCCCCTGGGTATTCCGTAGAATTTTCGTATGCTCAATTCAGGAGGAAGATTTAGTTGAGACGTTTCACGCCAATCGGGCTAAGCCAGACAATGCTACCTGCATATACAAAAGCAGAGGCGAATAGCGATTGCATTTATTGGTTGTCTTGATTTGAGATGCGTAAATACGAGTTGCCCCAACGAAATACGCCATATGGGGTTTATATTTTTTTTATCATTTTCCCCCCTGCCCAAGTCGTGTTTGACACCCACCCCTAACACCGTACTGATACGAAGTGGTCAATGTCCGCTTCAATACGAGCTGAGACAACAGTTGTTCTCCCAACTGGGCTAATTGACGGCTTTCACCGTAAATCGATTCGCGACATCGGGTCCGCCTCTAGTTATCAATCCCAGCGATCTTGTAAAGGAGAAGTCTCCCAGACTTCGTATACGACTCCTCTGGCTATACGAGACTTTTTTGGCTATCAAGGTACGTGATCGACATATTCCATCACCGTGGTGCCATATGCTCCGTCCAAGTTGCAATTTCCCACAGCATCCGGCCAAAGTTTCAATAATTGCTTACATCTACTTGGTGCGAGCTTCCATTAGCTCACTTTATGCTTTCGCCAATATCGATTGCTGTTTTTCTAACGTTGGTGCTGATGGGCGGTAAATTTGAATAAGCAATAGTTGACATAAAGGCGATCAAAAATGGATTCAGTCCTATATGAGTATTCAAGCAGCAACCAGTGAGTCTCATTCACTCCGTGCAAGAAGTACTATTTAGGTGGTTTGTAAAAATGGCGACAAGGTTGATTGACATTGAAGATATGATACTGGAACAACTAGTAGACGTCTATCCAACTGTTAATAAATATACGTAACCTACAACTGCGTTGCTTCTCAATAGTGTAAATGGGCGCCCTTGAGTACAGGACGATGTCCTAGACCAGCGTTATTTGTGTTTCCCCTGAGACCCATTTAAGATGGGGGAAAAAAGATAATCCATTCATCCCAGGCGACCTTTGTCGAGCACTATCAGGTAACTATGGAAGGTGATGACCGAAATCCCCCCAAGTAAGCCCATTTTCAATCCGCCAAAAATTCCGGCCTCAAAAAAAAAAGTCTCATTCGTCCGCCACGATACTCAAAACGACGGCATAATACCCAAGCCCTAGCTTGATTTAAATCATTAGTTAATATTCTCCATTTTTTTTTTTGAACAACAGTCAGAACGCGAAAAGAGAAATTTTTTTCGTAGCGATATCCATTACCCTGTAGGTAGGTGCCATTATGGCAGCCTCACTCATTTGGGTGAAATGATTCCTTTGTTGAGACTGCTGCTGTTGTCCCATTCATCCACATCAGACCAAGATCACCCATAGATTACGAAATTGACGGCGTCGCTTCTCTTTGGTGCCACGTTATTGCTCCGGAATTGGTCGCGCGAATCACCTGCTGTAGTAACAGAGAATAAGCAGTCACTTGGCTTAGACGATCCTCACAAATACACTAGCAGTGGCCGCAGCAAAAGTTGCCCGCATTGGCGATGGTGCGGCTGCAGTTGGGCTTTCCATATATATTATTGCTGACCAACCTTTCCCGCGTTCCAAATGAGCGCCCAGTCATCGCCATCGACGTGGTCAGCGACTGACTGCGCACACAGCCTGTTGCTCTACTCTATATGAAGCACGGCGGCTGCTATAGCCGACCATTTGGCCACCAACGGAAGCGCCAAGCACGATGCCAAGCTGTAGAGAATGGCGTACGAGTAGTTTCTTGTGAAGGCCAAGAGACGATTAACAGTAATAGTGCTCGTACGTCTTACTACGGAGCATGAAGTATCTCTCAGACTGCCATGCCTGTGGGGCCTGCGCTATTTCAAAAGGCCGTCTGTTCCGTATTACCTGGAGGACTGTATCTCCCCGTGCTTGGTGCATACACATGCCGTATTCGACGCTTCTTCGAGAATCACAGTGGCCGGGCGGTGATTCCAAAGCTTAGACGACTGACTTTGCGCTGGCGGTAACGTTAACTCAACTCAAACTCTAGTGTGCGTCTATGGCCGATCGTCAGGCACGAGGCGGCACCGAATGAACCAAATGTGGCTTGTTGTTTCGCCCGTGATGCTCAGCCTCACGCCGGCACGGAGCGTTTCTTCGCGCCAAGAGCGAATCTCACCGCTGATTGATGCGTCAATGAAGTTTGCAAGAAAGCTACCCCTGCAGGTGCCTAGCTTGGGCTGAAATTAGCAGCGGACGGAGCCTTGACGGATAGGCTAAGAAAGGACGGCGTCGGATATACTTCGCAGTGAAGAGCGGAGAGGCATGAAAAGAAGCTGGTGGGACTCGTGTTGAGTTCTGTCATGGCTACCCCTGGACTCTCCATCAACCCAAAAGCGTTTCCGAGATATTTTCAGACTTTGGTCAGGCAGTAACGCAGATACACTTCTCCTACAGGACAACTGTCCCTTTGGCGATATAGGTTGAGCACCGGCACCTGTAGAAAGCACCTGTACCTTCGGACGTGAATCTTTGGAGTGACGCTTCTCGTCTGTAGGGCTGTTCCTGGCGCGGCCAAATCTAGTATTTGCAAGTCTTCGCTGTCATACTATTTTATATACACGTAAAGCATGTTGCCCGCGTGGATCAAGCCAGTGAAGGCAAACTCGCATGGCAAAGATTAAAATTAGCAGAGGGGAGATGCTAGGGGTTCTGGGTGGGCTGTTGAAAAACACGAAGACTCGTAGCTCGTAAACCCTCTCGGCCAGGTCACAGGATTAGGTCTAGCTCTGAACTTGAACCTATCACACACCCTAGGCATAAGCAACTTGAGGCTCTAGTGCCAAGGGTCCAAGATGCCTATAAGTAGATTGGTGCAGGGCTGGATGGATTCCTATCCCTGGTATGAACTATTGATAGCGCAAAGCAGTAAGCTGCAGTTGAGTGAAGCCACGAAGGAACTAGGTTATCGCCTGTCGCATACAAAATATGACCGGAAAAGGAAGATGGAGTCACTGCTGAGCCATGAAATATCTAAATATATAATCATATTACTACCACTATATATCTAGCGGCTTTCCCATGCATAAGGCTCCATGTCCCCCAGAATTATAGATATACTAGGATAGCAGCAGCCCTAGATCCTGTGAAGCACCATCTCTCTATTCATCCATTCTTTCCTTCTTCTTTCGGGTAGCTATACTTTATTCCAACTTCCGACATTCATCATGGTCAAGGTAAGAAAGACTCTTAGGGCTCCTAACATGTGGTTGTACTAAATAAAACTTCCAGCTTTCTATCTCTTCGCTTGTAGCGGGTGTAGCCCTCGCGGCCGCTCTTCCCTCATACCTGACTTCTCTTGCCGGCCTTTCTCCTCGCTCTTCCAACAGTGGTCAAATCGCAGCTCGTGCGACTGGAGGAAAGGTCACCAACAAAAACCTTGCCCGCTTTGATAATAGCAACATCGAGGACGGCGTTGGCAATGGAACTGACTGGTATCATCTCTATCTTGGCAACGGATCTGTCGCTGCCGGATGGCCCTCCAAAGATAAATGGGTTTCATTTGAGGACATGTAAGTCTTGATTCACGCAATAATTGCATGGCCAGCAAGCTCACACTAGGACAGGTTCAACAGCTACAAGCTTCAAATGTATGTCGCCTGTCAATATCTGAACTGGCGACTTCCCAACAATGATATTGATGAAGTGGTACGTTGACAGTCCAAATTTGCTTGATAGTCTCATCTAATCGTTGTAAAATGCAGCAAGCTATCTGGGACGGGATTCAAACCGCATCTGATGCTACCGGCGTCGACCATCGCCTTATTTTGGCTGTGATTATGCAAGAGTCGCATGGTTGCGTGCGGGTGAATACGACTGATCTCGGCGTCCGCAACCCTGGCGTTATGCAAAATCACAACGGCAAAGCCTCTTGCAATGATAATAAGAAGCTTACGACACCATGCCCAGTGGCGACAATTCATGAAATGATTAGGGAGGGCACCGCTGGCACCACCTCGGGTGATGGTCTCGCTCACTGTATCAACACGTCTGGCAATGGTGATGTCTCTGACTACTACCGCGCTGCTCGCATCTACAACTCTGGTTCTATCTCAAAAACTGGTAACTTGCAGAGCAACATTGCTACTCATTGCTATGCCAGCGATATCGCCAAGTAAGTTCATATTGAAGGCATCGCTTGGACCATCGAGGTAACTAACAGAGATATAGTCGTCTAACCGGCTGGGTTTACGCACCATCAGCATGCACGTGTGACACCGACCCTAAGAGCTGTGGTGTTTCAAAAGATTAATTGTTTTTTTCGGCTTCATTATTGTTATTATTATTATTTTCCTTTACTGTCATTTTTTACGACGGGAAGTCGGGTGGCCATCATATACCCAAGCGTTGATATTTAAAAGTTTTCAGCTCGGCGATTGTTTTATCGCAGCTATGGTTATAAACAGATAGAAGAACCAGAAGGTTTATACATAATATGAGGATAACCTACTACGGAATACCAGTATTCTTAAATGAATCATGACGTCTTTCATCCAGTCAAAGCAAAGTATTATAAATGCAATCGGCAACCTGCAGTTGTCAGTGCGGCATGTGTTATATACAGGCTTAAGAGCCAAGGTTCTAACGCCATAATGAAATACAGATAGCGTCTTGAAAAAGAAAAAATGACCAATGAGTTACTCTTCTCAGTAACCTACCATGCTATCAAAGCAACATATGTTGTGATATGGGCTGCGAAGGCACTTTGCCACAGTAGTTGAAGAGCTGTAAGTTTGACGTGACTTGAGCAAGTAAAATTTAAAGACCATGTTACAAGAGTTTCTTGTTGCTTCAGGTTGCTACTACCCTGGATTGAGATCACTTATCCCTAGCACCTGTGACTTTAGTTAGAATATCTTTCGGAGATACCATTTTCTGCGCTTGACTTTGATCAGTATAACTAAACGCGGTCTGTTCTTTATATAAATCATGAATGAACCGTCGACGTCGACGCAAAACGCCAATTTGTTGATTTGGTAATGCATGCTCTCAAAAAGAAAGCGATTGGGACCTGAAGTAAGGAGCAATGGCCGGAAATGAATATATGCATTGAATGGAGATGCTATATATTATTAAGGAACACTGCCATTAACAACATATATATATCAACGCTACATAAGCAGAGATAATTATATAACTAGGTAGTTATAGTTAACCTTAACCTCTAGATAGACTAACAAAGTCATTTATCATTAAACTCGTTACAGCTTAATATACGTCCAGAAGCTTTACCAACTTAAACACCCTCGCCTTCTTGACCTCTTTCAGAAAAATACAATACTAACGAATATTATCCACAATCTTATCAACAGCATCGCAGTAACAACGCCGTTTTAACCACCCCAACTATAAGCCGCATTGATGTTAAGGTGTCGAACTTCACATTTAAACTCAACCCATTCAGTTTACCTCAACTGACTAGTAGAGGAGATAACTACATAGAGGAGATAACTACATAGAGGAGATAACTACATAGAGGAGATAACTACATAGAGGAGATAACTACACAGAGTGGAGAGCAGCCTAGACTAAAGCGTTCCGATACGCCGAGGTGTCCCCATGTCAAAACAGTTTAGGATGCGTTCCACATAGACCATTTGACTAATAATAATAGACATAGTTATCTTGTTGATCCTCGGACCAAGAGGGTATTAATATGAATCCATGTCCTTGCATAGAAAGCGTGTAGGCAACGTTCTAGTAACCTTCCAGAGGCGACTTCACGATCCTCTGCAGTCATTTCAATATTGTTAACATAAACGCCTACAATCAGGTTATTGCTTTAAAAGATACAGGGGTCGGGGGACAACAGCGTCATTCATATATCTTCCACTGTCAACTCAAGGGTGCCAAATCACTCACATCCCGATCGCTTATGCCCGTAGAGTGCTTCATCGAGGTGTACAACGACTGGTTCAATGCCAGCTTCTAGAACTAGTTCAGCTAAGGTTATAATAAGAAACTGGATCTAGTAGGTAGTAAATAAAAACTGCCATAGGGTGATGCTGATCGGCTCCAGCCATTTGGATTCATGGGGTAGTTTTATAAGTAAGGAGGTGAATAGATGCGGCAAAGCAAGACTACTGCTGCATCAAAGCACAGCGACTTAGTGAGGTTCAAAGAGAAACGCTGTGTACCAATACATGAAATCAGTCTACGCCGTGTTTAACCTGGCCAAAATGGCGTAAGGAAATCAACAGATTGACTGCGCGGTTTGCGGTGTTTTAAGCCTTCCCTCCATCGTTTTCTTGGGTTTCTTCTGTGCATTGAGAGTCCCAACAGGAAACACAATCCACCCAATGCCGCGTATTTCCGGGTTAAGGCGTGAGATAAAATTTCTCTCGCTCCGGCTCGTGCACTCATTAGCGTCGGCATTCCCTCAAGCGCGCCCTTTGCCTCACTCTTTAACCAATCATGTTCACCCTTCGTGCACTTGTCTTTAACTAGATGCCTTGAATGCCCCATTCTTATCCTTACACTTAACCACAATGTGCAAGTAAGCAGAACGCACGTCAAAGGTCTTTCACAGGGCGCGGCATGGGTTTACAGTTCTGAGCTCCTATCCATTAGATCTATGTATTGTATCATTAATAAGGTTGAATAGGTTTTGGTTCAATTGCGGGTTGCTTGAAACTTGGTAGTAAGTGCCCCTATAAGCAGAAACTCACGCATGCATCTCTCGGTGTTCAGCCGAGTCATCAAGTTGGAGCAGAATATGGAACACGACCGTTCACCCCTCTTATCTCACTTTACCAAATCTATGTATAAGAGTAAATCTTGGACAAATAGCATCCACTAATAGTCCCGCAAACTACACTTTGTACAAGTAGTCATGCCATCGGGAGTGTGCTCCACCAACTCGGAAAATTTTACGTTTGTGGAACATGACTCGAAGGCTTCTAGAAATTTTCTTGCCGCCACAAAACAAGCTGTAATACACCATCTTATTTTGGGGAGGCACCAATCTCAGTGGCATCTATAAGCTTCTCCATTACATCAGGGATACTGTGGATAGGTTTTGCATCAATCTCAAAGCATCTTGCATTGCGGGGGAACGCATGTTAATACTACGGTCGTGCAAGCTGCGGGATGGATTCGTGGAGAGCATCAGCGGACAGGGTGGTTCGAGCAACCGACTGTCAACATCCACCCAGATTTGACGGATTTTCGGCATAGCTATGGGTCTTGCCTGAGGAATATCCCACTAGCTTATCGATGTCATTAGTTCAACAGTTTAAAACCCCATTCTTCGGCTTTCAGAGTTTTCCCTCCTGACCAGCCAGCCCCTTCCTTCTGAGTGACGTGTGTTTGTGAATTCCTTTTCGTGGGAAAAGCATACGAGTACTTGGCATCAACTGAGGCGGTAGTCCATTTTCTGGGTCTTCAATATGGCAGACAACATTGCCGCTGCGCATTCTGAAGCCTACGCTCAGCCTTCTACGAAGGGTAGCGCCGGTAAATATGAGAATCAGCGAGATGATTCAGACCCTGCAACCGACAATGACATCTTTGGAGAGACGAGCGATGAATTGCAAGCCAGCCAACTGAAACAGATTGCCGCAGATGGCAACGCGCATTTCCACCGATTGGGCTGGAAACGCCTGGCTATTGTTACTATTGTTGAAGCTATTGCCTTGGGAGCTCTTAGTTTACCAGCGGCCTATCATACTCTTGGAATGTTCCCGGGCGTTTTCCTTACCATCACACTCGGATCAATTACGATATTCACAAGCTACCTTGTGGGACAAGTCAAATTGGCCTATCCTCAAGTCTCTCACTATGCTGACGCTGGAAGACTCTTGTTTGGAAGATTTGGCTATGAATTGTTTGGTGCTGCCATGGTTCTCGAGCTGGTGATGTCTGTCGGCTCACACGCCCTAACCGGCAGCATTGCTTTGGGCACCTTGAATGGCAATCACATCTGCTCCATTGCTTTTTCAGCTATTTCGGCAGTCATCCTATTTATACTGGCTATTCCACCTTCCTTCACTGAGATTGCTATTCTCGGATATATCGACTTTGCATCAATCATTGCCGCTATTGGAATTACTATTATCGCTACTGGAATTAAAGCGCGAGACTCCCCAGGCGGACTTTCCGGCGTTGAGTGGTCCACCTGGCCTCGAGAAGGAGTCACTTTCTCTGAGGCTTTCGTGGCAGTAAGCAACATTATTTTTGCTTTCAGTTTTGCCATTGGCCAATTTTCATTCATGGACGAGATGCATACTCCCAAGGACTTCATGAAGTCGATCTGGGCATCTGGTATTGCCCAAATCATTATCTATACCCTGACCGGCGCACTCTGCTATGCATTCATCGGCCCGTCCATCCAGTCTCCCGCATTACTGTCGTCTGGCCCTCTTATATCCAAAATTACGTTTGGCATCGCGTTGCCAGTTATTTTTATCTCCGGTTCTATCAATTCGACGGTGGCGCTTCGATATATCCATGGTCGTCTCTGGAAGAAGTCAATCATTCGATATGTTAATACTCCCAAGGGCTGGGCTTGCTGGATTTCCCTCGCAGCAGTCTTGACGATCATTGCTTGGGTTATTGCCGAAGCTATACCCATCTTTTCTGACCTGCTCTCTCTTGTTTCAGCACTCTTTGTCACCGGATTTTCTTACTGGATCCCCGCTATTATGTGGTTCCGATTACTTTGCAAGGGAAATTGGTTCTCACGGAAGAATATTATCATTACTCTTGGAAGCATACTGGCGTTTATAATTGGAGTTGTTGCTCTAGTTGCTGGTACATACGCCACTATTACTGATATTGTAAGTGAAATAATCCTTGATTCCCCAAAGACAAGACAGACTGACTAACTTTGGTATAGATTCGAGAAACATCTGATGGAAGCACTACTCGACCCTTTTCCTGCAGAAGATGATATGTTGTGAAAGCTTTTTTGTTTAAATATAGAACACTTTTTGACGGATAGATGTGCCGAAGCTACAATGTCTCCGTACGGTAGATAGGCCATAATTTAGTACGGGCTAGTAGCCATATCGCTCATAACCTTTCTATACTCGTATGATAAGTGTTGAAACAAATAGGTGAAAGCCTAGAAGGTCATTGAGCTTTACATTCCATCAATAATGACCCTCTGATGATGATCTTCGGAGGAAAGCAATCTGATGAACACATACGCGGGTGAAGAAAGTTGACGGAATCACTGTCAAAAAATGCGAGAGATAGAGTTCTTTGTATAGTAGAATGGAGACATTGACATCCCTCTAAAAATCCGTCTGCTTTGTTGTACCGCATCGAAAGTACATATAATAAATACAAGTGGAACGTACATACGTGAGACGGCTAAGGAAGAGCCTTTGAGCTACCAAATAGTAAGGTGGGGTTTAAATACTGATAACAGAGCAATAAGACTGTTCTACATCATATCATCTTCATTTTCCACGGCATCCAGGGTGTGCTTAGGACCCTTGAACCATTTATGGGCGTAGACAAAATAATAAAGCAATGCGCCTCCCCACACTGTCCCGTTCACAACTGCGGAGTAATTCATGACGGATGCTTCAGTGATATTAGCACGGTTCTGCTCCAACTTGATGACATCTGAGTGGGAGACTTACGATCAGGATTTGGTCCTTCAGTGGGGAACATGCATAATATTGTCGAAAAAATCAAGTACACCAAAGCAGCAATTGAAATTGCAATACTAAATTTGCCAGTGTAGAACGGCCCTGGGCGAAATTTCTCTCTTCCCCAGAGTATGCGGCACAGTATTGGAATTGCCCATGCAACGTTATTGCCGGCTGCTGCTAGCGAGAAAAGCACGTTTGCGGCCGCATTGTTGATTAAGGATAGTAGGCCAATAATGATCGCCGTCAGACAAGTAGCCCAAACTGTTCTTAATGGCTGATAACCGAATGTTTTGCTTATCCGTCTGAGGAATGAAGAAAATGGCAATGCCCCATCGCGAGAGAATGCCCAGGTCTGTCTGGACGCTGCCACAACCTAGACAAAAGCTGTTAGCTTCACTATACACATATATACGTATGTCAATACATGTGTGTGTGAAAGGGGAGGAGGGTTCGGCTTGTTGGAAATGTAGAAAAACGGTGGTTGCCTTGAATGCCAACGTACAATGCTGAGTCCCATGAAAAACTGTAAAATTGAAATAGCAGACATAAAGCCCAGGGCGCCACTCTTCCCTAGAGCATTGTAGTAGATCTGCCGTTGGACGGTTAGAGCGAGGATAAATCTGAGCCGTTGAATTATCTGGAAGAAGCTCACCTGGGCTATTGGCTGGCCAAAAGGTGTGCCCAGAATATCCTCAAAGTTATTACCAGCGCAGGCAGCCAGTACCGCGGTCACAAGGAAGCCGAATATCCAGCAGCCTCCAATTGAGGCGAGTATACCGATCGGCACTGCTTTTGTTGGATTCTTGGCCTCCTCGCTCATATGCACACATGAGTCAAATGCTCCAATTGTCCAGATTGGAGACAGCCATGATAGCATAAAGGCCCACCCCGATGGCCACGTCGTCTCATTTATCGAATAGCCGAACACGTAGCTGCCTGAATTGATGGGGATGTTGCGTAATCGCATGCTGACGGGCAAGGCGATAATTGTTGCAACAATCAAGGCAAAATTTGCGACAACAAACCAAGTCTGAAGATGATGCATGACCCTCCCAGCAGAGGTCGCCAGTATACCGTGACAGAGCACCGTTGCCACGAATATCGCATAGAGTTGGCCTCTGCTAGGGATCCATTCCCCATCACTACTGATGGTGCCAAGTGAGACGATGAAAGATGCGAATCCATCTAGACTGGAATTAGCTGGATTGGTAAAAATGATTTATGACAGTTCTGCTCTTACAATCTATTGAGCAGATGCCCCCAATTAACCCTATTGTGTTGCTATATCCAACAAGGAAACTCAGCGGGTTTTTATATCGTTCAGCTGCGAAATAATGTGTCCACCAATAGAGACCGCCAGATGTTGGGAGCGAAGAGCCGAGATCAGCCTAACGATATTAGAAGGGCTGAAGCGGGGGTCAACATGCTGTAAAACTCACAATTGCCAGTCCAACAACGAAAATGAGAGCACTCGCAGAGAACCATCCCTATTTCTGTCAAACTACGCAGGGCTAAGGCGGCTGAGACGTACACTTACCCAAACCATCCCAACTGGACCTGCGGGAACGGAGAACCATAATGTTGCGGATATAGAAGGGAGAAGTCCCATAATGCTAAATGCTATAGCAAACACTTGAACACTAGAATAATGGCGCTGAAGTTCCTGTTTGTAACCGATACTTGCTATGTAACGCATCAGTATGATAAAGCTTTTAGTCGGGAGCACAGCAACCCTAAACTCGCCTAATTGCTGTGTATCTGCTGCATTGGCGAGTGCAGGATCATATTCAAGAGATTTTTCGTCCACATGATGTTGATGTTCTACTTCTGTCACGACACCTTCCAGGTTCTCGCGAGAGTCTCGAGGTGCCATGGCTCATGCCCACACAGCTGCGCTATAATTGGATTATGATAGAGATGACGACTAGAAGTTGGTTGGGAGGACATTACGTCTATGAGAATTCTAATGTCGCACATATATACGTATGTAGACGTAGGATTCGTTATCTTGCCCGTCCACAGAAACGGCTTCGGCTTCGGATTCGGACTCCATGATCTTGATAAACTTGAACTAAGCCTACAGACCATCTCGGCTCCCCACGTATCTAGTCAAAACGCGGGGAAATGCAAGGAAGTGGTCACTAGATCGGCTCCCATATCTCTTCAAGTTTAGTCTTTATCTCCCGACATGGAGCCTCTGCAGTTCAAGCTGAAAGGGCCCTGATGTTGTGTCTCCGCACGAAGCACATAAAGCCGAGGCGATATACGACGTCAACGGTAGCACAGATTTCATGTTTGGCTCCCTCAATTAAGATAAACCAGCGTCATTACGAGGCAATTAAGTAAAATTGGTTGGTAATGCGAACTCGCAGCAAATGCGAACTGTAATAAACCCAGCTATAAGATTAGATCCTCCGGAATCAAGCAGTGGGACGCAGCATACTGCAGTGCAGCAGAGCTTATGGTGTTGCCGGGGATTTTTACTTTGAGTTGGCCCCAAGTAACCTCAGCGGTTTCTAGTTGCGTAAGTGTTTATCAAGCCCAATTGCCAAACTTGGCCCGATTAACTCGAAGATTGAGTTGAAACAGAGAGTTAACCTTGATGATATGTGTTAAAAGCTGCTCTTTTAATGAACATGCCACAATAGTTATACTGGACTGCTCAAGATGAGAGAACAGAACATACTCGAAAGTATTCTCTGGGATAAAAAGTTCTTGAAAATCGGATTCATAATTGAATGGCATCTATTTTAATAGGACATCTTTGCCAACGAGAGTGTATCTTAAGCTTAGGAAATAAAGTCTACTCTCTAAAGACATCTTGCAACCTTGCGTCTGTCAGTCACTTGTGTGCCTCGGGACGCCCTATCGGTTGATGCGAGCGGCTCCACAGCTGCTTGCAGCTTGTGAATAAACCAGTTTTAGTGTCCTGCACGGCTTCAAATCCCCCAAATCAACATTGTCTTATGTTGCGATGGGTTATGTGGATGCGGCGTATTCTCAAGAATGCGCCGCACTAGCACTGACTTCTAATATCACTTCAGAAACTCAGTGACAGCCGGGAAGAATTGATCTGGCTGTTCAATCCATGGAAAATGCCCACACTCGGGAATAATGACGAGCTGCGAGCCGGCAATGTGCTCTGCTGTAAGACGAGTGACATTCTCTGAGCATATTGGATCCTCGGAACACCCCAAACATAGCGTACGGGCCTTGACTTTATCAAGCCCAGCATAGAGATCAAGGGTCTTGATCTTGTCGGCTGCACCCTGAGCTTTGTAAACCCACCATGAGGGCTCACCCATTGCCTTCTCAAAGGCGGGGTAATCTTTGTCTGGGTTGGCCGGATAGAAAGACAACCTCACGCGTAAGCTTTGAAACCACTCGTCCTGTGACTGGAATTTCTGAGTTTGGGCCGCTTCAAGTGCCGCAACAGCTTTTGAAAATGCAGGATTATCCCTTCTCTCATTCAGAAAGCGTTGCCAAATTTGACTGTCATCGTATCCTTCGAGCCAATGTGTGACGAGGATCAAGTTTCGGACTGAGGCGGGGTATCGCTCAGCATACGCTAAGGCGATGGTGCCTCCATTGGAATGACCAAGCAAATCAATTTGTTCAAATTCCAAGTGCTTTCGTAAATGTTCGACGTCGTCGGCCATATCGGAAGTGCCCATCATGTCTTCTTGTGGTCGCTCGGAGGGGCCTGAGCCGCGGGGCTCTAGGTATATCAGGGTAAATTGAGCCTCAAGAGGCGAAAGCCCAATTTGAAGATACTGAGAAGAAATCCCCCATCCTGCTGCCTGAATAACGAGATATGGTCCAGATCCTCGCACCGTATAAGTTAGTTCGATATCCAAGCCTTGGAATTTGTGAATCCCGGCAGCGAGGTTTGCCATTTCGTCAAGTGAACGTTGAAATAGAATCAGAAATTTCTAAATGAAAACAACCCAATTCAGCATCAACAACTGATGAAAGCCAGCGTAATGAAATGGTTTGCTCAACCAATGTAGTCGTTACATTTCTCACTTTGCGTGATACTGTTTGGGGGGAGTCACAAGTATTTATGCGTTGGACTCAAGAGCGTTTGGCATTTGAACCATGCCTGGTCTATCCACTTGAGTTAAGCATGCCCACCTAAGCTAAGCTAAGCAAGCTATATTCCCTATCGGAGGATTCAGTTTCAGGGGGTCTGATTCTCACCATCTTGTATAATTCAAAATGGTCGAATGAGGGATTACTTTATTGATTCGGTTTCGAGTCACTTTACCTGCCAAGAAATAAATTTCCGAAAGAAACGACGCTTAGGCGCCACTCTAATCTCAAAACCGATAATGCTGGATCTCAAAATGTGTTGCAGAGACATACTTGTTGTCACAACCTAAGCGTCGATTTCGCACTAGGCAATTGAATCAGCTCACTTACGGCGCGTGGATGACGAGGAGTAAGCGAAGAGTCCAGCCAGTTGGAGTCCGTGGGCCTCATACTTGGCTCCTCGTGATTGGGCGATAGGATTAACGGCTATTGCAGCGGCGTTTCATCTTTGGAGTGTAGGTTGCATTGATGCCTGGCTTGACCGCGCGACCATTCGCATTCATATTCTTCTTTCGGTATACTGTATTCTACTTTAACTATGGGATCACGTAATATTTTAATACTATTTTTAAATTAGTACCTTTAACACCTCTTGAACCCCTCTTCGTCTTTCCAAGATGACGAGAAATTGAAGCTTTGCCATAATTTGAGGGCTTAATTCCATCAAAAAGAGATAAGAAACACCCTTTTTGTCCCTAAGCAAAAGGTGTCCTATGGTTACAACAAACACAAACGTCAACTCACTATGGATACTTTGACAAAGAAGGTTGCGAAGGTCTCCCGGGGCTTTTCCTACACATATTATGCATCAACAGCATCAAGTGGGAAGCCGACCATTCTTCTCCTTCATGGGTGGCCGGATCACGCGGCACTGTGGGAGGATCTTGCAACACGCTATCTTATTCCACAAGGATATGGGGTCATTATACCGGACTGTTTAGGCCATGGCGACACCTCGAAACCCACTGACCCGGAGGTCTTTAACTCAGCCGGATTGACTGGCGACTTTATTGAAGTTCTAGATGCTGAGCATGTTGAAACGGTTATTAGTAGTGGGCATGATTGGGGCGCGGGTCTTGCTCACCGCTTCTATGTTTTTCATCCTGAGCGTTGCTCTGGATTGATCATGTTGAATTTTCCGGCATCTCCTCCACCACAAGGGCCAATTGTGATGGATCAGCTGGCTCCGGCAATGATCCAAGCTATTGGCTATTTCACAGGCTGGTACTGGGCACTATTTAGTGATCCGGTTGCCGGACCTGCACTGTTAAACGAGCATGCTGAATCGTTGTTTACAGCGTTGCACGCGGAACCAATAGAATGGATGAATACGCTTTGTGCAAAAGATGGGCTCAAAACCTGGCTGGAGCAGGACAAGAAAGGACCCGTGCAAGACTATGCGACCAATCAAATGAGAGAAAACTTCATCAATCGCATAAAACGGGATGGCTTTGAATCGTCTTTATGCTACTACCGATCGCTGCTAGATGGCCGTTTTTACGAGCAAGATTCGCGGTTGCCGGCTGAGAGATACAAAATCAATGTGCCGTACTTATTCTTTGCGGGAACACAAGACGTTGTTTGTCGGGCACAGGGAATTGAAGCTGTTAAATCCCTTGGATTGGCACCTCACCTGACAGTGAAAGAACTGGATGCTGGTCATTGGTGTATGCTCGCGAAACCGGATGAAGTTGGAACGTACTTTCTAGAGTGGCTGAGGGATAATTGTTAGTGCCAAATCGATATCGACTCTACGGCTGAGCATTAATATATTGCCCAAAGATACTGATAGGAGGTAATATTGCGTAACTGCTTAGTCTACCTTTGATATAGGTCAACAGCCTTAAGCACTTACAAACTATCCATACGCGCGTCAGTAGCCATGTCTAGATGCGGGCCGTCAAGAAACGTACCATGAAAGAACACGTTGAACAGCTCTTGTGGATAGAAAAATAACGCCGTTAACATTCATTCTGTTGTGCTAGCAAACTCAACCCTGCTTTTTAACCGATACAGGAGGGTGAGGTGGTACAGGAACAGATCTTGCAACCTGGCGGTTTGGCAATGCTAAGTTCGAAATGCCACCATTGAATTAAGCGATCTATCCTCCATTTGGTCATTATCTCGCTGGCTTCGCAACTTATATTCGACTATCTCTGGATGACATGGCCCTGTGCTGTTTTGCGTCCACCGACGTATGTCGAGACGCCAATTAGTTAGATGATGCCAGTTCAGGCTGATACTCTATCTGCTAAACCCATGTCGATATAAATATTACTTCCTCCCCCAGGAAAGACGGCATTCCCCCAGGGGTGTCTCATATGACATGAGCTAAAGTTCTGTATCACTTATCCGCGGAAAGGCGTGGTTCCGCCGAAAGATTGATTGAGAGGTATAGAAAACTTGTTGAAGGATTACATTTATGAAAAGGACGGCATAGGATAAAGGAATAATTATTACATATATCACTCGGCATAGTTGCTAAGGGTTTGGCTCATGTGCAACTGCAAACGCAGATACTTCAAGCAATATTGTCAATATTGTCTTCCCTGGTCTGTACGAAGCTCATGCAGTTTGGAATGCTAGTTTAAGCGTTAAAGTGTCCGCATATTTTATTCCTGGTGCTCCAAGTCGTATTTGCTCTCACTATTAACCAGGAATCACAACTTCTCTTTTTACACCTGGAAGCCATTGGGTTTAATGTCGTTTTTTTATATCGTTAAGCTGAAACCCTTTCCTCACGGTCTTCGAGATTAGTTCACAGACGTTGACTCATTTGCGTTGAAAGGACAGAGATCTAGCAAAGAGTGAATATTCGAAAACAACAAGGGAGAAAAGCGGAACATACAATGAGTGAAGGATCTAAACGCCTTCGTCCGAATGTAGGATAGCTGCTTATGAGCTACAGCAAGTCGAGGAATATTCTGTTTATCCTATACAAAAATAATGGCTTACTTTTAATTACCTGCTAAAACACAGGATAATGTGACCTTTTTCTCTTTGTCTTTAGCTTTTTAATCTTCTTTTCTTTGGTATCATATCGGTGGGAAGTTTCCATTTTCGGGAGGAGCGTAGATTAGTTTTTGCTTATTACTTCGAAGATGTTTTTGCCATCTGGCCAGACTTTTTAGCCGAGAGGTACGCAAACTGCTCATTACGCGATTGAATACCTGATTGCCTTTCGAATCAAGTGATAGAAATCGTTCCCCCTAGCGTGTGATCAAGTTTCAGTAAATTAGCGGTCTATTTGGTGCTATTGGCCTTGGGTACCTGCAACATGATGTCCTTGACAATTTGCGGCCGTTACCGGGCAATTGGATACCTTATCTCATGACCAAAAGAGGCCCTGCGGTTTAAGAATGCCGACGTTTCTCATCACTCATACCCGCTTCACAAGTATTGGGGACCATGTAAATTGGGATATATTCATGTTCCAAAGGTTGGAAGTACTTTGACGTAAGGCTATCACAGTCAAATTACCAGCGCGCCTGTATCTTCAATTTGGAACGAAAAATGCTTCTATTCATGATCACGAAGTTGCAACCCATGCAGTGAAGGGCCACCCCGCTGAAGAATATTACCTACGATCTAGCAAATAAGAGGCGATTTTCCCACTGCTCTCAATCCCTTTTAAGAAAAACAAAAGCCGAATTCGTCCGGCTTACTCAACGATGATGCACACCCTTGATATCCACAAACACCAGTCTGCCATAAAGATTACTACTCATGTAGTTCGTTACCAACTTAGTTTAGATGAATAGATGTCCGAATGCCAGATGATCTGTCCTCTGTGGCTCGCCAAGCAATCAAGTGCAGCTAAGTTTCCTGCCGCTAAACAGAAGCCATTGTATAACCCTGTTTAGAACTTGCTCGGCAACATCTGCCTAGGTAGTAAAGGACAAATTTGACGTTCATTCTTTCACTGTGCTCAATACTTAGAGAAAATGAATGTAGATCAACATCAAGATTGAATCTTAATGTAGGTCATAATTCAGGGATGATGACTGGTTCTAATCATCCATTCAGCGACCTCGCGGGGTGACTGTTGATGAGAACAGCTCGCGTGGGGTCATTCTGAATTTAACGCTCTACAGCTATCTTCTGGCTCACAAAGCACCCCCGCTCTTCAGAAGGAAGATGAAATTTGATCAGGCGATAGAAAATCTCAGTACGTGTTTCTGAGGCTGAAGAGTAATCATTATCAGTGGCTTCAGATATAGCGCTATACTATTGGTGTGCAAAATCTTACTCGCCCCAAAAACCAGTGTGCTGCTTACTCGATCCATTAATATTTACCGCTTTAGTCTTTCTCAGTGGACTCGTGTTGATATAAATGGGGCACGCAAATTCAGTGCGCCTTTCCAAGTATTTAAACATCACCTCTCTCTTTTGAGAACATGAGATGTCAAAAGACAGTCTACTACTTTGCATTGGATTCATATATTCAAATCGTATTAATATCACCTTCATTGGATTCTAATTATATTTCTTCAATTGGCTGACTCTTTCTTCCCCGTCTCTCTTCAATCTCATGTCAAATATGTCGCCATCAGCGGTGTTAGAGTTTCATGTGAAGAAGATAGCAATTATAGGCGCCGGACCTAGTGGACTCTCTGCTGCGAAATACCTAAGAGCACAAAACTCTTTCGATTCTATTGTCATATTTGAGCAACAGAGAAAAACTGGCGGCATATGGAACTGCTCAAAGCATCCACTTGAATTGACCTCAATGCCCAAAGATGATAGAGTCAGGTTAGCGAACAATTTCATTGGGGATAGCTCAAGCACACTGTCGCCGATTTATGACCAGCTTTATGCCAACATCCCCATACCGATGATGCGATTTTCTGATCAGCAATTTCCCAAAGGAACCTTGTTGTTCCCTTCACGCGAGGCCATCCAAGGCTATCTGCTTACATACGCTCAGGAGGTGATGAGCCTAATCAAGTTTGGTGTTCAGGTAACACAACTGGAACCTCTTTGCGAAGGAACCAGGACCACTTGGGCGTTAGAGGCAAAATCTGCGCATGATAACCAGACCATAAGAGATACGTACGACGCTGTAGTTGTTGCAACAGGACACTACTCGGTCCCATTTTTTCCAGACGTTGAAAACATCAAGGAATTCATGGAAGCATACCCGTCTGTCATATCGCACTCCCGCGACTATCGTTCGCCCACGTCCTTCAAAGATAAGAAGACCATAGTCGTGGGCAATGGAGCCTCGGGTACCGATATCGCCCTCCAAATCAACCGAGTATCACATCGAAAAACAATGATCTCCGTGAGGTCACCAACGCCCCAACCACGGCTGGCCTATATGGCGTGTGAGGAAGTTCCAGAAATTGAACGATTTTTTGTTGATCAACGAGGAATTCAATTCAAGGATGGGACAATAGAGACCGAGATTGATGCCGTTATCTTTTGCACAGGATTCTTATACGACTATCCCTTTCTTCGCGATCTAAACAAGAAGCTTATCACGACCGGCGGCGGCGTGCATGGGCTTTACAAGCATATATTCTGCATTGATCACCCGACCCTAGTTTTCCCAGCACTCAATCTCAAAACTGCACCATGGCCACTTTCCGAGGCACAAGCTGCTGTCTTTTCGGCTGTATGGTCTAACAATATTCAGCTCCCCTCGAAAAACACTATGCTAGAATGGGCTAAGAAGCTTGACGAAGACGAAGGCGAGCACCTGCATATATTTCGTACGTCATCATCCGATGGTCTATACATCAACAACCTTTACGATTGGGTGATGCGGTCATACCACAAAGGGAAAGAGCCACCATTTTGGAATGACGTTTCTTTTTGGCAAAAACATATCTTTCCCCAAGCTAAGCTCAAATTTGAAAAGGATGGTTATAAAGCAACTAGTCTAGAAGAGCTCGGATTCCACTATGAAGAAGATTGGAAGACAAGGGTGTGAATCTTCAAACAGTGATTAACAACTGAAAGAAGTATGCCAAGGATCTTTTAGCTAAATATAGAAATTCATAATCTTTGGTATCATGTCTCTCAAGCAAAGAGTGGCAACGAGGGTGCTGTCGAGACCACAGCGTCAAGTATTTTGCTATATCCCACATAGTTCTCAATAGCTAGATCATTCTGATTCCAAATGGCTTCAATCATTTGCTGCATGAGAGGAATATGATTGGATCGATGCCCTAATTCTTGGTTTGTATCAGCAAGAAGGGACAGTATCTGGAGACGCTGTGAATCTTCATTGGCTTCGCAGGCTATGATAAACAGCGGCCATGCACTCTCGCAGGACCCAAGGTTTTTTAACAACAGTATACCCTCTCTCACTAGCCTTCGGTGCGAGAAAGAGTATGTGGAGACATTGGATACCGTTCGATTCAGATATATCAATGCGGCATATCGATAAAGGCAGCTCAGCATGTTTTGCCTGTTCAACAATGACTCCAAATGTTCGTGAAAAGTTCCATATTCCCCTATAATCTCATATATATTTTGTCGGAACTGCTGGAGTCGCTCCATATCCGTGTTGTTATAAGGCAAATAGGCGCTTGCATAAGTCGATGGTCGCTTACAAACATTTCTAACAAGGTGAAGAACATCCATGGGACAAGTAATTCGATCAGCAGCCTACCACCGAATTTAGCTTAACATTCATGCATTATTATGTGACAAGTTGCGTCTCTTACCATGGGGTCGCCAATAATTATATCGGCGGGTCGCATTGCGAGAGGCCCTTTACAAAAGTCATCGATAGTGCTTAGCTCTGCCCAATGGTGAAGACTGAATTCGGACATTACTTCATGGTAATAGACCCAATCCATCAATACGGCGCAGTCATGTTGATATAATGGTACTGATTCGGAAGCGGCAGAGATGATTTTCTTCGCGCCACAAAGATAAAACCGCCATAGTCCTCCTGGCTCGGCTGTGTTGCAAACCTAAAACAGTCAAAGTCCACATCTGTAACAGTTGGGAGTGAGAGTGTATATACTTCACACTGATATAGAAGCATAGTGGCAATGAGATTTTGAAGAACGCCTTCTCTATCCGTCCTGGTGACATTTTTCTGCAACATTGAGATAAGGCGAGACTTATGGCTCTGGCTCTTTGAAGGCCCTAGAAGTAGTAGAGAAGACAATGCAAATATGCCTTCCATCACTGGATTGGCCAATGAACCATCATTAATAATTGCCATTCTCATTATGAAATGCGCCAGTGATTCATCAATGACGGGTGCCAAGATTCGCGTTTTCGTTTCCTTGACTATTAGAGCAGAGTTAAGCGGCGTGACGTTTCATTGAGGCCAGATCACCCACAATAGTCGAGCAGTTGGTAATCTTCCCAGAGTAGAGACTGTGAGAGGATTGGTAAGTGCGGCACCCGCAAAGTATGTAAATAATGGGCTATATATCCTACGTTAGTGAGATAACTCGGATGGGCGTGCGGCAGTCAAAGTTACCCACCGAGCTCGCGATTTTCTTGAAGCGCGTCAGCTAATGCCACATCCGAAGTGAACGCGTTCAAAAACATCACGCCTCGTCCCCGGTATTGCTGTGAGAATTTGGCCAGCCCTGCCGTGTCGCGGTTGACTAAAGCCCGCCGCTTGTTGCCCTCTCGAGGCCAAGACAATTGCATGCCATAGCCTCTGCACTGCTGCAATGCCTTGGCGCAATTAGTGCATGTAGGTTTTCGCAAGTCGCACCGAACCTTGCGGGCTAGATAAGATACTTCAGCTTCCAAATCAAGCAAGTTACTCAAAGAGTCTTACCTCGACATGTCCAACACCCTTTAATACCCATCTGGAATAACCACTATGACTCGTGCGAGTTGTCGACCCTATTTCCTGTGGTAATTCTTTCTCGCCGAAGTGCTATTACGAGCGTTTTTCTAGTAGGCTCCTTGAATCCCGAGTTTATAGCTGGGAATCTAGGAAATAATAAGGGCAACCTGTGTTCGAACTTGGCTTGCGTGAAGGGACTGTCGGTTGCGACTATTTGCAATCCGCCCTTTCGACGGACTTAGAGGGCTTACTAATTGCCCGGCATTTAGACGGAGTAAGCACGGAGCTATGGAGCATCTAAAGACAATGTGGCACCGAACTTCAACAGTACTATTCATACAGTTTGTTTAGAACATGAAGTGGCGCAATAATTTCCTCCGTTAGAGCGGTGTGCATAGATGATTTATCCAACAGAGAGAGCATCAGAGATGACCACACAACCAATGAGTCCCTGCCGTTTATCATTGTTTGTCAAGGCGGGCTAGATGTAGTCGTATCTCAGCTAGCCCTGGCCTCTCGCACGGAGTGTTAATTGTTTGTCTCGGTATGCAAACGAATGCCACCAGTCATATCCGAGTAAACGAAACAGAGAATGTCCATTCGTCCTTTATTTCCACAAAGACCACAAGGGAAAGCAAATTGGTCTTTCAGCCTAGGCAAAAATAATCTGGTAGGCCAGACCACTGTCATATTACAAGTACGACATGAATACATATCTGTATTTGACCTCTAACTGTATTACTGCAATGTCCATTTAAGAGATGTTAAGATATGCTAATTTATGCTACTGGTTTCTCAACATACAGCTTCTCAAATCTGGCTTCACAGCTTTCCTTGATAATCTCCGTTCAAAAGTCATCACAGACCAGAATAACAAAAACCGTCCTAAGCGCCAATCTTCTGTAAAGCCTCAACTGTCATCTCCTTGAGCGTCTTCTTCTTTAACGTCAAGTAGCCATCACCATCGAAATCCAAGCCGTCAGCTAGGTCGCCCGCTCCACATCCATTGAAAGCACCCACAAGAATGGTAACGAAGAGTGCACCGAAAGGATTACCAGCTGCGAGGTTCGCATTGCGTTGATTCACTAGTTCTTGAGAACTAACGTGCGTCTTCTCAAACTTAGTGCCCAAGGTCTCCTCATAGGTTTCCGTGATTTTGTTCATAGTAGTACGAATCTCGCTAATATGAATGCGTTTATTCTTGGTTTTCCCCTCGTCCATTTGGAGAACTGCAACGATGGCAGCTCCAAGGTAGGGGAGCGTACAACCTGAGAAAGTAAAATCTCCACTATCAACGACAGAAACTTTACGATTTTTAGGGTCAAACGAGCCAAAGGCTCCCTCAAGCCATCCATCCATAAATGCAGATGGAATCAGAGTCGTGAAGCTCGTAGGTCCACCTTCTTGAGCCAGAGAAACAAATTTGCGGGCCGTGAGCACGGGCGAGCTGTCTTCAGGCCAATTTCCACCTTCAGTCAAAAGAGTAGCTGCGTCTGGGTGCAAAATATCGAGAGTGTACTCCGACGGGAAAATGCGTCGGACGCCAGCCTCTTGCGCGGCCTTTAGTAGCAGCTTATCAATGATTTTGGATGGAGGTCCAGAAATGAACGACAGAATTGCGTCAGCTCCGGTGATGATTTTCACAAGTTGATTGTGGTTGTTGTAGTCAACCGCGATTAGTTTTGCGCCTGGTCCGGATGGTGCTTCTTTGCCGCTGTCGGCTCGGGTCAAGATGGTAACCTCGAACTTCGGCTTTGTAGATGCCAAGATGGCGCGGATGGCATGATCCGCCACCCAGCCGGTGCTTCCAGCAATAATGAGTTTGGTGAATACCATTGTGAAATAGATTTTTTTTTATCTTGTTTTGCTTTTTTAGGACGATAGCTCGATAGCCTTGAAGAAAGTCGAAAGCCAAGTTCAATCGATGTCCTCTCGTATATAACTCCGGATGGAGGATAAAAACACGACGATTTCACATTCATCGTAAGACCTATCGCTGGGGTTACGTCAAAATGGGAAACTTTTCACGAAACATTCATCCATGTGTTACGTGAAGTTGGGTAACTCTCAACAGAATTTCTCTCGCCATTGATGAGTAGCGGTAGAGGCTAAGGTAATAAAGAGCAAGTATTAACCTCGACTGGGCGGAAAAGCGTCTCGCTAGCCATCGAGTGGGGCGAACAGGCTTACAAAATGTCGGCAAGTATTTCCGAGGAGTGCCAGTACGCGCCACGGTATTCGCGCAATAGTCGAAAGTCAGTGAGCGAAGGGTGTGTAGGAACGATTTTTGGCTTCGATTAATCTATATAAGATGTATACTATCCAGCTATATTCTCCAAGACTCTGGCGTAGTCACTTTGTAAGGCGCATCTTTTTGACAGTTTTTGACGGAACTACTCTTTCTTCGAGATGGCTCAAGAGGTGGCTCTCATTCTGGGCTTCGGACCCAATGTTGGATTCGACGTTGCAGAAGCGTTTGCAGCACAAGGCTACAAAGTGGCGATAGTCTCACGATCGAAAAAAGACGTGAAGCTGCAGTATCTCCAGATGCAGGCTGACTTTTCGGATCCTTCCTCGATTGAAGGAATATTCACTAAAGTCATAAGCGAACTTGGCCATCCTAGTGTGGTAGTCTACAATGGTTCGTTCTCCTTTTCTTTTGTGAACCATGCGATGAAAGTCATGATTAACGAAGCGTAAAATTTTGTAGCGTCTTCATCGAGTCTGAATCCTTCAACCTCACTGGAGCAACAAATTGCAGCCTTTCAACGTGACAATAACATCAACATTGTGTCTGCATATGTCGCGGCACATTTAGCCACAAAGTCGTTTGCTACGCTTTCATCAGACTCATCTAGGACTTTTATCTATACAGGCAACAAACTCCCGTTCGTGGTTGTCCGGCCCCTACTATCTCAAGGGGTTGGTAAAGCTGGATCAGCACATTTGATGCATTATTTAGCAGAAGAAAATAAAGAGTTCGGTTACAAGTGAGTTGAATCAGGTAAATAATCGATATAACTCTAATTGATAACGGGAATACAGATTTTATTTCGCCGATGAGCGGAAACCTGACGGAGATCCAGTGTACGCCGCCATTGACGGCCCGGCTCACGCCGCCTTCTATACCGAACTGGCTAAGCAAAAAGCCCAAGGCCCATGGAACGCAACTTTTGTCAAAGAAAGAGGATATGTTGCTTTTTCTGAAGAAGTAATAAAGGATAGTGTTACCATGAAGTTGGATATCCCTAGCAAAGATTGATGAATATAACGGGCTGTTGGCAGCATAGTGAAGTCATAAAATAGAGTGTGAAACAGTGATGAAAGACTAATAGCGCGTTAGACTTTGGTTTTCCGCCGTGACAATTGTTTTTAAAGACGAATGCCACAATGTATTCGAGAAGTATCGGATTCGGGATATATGCTAGCAGAAGTCTCAATATTATTATTGGAAGTAATGTCGATGCCGACCTCAGTGCTCATTGCTAGCCGATTAAGACGCGCCAACATTCTTTAGAGCCTCCTTTGTAATCCGCCATAAGGACCGAGCCAACTCACTGTCGCGCGATCTTTTCAACCCGGAGCTTATCTTCCCCGGCGAGGTCAAGAACTTACCTTTGTATGTCTTTGGCTCGTCTGTTACTTTCTTTGCGGTCGCACAAATTTTTTTGATTTAGAGCACCTTTTTCGGGACTTTTCATCACTAATTTTAAGGCCGGGTTGAGAAAGCTGGGAAACACTTCCCATACCGCCATCAGTAGCAACTGGGCCGGGGTCGAGTGTCAGTGCAATGATTTCAATGTCTTCTTGATCTAGCCGTCTCTGCAACTCTGTTGTAAAAAGAATGTTCGCTAATTTACTAATGCCATAGAGACTGAAGACAGCCCTTCGTGAACCATAATCGTTCATATTGGTCGTTGCGGGTTCATTAAGGTCTTTGGTTGTTGCGAAAGTATTATGTTTTGGTGCAAATCTCTCAGCAGAAGAGCTTATCTGTATATTGGATGCTTAGCAATTTTCCTCATTATAGTATTTGACCACGAAACTCATTGTCACAACGCGGACATCAGAGCCAACTCGAGATGCAGTGGCTTTGAGAAGCGGTAAAATGTTCGTTGTAAGGACAAAATGACCAATATGGCTACATATGCTTGTATTAATACAATGAATAGAATATGTAAGTGGCGAAAAAATCACTCTCTTGACAGCAATCGTTGTCTCAAATCCTTCCGTGGTCGTTGTGAAACCATTTGCTGCGATACCAGCATTATTGACTGCGGAGATAACTCATTATTAGCGCGAGACTATGGAATATTGAATAAGAAGCAAGCCCACTCAATATATCTCATCTTTTTCCCAAAGATGACAGCAGCTGTGTGACCTCCACAATATCAAATGGTTTCGACAAATCTAATGGTAGCCATATTACATGGTTTGACTGTTTGAAGACCAATCCCTGTACTAAACCATAAATGTAAGTTTGGCGTTATACGAGTACAAGGCAGAAGCATGTGGGTCACTAACTTTCCTCCCGTCACCAGTGAGACTTTTCCAGAAATATCAGGAATCGAGGTATCGCTCCACATTGTAGCAATTGGTCGGTATTGTTCAATCTCTTGTCTATTATGGACTGATCCAACAGAAAGATGAAAATTCAACCTGAATTTGTTATTCGAACTCCTTATACAGAAGCACAAGGGCAGTGCTGATACAAGTACATAACGACTAATTTAGTTAGACTCTCTGTATGAGCTCGGAAGAAGTTGCCGTCCATTTGACATCAGCTTATCCCGGAAACGAGAACTCTATTAGTGTTTCACCCCGGGACTCAGGGTTTATCGATTTAATGTAGTGATAGGTCAGTTGGAATATCCATTCTCTTTCAGGACAATAGGCGATCGTATTAGATTTCCGAGTCGCATAGGGATCCGGATGTTTCGACAGGAAGATTGGTAAGCGCATGCCTAGCTTTACTAATAGGGCGTTAAAAGCGAAAAAAAAAAAGGGTTCTCGTGAGCCACCAATTCCCCCAATTCTTATAATCTTAGTCTAATTTAACAGTTCTATAACCACGAATTGCTTTGTATCCGTGTAACTGATACTCATTATATTTTCCGTAGCTTCAGAATCTCATCCATTTCAAGGAGTTTTAAGTTTGTTTATCATGCCACTGAGTAGAAATGGTATGGTCACGCCGCAGCATAATGACTCTTGGACAAGATAGCATGCCCTTCCTAGTATTCATAGTACTTATAGATAACAGTGTTCAAAGAGATAGTCTTTGTGTTGTTAGAAGATTGTTGAAGTATTCAGTTATGATAGTAGTACTGTTTAGCGACTGTCATCCAAGTTTATTTAAATTATCGAGCTAGGCGATACAGCGTTGATGGACTTGATGTGTTTCATCGTGGAATCTAGGTCTTTGAAGTACTATAAGAACAAGATGTTCCTATTGGTTTTAAAGATCGTATGTAGCCGATATTTCACATTGGCCACAACATACACGGAGTATTGCAGAACGCGGGGCAAGGCATGAGAATTGTGATAAACATGCGAGAATTTTGAACAAGATGTGTATGTATTGATAAAAGCGTGTGAAAACTAACCTAAGTACAAAGAGACCACAGAATAACAACTATGTTCAATGAGAAGAATACATGACAATGTAAAAAACTTTTGCGGCTTGACACAATTGCTGGCCGCTATTTTCGAGAAATGCATGAGCTTACAAGAGACGTATCAGTCCAAGAGCTTCCACTACCTGTCGGGGTCTCTGTGAGGATATAAGTGCTATCAAATGAGCCTGCGCCCCAGCCAACGTAGCCAAGATAGACGTCAGAGTTTTGGTTTATATACTGGAACTGTTGGCAAAGATATTGAATGCATGATTGGGTGTTGCCACCGCCTGTTTCAGTCAGAATAGCCTGGCGGTTGTTTTGGCGGAGCCAAGTGGCAACAGGTGAGAAAGCATCATTGACGTTGTTTGTGACACAATCAGCGTGAGTGCCAGAGTTATCCGAATCCAGGTACTTGTGTAGATCGAAAATTAGATTGGTTGTTGAACCATCAGGGTTTTTGACCTGAGATAAAGCAGCTGCACTTCCATCAGAAATAAACGCTCCGGCAGACTGCCAATCGTTTCCTGGTAAAGAAATAAACTGTGAAGTAGCGCCAGCATTTCGGATAGCAGTGACAACAGCTTGAACAGTAGTGGCCCAAGTGTTGATATTCACATCATGTGGTTCGTTCATGATTCCGAACCAAACCTTCGACTGAGAGGCATACTTTTTTGCCAATTGTGACCAAAGACTGGTAAACTGATCATTTGTAGGCCCACCTTGGCCAATGATCCCGCCATTCCAACGTGCATAGTTGTGTATATCGATAATGCAGTATACACCCAGAGAGAGGCAAGCCTGAACGAGCTGGTCGTATTTACCGAGGTTGTTTGAATCCAGAGTTCCGCCCAGGTTATTGTTCACGAGGTACTGCCACCCGACAGGTAGGCGGAAAATAGTCAATTTGTCATCGTTGACAAAGTGCTGCATTTGACCAACGCCATCAGGGTAGTTGTTTGTGCCAGCATAGTTCTTCAGCGGCGGGTATACCTTCGAGGTGACGCAAGTTCCATCAGTCCCACAGCCAAAATCGAACCCGGCAATGTTAACTCCTGCGAATCTGGCGACGCCAGAACTAGCTGGCGGAGTAGCTGACGATGTTGAGCTCGCCCTCGTCGTTGATGCCGGAACGGAAGTCGGCCTGGTTGAGGTAGATATGGTAGTGGCTCCAGGAATGCATTGAGCGTAGTAGGGGTTGAGAGTAGAACAGGCGGATCCGGCAGCGCAATCAGTCGGGCCGCTCCATCCTATACCTCCGCACTGTCCCCAAACAGTTTGCTGTGCAATAGAGCCACCAGCCAGTAAAGTAGCTGCAAGCAGCAATGAACTCATAGGCTTATTCATTACGAAAGAATGAATTATGGAAAGACTAGATAGTGCCTGCTATGATTAGCAAAAACATCTCTGCGGAATTAATGATTGGGTGCATATTCTCTTGACTGGATGGATTTGACTATAGCGATATGAGGAATAACAAACCTGTGTGTGATCAAATAAAGCTCGGGTTGGGGCCTAGAGGCGAGTAAAAAAGATGATACTTTGGTGGTGAGGAAGAGGCAAGAATTTGTATAGTATGATGTTCCCAACCCAAAATACGGATTCTAGAATAAGTTATATAGTCACGGGCGTTTCCTATGGCCGCCTTTTGGAGACCGATCTGGCAGTATAGATGAGATCCGGACTAATTCTCCACAATACCAATCTTGTGTGATAGCAAACTGAAATGAGGACTCAGGTAGATGAGCCTATTACATGATAGATGCCCAGAGTATCTTACCCCTGGAAGTATTCTCAGGCATTGAGCCTGAATAAGTGTATTCGGCTTTTTGAAAACATCAACAGCGCCCAGAGGATTATTTAAGGTTATATGTAGGGGTTCTAGCTGCCAATTTAATCTATATATTAAGGCAGAAGGCATTAAATTGACTGCAGGGTTACATGCCGTAATAGTTACGGCCGGCGGCTCAGCGAACTTCACTTTGGCTCTTGCGGTATAACCGGTCGGCAAAATACCTGATGCAACTAACCCCACTATGTATAACCAGAAACCGAAATCACACATAGTCAGAAGTGCACAATTCAGCCAAATAAGGCTTCATGTGACAGTAGACAACCTTTAATACAACAATAGATGATGCTGGATATATAGCCTACAGAATTTGATGTTTTGCCACAGCCTCAATTCATATTATAAAGGTCTGAAGATTTGCGATATACAAAGAAGCATATTTACTAACATACCTTGGTACGAGCTATATAGTATATATGTGTAATCTACCAAAATGTCAGCCAGGATATTGACACCGCAGTTATCATAATAAAGAAAGCTTTTTTTCTTTATTTTTTCTTTCTTTCACAGCGCTATTATAAACAAGAGGAGACCATGGCTAATGACCAGTCCTCTAGAGTTCCTGATAGTGTGCTGAATCACCCTGTTCATAGCCTCTTAATCCGCAATAAGTGAGCAAGATGGAGTAGCTTATATACGGAAAATCAGCAGCAATAGCCATTCCAGTCAAAATCTTTCTCACAGGCCTGTTGAGGCATTCTGAAAAAGAAATGACACTATGCCCACTGTATATTTTCGACAATTTCCCAACACATTAGACAACATTACAGACAGCACAGTTACCAGTTACACTTTTCGAGATCGCTGGCAAGATAAAATAATGGTTCTAAATAAATTACCAGCAGCGGTTGTCGAATCTCAAATGTCCCATATATGGTGTCCAATAGCCTTATGACCTGGCTTGTCCGCCAGACAACCCAACGAGTTTGTTTTCATTCATCTCTTTAGCAGTCTGCAATTTAGTACAGTTGTTAGGCTGAACATCTTTTGATGGAACAGTACTAGCCGACAGTTGGCTTAAACTACTCCTTCTCTAATAACCGAAAATTTCACAATATCATGTTCAATAGGCGTTTTTTTTTTTGTATCTCAATTCTATTCGGCACAATTATGAACGATCTCCTTCATTGCATGATGTATATGAATTGTCACAATACCCAACTAGCTCTAAGAAAAACACTGCCAGATGTTACGAGATCCAAAGAGTCAAACGAAGCGATCAGAATTGAAGTCACAAGGATTTGATATATATTTTAATATATTCTTCTATGTTATTCCCTTCATATGTTGTTAGAGCTTCTATTTCACTCTGTTCCTTTCCAACCAGACCCTGTACTGTCGAATTCCGGTTATTATGTACCCCAAGTTCATAAATATCATTATGGATGCTGTTGCATGACAATTGCCTATTCTTTTAGGCGTTGACGGCATCGACAATGATGTTATCGCCAAACTTGTCCTTGATCAACTTGACATTCTCTTCAGTCGTCCTATGCTATAGTAAGTAACGATGCCACTCCAATAATATGTCGAAATGTTTGAGCCTACTTGAAAGAGAAGACAGGAACTCGGGAGACAGTAGAAGGAACAGTCTGCCCGATGAGAGACTCGATGAATCTATCAAAGATTAGCACTATTCATAGTGTTACAAGGATTGTCACATACGTCTCAAGCTCATTGAGATCAACGGTCTCGTGGGGGCGGACTTGAACGTTTTGCTATAAAGACTTTCGTTAGATGGGAGGATATATTCCAGAATACTCGTGTCCACATACCAGAGCCATTGTGAATATAAAATGATAAGAAGCAAAAGCGAGTCGTTCAACTCAGAGTGTTGGTTAATGCGGATGTTGCGAGATGATGTGAATGTTGTTGCAATACGGAATAAAACATCTCCAGGACAGTTCACTGTGGCCTCTTTTATAATTCCCCCCTGATATTTTCAAAGCGCGCTAACTACCAACTGGGACCATGCGAGATTGACGTGGTGGCTCTTAACCACAAATGTATCCATTTCTATAAGCCACATTGGGCAGCAGTATATACGTGGCAGCATGCGGCGCCAATAAGGCATGTAGCGCGCAATAATAGGTGCATTTGCCAGCAATCATGCGGTGTTGTTCGCACATGCAGCACTCCTGCATCACTCTTGCAGCAACTAGCATCCAATAGGTTTCGTTAATATGACTCGCTTGCTAGTTCCGTGGCCCGCAATGCCGCTTCCCCCCTCTCTACCTTTGTTATTGGGCCTTGACTCGTCATAATCTTCAGGCTCCTTAGTTCTACTGGCAGAAGTATCGTGCACGGGGAGTAGCACGTCCAATCATTCTTCGCCGCCTCATTCAAGAGAGGTCTGCTAACCGCCCAAGTCATCTTTAGTAGTAGCAACAGAGCTTTTGGGCGTACTACCGAAAGAGCTCGTCAGCGCCCGTTTACATTTCGTGGAGATCAAAGTCTCCTCATTCCTTCAGACTTCAGGTGGAGACGGCTGTGCAGGGATGGGCGGTTGGGCGCAGTACTTTTCATCACGGAGACACCTCGAGTGCTCTACAAAATTTGTATGGTGACTCTTGTCCAGTATGGAGAACGGCTGATGTTTTTGGCCTCGGGAAATTTTGTTATTGTTTCAAAGAATCCTTTAATCACTTTCGATAGCGTGTGGAATATTCTATGACCCAAGATGTAGACTGCTAGTTCTTGCAGCTTGTAAAAGGGAAATCATCAGATATAATACGAGTCTTTGACAATAAAGCAACAAAAGACACAAACGCCACAGTATACTTTGAATGAGCCTAGATTCGATGCTGTAGCCCCTTTATTACTTGAGCCCGTTCATCACGACTACTGACAGAGATCACAGAGAAAGAAATTCTTGTAGAATAGCTGCGGGAAAGCAAATTCAGCACAACACATATTTTGATACTATGTGCTATCGTCCTAGTAGACATATACTTTAAGAAATGACTCTCGCAGGATATTGTCCCCGCTGACGAAGATAAGGTTGTTGGCGCAAAGTCCAAGACTTCGGTTAGCCTGCTCGTGGGTCGGACGAGACGTAGCATCACTACACCCTATTTGGGATTTTTTTCCTTCTTCTTTTCTTACCTTACGGTGTCCAGAATTTGCTCTTTCTCTTTGGTGTAGGTGTTCTTGGAACAGTTGGAGTTGTAAATGTACGTCCCAGTTGAGTAACTTACTCATCAGGCCAAATGCAAGGGCGCCTATTAGTGTACAGTACTGTCGCTACTCCGAGCCAACCAATACGTTACACAACCCGTATCCTCACAACGTGCGACCCTTGGTTATTGCAACGCCTAATTCCGTTGTTCGACAACCCGAGTAATCTTTGTTTTCATGCACCCTAACTTGAGGCTTGCCGCGATAAAGATGAATCAATCCGTTTGATTTACAACGACAAAAGGTATGGCTAACAATTAGTAGCAGATCATAGCTGTGATGGCAGTAAAGATAACTGTGCAAGGCTGCCAGCGTATTTGTGACGTTAAAGGTTTAATCGCAAGTGAGTGCCTTAATTCCATGGCACGCATATGAGCTGTTGAAATACTATTCTAACGTCTCTCAGCTGAAATCAACGGATTATATCTTGTTCGGCAGAATGCAGGGCCGCACGCGCCGCATCTCCACCAAGATTATCCGTGCCATCGTGAACGGTGAAAATGCCACCAAGCAACAAAATGCGCGGTCGTTATGTGCATGGCTCATACATTACATCTTTAGCTGTTTTTATATATGGAATTTAGATCTGAAATTATACCAGGGCGATGATTTTCTTGCCCAAGATGCGACGTGTAGCATTTGAACAATGGTGGATACACACGATCTTTTCAACCTGCAGATGAGAGCCCGTCGCCAGGGTCTAATGAACACCATGCGGCAAACCTGGGTCCAATGGGGAGACTTGGATATAGTGGTTCTACATTTTTTTGAGAGTTCGTACGGTAAATCCCTTGTCAAGTCTCTGAACAGACGCTTCGAGCATCGATTCTTCACCCACGAATTGCTTACGCCGTATCTGAACCATATGTGGGAGCACACTGGAAGTCTCCTGGTGCGTATCACTAACCTGCTGCAAGTTCCGCATACCACTCTGGGGTATACTTGGCATTGAACCAACACACCATGTTGTCATGGAGAACCTTCTCTACGGCACTGGGCAGGCTGGCGATACAGCACACCGTGAAACATATGATCTGAAGTCGAAAGACTATTTTTTCCTGGAGAGTGATATTGCAAATGGCAACTTGGTGCCGCAAAGTGTGAAGAACAAGCTGGTGGACCAACCCCCAAGCAAAGTGCGAATGCCGCGTCAGGCTACGGAGGAGCTGATGACTTTGTTGAATACAGACACTAAATTCCTTGCTGACTTCAATGTCTTAGATTACTCATTATTCCTTGTGTGGCATCCCCGCAAAGCAGAACCAACTGATGCTGGGCCTAGTCAAATGGCTGCTCAAAGTGAACGGGCGGTAACACCGATTGACTGTTGGAGAACAGGCGTGGTCTCAAGTAACGACCAATGGGTGTATCGTGCTGTTTTGCTGGACTTTCCCTGGGCTCGACACAAGTTTCACACGAGGACAATGTCCAGCATCGTTGGGGTCTTTAACGTTTGGGCTGGGCAAGGTCCCATGACAATCACTACGGAGCCGTTTGAGTACGGGAAGCGCGTCATGACAATGGCTCAAAAATTGTTGGTAGGAAGCGAATGGGACGAATAATAAAATTTCTATGTAACTACACCTGAACATTTTATTAGGAGCCAATATTCTACTCACGGCGCTCTCGGTTCTAGTTCTGAATATACGACGATTTTTTATTTGCAAGTGCCCAATGTTTAAGTAGAGACCAAAATGGGCATTCATAGCGCGAGAGTCAGAATTTACAAAAGACTGTTCCACTAGATGACAGTGTGTTAGGCTATTGCTGTTAAATTCCGAAATGTTTTAATGAATTAGGTACTCTATGACTTGGAGTACAGTTTTTAGCAAAGAGAATAAATTCCATTTTTTTTATGAATGAGCTGAATTGCGAAAAACCTTGTTAGATTGTACATACCTATAGACACTAAGAGTTGCGCCAGCATCATTTCTGTAAGAAGACCACGATTAGCAAATACGACTTTCAACTTATGTATTCATTTAATTTGTTCATTTGATAAGACATGATTAAAAAACTCATTATGATGTCGCGCATGATTCACAAGTACGTCACTCCAATTAAAGTGAAGGGCAAGCTTCCGGTGTTATGGTTCGCCAAAATGCTCTTCAAGCTGCCACAGATCGACAGATTAGAGCGCCTATCACTTAACGAAAATAGTATGAATGATTTCATTTCGTTATATGCGGGTGAAAACAAGTTTTAAAATCTTTTCTCGTTCAGAACAACATCCAAATCAACATACTAGTCTATCGACACGAGAGCGTTGCCCAACATTATCGATTTCTACCTTTGCATCTAGAGTACCTTCTTGTGTCAATCTTCAAACAGCTACTATACATCATGCCAAGACGCCGCAGTTCTTATGAATATAGTGATGATGAGATGCGCTATGGTGTCTCCCATCCCTCTCGCCCGAGCCGTCTCTACGAATCCAGCCACCCTGTCAAAGAAGGCCACTTTCGCGAAGTGAAATCCACTGCTAGAGGGCCTGAGAGAGAACGGGTCGTCGAGCACCATGACCGGCCAGTCCGAAGGCATCATAATCAACATAGTGGCAGACATGGGCAGGGTGAAATAATGCCTCACCGTGAGGCACGGCAATCTGGTCGTCGTGGCCGATCCCTGCACAACGAAGATGATGTTGAATACCGAAAACGTGGAGATCACCATCACCATCGATCTCATACTCGAGCTCGTAGCGAAAACCGCCTTGTGGAGGTAGCTACGGCGGCCCTAACAGCAGGCGTTACGGAGGCTATCCGAGCACGACACGATCCAGAGAGATCTCGGCGAGCCGTTACGGCAGCCGTGAGTGCCGCAGCCATGGACGCACTCGTGAGCAAAGACGATGACGGGAAAAGAGGACGCCATATCGTGGAAAGTGCGGTCGGCGGAATGATAGTCGATCGCCTAGCCAACGGTCGTTCAAGGAAATAGTCCAATCGGCCCGCACGACGAGTCATCTGATATCTGGATGGCGGAAATCAATTGATGAAGAGGCCATGTAGAAGTCGCACCAGCTAGAGAGTTTAAAGATAAACAGAGGTGCAGCAAGACCGATATTGCCAACTTCTCATATGTCCTCTCACAATATCTTCATATTATTTATTAACGATCACTACCTAAGAACAAGTCTTCTATGCCTCAAACATCAATTACGTTTTCATATAATCTGTGATTTAGATATAAAAGTACTACATCAGGAGATCTTGACTCGAAATGGATTCTCCAATACGTCATTGCTGCCCGGGCAATACCTTTTTTACGGCTGTACAATTTTGACAAACCATTGCGTACCAGACGATTGGAGTGTTGATGTGTGTACCACAATCAGCTTTAGCTTTGCATTTATCTGTTTATCATTTCCGCGCAATTCGCAAAGATGCGATACTCCTACTGATGCCTAACTTAATTCTAGCAACATAGGCGCAGTTTTCTCAAGCAATGATCTGTGTATAGTGATGCATACGAGTAGCAAACCACGAGTATAATCAATTGGTCATGGCTCTCGATCTTCACAGTAGCCTAGTGTCTGCGTTGTATGACAAATGCAAATTGAATGGTTTCGTCATATTAGCGTCATTACTATAAGAATCAGAAGAATGAATACTGTTCATTGTTGTTTTATGGTAGGGTATTTGGAGCATGAAATGAATCTAGGGTAATTCAAGCCAAGCAGCAAGTCACTGATGTCTCCAGAATTCTGTTGCAATCTGGGCATACTTCGACTATGGACGGCCTGATGGTAACCAAGGCAACGGCGCTCCATTAACGTATTCCCTACCATCGCGCGCCGAAGCGTTTTCTGGTCATTGTTGATTTCTCTTGTCATGGGCCCCACAAGCCTTTTGCTTACTCTATTACGATCATAGAGGCCAGAAATAATTTATAGCGCCTTGTAACACGAAAAAAAATCCATGTTACAAGTGCCAAGCATTGACCAGAAACCCCCGTGGCGCGCGTAGGTATGGCTCAGTCTTGTCCATAGACTCCATATACACCAAATAGGATGCATGGATAAAGCAATATATTAAGTGATCGGGAGTACCACGGTTCATAGAAAGTGGAATATTGCATGTTACACATGCACTGAGAGCTGAGACCGCGCTGAGTGATCATTTCCCCTGTAAGCGGCATCTTGCGCTAGCGACAGTGTCAAACTTATTCTAATCAATGTCTTGTTATTTGTTTTATTTCGATTAATCCTGATGCTTATATTTGCGTTAGTAGCAATTTTTATGATACCGTCGAATCGCAATTGACTGTACTAAGTTTGATATGCTGGACAACTTGGCTACATTGCGCGTCGTTCTTTTCTAAACGCAGTTGGCAATAGTGTCCCTCGTTGGCCTTATTTACAGCAAGACTTTTTCCTGCTATTGCGTTCTGATTGACATTGATCAAATCCCATGAGTTTAAATGATTCGATCTACACCTAAAACGTTACCTACCACCCGAAAGCCGTCAACCAGTCGCGAATACCCTTGAGCCCCTCACCGCGATCCTGCCGAACTCCGGTTGATAGCTACCGAAAGCCGCTACTATGCCCTCCACATCAAAATGTTTTACGGGGTTTCTCCCCTGATTGACGCTCCCGTGTAGGCTGAGAGGTAAGTTTGTGGAGTGATTTATGCCCTGTTTGAGCTAGTTACAATGACGACCTGTCTAGGTTGAATGTCTTCATTGAAATCACAGCCTTAGAAGTACTATGTGTATTTTCTGATGCTTCCTACGAACCAATCTGTCATAGAAGGCTAGCATTAGGGAGAATGGATATAAAAGCTCAGCAGCCCCGTATACCGTAACCGAACATCGATTTCTGTATGCTTTTGAAGTCTCCTCGCCCTCTACAATTTCTTCTGTACCAAAATATGCGCCAAACTCTCATAGCGGCTCTCCTTTTGTCCCAGCGAGCTGCAGCAACTTCTGATCCCCCAATCAGAGTTGCAGCTCCTGGTAGTGTGCCTCATGGAGCATCCCAAATTGTAGATCATGCTTTTGCCTCTTTTTCTTTCCCAGCTCATTGGCTTCCTGATTTTGCTGGTAGGCGGTTTCTGAGTATATCAATGGGCGATTCCGAGCTAATCCACCCCCAATAGGAAACAACAGTCACCCTAACCTATTCTCTCGTGATATCTTAGATCTCCTGTACAGCAAGACTGGGAAACATCCGTATATCCGAGTGGGCGGCACATCTGCGTATGCCCTGCCTGTCGAAAGAATATGTTACCATTGCTAATACCCGGCATCAGCGATCGGACATATTATAATGCGTCGCAAAAACAGTCAATCCTAGTTGAGACAGGCTCTAATGGCATTCCATCGGTAGTCAACGTTGGACCTGTGTATTTTGAGGCCTTTAACAATTTCCCAGGCTCTTTGTGGAGCTTCCAGGCTAATCTCGCCAACAACGCCAGCTGGGGTCTCAACAACACCATTGAAGTGTGCAAACACGTTATGAATACTCTTAAGGGCAATCTCATCGACTTTGAGATCGGAAATGAAGTAGATCTTTACCCATGTGCTGTTCGACCTTGTGGGTATACAGTCTATGATTACCTGCAAGAATGGACTACGTATGCGAATGCAATCTCGGAAAATGTTCTCAAGGGAAACCGGTACGGCTTGGACGAGCAAAGGTTCTTCCAAGCCTTGGTGTTTGCGAACGCGGAATTGAAAACTTTCACCACGTCAGCTAAGCCATTCACTTTTCTTTTTGGAGACTAAAGGTGGCTAATTTGAAAACAGGCCCAACGCGTTTAATGGGGGTATTGATCTGACCGACCATGTCAAATCTGTTTCCCTGCATCAGTATGTCATGATTTAAGCTGTTATTCGTTGTCCGCTAACTCAGAGATAGCTATGCGGCTGGCAACCAGGGTTGGGTTAGACTTCAAGGTCAGTTTTTGGCATCATTCTTCTTCTTTTTGGACCATGTCTGATGATGCATAGAAACATTCATGAACCACACTGCTGTTGTGGCTAACCTTAGCATCTATTCCCCCGCCAATGACTATTTGAAGACTAACTACCCAAACGTCACTTTCTTGCTGGGTGAGACAAATAGCGACTACACTAATCTACTGATGAATCAAGTAGAGGGAGTGTTCGGCAGCTCGCTATGGTTAATTGACTATCTCATGTACGGAATGTCTCTGGTACGTCAACTCCATTCCTTCTTCATACTTCGAATATTGCATATTGATACACAAAAAACAGAACATCACTCGTTTTAATCTCATCCAGGGAACCACGTTCGGATATACGGGCTGGGTTCCTGTGCCCACTGGTAATATGCAACCCTATGTCAGGGCACCTCTCTATGGCCAAATTGTTGTGGCAGATATAATTGGCCACAATCCTCATGTTCAAATCTTGCCCATTCATCTTGGCCCTGAGCTTTGGAAGTTCTCTGCGTATGGTGTCTACGAATCATCAAAGTTGAACAAATACGTGCTCATCAACCTTGACGAATGGAATTCTACAACTCGATATCCTCGTCCAAACCAAGTTGTCACATTGAACTTCCCCTCTGGAGTAAAAGCCGCCAAAGTGCAGAGACTTGTCGGAGCGGGAGCCAGTGCAGACTCAGACATTACTTGGGGTGGGCTTAGCTGGAACTATACCCATGGGCGGCTCGCGCAATCAGGTCGACCTCACAATGAAGTACTACACATTTCCAAAGGCATGGCAAAATTGACAATTCCATCAACAGAAGCCGTTGTCGTGACACTGGGTCGATAGATGGTTACTACAGCTCAGTCGGAACAACATACCGTAGGTATGCTAGGATACGCCCATAGAAGTCATAATAAGAAACATTCGAAAGAAACCAACAGTTCAAAGAGTTAATGCATATGATTAAATATCAATCTGCGTTTCTAGTTCCGGTAACCGAAGGACTAGACTGCTTTGTGAGACAAGAATCGAACGGTAAGCTGGTTGTAACACGAGTTTTGTGACTTTGGAACCAAGTGCTGGGAAAGAAATATCTCTATATTTATTCTTTTTGTAAAGGAACCCCAGAAGGAAATCCATACGCTGACAACTCCCGCTTTTGGAAATGCGAAGACCGGGTTCCATCGCAAGAACTACATAGTGCTTGTTGCATACCTGCTCTCTGATGGAAAACTCTGAAGTATTAGAAAACATGATTGCAGCAGTCTCTAATTTAGGTATGGGATAATGGTCCTTGCAGTGATACATGATAATAGTACCCATTTGACGTAATTCCTTAACCAAGGCATAAAAACGGTTTGTAATTGTGATATTAACTCATTACAACCGCACCAATGACAATCCGCGATATTGCGTAGTTTAGGACGTGTTTGTCCTCTTTGTCACCTCATTGGATATTCTTGTCGTTTGATTACTCTTTGTTTCTTTGAGTGCTTATACTTGAGCGAGAAATTGTGGACGCAAATTTGCAAGTCCCCGTATGCCAAGCCTCATTGAACGTTGTCGGCTGACATTTCTGCCGGATGATTTGTCTCTACGGCTTTGCCAAGGCTTTTGTTAGCCATTTCCACAAAACATAAACGGAACTATGGAACTTAATGAGGAGAGATTCGTAATTCTTGGAGGAGAATTTTATATTATTCCCGTTTATTTTCCATGCCCTTGTATCAATATTGGCAAAGCAACCAATTTCGTGGAATTTGATAGGAACAGTAGGGACTGCCAACTTCAAACCAAATCGTGCCTAGCGAGTCCCTTGTTGTATACAGACAAAGAATATTCTATTTTAAGCTTAAAAACGTCTGAGAACAGAACCTTCTAATGATATAAGCATTGTGAAAGAGCTGTTACATGCCAAGAGAGTTGTAAACTCGCTCTTCAAACTCGTTGTAATCTTTTAAGGATAAATCGGCATATTAGTGCTTATTGTCAATCAGCCTATTATATAACATTATAAAATAATTGTATGGGTGAAGGAGATGATTTGAATAGGAAGGTCAGTGTAAGCGTCAAGAGAGTTTTGGGAAGTGATGTAATACTGCGGCGACCAGCGAGCAGCGAGGAATATCAGCTTGAGGTTTATATAAACTACTCAATTTCATCTCTTTTTGTTGAAAAGAAATAAAGCGTGATTAAACTCATACAGAAAAAGACCTAACTCTAGCCTTGCCCACCTGAACTTTTAGTCAGCCGTCTATTTATACTCAACTTCTTGTTTATTGCATTTTAAAATGGCTCCGGCATCTTTGCTCTCTTTTATCTTTGGCTTAGCAGGACTTCTCAAAGACGCCAATGGCTACAACTTTGCTATTGCAGAGTCGTATACCGTAATCGACCATGCAGGCGGCGTTTCTGAAACTCAAGATCTCATATTCATATCTGATGGCTCTGAATCTCCGGGTTGCTGTCAGTGGGAAAAGTCCTCAAGCCTTAGCGGGTATCCGATTCTGGACAACTCTTTTGGAGCTTATGCATGTGGAGTTGATATCAACTTTTATAAGAGCGGAAATGACTTCGTTTACTACAAAAACAATGGTGACGGGACTGAGTTAGGCCGGTGTACATCCAACAATGCACCTAGTGGTCAGGTTACCGCATCTTGCCTGGGATTCGGATCCGTGCAGACCATATATATCCAATATTCTTGCACAAACTACAACCAGGATGTGAATGGTATCAACCCTTGCACACCTGCTCAACCAATGAACACCAACTGCTCGTAACTCACTACAATCATTCAACAGTGTCTTATGATTCCAGCTGCTCTTCAACGTATGTATGACAAACACGGCTGCAAAGTTGCCAAGCTAATATCCATCGGTGGCACTCACAGAAGTATCCAGTCGGTTCGATTGATTAAAGTCTTGGAGGTATTTCAGGAAGGGAATTTGAGTGGCTGCTTACACTTTTTAAGAGCGGGAAGTAAGAGTAAATAGTGTCTTGGAAACAAGAAGAATCTCCCCAATATTGTGCCATAAGTAGCAACGCCGGCAAAATATATGAGCATGTAGTTATGAATGTGCTTGACTATGTCAAATATGTAAGCATGTTGATTCATTAACAGTGTTGGTTGGACCCTAATGAAATTTCCACACATTCCGTCTTCAGCTGGAAGCATTGAAGGCTATGCCACGACCCTCAATGACCAGGGCTTATGCCTCCAGTGTACATAGTCCGTCCTTCTCTACAGAGATTATATCGCCGCTTAAGGGAGCTTGACAGAATCTTAATCTAGGTCGTCGATAAATGATGTCGCGTTGTCATAAATAGGTGAGGGTAACGCAGCGTACTTGTCCATGATACCCATGTCCTTAGTAGTGATGAGGCCAATACACTGCCATTATTTTGCTTCAATAGAGAAGTAGTATTACAAACCATGTATCTATTAAGCCAATAATGTTTTCTCCATGATAGTGTGCATCCTGAGATGCAGCCAGCCTTAACATCGAAGCCTCTTGTTTGGATAATAAGTTTTTGTGAAATGTTGTGGCCATGAAGGTCTTATGTTTGGAACGACTTCAGTGTCTACGCATTATTTGACTCTGGATGGTCGATGTGAATGATTTTATGTAGTTTCGAAGAAAGCGATCAGAGGGCTCTGGCCTCATACTACTATCATAATCATGGAAAATGTGTCATTGAAGTATAGGCTTTGTCATAAAGTATCAGATGTGCTATGGATATAGAAGTGTCTTAAAAGACATAACGGAAGTTTGGATTCTCTTTATCTGTCAAATCTTCCCATGCGTGCACCATTCGGTCATCACGAGCCTCGTGCATTCCGGCAGCCGCTAGTTTATCTCGCTTTTTATTCTCCCACGAGAGATAAAAGCGCAGGGCTAGAAGAACTACAACAAGCAAGCTATAGCATCCTAAATGGGTGGCAAAGGCGATGAAGTATCGGGGTGCATCCCAGAAGAGGAAGACTTGAGGGCCTTTTTGACATTAGCAATTTGCAAGACAAAAAACCTCAACGTATCGAGCACTCACCAATTGCGTTGCCTGTTGCCCAGAAGATGAAATTAAGCGCTACCGCTGCGCTCTTTTTCGTTTGTCCAGCGACATTTCGTGACAGCAAAGACAGCGCTAGTGTTTGAGCCGCCCAGAACGACATGGTAATATTATAACAGACAACAAGACCGATTTTTTGACTTCGCGTAACGATCGGGACAGTCATAAGGCAAATGGTTCCAATGAAAGATCTATTTAAGATCAAGGTTATTACTTTGACGTTGTCAGAGATCAGCAATGGCAAGGGACACTCACGGGATGATAAATGCAGTCATTATGTAGAGGTTTTGGTTTGTTCGTTTAGCCAACCAGGTCGAGCCCAATAGCACAATGATGATATAGAATCCAAGGACCATTGCCAGCAATTGAGTCTGGAGAACTGTAAATCCCATGCTCGAAATAATGATGCCCTGGAATGCACCAAGTCCGGAGGTGGGTAGCGTTGTGCAAAGCTGGATTAAGCAGTAGCCCCAGATCTGAGGGTCTTTCAGAGCTTCGATGAACTGGCTTTTCTTCCATTCTCGATTTTGGATGCCCGTTTGGTTATCGCGGACTCTCTCAACCATAAGTCGCTTATCTTCTTCGCTGAAACATTTGGCCCTCATAGGTGAGTCAGGCATGTACCACGCCACGAAGACGCCGAAACAAACGGAAATCGCCCCGTAGATAAGGAACAGCCACTTCCACGATTTTAGGGGTCCAGAATGAATAAGACTGAAACAGTACGCGAGAAGGCCGCCAACGATTTGCTGAGCGCCGTTCATCATATACCTGCAGTTTAAGAGATTAGCAAATTCTTGTTTATATGTCTCAAGATCTCAAGGCTTACCAATAAGCCACACGAGCAGCTTGTTCTTCTCGTCTATACCACATTGCAGACAAGACGACGAATGTTGGCTGACAAACCGACTCAAAAAGGCCCAGGAGAGTTCGAACTACGAGCAGTCCGGTAAAATTGGTGCAGGCAGCGGTGCAGGCTAACACCGCCCCCCAAGCCATAATATTGAAACCGAGATATTTCGCGATTGGTACCCTCGCAATGATGTAGTTTTGAGGGTATTCGACAATCAGGATCGTGATAAAAACGCAAGTTGTCAACCAGTTATACTATATTTTCCAAAGTGATTTAGTACATGATCGACTTTGACCATCAGATAGGTTCCGGAGCTAACTTACGTCTTGGCCAGACAAATGGGTATCGTTTTTAATGCCCATAATTGATGCAAAAGACATGGTGCCTTTATCGATGGCTTGTAAGAAATACGTCGAAATCATGACGGCTAGAATCCGCCGATCGATTTTACGGCGCAGCTCATCGTTCTTCTCCGGACTGATGGTGATTCTGGCATCGGTAATGTATTGAGCAAGTTCCTTGTCGACTCTTCCATAATTCGTATGGTCTTTCTCAATCTCGTTTGACAAAATCGTCGCTATATTATTCTCGATTTCGTCAACGCTGGGGCTGGACTTTGGTGGCGCCATTATGAGATTGAGGCTCAACCCTCCCCGTTTTGTTGTTAAATGTGGCGTGATTGAATCAAGGTCAAAGGCCTCGTGCGCGACTCGTTGAGCAAAAACGAGGCGAAAGGCGGTGTTTTAAACATCTGCAAGCTCAGCACATCTGCATACCGACAGATGCCAAGACCTTCTCCCCGCAAATGCAAAACGAAATCTGGGGTCACGCCGAAACTAGCGACTTTCCCCAAACTCTGCTGTGGAAACGGCCTCTGGGATGAACTGATGAAGTTTCCAACACCTCTCGCTTCAATTTACACCGAGCATCAAGATGGTGGTACTGAGTATAGTCCACCAATGAACGTGAGGCGGCCCTCTGCTGTTGGAGGATTTTCCCTCGCGAGTCGTAAATGCCTCCCCTGTGGCGTTGCGGGGCAGATGCTACTAGGCGCAAACTATGGAAAACGCCAGGATTTGTGGCAATGCTCGCTTCGAAATGAGCCGAGCCGAAGGTGGTAATTCCGAATAGCAAGGATTCGCCGACGGGCAATCTCCTCCGAGCAAAACTCAAACTGGCCAGTATTATCTATCATGGTCTAGCCGCAACTCACTTAAACTGCTTTGAAGGAGCTTCCACTCGTGATAATTACTACTCTACAAACTTTCTTTTGTCGATTTCCAGTTGTTCCAACTGCCAATTTTCCCAGCCAATATCTGCAGCCGACCAGCAATATGCCGCTCACCGCCCATGGATTTGACGCAAAGGAGATACACTCCAAAATACAACTCCTCATCCATGGGCTCGTCAATATAAAGGATGAGACCGGGGAGTTTCTTATGACTCTTGCCGATGGCCGAGTAATAGATACGAAGGGCTGGAATGACTGGGAGTGGACACATGGTGTCGGACTTTACGGAATATGGCAATACTACCAGGCGACAGGAGATGCCAAATATCTTCAGATTATAGAAGATTGGTTCCAAAACCGATTTGCTTCTGGCGGGACAACCAAAAACATCAACACAATGGCAGCCATGCTCACCTTGGCTTATGTTTATGAGAAGACAAAGAACCCTACTTATCTCCCCTGGCTGGATAGCTGGGCAGAGTGGGCATATCATGACCTGGAGCGAACAAAATACGGAGGAATGCAGCATATTACGTACTTGGAGGAAAATGATCAGCAGCTGTGGGATGATACCTTGATGATGACTGTGTTGCCGCTGGCCAAGATTGGACTTGTGCTAGATCGCCCTCATTATGTCAAAGAGGCAAAATACCAGTTTCTGCTACATATTAAGTATCTATTTGATGCAAAGACGGGCCTCTTCTTTCACGGATGGTCTTTCAACGATGGGGGCCACAACTTTGCGTCGGCAAGATGGGCACGTGGTAATAGCTGGCTTACAATTGTGATACCAGAGGTTATCGAATTGTTAGATCTAGCCTCCGATGACCCCTTCTGCATTCACTTAAAATCCACACTAGCTGCTCAATGCGAATCATTGAAAGCTTTTCAAGCACCAAGTGGGCTATGGCGCACTTTACTGGACATTCCAGAAGAGGATGGGTCTTATCCAGAGTCCAGTGCAACCGCTGGCTTTGCGTTCGGCTTGCTGAAGGCACAACGAAAGCACTACCTGGAGGAAGAATACAGAAGTGTAGCATTCAAAGCAATTCAGGGCGTTTTGAGTAATATCAACTCCGATGGCCAATTGCTAAACACATCATTCGGAACAGGCATGGGATCAGATTTGGAGTTTTACAAGAGAATTCCCATTACGCCAATGCCATACGGTCAAGCAATGGCGATCTTGGCTCTCGTCGAGTTACTAAGAATATTCATTTAAAGTAACACTGAGAGTACCTAGGCAAAACGCCATACATAATAAAGGAGATTAATACCATGTATCTTGGACAGAAGATGACATTTAAAGACTCTTTAACAACCTTTCTCGTGATTTTTTTAAATAGATCTCTTAAGTGTTGAGATACGATGTGCCCCTGCCCAACAATATTTTCCCATCACCATTCAGAGGCTCTGTCATCATTCTCAAATATCCAATCGTGTCTTGTAGAGATGCTGTCTCGGCCTTGCATTGTACCGCTGCTAACACCCTGCTCCTGCGGCAGGAGGATAGAAGATGTCTCGTGGGGAGCTCACTACAGTTTGAGACACTTCGTTGCTCTAAATGTGGTGGGTATGATGGTACGCCATATTCCAATTAATAATAATCGGTCTGGGTCATTTGGTTTATTTTTGTATAGAGGACAGGGGGTAGCTTCTCAGTATTGATAGATCCAAGTAACTAGAGCATGTCAAAAGGTGTGGCGAGTATCCAATCTTGGTACTTTATTAATAAGTGGCTGTTCAATTATCCAACCGAGTGTAACGAGTCGAACCTTGGTACTCCGCCATCTTGAGTGGCTCACTACACGATGTTCTTAGTTGTAAACTAACCTCTGCCTCTCCTCTTATGCCTCACTGGTAAATGTTTCATCCTGATTGGGCTAGCTGTTCTTTGCACATACCTGTATTTGATTGGGCCGTAACACATACAGTACCCAGTTTGCATTGTTGCATCGGATACCATTCCTGTCTTGGGATATGTACCGAGCCGAGATTGCGGCAAAATCCCGTTAAACCTTGCTGTTGCCGCATAAATCATTAGAAAACTTGATTGCGAATGTATCTGGAATTATGATTTGTCTTGTCTGTTCCTTGCCTTCTACAGAAAGTATGGGGTAAATGGACCGGGATTTTAGTCAATACTACGCTGACCGGACAGATATTTCTTCCGTAATACATTTTATTCTTGGGTAGTGTTTATTTGCGTGGGTACATATTATATTTCACGCAAGAAGCGGCATCTATAAATACACTATATATTCTCTACCGGAGAGAGAAACAGACATTACATCTCTCTTCCATTAAGTGTAAACAATTATCGATCTCATATCACGCTGTTACGAAGACTCCACTGACAAAATGCAAAAAGCCGTATGTAATTGTACCTCCATGTTTTCTATCCTCTCTCCCTTTTCTGCATCAAAATTACCTAACTCCATCCAGATTCTATGTCTTCTCTCAGCTTGCTCAGCTGTCTTTGCACAGAACCCTGTGCTCTTTGACTCGTATACCAATGCCAGATGTGCTGGTGGAATCGTTGTTGGGACTACAATTGTTAACCCAGGCGACTGTACAAGCTCTACTGCGGCGTTTGCCAGTGCTCAGTACAGAGGCAGCCAATTCGACAATGTTCAGCAACCTGTGTCATTTTATAGTGACGAAAATTGCGTAAATGAGATTACGGGAGTGGCAAGTGAGCTGGGAGACGGTTACAACTGCTTTACTTTCAACAATGGTCAAGCGAAGAGTGCTAAGTGGTTAGCATAGGGAGTACTTTAGCGAGCAGACGCATGCTCATCACAATCAAGTTGTATGGATGTTATTATGTAAAAGAGCTAATGAGTCTTTGAGCAACGTGACATAACTGTTTTAATACTTCAATGGATAAGTTCATAATAACGAATCTGAGCGTAATCGTTTAGCTATAAAAGAGATGTAATGAGGACAACTTTCGTCTAGCAGGACATCAATATGCACATGTACCTTTACGGCAACAGTTTCAGACTTCCGTTCCCTCAATTGATGCATGATGTGCGGTTTACGTTATTATGTCAGCGACTGTGATCTTCCCAGTGGTGTGAGCAAGGTATTGCCTAGTGGTGCATATTCGGAAGGATTTATTTAAGCATACATCAGCAATGAGATGTTTATTGAATGCCTGCCCGTATCATATCTGATGAGTGGGGGCTTGTTTAGCGGATTGGACATTGTGCTTACGCCGTTGCGAACAACCTCCGGGGGGGTTCGAAAATACATCCGGCGCACGCTAGGGGTTTCTTGAAAATTTTTGCATCGCGAGCGTCGTGGGATGAATATTAGAAATAGATCTCGTATCATGCTCTCAGAAACAGCTATTAAAACTCCACATGAATCAGGTGGTCGATGCACTGCAGATGGAGGATTATCCAGTTGATAAAATCTTTCAGCCCTTCTCAGTCACTGGCTTCAACCTTTGTGAAGGAATCTTCATCGTTCTTAGCCAATGGATCATCCATGACAACCGTGTTCGCAAAGAGTACCATCAGGCCGTTGGAGATGCTATCGATAATATTCTTGGGCAAATCCATACCGGCAAAATCACACTGGAAATGGGCGCGCAAAATGCGCATCAGATGCGTAACAGATTCTTCCACTTGATGCGATACAACACCTCGCCAATTGGGCTCCTGATAGCGCACTCAATCCATGCAACAACTCGCCCATATACATACCACCTTGAGAAGAAATCTCTCGCCGCATTCGGAAAGCCTTCAAAGGATCTGAGTTTAGACCAAGCAAGCGAGGTTATTATGAGCACACTCATTAGCGCCAGGCGTCCAAGCAGAGCTGTTACTGATATGAGTAAACGAGCGAGTCGTTTCTGCAAAGGAGCGATACTTATCATTGCAGCTAAATCTCTTTATTTGGCATCATTATCAAGTAAAAAAACCATCGATATCGCGAGACTGGTAATCTGGGGCTCAAGTCTGGTAATGGCCAGCAGATTTGGGATTTTCACTACAAATAACTATTTGTCATGGAGAACTTCAAGAGGTAAATAGACTGGGAAACGACAAACTTTGGAGTTGTAGCTTAAACAATTGATCCAGAATAGATTTTACACTGGCCACAATTGGTAGATGTTGCCAGCAATTTTGCAGGTGTCTAATGGATTGGCAGCTAAACTGCACTAAACTGGAGAATGCTGTGTCCAAAGAAAGAACTTAAAGCACATAAGAGATTTTGATGTTGACCATAGATCATCTGCCATCAAGTTATGTATTTCTGATCTATCGACCAGCGGCTGGTACCTGAAATATATATAGGGTCCACCAAATAGAAACTCAATCATCCGAACACATTTATATAAAGCCCCACGATCAATAGACCTACAGGAATGACGGGTTCGCGTTCGTGAGAAGCTGCACGAAATAAGCCTGGAACCAAGAACCGGCTTGAGGTGCTGGCTGCAAAGCGTCTGCAGAAGCGCAGTGATAATCAAATCGTGGTGCACTGCTATTGCTAGTGCCATCGCACTCGCCACCTGGTTTGATCCAAACGAAGGAATCCAACAGCGAGTCTCCAGTATTGGTAGAAGGACGGATACCAAATCCAGTGCCAACAGCGTTGCACCAGTTACCCCACTCGAGCTGCCCGGTCGGCTGCTTACCAGATCGACCTTGGTCAGTGATGAAGAAAGCGTTTGACCAGCCGTGGTTGGCAAGAAGGGGTCCGATGGCGTGAATATACAGCTTCTCATTGTAAACAGCGTTTCCTTGAGTGTATGAAGGGGCAGTAGAAATGTTCCACGCATTGTAGTTAGCCACGTTAGTGGCCAGTCCACGGACGGCTCGGGGAGATGATGCATTCTTGTAAACATTTGCGAACAACTGGGCGGCTGGGTCTTGATTTGCTGGCCAGCCAAGCCATCCAGCGTGGCCCGCGTCCAAGTACATCGCAACGTTTGGAAGGTTCAGCTGCGTGATGGCGTAATTAATACATTCCAGGTATGCGGCTTGGGCGTTTGAACACTTCGGAGTGGCGAGGTTAGTAACCAGGTTGGCAAGAGAGTCGGGCTCTGGACGAAGACATAGTTAGCATGGACTCTAGAGAACATTCGTCTTGGAGCTCTTACCGACAACCAAAAGGATACGAATGTCGGAAAAGGTGGTGACGATTCCGCGAATGGTATCGATGTAGTTCTTGTATTTGGCCACGCCACCATCAGCGATGGAATATTCACCATTAGAAGCAGCGGCAGCACAGTCACGATCAGGCAGGTCGTAGACAACAAATTGTCCAGCGTAGTTGCCTCCAGCCTTGTTTGCTGCACGGATATCCGACAACGTCGAGCTCATCAAAGAAGTCTTGTCCAGAGTGTCTCTGCAACAGCTATTAATACGCTGAAATATTGTGTCCAGTCAAGAGTACTTACAGCCACATGAAAGATGGCACCTTTGCCACAGCGGCCGCAGCGGTAGCCATAGCTCCTGTCAAACTTGGAATTGCCAAAGTGCTGACTTCAGAGGCATAAAAGGAATTGGCCCAAGGCGTGACTCCAGAAAAGGGGTTACCCTGGTATGTTGCCGTTCCCGATCCCACTGGCGGCGGTGGTGCAGTCGAAGAAGCAGGAGGGGGTGTTGAAGAACTCGACCTAGTCGACGTTGCTGACGCCCGAGAAGTTGTCGACGAAGCGCGAGTGGAAGAACTTGAGCTTGCCGCGCCAGGAATACACTGGGAGTAATAGTCATTGGAAAACACGCAAGTGCTTCCGGAGGCACAGCAGAACGGTCCAGCCCAGTTTTGGCCACCACATTGACCCCTAGATATGAGTTAGTATTGTTTTTTTCTACATAGAAGGAAACACTTGGTGCTATACCAAACACTTGAGCAAGACTGTCGTTCCTCGAGGGGAACGCCAGCTGCCAATGTGGCCAGCGCGGCCAGAGTCGCAAGAATGCCTACAACCATGATGATCTCCTTTGAAGCTGCTGGTGTTGAGACTGCGTGGGATCATGGTAGAATGTTTTTGGTATGATACAACCCATTATATAGTCATGGCAATGTCTCTGTCTACTTGCCCCAAGGTGTCATAGCCATGTAGCATTCGGCATCACAGGGTAAAGCCCGGCGAATCTGCAACATGCATAGCCTTGACTGGCGGCTAATAAACTCCGTCTCCGCCTCAATACATATTACCCATTAAATAAGCTGGCAGAATGCACCGCCATTATACAAAACGTAGCATTGCACATAATATAGCCAGAGGTTGCGGCTAAAAAAATCCATAGTCTGTGCGTGATGCTCCAATCCATGCCATAACGGGTGAGTGAAGGTCAACTTAGTATGCTGTGGTTACTGAATGCGGAATGGAACATCCAATAGAGGCTAATACGTTTGATCCCTACATGACAATACATTGGTGTTTTCACAAAGACAACCTAATATGCGGTCGGTCCGAGGGAGAAAGACTACCAAACAGAATAGCCGTTAGCAAGTCTCTTCAAATACTACCTCGCAGCATGACCGATCTTTGGAGGGCATGGTGTGCGATATGTTACGCAATATCGTGGCCCATCTCGGAATAAGACTATTGTAATAGCCTGTGAGGTTAACAGGCTAAGCTTAGCTGACATAGCTTGGGATATACAGCAATGACGCCAATATTCTTCCATGTGAGCGAAATGTCTTCATGTGGCGAATTACGAGAAGTTGTCGAAATGAATAAAGCAAGTCGTACAAAAAGTATGCTCCACTGATGGCCTGCTTTTGATACCATATCAAATAGAACTCTCGTAGCGATACTTCTCATACAATTAGACATCTTTCAGAGCTATCTAGGTTGGCAGAAGAACTATTTTTGCGACCGCGATTGCAAGCGTATAGCACTTTTCCCAAAGGTGCCTTTGCTTTGCTAACATTAATGCAAACGTGGTGGAGATGTTATGCGTTGCCAATAGACCGCATGTTATAAAATTATAGTTGTACTTGTTGAGTAGTTTGAACTTCATACTAGAAGAGGGAAGAGTGGCTACTCGGTCGTCTTGCGAGACACTAGCGACTTGTTCATGAAGGAGTGATACCGTAAATGGATTAAGAATTACAAACCATAGTGCCTTCTGAAGTTCAGGTTTGGTAACCTTCTTCATAAGTCTGCCCGGTGGTTCTTGGTAAGAATATATCCAGGGTAACTAGCTATTGGACATGTGGGAGCGATAAACGGTTGCCTTTATATATCACTTAACGTAGAAAACCGGAAACTTTTTTTTTAACAGAAAAGGTAAAGATGATAATAAGCGGAGAGCATTTATTGCTCATTGAAGTCATTCGCAAGATCTAACTAAAGCTTCTGCGTAGAGAAGCTAATCGCAATGCGGGAGATCCTATCCAATGAAATAAACGGCTTCTTTTAAAGTCGCGTAATATGTACATGTATTGATGGATATCTGAATTTGCATGTGATTTTACAAGTGTCCGAAAACCCCTTGCTAGATACACTAATACAGCCCTCTGATCTAGTTGTAAAGTATTATCATAGTGCAGTATTTGTTTTAAACATTCAGAAAAGCAATTAAGCTATTGTTATAGCGACTGGCGGACAATATTTACGGAGCATTTCGCCTCGCATGTTCATTGTTGAACGGCGTACATATAATACTCATTTCTGAAGTTTTGTTGACACACTATATGCAACAGACCCACTCCCATCGAGAAAGATTCCAAGATGCAATACTACCAACATATCTTCTTTATATATCCTAGTGTCATCTTGGCTGTCCTCACACATACACATGCAATAGTGACGGTTATACAGATGCCAGAAAGAGAGGGTACCTCGGCGCTAAATTAATTTGGAGGAGCGAACTCTGGTTCCTGAGAATAGCAAAGACCATTATGATACATGGAAATAGAGATATATACTTAATGTGCTTACCGGGCTTTGGAGGGGATACGTGTCAATTGCTTTCTGACGAAAGATACCTATGTAGAGCAACTCAATTTGGTTTAGTAACCTATATGTAGTTTTACGGAACAGTCTTGAGATGGTCATAGGTCTTAATACTACGTGGGCGAGGGAGAACGTAACGTGAAATGCACTCCATCCACATCCGCCATCATTTTCTATATCGCCATATACTTTAATACCTGTGCAGTATTCTATTCAAACTAAAGTACATGTTCCTAGAGTACTAGGTGCAGCAGCACATTTGACTACTCACATATGAACGTAAAAGTTCATAGTTGAAGCCCCATATACGTAACAGCGCATAAATAGAGTCACAGACAGGTCTTTAATACGGAGAAAGTTATCGGTGTACCAAGCTAATGCTAACGGGCAGAAATACCAGGCCACTAGCCCAGCCTATGCGACGCATATAGCTTCAAATAGATCAAAGTTCTTCCTTTCTCCATCCCTCCAAGATATTGAGTACCCATACAATTCGACATCGGATGTCAAAGGATGAGGTACGGAGCTAACCCCCGGGCTTTTTTTTTCTAGGCGGGTGATGGGGAGCCAGCCTTTAGCGCTACCCCAATAGCTAATTGCCCCACGTTTCGTTTCTTGGATACTAGGTAGGCTTCCACCTTTCATACTGTACAACGAGACGATAGTGTATTCTTGAGATAATTGAGATAATACATGGCCTTATGGGACGGATAGAGAATGGATTATCTTCATACAATTCTTGTGACCGATGGCAGAAATGGTCTAGCGGCTCATTCAGAAGATGAAAGACGGATATCGGCGATTCCCGGTATTCACATCAGTGGAGAATATAGTGTCGGGTGCTGATTACATGTAACCAACTGTTCCTCCACGTGGCGTATCTGTGCTCTCTACCTGGATATGCATCCCATATAGCGGTGCATGTGTGACAGATGGTTTCCAAAAGCAGTATGGGGAGGGCAGGGTTACATTGAAGAAGAAGGATGGGGGGCTTGTGGGTGGAATAGCTGCATTGCCTGTATCCTATTATTGGTACCAGAGTTAAGAACGACATTGCGCGGAATTGCGTTGCCATTACAAAAAAGCAAACGTTGTTGACATATCTTCGAAGCCATCACGAGGGGTAAATGCGATACTGCTGATTAAAGCACAAGCTCAATCTTATTGTTTAAAGGCAGCTGCAATGAAATTACATACTGTCTGCTCTATATCCTTGTCGCCTGTTTTTTAGAAGGATAATAAGAAGCGGAAGAAGCGAAGTCGTGAGGGCCTAGCTATAAATTACAGACAAAACATATCCTACCGTGCGCTATATCCTGCTAGCACCGTAGAGAAGAAATTTGGCGTCAAATTATATCGAATTGTTGAAGATTACATTATGTTTCTTTGCCCAGATCTATTCATGAAAATGGGGTCTCGTGTATGAATGAGTTAATGGCCTGATTCATGCGCCATACCCAACGCGACGATATCTTGAGGTAAAGAATAGCACTGTTAGATCTCTTAGTCCTCTACTGAGGCACACTCGCGTTCGTGTCGTGTCACCTTCGACTTATCATGCCACTAGATTTCTCCTCGATATACTGATGCAACTTGAAACACCAGTAGAACAAGTATAAAATAAGCTTAATATTCTACTGCGACGTATATGCAAACTTTATGTGAACGCCACTATGGTTCGTAGATCAGTTAGGTCGTCTAAGCCTAAAAAGAGAAGTATATCCGGCTGGTCAGTACGGTGTGCCGGAATTTACATGCTGTTTCCTGATGGGAATTAACAAAGAGCTGTAGCGTAACGGGATCAATAGTTTACGCGGGCAATCAAATCGTCCTGACCTACACATATTTCTCCATTTATCAAGCGGCTTGGCTAGTATATTTTGATGTTTAAATAAGGTTGTGAATGCGCCTGGATTTAATCCTATATCGGAGCTTGCGTAGTAACAGATGCGCGATGAATCTTAGGAAACAAGCTAGCGATTTTATTCCTTTGAAACATGCAAGGACAAATAAATGCATACCCGCATTCGGCCAATTCAACCTCTCTATAATACTATACAACGGAGAAATAATTGCTGTGCGCTTGATATTCCATAGGTTTTAGCAGTGGGGTTGTAAGCTTTTAGCTGGCTAGCCGTCGAGTAATCCAAGGCCGTGCATTACTGGAGAGCCCACAACGAGAATATTAAACTCATAGTCAATATTGAGCGATTAGCAAAAGGTCCAATGCTTGATAAAGAATTCTGTTAGCTAAGTGGTAATAATACATGTATATCTGTTTACCTTCCTGCTATCGGTTGACCTAACTGCGAAGGGAAGTTCAAAAAATTGACACGTGGGGATTTGCTATCTAGCTCTTGGCGTACCAGCTCTTGGCAAATCAATTCTTAGCGGAACATGCAGCCGTAAGCTTTGAACAATAGTTCTATCCAATGGGGGCTAGACCACAAGAGTGAAAAGCTTTCAGCTGTTTATAAGGGGCAGGTCTTGCTGGTTAAAAAAAAAAGAATTCCAACGGTAGCTCTTTATCTCAAAACGGCCATTCCTTGACTGCTCGGAACAATGGGATTGGGACAAGTGCTGGTTGGGGCGGCCCTGAGCGTTGGCTCCGTGATGGCAGCCTCTGTCTCATGCGCCATGCCGTTGAGCTGTCACAATATCTCGGCTGTGGCTGATACTTGTCGCTTCAACTACCCTGGTGGCCAACTCCTTCAAACACAATTTTGGGACACTAACCCATCGACTGGGCCCAATAACTCGTGGACCATCCATGGCCTCTGGTAAAAAGCCAACAGATTCTGCTAAAAGAAGACGCGTTTTTTGAACATTCTACTGACCGCCTGCGCAGGCCCGATAATTGCGATGGAACCTATGAACAATATTGTGATACTTCCAGAGAATACACCAATATCACCGCAATCCTTGAGGAGCAAGATCCTTGTACTCTGGAGTATATGCAAATATACTGGAAAGATTATACAGGCAACGATGAGAGCTTTTGGGAGCACGAATTTGGCAAGCATGGTACATGCATCAGCACTCTTGAACCCAGATGCTACCCCAATTACCAGCCTACTCAGGAAGTCGGTGACTTTTTCAAGAGGACTGTCACTCTGTTCCAAACTCTCCCCTCATATGATTGGCTTGCCGCAGCTGGCATCTTGCCGTCGTCAACAACCACGTATACTCTAGCTGCAATCCAGGATGCTCTTACTGCGCAATTCGGCCACAACGTCATCATCAACTGCAACAAGAATGGTGAGCTTGACGAGTTATGGTATCAATACAACGTCCGTGGTTCTGTCCAGACAGGAGTGTTTGTCCCTGTTGACCCCGTTGGCGCACCCTCTACCTGTCCCAAAACCGGAATTAAATATTTGCCGAAGTATAGCACCCCTACATCGACGACAACCACCAAGTCGGCTACAAGCACAAGCACCACACGCCCAACCATACCGGCGGGTGTCCTTTCCGGCAAGGCTTACCTATACGTTGACACTACTAGCACAACGAGTCCTGGGTTCCTCATCAGCAAGGGGGCGTGGTATCGTGGCGGCGGTACCCCAGCTACGTACACTGCTACGCCAAACGCTGACGGCACGACATTTTCTCTAAGCTCTAGTAAGGGCAAGTGTGCAGTTTTGAGCGACTCTTCCTTTAGTTGCGATACCTCCATCTCCACCGGCAGCAGCTTTGCCTATGATGGCGCGCACTTGACATTGGATGGATCATCAACTTTCTATGCCACTGAAGTCCCAACTGGACAAACACAGGGGACCGTATTTACGAGTCCCCAGGCAATCTCTCTACAAGTTACCTGGAATCCTTTGTCATAGGGACTCATAACATATAACGAGTAATGACTAGTTTCCTTATGGAATTAGAGGCCAATTAAAGGAATGAGATCTAATTGTCCAAGTCTTGTCCATTGTAGTTCTGAAAACTTTACTGCTAGGTAGAGGTTAAACCGTAGAAAGTACCATTGATGAAAAAAAAACGCCTGGACGAGGCAAATCGAATTGAGAAAACTGTTTGTTTAGTGACAGCATACTAGCAGAGACTCCTGTATCTGAGCAAGACTAACAGCAAGCTACATCTTGAAGAGAGTGCCGTGATTACGCATGCTCTTGTTTACTACTCCTGTGGTTATTTCTAGACCTACCAGATCGTAGATGGATGGGGACAAATATTTGCCAATGATAAAAATGCGACCCTAGTCTCCTAAAGAGAGTGAGAAGAAGATATCTTGCTGCATGCCGCAGGAAGCATTGCTCTAAGCGTGGTAGAAAAGTAGACATGTTTCAGTGTTTGGGTCGAATTCCCAATGGAGAATTTCCGCAGCATATAATTGGCTACGCTATCATCTGAGGTGCGACGGCGGTACAGCCAAGGGACAATCACCACATCAACGCCTGGGTTATCACCACCACTGATACCGCACCAATTTAAAAGATCATACCATACTATAGTCGGCGCAAGAGAGGTCTTTCAATATTATATTTTAACCATTGCTATATATCCTATTAATATTTGGCGAATACAAGCCACATGTATGCGGCGATATAGCTAATCTCGTTCTTGCTAAGACTTTATGCTACCACCGCCACTTGGGTCTCGTGATTCCTCCAAATGAACAACATCTTTTCCTTTTAAAAAGTCATCCAGCTCTCTGCGCTCATCATCTGGGACGTCAGTAACATGAACTGCAACATCGTCCCCGAAGCGCGCCGAAATTTCCTCCAACGACAGTTTGGCTGTTTCGGGAAAGAAGAAATACACAACTGGGATGAAGAAGATACACCAGACGATGATGACAAGATAGTATTTCCAGCCAACATTGACGATTCCAATCGGTGCAGTTTGTAGTAGAATGATAGTACTAGAGAATTGGCCGAAAAGTGAAAACCCCATGCCAATTGGACGAATTTCGGTGGGAAAGATCTCGGCGACATATATATACATCGTTGTATCACACCCGGTTCTGTCAGCATCCGTTAGTCAAGGGTCTTTTATCTAAGGGTGGAGGGATTTGTAGAATCATATAAAATAGCATACCCTTGAAACGCAAGGTATAGAAAAATGAAGAATACTCCTGCTGCATTGCCAGCCTTGTTCGATGTCCCTGCGAATTGGGCCACACAGGCTGCAAGCCCACTGGTGGTAATTAAGCAGCCAAATAGACCAACCATAAACATCCACCTTCGTGAATTGACTTTGTCATGTAGCCAGGCGCCAAATGGATTGTAAATCAAGCCGGCGGTGGTGAGCCAGAGTGCGGATAGCAATAGAGGCATGTAACCCGTTTGTCCCAAATTGGTGTATAATATGACCGAGTAATTATTCTACCAAATTAGCAACGTGTATCAACAGCAAAGATGAGTAGACTCACAATGATAAGAGGTCCAGCAAATTCAGCACCCCATTGAGTTAGAAATCCAATAATCATTCTTTTCCGATAACTCTTCTTCTTGATCACCGCCATCCATGGCCCGCATCCAATAGCCTGTAGCCTCGCAGCGTCAAGTGCAATCTGGGCTCGGATCTGGTAGAGTTCCTCTTTCGCAGCCATATTTTCTTGGTCTTCTGGCGACCTTCTGAGATTCAACACAACTATCCATGCTTCTTCTAGCTTGCCTTTTTGCAAAAGCCACCGAGGTGATTCTGGGATCCAAAATGAGGCTGTTAGCAGCACCAGAGGGCCAAAGCATTGCATGCAGAGAGGGAAGCGCCATGCAAAGTCCGGCCGTTGAGCCGTGGCAAAGTAGCACGCAAATCCAAGCCAACTGGAAAGCATATATCCGAAGACAACGAAAATTGCGTGGTGACCGACCAGCCAGCCGCGCTTCTCAGGCGGCGCCAACTCGCTCATATACATAGGGCATACTGTTACCAGGATGCCAATGCCTACACCTGCCAGAAAGCGTCCTGCCTGAAACATGCTTGAGATTATTAAATGGGAAAACGATTAGCTTATTGTCTTTCGTGTTTATTTGTTGTCAATAGTGGAGTGAAGTCAGCGTACCCGATACTCACGGCACCCCCTTGGAGAGCGCCTCCTAGAAGAGCGAAGAGTCCCCCAATTTGGATTGATCGCTTCCTTCCTAGGGCCGATGCTGCCCACATAATAAATAGAGAGCCGATAGCACCACCCGCGCTGTATATACCATTGGCGGTGGCAATTGTCGAAGTAGTTTTCGTTGCATAACCCGGAGTGCCACTTGCGGGAAGATCAAAGTAGGCATACCACCCCGGTTGGCCTATCGTACTTCCAATAATGGAAGAGCAATACCCGTATGTCTAACAACTTAGAATCTTCTAACATACTTGATCTAGGAGCGGAAGACTTACAAGAGACCCGAAAGCGACCGCGATGTTCACTAGGCGATTATAGAGTGTAGCATGAGAGACGACCATTTTGAAGACGCTGACTCAACACTGTCCGGCCCAGTCGCGACCAATATCATATACTACAGTCGCTTTCGTTTTCTTTACTTTGGTATATTTGCCAACTGTGTGTGCAAGTGTTAAAGAAAGACGTAAAGGGGCAGAAGGGGATTCATGGAATCATTATACTCCTGAGACAGGATGGGAGGAATGTAAATGCATCGCTCTGGTCACACACGTTCTGGACTAATCAAACGTGGTAACGCAACATGAAACCATTGCGCCAAGTGCGCACAGCTCAGTGGCAAGCCGCGCGGAGCGTACCACTCTATTGAAATGCTGGAGGTGGGGATACCACGCCAACACGTAGGCGAGGTGGTACACTCCGCCTTGGGAGCAAATAGCTTCCGTCTGTTAATTTGCGGAGAAGCGGGGGGTTGCAGTAAAGGTCCTTGGAATGAGACAGGAATTTGAAGGACATCATGACAGCCCAATAAATACCTTTTCATCACGAATGCGATGCTAACATCGTAAGCTACCTTATTAAACCTCTCTCGAAACTATATCAAAAAGATGCATACGCGTTCTGTATCAGATATTGAGCCCATTGTGTTGTTACAGGAATCCCCAGAGACTCCTGTTAACCTGAATTCCCTACCTTTCGACCGTCTCCCGAATCCCCGTCAAGTCTGGCCTTTTCCTTCTCAATCTGCCGAAGAGGGTTTGGGTCGCCTTGTCCTTCTCACCCCTGATGTCGTGGCATCTGCTGCGGCATCATGCATCAAGACTGGTCGTCGTATATCCCTTAACTGGGACTTAACAAAGCTGGATGTCGCCAATTTCAACCGAGCCCCGGCGCAACACCACATCATTCCCCTCCTTAATGGTACAGCTTTTGATGACCTCTATGTGTTCAATCCACAGCAGTCTTCACAGTGGGATGGGCTGCGCCACTTCTCAGCTCCGTTTCCCACTAAAGATAATCCCAAACAGCGGCTGTTCTATGGTGGTGTCACTTCGGCAGAAATTGAAGACCGAAAGAACACGCGCATTGGGATACAACATTGGGCAAGGCAGGGTATATGCGGTCGAGGCGTGCTCCTTGACTATGTTTCGTATGCGGAGCGACACGGGATAGAGTACACCACCTTTTCGGATCATGGGGTTTCACTAGAGGTTCTTCTCGAAATTGCAAGGGAAGAAGACATCAAATTCCGCCATGGTGATATTCTCTTTATTCGCATCGGAGTCACAAAGGAATGGGATACCAAAATGACTCCGGCAGATAAGCTTGCTTATGCGCAGAGTTCAAACCCTCTTCATGCAGGTGTTGAAGGCACGGAAGAAGTTCTAAAATGGATTTGGAATACAAGATTCTCAGCTGTTGCGAGTGATGCTATATCCTTCGAGGTTTATCCACCGAAGCAATCATACCGGCGCAATGGAGAACAGGGAGATGCGCCCGGTGTATTTCTTCACGAGTATTTAATTGCTGGTTGGGGTATGCCTGTCGGAGAACTGTTCGATCTGGAGGAGCTCAGTCGAATTTGCAAGGAGGAACAGAGATGGGAATTCTTTGTCGTTGCATCACCGCTCAACATGCCTGGTGGGGTGAGCAGTCCTCCAAACTGCATCGCTATCTTTTGATCCAGCATTGTATACTTCACTACATGTGCTATGGATCTTACTTAGTAAATACTACTCAGTGCTATTAGTATGGAAACGTTGAGCTACGCTGGTTAAACTCCTGTGACACGACATCTATCTAAAAACCCCTAGTCTCGAAAACATGAAGAATTTTGCAAAATTTGCCTGCCAACCCCCAACAACGTAATCGTTGCATTATGATCTGTGCGTCACGACTTAAATTAGAGACGCAGCCATCGTCAAATACGTTCTTGATAGATCCCAAACCTGCTGGTCCCCCTGCGTTAACCCAGTCTGCCACAGAGCGCCTTCGAGACGTGTGCTCATGGCATGGGAGATCTAGCCGGATAGGTAATTCATCGCTGGCGGAGGACGCAAACCGTGGGCCATATGAGGAATAGGCTAGTATGAAGATGTAAGCCATGAATAGACGCATGATTTCGCATGGCGTCGACACCAGGTATTCGTTAGCGATGCCAACGATTTGTGCCGCGTGCCAGAGGAGCATTCTGCCCTTGTGAGCGTCCTGTGCGAATGCAGATTTCAGCCTTAATTGGGCGACTTTTACGTGATATAGAGTCTTTGAACAATCCTGCGATATATGATGGCGGACTATGTAGATAATGGCATCCATTATATCCTCGGCAGCATAGAGGTGTGAATAATTGCAAAGAAGGCCAGATATGCTACTAACTATTAGCTTGTTCTCCTATGGAACTGTAAAGGTATAGCTTACTTGTAACTGATCAGTTCAGGAGTATTCGAAGGAGAGGCCATGGAGCCAAGTAAATGATCAAGAGAGCGCAGTAAAAGCTTTTTGGATTGTTGGTGCGCACCGAGGAGGGATGCAAGGCCAAAATGCTCCGGCATTGCTACCACCTCCAGCTGCTTCAAATCCCACAAGAGGCGCCCTATGACCTGCGAGCAAAGTCTTCGAGCCCATGTCCCCAGGGAATTACTGATCACTTTCCCTGAGAATATGTCTTTCAAAGTATCTGAAAGGCTTGGGGAGATGCTGAGATGTGATCGAAGGGCCAACCAAGCTTGTGCTGAGGTCGCACCCCATAATGATTCGTTACAGGGCAGCTTTCGGGGCAGTTCGCTTAGATCAATAGCTCCTCGGCGGCTGGTAAGAGTACAGAGGCTGCAATCGTATTCGAATGCGGCCCAAGCTGCCCTGCATTCATGTTCTTGGCTAACCCAAGATTGCCATTGACGATTCAAAAGCCTCATGTCGCTTTCAGCTCCGGGCAGCTCAGTACTGTCTTGGGGTTCGTCCATGACACCCCATGACGAGGAGCCTAAAAGGCCCATGCCTCGCAAACTTCCAATTAAAACACCTCTGGAACGGTCAGCGTTTTGGTAAAGTTGCCTATTTCCGGATCCAAGGGAGTAAATTTGATGGAGGCAAAGAGCGTTAAGATAAGAGATGTCTCGGTAATTCGCTCCATCTGTAGCACCCTGTGTTATAATTTTTTTCAGCGCGTGTCATCGCGGTTGATTGACATTGTCCAGTGCAATGGTGACCTACCAGCCATGAAATCATTGGTAAGCAGATTTCACTAAGCATCCAAGAAAGCTCTATATCCTGTTCATCATCTGAGAGCAACGCTCCCACGCAGGCCATTGAGGTGAGAAGAATTGTTGGACAAGAAAACATGTTCCAAGTTGGCCGGTGGATAATTGGTTGGATATCATGAAATCGGGAGAAATAAAGATCAAGTAGTCTGTGTAAATCGCCAAATACCTGAGGGGCATTACTATCTTCAACTGACGATAGATTCGGAAGATAACCGTCAGAAAGGAATGAGACGAGGGTGTTCAGGCGCTTGTTCTGGTTGCCCGAAGTGCTTCTGAGAATGTCTCTCAGAGGTGGCAGGGAGTACCGATGGGGAGGTGAGTCTCGGGCTTGGTCGAATGGCCAAGGTTGTCCTGTATAGTGGGAGTCTACTGGATGCAGATGGTGGCTATTTACCGAGATTCCTGTTCTGCTCATCGCAGTTGGCGGGGTGCGAGGCCGATAAAAATGGGGTGAAGTAATTCTCGCCGTGTCAAGCCCGGATTGACTCGAACTGGCGGGCGACTGGGTGCTGGGATCGTTCAACATACTTGCAATAGCCCACGGTTCGGAGTTGAGGCCAAAGTTGGGCATATCAACACTAAGCCAATCAAGGCCAGTCGCTCGAAAGTCAGGCAAACCAGAAACTGGGTAAGTTAAGGGTATTCCCTCGTCGTTACTCGGGATGTAGTCATTGACATGAGAAAATATCTCGCCAGCAACAGACTGTGAAACGCGAAATATAGTTGAGCTAGACGGGAGTGTAGGGGAGAATTCTGCAGGTATTGAGTGAAAGGATCCATCTTGAGAGACGTTGCAGCAGGATGAGGCAGCAAGCTCATCCCCAGAGTAAGATACTGGAGTTTGTAGGGTGTGTGGGAAAAGTTCGTCTTGTGCAGCTTCAGGTGGACTTAGGCTCGATGAGATACCACCGAAGCCGGGATCATCCAGTTCTCGCCGTTCTTGTGCCGAGGGAGGCGGCCGCGAGCCTTTCTTCGAGATATGTGGCACACCGATGTTCTCAAACCCCAATTCTCCAGACTCTGACGACGTGTACTCACACGGAACCTGTGACTCAATGCAGCCTGCACAGGGTCGTGCTCGTTCGCATTTCCGCTTTTTGATGACACAACGATAACACGACTTTCTCATCGATCGTTTGATGTTTGGCTGCTTGATTAGATGAGAAGCACGCAAATGGCGAAACAAAACGTCGCGTCGCGAAAACGACTTGTCACAGCGAGGACATGGTAGGACGGCTTTCAGACTTGGGGGGAGATGGGTTAGTTGATGCCGATCGAGGTGGCTCGGGCGAGAGAATGTTTTGGTACAATGAGGACATTGTAGTGAGGGAGAAAGATTTCGTTGATTATTTGGAGGGGACATTGCTTGTAGAACCGATTTCATGCCCTAGCATGCATCGTTGTGGAAGTGAGGTGTTACTGGAAGCAACTTCACGCAAGAGAGGACAAACAAGAATGTTGGACTAGAGACCTGGAGGACTGCGGGGCGAAAAGTCAAATAAGTTCCAGTGCTTATTAGGTCTAGCTGGCTACTTTTAATGATCCATCTCCTCTAATCCGGGGTGGCGCGTCTAGAATCTGGGGGAATATGGCGAATCCCATTGGAACATGCGCTTTCAGCCATCTTCTCCCTCATAGCTATGTCATATATTGGCCCCTGCGGCTGGCAAATGAAAAAAGTACCCGGATTTGTTGGCAGGAAGACATCTCAGCATGTCGCTACCTCAAATACTCTCAACATGGCTTGTCACTAGCAAAGTGGCGATACATTTGTTCATTAACTTCCGGCGTAAACTCATTTGATCCCCGGAGTCTATATCCGCGTTTCGCCGTCTTTTCTATTTTAATTTCTCTGACCAGTAAAGTGATGTCAAAAGATTTTAGAAATGAGGATAATAATCACTTACATTACATTGCCCAGATCACTGCAAAAGTTACGGTTGAACGGCAGGCTGCTCGCGACAATGGCTGAAGCGCTACTTTTGGACATGTGCTACAGCTGCATGGGAGTCGAACCGCCAGCAATGCATGAACAACCATATTCTCTCAATAGCTCTCACGACGAAGGGAGAAAGAGAACGTTATCGATGTCAGCATCGGCCTCTGCTGAATTATTACCAGATACTACATGTTAACGGGCTAAAGCAATGAGAGTGCTTCTGCGGCACGAAATACAGCGGTAAGTTCGGTGTACAATATGTAACCCGTAATCACTATACTGGAACAGGCAGACAGGTACAGTGTCTTCAATATTCACCGCACAACATGTTACATTTTCCACCAAAATAGGACCGGCGGCAGTATTCCCATAACTTAATTCCATTGCAAATATTTGAAATACTTTATCGGAAACTGTAAATAGGCTGCTTCTGCTGCTCTATTCTCCGTACGTCTTGTAGCAATAGGGAGATGCAGTGGATCGTTTACCCCGCATTTCGCAAACCAATAGCAATGGGATTATCACAGGGCAAATGCCGAAAACAAGTGGCACGCTCCGGTTTTGCCGCCGGTCGGCCGGAGCGTACCACTCTTGTGCAGCAGCTGAACGAGATCATAAGTTAGGTTCAACGGCCCAAAAACAGAGCGCAGAAGGTCAAAAAAGGCACTACGGAGTGGTTCGATTTCGGAGACATCCAGACCATAGAGGGAACAGAGAGGCCAGGCTAAAGAGGGTATAGGTACGTGTGGTATAACAATCGAATATATACGGAGTACGCATCCAAAATTTAAATCAAGTTCCTGCTTTTGTACCTGTGGTAAAACTTCTACTCCTAGTATATGATGGCATCGCCAGCATTCATAAGCAGGTTGGGTACAGTGTAAAAGGCATCTTGAGTAGCCTTGTCACATGTAAGCGCCGCACCGGAGTTGATAAAGCCCCAGTGAAACATGTTCAACTGTCCACCTAGATTATCCAACGCGAAGCCCAAGTTGAGTGCCGCCGTCCGTGCAGGGGTAATATTATCGTCTTGGAATCCGGGCACGTTGAGAAGCGTATCGCTCGCATGAGTGCCAGCAGCCTCAAACTTGGGAACCAAAGAGCAAATCGTAGCCGCTTGTGCATCAGTGGCGCGGCCAATGTCAACATCACCGTTGCCGCTGGGCAAGAGGTTCAATGTGCTGATGAAGCTGTCTGCAAGAGCCTATTTCTTTGGTGTTAGCCACTCCCACAGTACTCCTCATTTTCTTTGAACGCACCTGGTAAGGAGAAGCAGCATTTTCCTCGGTAAACTGTGGATTGGCTTTCTGCAAAGAGGTTCGAAGATCTCCAGCGGCTTGGAGCGAGTCAATGACACTCTTGAGGATGGTTATAGCCTGGTCCGCGGTGAGGGTGGTGGTGTTGGCAGCCGGAGCAGCACTGACGCCAATAGCGGCAAAGGCCAGAGCAAAGAGGTTAGACCGCATTTCGAGTGTTAGTATTTACACTTTATTTAAGCTTGAAAGAGAGGATGGGTTGATCGCAAAATGACGGTCGAGAATGAACAACATCATGCCCACGGCAACGAGGGCCTCATTATATAGATGTATGCCTTCTACTTCACAAATAATCTTAATGTTGATCTACCAGGATAGGGATCTTCGGAACAATAGAAGGCAGACGCGGCCAGTTAATACCCCGATATGATACATTTCGTCTTATGTAAACTTACCCTCTCGAAGAAAATATGCCCTTGAAATCACAACATTTTAACATTGCTTATTTAGCCAGCTGCCTAAAAGGACAATGTTACATATGCATGTCTCGTGCGGCCGCATGTAAGAAGCTTAATCGGCCCGATGCTGCATGCTGACAAACTACGTGTTGCAATCTTAATATAGCAACTACCTGTTAAGTCAAAAGATTGGAAAGAAACTGATGAACCTGCGAAGATATTAGGGCAAAAGGGTGATTACTATCCTCTGCGGGATCGAAATATGAGAGTGAAAATGCATATTGTTGATCAAGTAAGATATTTTGCCTTCATGACCAACTTAGTATCACAAAAATAAGCTACAACTTCATCTTATTAACTTTCGACAACCCCAACCGTGTCTTTGCAGTCCATCTACGTGCTTGAACGCCAAACATGTATGAATAGCCCATGAAAAGTGAATGAGGGCGAACTTTGATATTTGATCAATTTCAAAGGCAAGGTTTTGCTGCAATGCCAATAACACGCTTAATGATGCGAGTATCATATCAGGGCTCAATCATTATCCATGAGACGTCTCTCTCTAAACAATATTCTACTAACGTGCTTATGATGTCCCAAAACATTCCATATAAGGAAAATAAACAACTTTACCATCCTATTCTACTTTGAATGAGCGTGTAGCCGAATAGTATTCTCAATCACTTATCACATAGAAATGTTACTACCATGAACTTTGGCGGCTGTACTCAATCAATTATAAAGGTACTTATTCACGGGTTAGATGGAACACATATCTCAACTCTATATATTCGGCCATAGTGTGATGTTAAGGCTATCAAAATCTAGAAACACGCTTCATTGCCCTTGAGGTATTATACACAGACTTATTTAACAACACGGAAAAGTCTGACAAACTACCTTATCTATCGTCTGATAACAGGTTGGCTCTTTTTCTTGCCAGGTGTCGTTTGCCTTTAGATAAATACAGTGTAAACTTCATATAGTCGTACGGCGTAAAACAGTCAAAACATTGTTTGTCACTGTATCTCCCAAGCCCCACATGGCCAGAAATCTTCCTCTTTTTGATCGCCTCGCATCATACTATCTATCAATTCAGACCTACCCACAGATTACATTCCATCCTGTGGGTGTATGGATTGTGTAAAAGAACGTAACCCTTCGCCGTCAAGACTGGTAGAATGACGGTACGCTGTAACCCCTCGGCAGCAATACTACCTCGGTTTCTCGGTCAAGTACAACAGTCTAGATCGCTACTCGTACCGTAGGATCCACTTATGTAATGGAAGGCAACTCAGAACGAGGAATGAGCCAGCTTTGTACCATTGTTTAGCCCAACTACTGGTTGCACTGCTAGCTACTAGGTAGTTAAGGCTACGTTTACTTATGTAGTAGCATGTGCTAATACGACAAGGGAGACTAGTACTACCTAATGTTTCGTAACGATAGCTTACAGTCACTAGTTCGGCATCTCATGCGCACCTCGGCATATTGCCCATCATAGCAGGTGGTAGTTGTAATCCTGCACTGCGAATTCTCTCTAAAATTAGCTTTGGGAGGCCAACCCAATGAAATTGCCAGCATAGGTTAAAAGACGACCTAATAGGTATGGGAAAATACCCAACTGAGGGGATGAAAACCAGCGGCCGTAGTTGCAGAAGGGATATAATTGAGCTTTGATCATAGTAAACAGCAAATTGCATTTAGCAGTATATTCAACAACAGTATTCTGAATATAGTAGCAAGGATGACCGGGTTGGGTATACGCAACGAACAGAAAGTCGACGTTGTCAATGAGATTAAGATAGGCCTTAGGCCTGACGGCAACTTCAATTAAAAGAAGAAAGGTTGATACGATCTCTGTGTTGGAATTGCTACAGATATTTCTGAGATCACTTACTCGAAGGCTGAGAGAGAATTTTACAGTTAGCCAAAGCCGTTACGGAGTCACCAACGGTACTCTTAGGAGGATACGGCAGCATGATCAAAAGACGATTCTTCAGAAGCGACGCCAAGTTTTTGAATGGTCTATTCTGCTGGAGGATAAGATATTGTCCAATGAGAGCAGAAGATACATCACAATGCGTCCCAAGTTCACAGAAGCCTATATGAGTTCAAGATTAGCGACAGGAGGCATTGCGTACTGGTCCTTGGAGCTTCGCACAGATATGGTAAGAAAAGAAGCATGCTGTTATCAGCTCCCACACAGAAGAAGCAGCCCGTCTATAAGTTAGCGCTGGACGAGGCAGAGTGGCTGAAATTAGTGACGCGGGGAAGTGGATGGGTAGATATGGACCCCCGGCCATATTCCACCCCATCCCCCAAATCTGCTACCGGGACGGACCAAGCCAATTTGTTTTCTCCTCATGCTCGGCTGACCGGTAAAGATACCGCTGAGTATGAAACGGTCATTGTCATAATCCAATTTCTTCCTTGTATACTTTTACAATGTCTGCTCCCCGTAAACGCGTGAGGAGAACTTTCTCAGCATGCTGGACATGCCGCCGGCGCCGAGTCAGATGCGATGGTGTTGTGCCAGGATGCACGCCTTGTCGGAAGCACAGCGTAGCATGCGAGGGATACAGCGTCGAATTGGTTTGGGTCGACCCTTCCACGGGGAAATATCCGCCTTTATCTCGACGGTCACTTGACTCAGCCCATACGTGGAATGGCTGGCCAATCCTGGATGATGAGCAGCTAGAAAGGCTCATTGATGGAGATATTGATGGCATAACAATGCAGATAGGCCAGCTTGAAGCGAATCCCTTTACGGTATTCAATGCTTCCAGTAACCACACAAGTCCGAGAATCCCCCCCTACGAAGACCCGGTTCAACCGCATTATCGTGCCCACAGAAGAGATATTCATGAAGAGTCGGAATTGTCAGAAAAGTCGGATTGTGCCCTCTTCGTCGAAGACATGTGTGTTGGCAATTTTCCATTCGAAGAATTGACATGCTTGGAACCCTTTTCGGACACGGTTGATCCTCATCGAGATCCTTTGACTGGCCTTGATTCATCTATACTATTGGACACACCAGACTATCTCCTGGATCTGCACACACGTTGTGAGGAAGAACTCACAAGTTTGGGCAATGAAATACGAGATATAACGGACGGCATCACAGCTTTGTCCAATAAAAGTCAAATACCCCGCTCAATTCTGATACCGAATACTTTCCGATTGAACTCAGACGACGCTGCTGTATTCTATCATTATATGACCTGGGTGGCACCGCTGATGGTTCCGGTTGATGATGCGGACAACCCGTGGAAGTCAGTATATCCGTCCACAGCCTTACAGGATACATCACCGGCTTCCTGCGCTCTATATCATGCGATATTGGCACAAGCAGCCTTCAATCTAGCAAATTTGTATGGCGATACGAATGATGATGGTCCAAAGAAAACAGCTCAAGCGCTCGAACACTATGGGGCTTCTTTGCATCAACTGTACCAGTGCTTGGGCTCTTCAACAGAAGAAGAATACGACGCTTGTATGGCGACACTCTATACCCTAGTTATTACAGGAGTAAGTCATTACCATGCCTTTATCATTTGTATTGACAGTGATTGATCACTTATAGGCTTATGCTCGACATACATTACCCTGGCGTGACCATTTTGGTGGCGCAGGAGGCATGGTGACCAAGTTCATAGGACAGCAACCATGGGTACAGTCATCACGATCTTGGGTCATCTCTCAGAGTCTTGCTCTATCGTTCGAAATCGCGCAAACATCCAACACTCACAGAAAAGAGCGATCTTCACTTACAGATACCTTACTGGGGGATGTCTCCGCGAAGTGTGAATTTGGCTTCACTATAGGATCTTCCGGTCAGGTCTTACAAGTGATATCTAATATAAGGCTACTAGCGGAGCGGATAGCTACGGGAGATATTCCTGAAAACCCGGGCGAGCTGATTCAAAAATACATAGCCGAACTAACATCGCCATCAGAGAGTACTGAATGTTTTGACATCGAGGAAACATGGGAACATATCCCCAGAAAGGACCGGACTGAGTATCTTCAACGGTTGCATCTGCGACTGTTTAGAAACGCAGCCATCATATATCTATTTCGCACTGTCCTAAATGTTCCGCCACAGGGCGTCGTAAAATATGTCTCTACAGTTCTTCAAGACACACTCTCTTTCATACAGCTTCATGGAGGAGCTGTCTCCATGTGGCCTGTATTCATAGCAGCGGTTGAGGCATACGAAGTACGAGATCAAAAAATAGTTGAGCAGTGGTTTGACATATCTGGCCAACTTGGCATTCAGAATCGTCAAACAGCAAGGGAGGTCATCCGCGCTGTATGGGAGAAGAGGTCTCAGGAGGCAACAAATAGAGGACTCAAGCAGTGTCAAATAGCAATTGACTGGAGGGAAGTTCAGCAATTTCTTGGTCTTGATCTCCTGCTTCTTTGATTGGTTCAAAAGATTATTAATGGTCAATATATTTTCTACTGCATTACCACCACATGAAAAGATCATCGTGATCGATAAGAGGCTATAATTCGTAACTGCTTGCCTATACAATACAGTCAATCATTTCTCAATAGCTGGCATAGCAGAAACTTTGGTAGTCGCTGAACCTCTGTGCATGTCAATATTCTTAATGTCGCCTAAGTGGAACTTGACTGGAAAGCGTTTTCCACAGCAATAGCCATATCCCCAAGAGTCTCATAAACAGCCCCTATGCTCACTCTATCTTTTACGACATCAAGATCTCCCATTCCCATATTCCCTCCTCCACGTGAAATCCAGACACCAGGTCTGAAGCCCATAGTGGCCGTCGGAGTGTGGTCAAATGTTAGACTTTGTGCTGTGTGACAAATGCCGTCTCGATCGATACCGAAGTCTTGTTTAATATGATCGATAAGGTAAGTAAAGTTCCTCGGGTCCGGCTTGTACGAACCGATGTCTTCGGCAACGTATATAGCGTCAAAATTGACTCCCCTAAGAGGCCCGGAGAGTGTATTGGAAAATGATACTTTGTCGACGTTGCTCAGTGCCACCAACTTATAGTACTTCCCAAGCGACTTCATAGCTTCAACAGTGTCTGAAAACGCCGGCCAAGTTCCAATTGCGTCGCCAAAGGCTTTAGCGTCTTCTTCAGTGGCTCGTACGCCGAGCTGATAGGCAAGCCTCTGGTAGACCATTGCTAGAATAGCAGAGTATTTCTCGTTGGGATGTTGCATTTCCAGCTCATGTTCATTGGCAGAGTAATGCATGATCAAGTAAATCTTGATTTCTTTGAGGGTCTTGCACCATATCTCATGATCTTTCGGGATTCTGCCTAGCAATCGCACCAGCTGATTGAAGATGCCCGCTTCCCAGTCGATAAGAGTCGCATAAATGTCAAATGATAGCACCTGGTACGATGTCAAATCGAATGAGGACATGTTGAACGTTGACTCCCACAGTGATCTTTCGACTATTCCTTTACCGATCTCTCAAACAGTACGATTTAAACAAGTCTGAGTCATTGAAAGATATTAATACTAGAAATCCGATCAGTGATCTCTATGTCAGCTGTTTAGCGAGGAGATGTTATCATAGCACATAGATATGGCGGTTTAATGGAGGTAAGACCGGTGTCTAATCTTGATAAAAAGGCCTTTCTATGTAAAGAAGACGTCTTATCGCCATGTCAAAGCTAGGTCAACTGTCCAGTTAGCCTTGATGTCATCAGCTGCTGAAAGCGGAGAGCCACAACGAGGAGTGCATAAGCTCCACACCCAGCCATTCTTCAGGTACGGCTTATCATCCTAACCATATTTAAGCAAGCCACCATTTCGGATGGAAGCCGACAACGAGCCTCTAATTCCCGAGCTATTCTCACCAAAGCCTAGGGGATGCCATCGATGATGGGAGATATGTTTTTCCTAGTCTTTGTACTGCATGTTGTATACCTGCTGAAGTGGACCAGCAAGGTTCGCCATGGACCTCCTATCAACTACTCAAGATTTTAGTGATAAATCTCAAGTTTGTATGTATGAGCGAAGGCCAATAAATGTAGCGCATACTGCTTTTATAGAGACACTTTGAATCATTCATTCCATAAGGCTTTCCTTCTTTTCATTTCCCCTGCACTGTGGGTTTTAAATCTTGAACAGCTGTTTGACAATGCCTCACGAATCAGCCACCTCCCAAATCGACGCCGAAGATGGGCTCGCACCTCCAGCATCATCTGATCGTTCGGGAGAAAAGGAGAAAGTTTTGGATCAACGGCAATCGGACGCATCAATCCAAGAACAAGACAACAATTATACAGAACAGCCTGAACAACTCAAGAGGCACCTGCAAGGCCGCCATGTACAAATGATTGCTATCGGTATGTAAAGAGTCTCCCATTAATACCTCTAGGTAGTCGAGCCGAGAAGTTTATCGTTAATCTAAATACCTTCAGGTGGTGCTATTGGAGCTGGCCTTTTCGTGGGTGCCGGATCTGCCTTGTCAGCCGGAGGGCCAGCGTCTCTGGTATGTTAGAACAGTGTATAATTCACTGATTAGTGTCCTATCTACTAAACCAGTCGTATGAAGCTCATATCCTTTATTGTTGTTGGCATCATGATGTATCTCATGATGCAAGCTTTAACCGAGCTAGCCGTTCTCTATCCCGTAAACGGTGCTTTTTACACGTATATAGTACGTTTCATTGATCCATCGTGGTATGTGCGATTCCTTCTATTTTCTTCCCTTTTTTGGTTGTTCATGACGAGCTTATTGAATTCAAGGGGCTTTGCGATAGGAGCAGAATATGCCTTTCAATGGCTTTGTCTTCTTCCATTTGAGATAACGGCCGCTGGACTCACGATTGCATTTTGGAGAGATGACATCAATAGTGGTGTCTGGATTGCCGTGTTCCTTGTTACGGTGTCTCTGCTACAGTTGTTCGGGGTTCGTGGCTATGGCGAAGGCGAGTCAAGCAACTTTGAGACTTACAGACTCAAGCTAACTGGGAGCATGTAGCTGAGTTTGTCCTGAGCATGATCAAAATGGTAGCATGCATGGGCTTCATTATCCTCGGAATTATCAGTGGGTATTCCTTCAGAGCCCGTGAAGGGTCTAATGGAGGAAAAAGAGCTGACATTCGCTTGTATTCAGTCAACTGTGGAGGGGTGCCAACCGACGACCGTGGCTACATTGGGGTTCAGTACTGGCATCAGCCTGGCGCTTTCCGTAACGGCTTCAAGGGGTTCTGTTCAGTCTTTGTGACAGCTTCATTTGCCTTTGGCGGCACAGAGATGACTGGCCTTGCAGCAGCGGAAACGGCAGATCCACAAAAGCAAATCCCCAAGGCAGCAAAGCAAGTTTTCTTCCGCATCGCCTTCTTTTATGTGGTCAATCTCTTCATTTTGGGACTCATCGTTCCAAGCGACAGCGATGTACTACTCGGTTCCAGTGGCGCAAACACCAAAGCATCACCGTTTGTCCTCGCCATCGAATTAGCGGGAATCAAGGTTCTCCCTACGATATTCAATGTTGTCATTACCATATCGGTTCTAAGCGTGGCAAATTCTGCCATGTACGCATCGACACGCACATTTCAGGCCATGGCTATGCATAAAATGATGCCCAGCTCTTTTGGTTATGTAGATAGCCACGGCAGACCAGTCGTGACTATCATCTTACAAATTCTCTTTGGCTTGCTCGCTTTTATCAACGAGAAAACACAAAGTGGTGAAGTCCTTTTCTCGTGGCTTTTAGCACTGACAGGTGTTTCGTGGTATTTCATCTATGGGAGTATATGCGTTGCACACATCCGCTTTAGAAGTGCGTGGAAGCTCAACGGTCACATGCCGGAAGAGCTACCTCACCAAGCAGCATTCGGAGTGTGGGGAAGTTATGTTGGAGTTTTGCTGAATTTCATTTGCCTTTGTGCACAAGTATATACAGCTCTATGGGTACGTTCAACCTCTCTTGACCTAATCGTCTACAAAGCCGCTAATGACTGGAAGCCTCCGAGCGGAGCGGATCCCAATGCAAAAACATTCTTCAATGCGTGCCTCGCTCTGCTGGTCATTTTGGCTCTCTACATATTCTGGAAAGTCTACAGCTGGTTCAAGTACCCTGATCACAGGCCCATGTACGTTAAGATCAAGGATATCGATGTATACGCCGGCTTGCGAGATGGATGGAACACTGGATCAGCTGCCCAAGGTACGCAGCAGAAAAGGGATGCGGCTGGTTATCTGAAATCCTTATATCGCATATTCTTCTGATGTATCACGGAGAATTCTCGCAATAAGACGCTTGGGGCAAGTAATATCAACTGTTTTTAGTTTGATTGGGCCTCCTGGATGACTGCAACCAAGGTCGCATGTAGTCGCACTCTAAGGCCATAGATATCGAATCAACTAAGTATCTCGAAATTATGTCAAAGGATGAGTCAATATGTATAGCTGCAAAGGTGGCCGAGAATAAAACGCGCTACCGAGCAGGACTTTTCCATGAAGAGCAACGAATTTTTTCCGAAGTTGATTTCTCAACCCAAAGCTACCAGGAATACTGTTTGGAGCCAAGGTCACCCGATTGCTATCATGTGAATAGATGCTACTGATGTTATCCATCAACTCATTCCACTATATGGTTTTCCTGACGCGAGTTTTCTTCTATAGAGGATGCAAGGACAGCCCTCACGCCGGAATGAAGGCACACCTACAAAGTAAAGCTGTAGATTTGAGTGCTCAAATAGTTGTTGAGAATGTACTCCGTTGCCCATGACAGTGAATGTTGGTATGAATTATACTTAGTCCGTCGAAAAGGTTCACACTAAGATCTCTTCCTCAGTCCTCGATATGGCAGTACAGCATTGAGACGATCGACTATTATGAATGTCATTTTCATTTCCAAAATGAAATATATGTCAAATCCCTTTCAGATTGGTACATGTACTGATTAAATGCCATTTCAACTGACACCAGATGACAAGTATGTCTCGGAGACGATGTCAAGCGCTGTGCGAAGGAGAAAACAAAACGAGCTCATTTTGGGACAGTGTGAATCCCTCGTAACACACAAAGGTAAATGCATGCTATATTGAACCACAGCGTTGTGCATCACATCTATCCCTGAGTTCTATTGCCTTCTATTCATAAGGCAAGGTCTCTAACACAATTAATATATCATTTTATTGTTCAGAATCGGATGTGATCCGCCACATCACTATCTTTCATCTGAGCGACTATGTAGGTTGAGTGAAGCCTATTTACTCGCATCGAATATGATCTTCTGCACTCTCATATTATTGAACTCATCATACCATTTAACTGCCTCGGAAAGGGGTTTTATATCTTTTGCCATGAATCTGCCATGATTAGCTAGGGTCTTTCGAATCCGTGGCTGAACAATACTTACTCTAGGTCGTCCTGGTGGCGCTCCAGGCTTTCAAGTGCTTGTGGGAACAAACCTGCGATGAGAGTGTATATGTCAGCTCAATCATCTCGTGGTAAAATTAATCAATCCAACTTACTTCTTACTGGGCACCGACCCATATCTATACTGAGATTCTTGTGAAATGCTTGATTCCCAGTCCACGGAATGGAGCCCACGTGAACACCTACGCTAGATATCTTTCCCCATGGCCGTAGTAGACTGAAACACATTTCAAGGGCGTCACTGTGTCCCACAACTTCAATGGCAACGTCTGCTCCTCGCCCATCCGTCAACTCCATCACGCGTGTTCGGAGACCATCCATGTCTGTGCGGTAGTTCCACGGCTCAGCACCCAATCTTTCAGCTTGTTCTAGGCGTGATCCTATGCTGTCGATGGCGATAATATGTCTCGGCTTATACTCAAGTGCGGCAACCAAAGCACACAATCCGACCGGGCCACAGCCAAGAACCAACACCAGATTCTGGTGATGAACCTCTTCTTGCTGTCCCCTAAAGGCATTATAAGCTGCAAAATATCCAGTCGGGTAGATATCGGCCATTAAAACCAACAAGTGCTCTCGGATTTTGGCAGGTGCTTTGACAACACACCCATCGGCTAGGGGAACGCGGCAATACTGAGCCTGACCACCATCCAGGCGAGGCGAGCCGAAGAGGAGATTCTTTTCGCATCGCGAAGAATAACCCTGCTTGCAATAGAAACACTTGCCGCAGCTTACTGTAAACGGCGTTATGACTTTATCTCCCGGCTTGAGTGTAGTCACTGCCGAACCAGCTTCCACAACCTCTCCAGTAAATTCATGTCCCATGATAAAACCGGTGGTTTCAGCGGGGAGATCTCCACGGAAAATGTGGAGCTCACTATATCAATGATCTCGTTGCATCAGTCTAGGGTGCACACTGAGTGTTCGAGAAAGATGGAGAAATACCTTCCACAGAGCGCTGTATATCCCACCTTGACGATAATGTCTTCAGCATCTTGTATCTTAGGAATTTCCCGCTGTTCCACCTTCACCTGTAGTTTGCCCTTGAAAACAACGGCCTGCATCATTTTTTGCGAGTATATCCGAAAAGCTTTTTGCCCGCTCAAGTAGAAGTAGTACAAGGTAGGTCTTGAAGAGTGAACCACAACCGTGTAACAAGAACCTTGATGATGCTATGCTTGGGCCGAGTTGAATCTTGAAGAGAGTAGCAACTTTCCTGTTAATTTTGGGGCATGAGGACACGAAATTCAGTATATGGCCATCCCGACCCCATTTCGGCGTACGATGGCACACAAGAGAGTCGTTGATCTGACCTCGTTAGTAACTGCCCCAATCGAGATGTCTAAGATCTTAATTTGTCGGGTCTAGTTTCCCTTGTTCGTCTGTGGAGAGTGGAGAACACCAAAAAAAAAACACTTCGTTCTCGATTACCTACTTTGGTGGCTGGGGTGCGGGGGCGAGAACGAGCCATATTGCGTTCGAGTCGCTCGTCCTTCTTGAAGTAGCTAATCCCGTGAACTCCATTGAAAGGCTGCATTCTGCTGTTTAATCCGCCTTTTCCACATCATTCTCATCAGCAAAGAAATGATCTCTACCGACGAGCTACAAGGCAAGCTCGCCTTGATTACGGGAGCATCTGGGGGGTAGGTTTCAGCTGGTGGGACTGATTTTGACTGTTGTGTGCCAGTAATTGCTGATGCCACATATCTCTCAGAATCGGCAAAGCTTGCGCCAACATTCTCTATCGCCAAGGTATCCATCTTGCTCTGACGTATTCATCATCAAAAGGCGATGTCGACCGTCTTGTCGAAGAGCTGAGCGAGGTTGAGCTGCCAAAGCAATTTGGCCGGCCAAACGTTTCCGTTCACCAAGTTGACATGGCTGCCTCCGAGCAAATTAGTCGAGTGTTTGAAGAAGTCAAGACTAAACATGGACAATTTCCGGATATCCTACTCTCTAATGCCGGCCATGGCAAGCGCATCCCGAATCTGGAAGATATCAGCCTCGATGAATGGGAGTATACCATCCGCGTGAATTTGACAGCATCATTCATACTGTGCAAGCTAGCCGTACCACATATGAAGGCCAAAGGATGGGGACGCATCATCTTGATGGGTAGCATTGCAGGTTACGGGGGAGGCATCAACGGTTGCCACTATGCCGCATCTAAAGCCGGATTGATGGGCATGGTGAAAAATCTGGCTCTCAAACACGCCCCAGATGGTATTACCATCAACGACATTGCCCCTGCAATGATTGGTGGTACACGCATGATTCCTGACGCCCAATTTGTTGAGGGCACGCCGGGTGACATACGGAACATTCCTGTTGGGCGACTTGGCAAGCCGGAAGAGGTCGCTAATGTAGTCATAATGCTATGTAAGACGGGATATATGACGGGCCAAAGCATATTACTCAGTGGAGGGCTAAAATAATCATCAATTTAACCCATCAATTTTTTCTTTTTCATAGTTCTCATTGAAGGCAGCCTTGAGCCCTCGCGTCATAGCCCAATTTTTTGATGAGTATCTGCATGCAAAGATACGTTCAATAGTCATTGTGAATATGTCTCTGTTGCATAATTATTCTATGTTAAAATAAATCTGTAACCGCTCCATGGCTCGCATCTCCGACAAGGGCAGTATATTTGGCCAGTGTCCCTCGACTGACTGGGGACTTTGGTGGCTTCCATCTCGCCCTCCTTTCAGCTAGCTCTTCATCGCTAACGTCAAAGTTGATAGTGTTATGGACTGCGTCAATAGTGATAATATCACCGTCCTTGACGAGTGCAATAGGACCTCCAACTGCAGCCTCTGGGCAAACATGGCCGACGATAAACCCATGAGAAGCGCCGCTGTATCTGCCGTCGGTGACCAGAGCAATATTCGAGAGCTCGGCACCCTTGATGACCCCGGACGCTTTCAATTGCTCAGGCATGCCTGGTCCACCCTTTGGGCCCTCGTATCTCACAATCAGCACTAAATTCTCGTCATGCGGAATTCCACCTCTTTCCAACACACGATTGAGATGCCTCTCCTTGTCAAAACACATTGCCTTGCCTCGAAACAACAAACCCTCCTTGCCAGTAATCTTTGCCACCGCTCCTTGGGGTGCAATATTACCCCTGAGTATCTGCAAGTGGCCGGTTGGCTTGATAGGGGAGCTGAGTGGTCGGATAATAACCTGATCAGGAGGAAGAGAGGGCCAATCCTGGACGTTTTCTGCCAAAGTCTTTCCCGTGATGGTAAGAATGCCGCCATCCAGGAGCCCAGCTGCAATCAACAGCTTGTGGACACTTGGAACTCCACCAATCTCGTATAAATCGGCCATGAGATACTTGCCGCTTGGAGCAAGGTCAGCAATAAATGGGATCTTATTTGAAACTCTCTGAAAGTCATCCAACGTCAGCTGCACATCCGCAGTTGCAGCCATCGCCAGTAAGTGCAAGACGGCATTTGTACTCCCGCCTAAGGCCATAGTCATAACAAGAGCGTTTTCGAAAGACCGTCTCGTTAAGAGCTGTCGGGGAGTGATATTTTTCTCCAAGCAGATTTCGATTGCATCAGCAGCCCTGGTGCATTCCCGCATTTTAGTTGGTGATGCCGCAGGCGTTGAGCTCGAACCAGGCAGAGTCAACCCCATAGACTCAATGGCAGTGGCCATCGTATTTGCGGTATACATCCCACCACAGGCTCCTGGACCTGGGCAGGCATGCGCCTCCAGGTCCTCAATAATATCCTCCTTGGACTTGCTTGTGTCTCCACCATCCTCGGGCTGCTTCAGGGTGCCATAATGGTATGCTCCAAAAGCTTCGAAACATGTGCTGATATTTACTGGTTTGCGCAATGTATTCGAGTAGCCCTTGGCAATTGTTCCACCAAATATCATGATAGATGGTCGGTTGTGTCTAGTCATTCCGATAATGGATCCGGGCATATTCTTGTCGCATCCAGGAATAGCGATGCAAGCATCGTGGCACTGGGCGCATGTCACAGTCTCAATGGAGTCTGCAATAATCTCTCGCGACTGGAGTGAGAATCTCATCCCTGAAATGTATCTTTTTAGCCAATTGTGACCAAATATTCCATGTGCCAGGTAAATACTCACCCTGGTGACCCATTGTGATGGCATCACTGACGCCGATCGTGTTATACTGCCAGCCCAGGAATCCTTTTTCAGATAAAGCCCTTTTGACTTCTTTACCCAAATCCAGTAGAGTCATATTGCACGGATTCCCTTCCCACCATGTAGTGGCAACGCCGACATGTGGTGCAGTATTCATGTGCTCTTTGTCTGGCACTCCAGCAGCATAGAGCATCGCCTGGTCAACCATCATCAGTAAACTCTTACGTGAACTTTGACAGACAACTGGTATACCTTAGCTCCTGGAAAATCATGATTCTTGGTGAGCAGTCTTGAATATCGATTCAGCACCGGTTTACCGTCTGGGTGTGTTTCTTCATCTCCTGCGCGGTAAAATTCGAGGTAACCAGTTACGTGAGAATTGCCGTCCGCCATCACTGCCAATTGCGCTCAGTTTCTACGTCTCAATTGAACTCTTCTTTCTTTAGTCGAAAGATTCTAAACTCTTCTTTATGAGTTGTCAACCATGTGCATTCACATAGTAGACATGTGGCTCGCGGACTGATACTCATTATGATTACAAGCAACCGTCGAGGCTGGCGGGGTTCCGTTTGCGCTAAACAACGGCGTCCTGGTAACAGTGGTGGTAATTCTGGTAGGTAGTTCATAACGAGCTTATATGGAGAAATAAGAGGGGTTAGATACTAACTAAATCTGACACTACAAAATAAGCCCACGGATTCTTTTTCCGTCGTCCTTGTATGGGTTGGGAATCCCACGACGAACAAGTACCAGACTCGTACAGCACCAATGGAGACACTCCTCTCAACCCATTACTCATTCAACGAAGATGCAATCAAGCATCATCATACGTAATCTTCTTAGATCTTCTTAACGTAGTGGTTTCTTTCTCCCAATGATTCCCACAGTAGAATATCATCCCGGGATGCAGTAATGAAGGTGGAGAAAAAAGAAGGGCGTAGGGACACGCTTTTCTTGAAGTCTCGGTGTCAGACAAGAGCTTGATTATAAACAATAGATGTCTGTTGTAGGTATCTATAAAGACCTTCCTAGTCTGCCATTCTCGCAAGAAGATTCCACGACACAAGCATTGCCCTGGGAACCTGGAGCAATTAATATTTTGAGAAGCTTTGTTCTAAAACCATGGCTCACGCTGATCTAGTTGATCAAGCCATTAACCGGGTATGTCAGATTGCTTCTGATGGTGGGGCTGGGCTGATATGATTCTTTTATCCAATAGCTCAAGAACGAGCCACTCTTCACTGGGCTTGCGTTCATCGATGGTCACTGGGTAGAGAAGAAGAACAAGTTTGAAGTTCTCGAGCCTGCAACGGAGAAGATTCTCGGACATGTTGCCAATTGTGATCTTGCAGATTTCCAACGCGCTATTGAATCCGCACATGATGCCCAGAGAGTTTTCTTTCGGGGCTCGACCGCCCAGAGTAGGGGTAACTTATTGCGTCGTTGGTTTGAGCTGATCACTACCAACAAGGATATATGTGAATATCACCTAAAGCGCTTAATTAGGCATCGCTAATGCAGCAGCAGTGGCGACAATTCTGAGTCTTGAAAATGGTAAGCCAATTGCAGAGTCTCTTGGAGAGATTGTGTTTGCGGCGTCATTCGTGTCATGGTTTGCCGAAGAAGCCCCCCGGGTCTATGGAACGACAATCCCGTCCCAACAGGCAAATACGAATGTTTGGACTATCAAAGAGCCAGTGGGGGTCTGTGGAATCATCACGCCTTGGAATTTCCCAGCGGCCATGATCACGCGTAAGGTTGCACCGGCTTTAGCCGTTGGCTGTTCTGTTGTTATCAAACCACCCAGCGAAACGCCGTTCACATGCCTTGCATTGACTAAGCTCGCGCTCGAGGCCGGCTTTCCCCAAGCAGTCATCCAGGTGTGCCCAACAAAGGATCGGCAAGCAGCCACAGATTTGGCAACAAATCCACTTGTGAATAAGCTTAGCTTTACGGGCTCGACCGGCGTTGGGAAGATGCTAGCAAAGCTCGCGGCCGGCACCTTGAAGAGAGTCAGCCTTGAGCTCGGCGGAAATGCACCATTTATTGTCTTCGATGATGCCGATATTGACGCTGCTGTTGATGGCGCAATTTTCTCCAAATTTCGTGGTTCAGGGCAGACTTGTATCTGGTAAGTGCTATCTTCGAGCCTCGTCTTCTTCTTCATCCTATTAACTGTGGTTTTACCCCAGTGCCAATCGCATCCTCGTCCAAAATACCGTTGTCAGAGAGTTCACGCAGAAACTTGTTCAAAAGGTGGCATCCTTCAAACTTGGCATAGGGCTGGACTCTGCAACCACTCAAGGCCCACTGGTGAACCAAAGTGCCGTGACCAAAGTCCAATCGCACATTGAAGATGCAGTGTCGAAAGGTGCAGTAGTGGAGATTGGAGGAAGTAGCACTGTTGGTGAAGGGTTCTTTTTCCAGCCGACCGTATTATCTAGAGTCACTGAAGATATGAGGGTTACTTCAGAAGAGACATTTGGTCCACTTGCCGCCATTTTCAGCTTCGAGACCGAGCAAGATGCTGTTCGCTTGGCCAACCACACCGAGTTCGGCCTAGCAGGCTATTTTTTCTCCCGAGACGTAAATCGCGTCATGAGAGTAGCCTCAGAGCTACAGGTCGGAATGGTTGGCGTTAACACTGGAAAAATTTCCGGATGTGAGACGCCATTTGGTGGAGTGAAGGAAAGTGGCTATGGGAGAGAAGGAAGCCTTCATGGTATTGATGAGTATATTACCATCAAGGCAATTACTCTAGGAAACGTGCACTTATAGCGTGACGTTACCTCAGCTTCGATCTCATGACTCCATTCTTATGGTACTATACTGAAATAGACAAGTGGAAGAATTCCATATCTTTCAGCGTCTAGGTCCCTCAAATTCATGGACGACGTGATCATATCGAGTCGTGTTGACTACGCATGACTCCATTGTGATTGGATGGGCTGACCAGGATTGGTCTACAGGCTATTTACCCTGTAAGCGTTTGCTTTCTCTCGGCAGATTTATTTTATTCGTTCAAAAGAGAGAAAATATTAATTGTCAAGATATATCATAAGTAATATTTGTCGTTTCTGTATCAATGGATATGCATATTGTTGTTATTGTTATTGTTATTATTATCGTCATTATTTATGAGGATAAGAGAAAGCTACAACCAAATTGTGAATAGAAACAAGTTACATTGGCGTCTTATTTTTCCGTCCTGCTACATTCACCATGGAACCCTTTCTATAGCCTCTAAATTAGGCAAAGAAATCTCTCCTTCCATGCCAAATAAATATTATCACAATCCATATCAATAATTCCTAAACGTGTTAGCTGAGGTGGCGTTTCAGCAGATGCTCTTTCGCGATATCACCGTCGTGGCTTATCTCTTGTAACAGGGATGTTTGCCTTTAGCGCGCTCTGGAATCTCTTTGCTCCGTGTTGCCACTTTTGGTGGCTCTGGTGGCGTTTTGGTGGCTTGACAGGGGTTTCTTTGAATGTCCCCATGCGATGCCTCCTGAGCCCATCTCCAGCAAATCGCGTCGTCAAATTATGCCCGAAAGCCCACTCCGATCAGTCGGATCCCTGCCGCCGATTTCCCCGGTGGCGTTCTCGGCCGGGTCCTTTTCAGCCCGAAAATACTCGTACGGAGTAGGCAAGTACTAGGATCAGGTTTCCACGTTTGCCCTGGCTCCCGTCCGCTAACAACTCCGCACAAACACGCGCTGGAACATCTCGTCGTTGCCGCTGTCATTTGCAGCTTGCGGCACATGGTTCGAGCAACTCTATTCCCTTCCGCTTTGCGTAGCTTGTGGACTAGCGGCGCTGTGAAATGCTTAGCTAAAATAACGCCGGTATGTCAATCATATCTAATCCCTCACGACGCCACCAGAACGACTTCTGCCAGGTCATTCCAGAGGATATTCGGCGATTTACTAATACGCTTAGAATCGCAAGGTGCCAACGCAGGCTACAAGGTACAGACGCATGCAGACGCAGACACACACACGTTGAGAAAGAGTGACAAGATATGTCGAGCGGTCTCTGGGATAGGCTGTAGTCTGAATAGGTATGAGCCCTGATGATCAAGACGGTGGCGTCCTATCGGTGATTTTGAAGTGAACTTTTTTTTTACATACGGTACTGTTGTTCCATCAATCTCTCTCTACTGTGTGTCCTCTTCTCCCTTTGTCCGGTTTTCTCTTGAAAAGCGCTCCAAAGACGGTGCGGATATTCAACTACGGCATTACGAAGTAGTATGATATAACTTGAACATCTATGACAGCCAATATATATACATGAAAAACGCCTTTCTATTGATTGTATAGTTGTAGCAACACCTTGTACATTGACAGATTCAAGGTTATTACATAGGCTAGCGTCGGAGATGGCAATATTGTGCCACACACACACCATTTCCATTTCTGCTATGCAGTCGACTCCTCACTTCCGAATTAGCAGGATCAGAATTCCTTGTCTCGCAGTGTTTTTTTATTGTCCGCAAGCTACACCCGTAGCAATGTGCGCCATCTCACTCGGAGTGTTTTCCTATCGCCGCTATCTCTCCCCCTCTTTAGCACCAAAGTACCTCTGAACTTCCCCTCTAGTCGCATATCTTAGGCACATACGCAAAGCGGGATTGGGTTTGCCGGTGAATAGAACAAGTAGGCACCGCACTTATGTTAACGCTTATTCATAGAATATTCTATACCCGCTAGTTTCACTTGGGAAGGCCAACCGTCCGGGCATCGCGAAGTCCGAACAGTTGGTCACTAAGAGTGGAATTAATGGGTTCATGCATACATATCTACTAGATTGCTATGCACTAGATGGATACGGAGACCGATCCTCACTCCAGTAAAAAATAATTTCCATACATGTATAATCCTAGTTTAATTTGTGACCTTAGTATCAATTTAATTCTACATAAGCCCTTGCCAGCACCCTTGTCAATACCCGTATGCTGTCAACTAGGTACGTCTAGGATCTTACTAGAGTAGCACACCGAGGGTCGATTTCCTTCAGACAAGGTTAGCATGCTGTAAGCAGGCCGACGCTAACGGCTACATTCCCTCAGACTGCTTATATCCTTGAAGTCATCAAGGTGTATTTAGCTGCTGCTCTAGAAGGCGTTCCAGCCATTCGGGGTATGTTTACTCATCGTTTATTTAGCACCAAGAAAACTTCGTAACTCCAATGGACAATGGCAAGTCAGAATAACAGAAGTTTACCTTGGAATCAACTCACTAACAAGTAAACAATGGTTATGACAGAAACAGCAATGTCATCAAGAGCAGCAGGATTTACAACGGCATCATATAAAGTAGCCGATAAATGTCTTGTTAAGCCTATAGTTCATGTCATTACTGCCGTTGTTGTATTCATACCGTCTTGACATTCTTCTACCCTATGGCTTTGGTATTACTTGTTTCGTGTACAGTTGCCTGCCTTGCATTCGGCCTACCGACTATTCAGTTCGATGATTCGATTTCATGATCCCAGTATTTATCTCTTTGTGTTATAGGGAAACTTAATCCAATGGAGTCTCAACCCTCTACCGCTGGCCAGCCGGATCAAATGGATGCATGCCCACTGACTGCGGTTAGGCGGCGATAGGTCTTGGGTATCTGGGGGTGACAGAGAGGGCATAAAGGAAAAAAAAAAGATTGGCTTTGAATGCCATCAAAATTTCGAGCCATTCCGAGGCAAAAAGAAAAGACTTGTTTTATCTATTCATTAGTCGCAGATACAACTCATTCTTATATCATCAAGAATACTAGAGACTACTTCAAGATATCCTACACAAAGACTTGATTCAACCAGCAGCGTGTTGAAATGAATGATATATGAGCCTCAACAGCCCTCTGGCTTTTGGTCTTTTTGCAATTTCAACACAGCAAATTCACTGTGCAAGCCGAGCTATCTGGAAAAGCAACAATTATGTGGTCAACACTTCGAACATGTCCACCCAAACTGTTTATAAACGCTCCAGTACTCTGTTCTGCCCATCAACTACAGAGAGTCGGAAAGTTTCATGGGCTTCAAAATCAGGATCTTCTCTCCCAACTGGTCAAAGACCACTCTGAAATTAATGTAAGCAATAATGGTTTCCTAATAGCCTAAGCCTATTGCTATCGTCTGGCAGGGGCAGCCGTTTCTTTGGAGGCTCCAGCTCGCCTTCTTCCTCATAGAAGTTCATTAAACAGTTGCGTAATGGCTGGCTATCAGGAGATTTCTCCTAATCGATATAACGTTACGGGATACTATGACCCAAATAGTACCCACTCCGATACTACCAATGTCGGTTACTTACGCCCTGATCCAGGAAGATATCTACGCCTTTAATGGTATATCTTTTAAGTCTTAGTTTTGATAAAGTAAGATTAATCCACGGATAGAAGTATCTGTTTTTGGAGGCTTTGTGTGTGGCTTTAAAAAGGGGGTGGCTCTACTGGGCTTTAAGACACTATATATGTTAGATACCGCCGTTTACACTTATACCATAAGTGTTAAAAGTGTTTAAAAAGTGTTTAAAAAGGTGTGTAGGCATTATAAAGCGGTGAGTCTAGCGTTGTTGTAGTGTTGCGGTATGTAAGTAATCCTTGGAATTGAAGTTTTGTTGTTGAGAAATTCCCACTATCGGCTCCCTGTATATGTAAGATGTATATGCAGATGTAGATGTATATATCTGTAGAGAAGGCGTAGCTGCTGCTATCTTGAAGAAGCTTACTGTTGTTATTCCTGATGGTGATTATATTGGATGCCTGATTTGAGAGACGGGTGCTAACCAGAATGGCTACTCTAACGGCATCACCGTCCCCAGCATCAAGGTCTAAGCTGCTTTTGTCCAAGAACTTACAAGATTAGGGTGCTAGACTTTGAAGATATGATATATGAATACCTCCACTTTGTTTTAGCATGATACTGACACTAAAGCCGCTGACTCTAAGGAGGCAGCTACTATTACCAAGTGTTTTGACCGAACAGGCAAAGCCTCCAATAGCACACCACTTTATGTCGGATCCGCCAAGACTGTCTTTAGACACATTGAGGATAACACCAGCATTGCCAATAATTTGAATGAATTGGGAATCATCAGGAGTGGACCTGTTCCTCTTATAAGAGCCTGGAAATTCCCACTGCCCTCAGGCCTTGACTAACAGCAACTAAGGGGGGTTCCTTGGCGCATCGGTATTCACAATTTTGGCAAGTAATATTGAAAACTATATTTATCTCTGCTTTTCTAGAAATTAGAAAACGGAATTATATTCTTTCATAATAGCCCAGTCCAACCCACGCTGTTGTGTTGCGAGAACGGTCCTAGGTCACTGGCAACTAGTGTGTTATTGTAGCAATCTTCTTAACATACTGGCCATTGTCATTCTGGACGAGGTTCTCAAAGATCCACTTTCCGACATCTTCGCGTGTGATCGAATATCCAATGGCGTCGGATTCACGACCATGCTTAGGATCTTCCACGCCGACTCGGACCGCCTTGTTTGTTGCGCCATCCAGCATCCAAGACGACCGCACAATGGTAAAGTCCTCATCACTGGCTACAATGTATTGCTCCATTGCCTTTTTATCTTCATGGGGCGAATGAAGAAGATAATAATACAGGAACCCCACAATGTAAGGGGTATCAGAGCCAAACTGAGATATTCCGGTAGTGCTAAGGGCGATGAGTCTGGGACGGCCAGTCAGGCCTTGTTGTCGTAGCTGATCAAGGGCCTCCAACACCGTAGCAATAGCCCTCCTGCAAATGCTTGGATCATCTAGCTCAAGCTTGTAGTTTATCGCTCGGCTGCCGATGGAGAAGACAATTGTATCGACTAGGTGAGTGCCATCGACTGTCAGACATTTTTTCACCGCCTCGACGTCGTGCACATTCCCTTCGATTATCGTCAGACGGGATGTTTTGTCCTCGGAAAAGAGCCCTTCGAGCTTGCTCGGTGTGCGGCAGAGGGCGATGCAACGGGTATTAGCACCAAGGGCGTTGTTCAATGTTGCAAGTCCGCAGCCAATCGTGGCACCAAAAAAAGCGATTGTCTTTGTGGTTGACATCTCCCCAACAGTACAACGTGTGGAATGATGAAAGAAAAACGTCGAGAAGTATGTCTGTCTGTAGGGGGAGTATCAAACACGCAATGATTTAATGCAGTGATGCAATGTGAACTGTTTTCCAATGGGCTTTGTTGAGCCTTTTAACTGCCAAGTGCAGCAGAGCCTTCAATTAATAAATTACCAACATGGTAGACAGCCAGGGTCGTCCTCTCTCGCATGCAACTCCGCACGGTGGATCTGTGGCGCACTGATGCTTGCGTGTCTGATCCCTTTTCGGCCTTCGGTCGGGTTCATTGCTTGCCGAATATTCAGCCACCATTTCGGAGGTGGTATTTTGCACTCGATACCGCTGACGCCATCGAATTTAGCATGCAGGGGACCTCCAGTGACACCAGGACACCCCGCAAAGCCTGATTTTGAGGGACTACTGGGCATAAATCATTATTATCTACATCGGTATCTTCGTAAAAATGCGCTGTTTACTAAGTACTACATGGTAAGAATGGGTGATATTCGCCCTAGCGTGGCGGTGGAAAAGATTTCCAATTCGCTGTTCCTTTTGCCCGATAAGTTGTTGGAGACTTGGAGTATAGCAACGACAGATCTTACAGGGGTGGCAGGTGTGACAATCACTCTATGCCACTCCAGTATTGGAGCAAAAATCATCTATGGAAGTACGGAGTATCTAGGCATTAATCGCAACAGCCATAATCAAGGGAGTGTGCCAATATGACTTCCATATAGCTGTACCGCACCCTGCAGCTGAACGTGGGCGACAAGTCTATGCAGAGCGATAAAGGTCGCTAGATTGGTTAGTACATACAAATGTGCCAGAAACAAGGAGTGCCTTATGCCCAAGGGACTTTTGATTCGGAGCCGTGACCAAAACACCAAAGCCATATAGCTTAATTTGCAAACATACATAAATACATACATATGCACTATTTGATAGCAATATCTCATAAATAGGCGCCCTCCCGTGTGATCCAGTGCATGAGGAAAGTGAATCCGTTGAAAAATCCCTTGGTAATCTATCGGCACTAATGTTTAAAGGATCCGAGAAAGCGCGTAAAGGATCCGAGAAAGCGCGAAAGTCCTTACCGTAATTAGCATCAGGCGACCTGACAAACCTATTTGTAACCAGATGGCGGCTGGCTGCGTATATTGGCTACACCCTCGACAACCCCTTCCCAGCCACCAGACATGATCTTGATGGGATGGGTCGTCACAAAGCCACGATCAAGCAATGTCTGTACAGCCGCGAAAGAACGAGCGCCGAATTCCCGATCCTCGAGAGAGGCTTCACATGCGTACTCGCCACCAAGTTCGACCTTGCGACCCCAGACAGTCATGACGTTGAACCACGATGCGTTGACAGTGTTGATCCGGCTCTGGGCAATCGACTCACGAAACGGCTCCACAGCAACATATTGACCACTAGCACGACTAATCGCTGCGTAGCACAGCTGTGTCGTTTCCGCCTCAGCTATGCAGTCTAGCACATAATCCAGTTCGTTGTTGGTGTAGGCTCGAATAGCGTCTGCACAGCCTGGGTCGTGGTAGTCGAAAACCGCCTCAGCTCCGAATTTCTTGACGAGCTCAAAGTTCGACGGGGAGGATGTGGCGATTGGGCGGAAACCGGCGCTATCGAGTATCTTCTATCAGAAACCACCCTCCTATTATGTTCTTCGAAGCACGATTGTAGAAAGTGGGTAATACCAAGTGAATAGACGAGAGAAACATACTCGGTAGGTTGACTATTAAGCAAAGCCTATTAGGCCCCCCGCCCCTCTGGCATAAATAAATAAGAAAATAAACTTACGTCTTCGGTAGCTCGATGGCGCGCGTACCTGTAGCAGTGCTACCACCTGCAACAAGGACAAAGTTGCCGCGGTCAGAGACGGGGACGCTGAGTCTGTCGAGGGCTCCTGGGAGCTCCATCTCTTTGAATAGGGTTGCCGTTGCTAGTCCTAGAGCCGTGGCGTCTTCCAAGCTAATGTGGTCTGGAAGCTTGAGCACCAAATCCGCCAGTGCACCGACGTACTGGGCAAAGGCCCCACCGTCAGGCTGCAGTCTGTCCATGCCATAGACTACTTTGGCCACGCGATCACCCACGGCCAGACGACCTTCCTTGGCTGCATCTACACCCAGTGCTACAATGGTACCGGCAAAGTCGAAACCTATGATGGCCCCGGGTGCCGGGCTGTAGTCCAGTGACTTGACATCAACTGGATTGATGGCCACTGTTGCTGTCTACACAAGAACCATGTGTTCGGGCACTGGTGCATCTTTCTGGATCGTCATTTGGCCTGGTCCTTGAGCTACAATGGCTGCTTGGTGTTGGGGCAGCTGCCCCGTCGTATCAGCGGGCGGCATGGTGGTGTTGCTCACAAGATTGAGGGTCCTAAGGCTGTACTTGTTACCGTTTATTACATGCCTCCTGCCTCAAGTAATATACTCGATTCCAGAGTCCGATGCTGACATTCAAGTTCGTCGATTAAGCTCGCACCCGAACTCTTTGCAAGCGCCTAGTAAGCGGATCCATCGCCGTAGGTGGAGCCAGTGCCGGTGGCAGGGACCGGTCCTATGCAAGATGGTGGCAGTGTGTATTCACCGAACTATGGTCGTTAGTTGGTTTGAACGTCGCAGGTTGGCACTTTGCTTGCTCTGGCTTGGAGAGCTGGCACCTATGCCAGTGTTAAGGGCAGGGTGTTTTCGGTAGTAGGTTATAATGTAAGCACCGATGTAATCAGCGAGGAGTGTCTACTACATTTCGGTGATATATGACGTTCGATATGGCTTTGGTCAGCATGGATCGGGCCTTTATACAGGGTGTTGGGTATGGCCATGGGAGAGTGAGAAAATTCATCAGTAAACAGCTGAAGAATTCCGGGTTAATTCTTGGCATGTTGCAAAGGAAGCACTATGGCATATCATAGCTGTTCAATGTTCTGAGCTCATCATATCGCGTAATCGCTATACAAGGGGAAGGAAGCTGCTTCTAGGGAATATTTCAACTACTCCATCAGATATATCAGCCCCAGCAAATAGACTATGTTAAGTATTTGCTCGATTGTATAAAGCCATCTCCAACACAAAATGTCTCTTGGTTTTGTGTTTTCGTTTCGTTTCTTTTTTCTCCCCCTGTACCTTAGGGTGGTCATGGCTACAAGCCAGCAACTCTAAAAAAGCTATCCTGAATTCTATGTCTAACGGAATTTGGGTAGCATGATATTTCTTCGAGTATATGTCTCTATTTCATACAAAGCTAGTAAGCCGAGCTGGATTTCCACGTATCTCAGTAAAAGGCGATTTTAGAGCAAATCGGCGTAATTTATACGAAGAGGCGATGTCTAACTAAAGGATGATAGAGTGATGCTACTTGGAGGCCTCTTTATTTTGTAACCAACCTCTAACCCTACTTTTATAAATGGGACAAGCTGATATCAAGGTAACAACTTGTATTATTGTTATCGCCAATAGCAACAATGGCTCCTTCTACGATACTAATATTTACTTGGATCATTGACTGTTGAAAGCGGAATCAATGACTGAAATGCCACGGAGTCCCTTACTGGTCAAGGTCGATCGACAAAACGTTGTTTCTTCACAGTAGCCCATGTCATTGTTTCTCATTAAAACAGTTGCTTGATTTCTGACGAGATCTTTCTCTACTTGTTCTGTCAGGCCGCGACCTCCAGAACGACTTCTGAGAATGGGATCACTTTCATAGGTGCAAGCAACGGCTTCTTGGCATTCACCTTCGACCTGTCGACCCGCTCTCGCGAAAGTTGCACAGATTTCACCCCGCGCTCCAGCATCTTGGCATTGTACTCGTTAACATAAGTCTTGATCGATTCGATATCATGAGCCTTGTCTTCTTTATCAAGTCGGTCTAAGATCTTGGCAAGGGCTATGGCGTCGATGAATGTGTTATATCCTCTCTCGCCACGGAAGGGCATCATGACGTGGGCCGCATCGCCTATTAAACCGACCCGGCCAGCTGGCAGACTAGAAAGCTCGAGGTTGCGCCAGATGTGAGTCTCTGTTTTGACGCCCTTAACAGGGGTGAGGCTAAATATCTCGCGAAACTTGGGTTCCCAATTGCCTATGACCTCGCGAGCATGGTCTAACTTCTCTTGTTGGGTGGCCTTGTGCAGCCAGTGGTCTGGATCGGCAATGGTGGAGTCTGATTGCCACATGATCCAGTAGTACCGCGCGGATTTTCCGTCAGACGCGACGTTATGCAGCGAGCAGAAGGTCAGATAACCTTTCTCTGAGTCTATTAGCGAATAGCTTCTATGGCTGAGTTGGAGTTGACGCTTGAAAGCCTCGCCAGAGTGCTTTAGCTTACTCACGATAGCAGCTAGAGGGATTATTTTGAGCACCTCATCGTGAGACTTTTGCAGCAGCTGTTGTCAAACTGTGGCAAATGTTAACTTAGTAATTGAGAATGTTGATAGAAGTATTAGAATTGATAATATACCTATACTTTTTACACTATCAGCACCAATAAGAATGTCTCCTTTGGTATTAGTTCCGTCCTTGAAATATATAGCGACACCTTGGTTATTATGTTTAATGCGCTGGTCGCTTTCCTCACTGAATTGGAATATTGGTAGCCAAGTGATTCCTCAGCCGACAGCGCTTCGCGCGTATAAAGGGTGTTTCTAGATAATCCTGTAGAAGGCATCTTATTAGTATCTCGGGCTCTGCTTCTCTTGCGACTGCTTATGACCCCCTAAGACGGATAACTACCTCCCACCCTACTTGAACGTTGCTTTCAGCGGGGTATAGACAGATCTGGGTAGGAATTTTTAGAGGAGATATGTGGTCAGTGGCTTGTCTTAAATCGGGCATATTAGATGGCATAGATGCCACAAGTTTGTCTATAATGCTAATAGCGGTGATAAGCCATATAACGCCTTAAGGCTTGGACTTGGAGTTCTTGAGCGCTTACGTGTGTAAAGCAATGGCCTATCCCTGGAATCTTGTATCTTTATGCTTATCGCGCTTAAATATCTCGTAGGAAATGCCCTGTTTCCGGAGGTTCTGGGCAAGCGTGAGCCCACCGAGCCCGGCTCCTGCAATAAGAACGTGCATCGTAGATGTTGGATAATGAATGTTTTTGAGTGTAGGTGGAATGTGTGTTAATATAAAAAAGTTTTGGGGATTGCCTTATATAAAAATGACACAGGAACTGAAGGAGTAACTGATGTATAATAACCCAATAATATGAAGTCGCCCCCAGCTGGCGATTCCTGTTTTGGCAACCGCCGAACGCTAACAAGATTACTAGTCCAGGGAATATTAACATGATGCCACCACATCATCCCACATCTGTACGTTGTAACAGTGGCAGACGACGAACAATGCAAACTACCTTTGCGGTTCAGACAATACGGGGGCTATTAAGGTAATAGATAATACAGCGAATTGCTACCAAGTACTTGGTGCATCACTTTAAATAGAATTAGCTACCTATTGATATACCGTCCCTCAGAATGATAGGGGATGGCAAGGTAGGATTTTTGTCATTGTTAGCAAATGGGGTACTTATCACTACTTAGCTTTCAACTTGATTGGCGCTCTTATTAGCTATTTCGAGCGTAGTATTGCCAGGTATAAAGCATATGTGAGTCCCGGTTAGATATGTGAGATTTTCTTTCACTCGTATGTTAGCAAACAGATATTATTTATTTATTTTATTATTAACATCCACTAAGTAAGCTAGTTATATAAGTCCTTATCTAGGCACTAGGATAGTAAAAGCCGCTAAGTTTAAATCAGGCATTTACTATATTTTAATATAATAAAAAAAATAGGGGAGTATTAATCTATTTTATATATTTATATTTATAGGGGGGGGGCTATATAAGCTTATATCCTCTACTAGTTTTTAAAAATCCTTATACCCTTTATTACTAAAGAGGTATTAAATATAAGTAATACTAAAGTATATCTTTTTTTTTAATATATTAAGGAGAAAAAAGACTATTATATAATACTTTATAAAATATTTTTATATTCTTAGCTTACTATATTTATAAATAAGCCTAATATTATATTTAAATTTTTTATAATATTTTATAAAGTTTTTATAACTAAACTTTTTAATTAATAGCTTATATAAAATTAAGTATAAGAAATATAGTTTTAGGGATATAAGGGAAGCTTTATAAAGGCCTTATTTTCTAGCTTTATAAGACTTTAGGTAATTATTATTTTAATTAGTATTTTATATTTCCTTATATTTTTTTTTTATTTACTTTTTAATAAAAATAATAGTAAAGTAATTTCTTAAGTAGTAAGGGAGTTTTAAACCTTTTTTTACTAATTAATTAGCTTTTTTATTTTTTAGTATATTTTTATAACCTAAGATTTAAGCTATTTTTATAATTACTTATAAAAATAGTCTTAAGGTAATTTATTATAGCCCTATATAAGCTTCTTAAGATAAAGTAAAGGTTAAACTTAATATTTTATTTATTATTACTAAGTTATTTAAAAAAAGTAAAATTTTTTAAATATTTAGGTTTACTAAAGTATATACCTTAGTTAGCTTTATAACTTTAAAAATATTTATTATTTTAGTATTATAAACCTTTGCGTTAATAAAAGGGCTATATACTATAGTTTTTTTAAAATTATAATATATAATAATTCTCTAGCTTATATTACTTTATTTATTTTATAATTTATTTAAGTAAATTAAAAAAGTAAATCTAAGGAGGCTATTAAGTAATTTTAGGTATTTTTCTATTACCTTAGACTTTAATAAGTCCCTAAGGTCTAAGCTTACTTTAATAGCTTTATTATTTTTAGTAAAAAAAAAAAGTTAAACTATTTTACTTACTAAGGCTATAATATATTATAAGTAAGTAAGGGAAATTTTAGAAAAGAGTTTTTTATTAATATATTTACTAATTAAGTAATTTTTATTTAAGTTTATAAAGTAAGCTACTATATAAAGTTTAATTTATACTACTTATACTAACGCCAGAGGGACCCTAGATTTTTTATATATAATAAAAAGGTTAATTATTTTTTATATAAAGATAATTACTTTAATTATTATTTTAAATAAGGGTTCTAGGATTATAATTAATTTTATTAAGCTTATTTTTACTTACTTACTTAGATTTATTATACTTTATTTACTTTTACTAAGCTAAAAAGCTTTTATTTTATATAAGGTTATAAAGGTAATATAAGCTTTAGCTACTATAACTATTATATTTAGTAAAAATCTTTTTTATATTTTATTTAAGGACCTTAGGAAGTTAGCTATTTTAAGGGCTTTTTTTATTATAATTTTAAAATATTTTTTAAAAAAAAGCTATAAGTTTAAGTATATCCCTAACTAGTAAACTAAGTTCTAAAGGGCTATAATCTTTTTTTAAAAATCTACTTTTATATTATATATTTAAAATCTAGTTTTATAAAAGTATATAAGTTTAGCTTTATTTAAGTTAAAAAAAACTATATTTATATTACCTTAGTTAAGGGTATTTTCTAATTTTTACTAAAGCTTTTAAGTAATTTCCTTAGTATTAGCTTTTACTACTATAATATTAATATTATTTATATATTTAAAGTAAGTATTAAAGTTATTAAGTTTTAGGCTAAGGGAAAAGTAAAATATAAAAATAATAAAGAAAATAAAAAACCTTTATAAGGCTTTATACTTTAGCTTTATCTTTAGGAGGGTAGTTCTATAGTTATTCTAAATAAAGGCCTTATAATTACTTATAAAAAAATTAACCTATTTTATAAAAAAAGGGGGCTATTTTTATTTTTTAAGTTTATATACTAAGTAATTATATATAATTATATTAAAAGTATTAAAAATATTAAGTATAAGAAAAAAAATAATAAAGCCTTATATTAGGGTAACTTTAGTATTATATAGTAAATAAGTAATTAAATTTATTATAAACCTTTTTAAAAAAGCCTTAAAGTATTATTTTAGTAAAATCTTATATTTTATTACTAAAAAGAAGATTTTTTTAATTAAAAGTTTTTTAAGGCTTTTTTTTATATAAGAGAGTAGGAAAATAAGTTTATAGTCTTTATATATAATATATACTTTCTTTAGCTTCCTAGGTTTAGGGATAATAATAATTTTTATACTTTAAAAAGGAAGTAAATAGTATTTTACTATTAGGTATTTATAAAAAAGGTTAATTATATATTTATTAATAATAGGCTAAGTAAGCTATAAAAAAGTAATTAATATATTATTTACGCTAAGTATAATATTACCTAACTTAATTATAGCTTTTTTAGCTTTTAATTTTAATACTATTTAGTCTTAGTAAATATTTTTATTAATAAAAAAATCCTTTTTTTATAAATTTAAAATATCCTCCTTTATTATTTTATACTTAAGAAGCTTATCCTTAAGAAAAGTTACTTTTTTTATAAAGTCTAAAATACTTTTATTTTTATTTATTAAAAAAGGAGGTTAAAAATAATTTATTACTTTATATTATTTAATTATTAACTAAATATTCTTAATAATATTAGCTTTTAATATAATTTTATTTTAGTAAGTATATTTATTATAATAAATAATATTTTTAAAGGTTTTATAAGCTTTCTCTTAGGTAAAAGAGCTATTTACTAATTCCTTATATATTTTATAAGCTATTTTATATTTCTTTAATTACTAAAGTATATTATAATTATTTTAATACTTAGTTTTTTTAATAGCTTTTATAATTTACTTAAAAAAGTCCTATAGGGCCTTAGTATATTTATCTAGGTTAGCTTTTAATAATAAGATTAAATTTACTAAGGGAAGGGTCTAGGTAAAAAAGTATATAAATTAACTAAAGTTTTCTTAATATTTTAGTAAAATATATTTTTTCTTTACCCCTAGGGTTATCTTAAGGGGCTTAAGTAAGTTTATAATTATTATATAATAATTTAATTTTATATTAAAGAAGTATTTAACCTTTATTACTATAAAGTAATTTATAAAAACTAAGTTAATATATTTTCCTAAGTATTATATAAGAGTATTTATTAAGGCTAAAAAAAAATTATATTTTTTTATTTATTTTATAATTTTATTACCTATAGGGTTTATACCCCTGCCTAGGTCCTAAAGTTAATATAAGGTATTAAAATTACTTATAATAATTAAGTAAGGGGAAGAAGGGCCTTACTTAATAAAGGTTTTTATAGCTAAGTTTATTAAAGCTTTTTAATAAATATTAATAATAATATATTTATATATTTTTATTTAATATATATAATTATTTTTTAAGCCTAAGAGAAAGAGTTATTTATTAAAAAGGTTTAGGAAGATTTTAATAAATATAAAAACTAAGGGTTTAGTATTTTTTTAATTATTTAAGGGGTTATATACTTAATATTTAAAATAATTTTTAATTTACTTTTTATTTAATATTTTATTTTATTAAATATAAGGTTTTTAAATTAATATAATATTATAATTACTTTTTTATATTAGTAATAAAGTAATATTTTAATAAGAATTAGATTTCTTAATATTAACTTAAAAAATTTTAAAGCTAGTATTTCTTTAATAATTATAATAAGGCTTATTATTTATAAATTTATATTAAAAAGTTTATTAATTTTAAGGAGGGTATTAAGTATATTTTTATTTTTTTTAATACTCTTACTTTTTTTTTTATTATTTAAGTTAGTTATATAAATTATTAACTTAGTAAAAAAGGTTTTTTTATAAAAATTTTCCTTATTTAAGTTAACTTTAATAATAACTTTTTAAGCTAAAGTTTAGGGAGAGAAAAATAATATTAAGCTAAAGATTAATAATTATAAATAAGGGCTTATTTAAGTCCTTAGGTTAAGTATTATTTTAGTATTAAGGACTAATATAAAGGCTAGTTTAAGCTTAAGTAAGTTAGTTTTATTATATTTTTACTAGCCTAGTTTTTAAATAGCTTAAAGTTAGGTTTTAGTAATTTAAACTTTTTTTTTATTTTTAATAATTAATTTAATAAAATACTTTAGAAAATTTATAGTATAAGGGCTATTATAGTTAATATATTAAAGTAAAGATAAATAATTAACTATAGTATTATTATATTTATAAAATAGCTTATTATATTTATAATACTTTTTAGTTTTAGTATAATTCTAAAGGTTATAAAATTTAAAATATTATAAGTATTAAGTAACTTAAGGGGGCTAGACTTAGGTTTTTATTAAAAAAAAAGCTATTAAATAGCCTAAAACCTAGTTTAATATTTTTTTTAAAAAAAATAAAGTAATAATATATATTAAAAAATTCCTTAAAAAAAGCTTTATAATAAGCTACTAAGGGATTTTTAACCCTAGCCCTAATATATATTTTTTTAAGGATTAATATATTTATAAAGTAAGTTTTACTTAAGTTTATATAAGTTTTTAATATATTATATATAAAAAAAACTTTTTAAATATATATTTTTTTAATTTTTAAGTTATTATTTTTTACTTAAGTTTAAAATATAATAATTTTATTTTATATATTTTAATTTTTACCCCTAAGGGTAAAGCTTAATTAAACTTTTTAGAAATAAGTAATATTTTTATTAATAAGTTTTAAAATCTTAATTAATTCTTATTTAGCCTTAATAATTAATAACTTTTTTTATATATAATTTAGTAAAACTTAAATAAAAATATAATTATTAAGCTTTTTTTTAAGTTTATTAATTTTATTTTTTAGTTTATTAATAATATAAGCTAGCCTTTTATTATTAAAAACTAGGTTTTTTAAAATTATAAGCCTTTTTTATATTTTTTTATTATAAATATTTTTATATAATATAACTTATACTTATATAACCCTAAAGCTTTTTTAGCTTACTTTTTTAATAATTATAAATACTTTTACTTTAGTAAAGTTTTTAATAGCCTTTAGTTTATTACCCTTAATATAAAATATATTAGCTAATATTATTTTAATTAATTAAGTAGCTTTTTTTTTATTACTTAATTTTTTAAGGTTTTTAAGCTTTTCCTTAAGGTTAATATAAAAAGTAATAAAGTTTTTAAATATAATATTTAAGTAAGATTAAACTTATTTTACTATTATTAAAAAAAGTTAAAATATATATTATATTAAGTAAAAATTAATAATTATAATTATATTTAATATTATATTTTATTTAACTTATTATTATATATTAATTTTATTAATTTAATTTATAATTTTATTCTTAATAAAAGATTTTTTTTTTTTACTTAAGTTAATAACTTTTTTTATATTATTAAAAATAAAAATAATAAAGCTTTTTAAAGTTATTTATACTATAATTATTATTATTATTATTATACTTAATTTTACTTTATTAAAGCTAAGTAAAGGTATTTTATTTATACTAAGGGCTTTTCTAAAGTATTTTTTTTTTTTAAGGATAAAGAGGAGAATTATAACCTCTTCTATTTTTAAGCCAGAGGGAGTTACTTCTTTCTAAGGCTAAAAAACTATTATAGGTCCAGGGGTAATAAAATTTAATTTATTCTAAGTATCTAAAGGGTTTATAAATATTTCTATTTTTCTAAAGTCCCTAGATAAGACTATAAAAGTAAATAAAAAGGTTATTTTATCTAATAGCTAGTTAAATAAAGTAAGGGTTTTTAGTAGTTAGGCACCTAAAAGGTGGGGTACCTGTAGATATAGGAGGGAAGCTTATTAGCAAACAGATAATAGGTATATTAGGAATTTTGTTTCACTTTGATTGGTATAAAGTCCCAAAGACACACGTAACCTGCCTTGTCAGCTTTAGAGATACGGCGACTAATTGCTGCTAAAATCTCTTGTGCATGTGCATTAAGCTCCGGCTTTGTTCCTACTGCTTGCCTAAGAGAATGATAGGTACTGGGAATTACCTGCTGCTTTTACATAGAGCTGCATACTAATGACCATGTTGATGATTTACTTGCCATCAGACGATGTTTCACCATGCTTTCCGCAAGTCTGAAGGGTCGCTGAAGTTCTGTACTAAGTCCACCATTGGATCTCTAGCTCAATAGCTATGCTACCCTACGCTACAAAGTAACTGCGCAATCTTTCAAGCAGCAAAGAGATATTCAATTAAGAAAGCGATTGCCCAAATAAACAGTCGTTTTAGTGATTAAGATAAACCTAAATTAATTGTAATTAGTGCAAGACTTGAAATGCGACTTGATAACAACCTTCTTTGTTTTTTTTTGTCTTTTGTAGCAGAGATCAAGGCTAGATTGCGTTAAATTGGATCTCGCCATGTGTAAGCCTCGTTCCTGACAGATGGTCGGACCCAATATATACATGCTTTCGGACCCTGGACCCCGGACACCCGGTGTGTTAGACGTAGTTTGTTACCGAAAGGGCAGCTTAGGTGAAAGCATAGTCGCCGCTCCTGATACATGATGATGCCGCGTATTGTATCGGGTGTAGTTTGAATACCTTTGTAGATGATGAGACGATCAGTCGTACGAGACATGTGTAGCGAATTATTGAGTATGCTGTTCGCCTCAGACCATCAAAGGTAAGAGCAAAACATCATATATATCGTGGTTCAGCCTGTCTGAGTCTTAAGATTTGCCCTTTGCCTTGTTATCGGTCTGTTTCTCTTCTTCTACATCTGCCGACTATCACACCTCACATATTCCCCTAGAACTGTTCGATCAAAGGTCGGCCTTGTTGGATCTACAATTATCATGGCGGGAGAAGATATCTCGTTACCCATCATTGACCTTAGTGGCTATCTGTCGCCGAAATCGCCTAATGATCGGCAGAATGTAATTGAACAAATTCGGGATGCTTGTCGAGACTTTGGCTTTTTCCAGCTGAAAGGCCATGGTATACCAATAAGCCTGCAACAGGAGCCGCTGAAAAGCCTCGGAACACTTTTTAACATGCCCAAGGAAGAGAAAATGAAGCTGTCATATCTGGAAAACCCGAGAAACTTGTCGAGATCTCAGATGTGGTCGCAGTTTCGAACAATGAGCCGACTGCAGATGAATACCCGCATGGGCTACGCTTGATAACTCTTGTCGTGGCTATCAATCTGGCCATGTTTTTGGCCTCTCTCGACTAGGTAAGAGATGCAAGTCGAAAAAACTATGCTGAAGTTGCTAATAGTCTGACAGACTATTCTCGGTACGGCGATTCCCAAAATTACGGATGAGTTCCATGGCCTCAGTCAAGTATCGTGGTACGGATCAGCGTACTTTATGTGCCTCGGAGGTTTCCAGTCCACCTGGGGCAAAGTCTATAAGTAATTCCCATTTAAGATCTCCTTTGCAACAGCAGTCTTCGTCTTTGAGCTGGGGAGTCTTATATGTGGTGTGGCTCGGAACTCAAACACCTTCATCGTCGGCCGAGCCATTGCGGGTATTGGGGGTGCCGGTATTACCTCAGGCTCTACCGTCATATTGGCGTTTGGCGCTGGGACCGCCAAACGCCCGACATTGATGAGCACTATGGGAGTGACCTATTGTATTGCCTTCATTCTTGGGCCACTTATTGGCGGAGCCTTCTCGGAAAAAGTAACGTGGAGATGGTGCTTCTACATCAACCTGTCTATCGGTGGCGTTGCCATGGCTTTGTTTTTCCTCTTCCTCAGAACTCCAAGCGTGTCCACCACCCAAGACGCAACGCTGAAGGAGAAACTCCTGCATATGGATCCAGTCAGCACCGCGCTGGCTATGGGTGGTATTATCAGCTTCATCCTCGCACTCCAGTACGCTGGCGTCAGCCATGCGTGGAACAGCAGTGTGGTCATAGGGCTGCTTGTCGGATTCGTTCTCATAACGGTTACGCTTGCTGCCTGGGAATACTTCCAGGGCGATTACGCCATGTTGCCCTATAGGCTATTCAAGCGCGGTGTGATGTGGGCTGGGGGCATATTCCAGTTCCTCTTTGTTGGCTGCTACTTCTTGCTATTGTTCTATCTCCCCATTTACTTCCAGAGCATTAAAGGCGTCAGCGCTATAAAGTCAGGTGTTGATAACCTGCCTTTGGTCCTTTCCGCCTGTGTGTTCATCATTCCAGGAGGAGCCACCGTAGAGAAGACGTACATGACGACCCCTTACATAACTGGTGGCGCAGCAGTGGCAGCAGTGGCCACTGGGTTACTTTATACGCTCGATTTGGACACCTCCAGTGGGAAATTGATCGGCTATCAAGTCGTCGTTGGTGCTGGCCTTGCATTTCCATTCTAGAATGCCCTGAATATTCTCCAAGCTGAGGTGGATGTTGACGACATGTCGCCCACCACATCGAGTCTATATCGTATGTTACTTGAGAATATAAGAGTCCGAGTTATAGCTAACGAATAGCCATAGTTTTCTAGATACTTGGAGGCGCATTCAGTATCTCGGCGGCCCAAGCTGCTTTCAACAACAGGCTGCTTCACTCTTTGCCAATCAACGCACCCGGAGTTTCTCCACTGCTGGTTCTCGCAACAGGTACCTCCGACCTTCACTCAGTCTTCTCGGCAGAAGAATTGCCAGGTGTCATCTTGTCATACATGGATGGCCTCAAGGCCGCCTTTGCTGCATCAGTCAGACTAGTTAGCACAGCTTTTCTGATCAGCTTCATTGTTCCTTGGAAAAAGATCAATTTGAAACCTGTGGAGGCAGTTGCTATGGCTTAAGGTTCCTGATTTTCTCTTCACATGGTCACAATCAGGTCTTGCGAAACATTGCACGTTACTGGTGATGATGGGACTGGAATGTGAAAGAAGTGAAGGCACTGGAGGCGAGAGATTGCATGTGGAGCGATACGATATTTGGATAGCCAGTGATTGGGAGAGATATTAGTGTAATGTTGTGATGTGAGGTCTCATGGAGGAATGTAGGACTGATAGCGCGCCATGACTCCCACTATCGCAGTGCCTATTTAGTTAACGATTCCCATTTTCCCCTTCTCCAATTTATTTTGTCTGTTTCCATTGTATATGAACCAAAAGGCTCGACGACGTCCGTATAAATCTCACGGCGGGTCTGCTTTATCTAGTGAACCATATACATCTGCCTTGCGGTTGTTTAATTTCCTATTTGTTCCTTTTCCTATATATATATGGGCGCCTTCTGAAATACAGTACATGTGCACGCAGTAGAGTTGAAGATGCTTGCTACGATATACAGTTTCATTGAAAAACTACCAATAACGGTTCGCGATTGACTCGGAAATCATGGATACGCTTTATCCATTATCCATTGAGGTTTCATCTACTTAACAGGTAGCCAGAATCTCTCGATGGCTTTTGGGGTAGGCTGGGGGATGCTTAGAAGAGGCTTATCCACTTTCTTGAAGCCGACAGCGATGGAGAACTTGGGTAGTGGAGACGTGCAGCCGCTTCAAGGATCAGGCTAACGTCATTAACCGCCGAATATCGTTTATGTGTTTGTTTGCTTGATGGTTTGTTTCCTCATAACGATGAATTGATGGAAGAAATTGAAAGCTATTGAATGCATAGCTTTTCTCCGAGGAGAATTGCTCTCTGGGGACGGAGTCGAACCGCCGACTTTTCGGTGTAATCCGTTGCACCGAACTCCGTCAAGCATAGCAGACCACCCAGAGGATGTTGAAGATTTGACCGCCGAAGATGTACCTGAACTCGGAATAAATCCAAACAATACTCCACTGATACATAAAAACTTCTGGGTCGGGCAATCGGGGATATTGGCTGACATGAATGAAATATTGTCGACTAGGGAAAGGGCCTTGATTGCAACCGAAAGAAAGCTCTCCAGCTGACAGGCGCCGACCAGTGTTGGAAAACACTAAAAGAACGATCTACGATGCCAACAAGATGTTGTGAACATATCAACCCCATTCAGTCCCATTATCTGCTAAGCGGCAAGGCTGTGTTCAAAACACAACCTGCTATAGACAAGCTTGTTTGCTTCCTACACTCAGTTACATCCTACACCAACCGATTTCATTATCACTTTCATCGCCATGGGATCCCAAAATCTGGAGCCGATCGCAATCGTGGGAAAGCGCTTGTCGGTTCCCTGGAGGCGTTTATTCTCCTTCGGCTCTGTGGAAATTGCTGGAAGACCCAAAAGATGTGTGTACGGATATCCCCTCATACCGATTCGACACGGCCGGATTCTATCACCCAGATGGAAAACACCACGGCGCCACCAATGTTAGGAAATCCTATCTCCTACAGGAAGACCTGCGCCTGTTCGACACTGCCTTTTTCAACATCAGACCCAATGAGGGGGATTCGATGGATCCACAACAGCGGATCCTCTTGGAGACTGTCTACGACGCCCTCGAGGCTGGCGGTCACACCGTGGGGGGCCTCCGGGGCTCCGACACGGCGGTATTTATCGGCACAATGGGCGTCGACTATAACGATACCGGTATACGCGACTTGAACACTGTCCCAACTTACTTTGCCACTGGAGTCAACCGTGCTATTATCTCCAACCGTGTGTCATACTTCTTTGACTGGCATGGCCCTAGTATGACTATTGACACGGCTTGCTCATCGAGTCTCATCGCCGTGCACCAGTCTGTAAAAGCCCTTCGCACAGGCGAGTCGCATGTCGCCCTTGCGTATGGTACACAAGTGATCCTCAATCCTGAAATGTATGTGATTGAAAGCAAGTTGAAGATGCTTTCTCCAACTGGGCGTTCGCGCATGTGGGACGCCGACGCCGACGGTTATGCTCGTGGAGAGGGTATGGCGGCCATTGTTTTGAAGCGCCTTAGCGATGCGATTGCAGATGGCGATCACATTGAATGTCTCATCCGGCACACTGGGTCTAACCAAGATGGCTATTCCAATGGCATTACAGTACCCAGCACCGAAGCTCAAGCAGCACTGATTCGGCAAACCTATGCCCAGGCCGGGTTGAACCCGGAGCGGCGTGCTGAAGACAGGCCGCAGTTCTTCGAGGCTCACGGCACGGGCACCAAGGCCGGAGATCCAAAGGAGGCTGCTGCTATATATCAGTTTTTTGGTCGTTATAAAAGCGCAGGCGGTACGCCCCTGTATGTAGGCTCCATCAAGACAGTGATAGGGCATCTCGAAGGCTCAGCTGGTCTCGCAGGACTCCTGAAGGCCTCTGGGAGCATTCAGAACGGCATGATTGCCCCCAACCTCTTGTTTCAGCACTTTAATCCGGACATTGAGCCTTTCTACAAGGGACTCCAAGTCCTAACAGAGGTCGTCCCGTGGCCACAACTCCCGGCAGGTGTCCCGCGACGCGCCAGTGTCAACAGCTTTGGTAGGTCCTTTCCGTCTTTTTTTTGCATCCATATCGTAGGGGTGGACCCTCTGAGTGATTGTGTTGATCTGACAAGAGCAGGTTTCGGTGGAAGCAATGCCCATGCTATCCTTGAGGAATACCGGGGCCCGTCAGGCCAAAGTGAAGGTACATCCAGCAGCCAAGATGGTGCCATCTTTACACCCTTCGTTTTCTCGGCCTTTTCAGAGAGTTCGCTTGTCGCCCAGCTGCGTGCAACGGCAAATTATCTCAGGACAGAACAGGAGAGGTCAACGCCAAGGACCTTGCCTGGACGCTGCAGTCTCGCAGGAGCCAGTTTCCAACTGAACTGGCCTTGTCGGCGTTGAACATCGAGGAATTTGTGTCCAAAATCGACGCAAAGCTTGCCCCGTTGGCTCAAAATCCCAACATAGCCATTAGAACCAAGGCGAGCTCCAAAGCGGCATCACCGAGACCCAAGATATCAGGCGTTTTCACGGGCCAGGGTGCCGAGCTGATCAGGTCGTCTGCCTTCGTGGCTGAGAGGATCGATGACTTGGAGCAGTCGTTGGCGGCCCTTCCGCCCTCAGACCGGCCTCAATGGAGTTTGAAGGCCGAAATAATGGCGAATAGTAATACGTCGCGCATCGGCGAGGCTGCACTGTCACAACCCTTATGCACTGCCATTCAAGTCGTCCTTGTCGACCTACTGCAGTCGGCTGGTATTAGTTTTTCTGCCGTTGTGGGACATTCGTCTGGTGAAATTGCTGCGGCCTATGCCGCCGGGTTCTTCTCCGCCGACGACGCTGTACGCATTGCCTACTATCGTGGGTTGCATGCACGACTGGCAGGGAATGCGTCTACTGGCCAAAGCGGTGCGATGGTTGTAGTGGGCACTTCGTGGGAAGATGCACAGGATCTCATCAATTTACGAACCTTCAAGGGCCGTTTGGCTGTTGCCGCTCACAACTCAGCAGCCAGTGTAACACTGTCCGGTGATGCTGATGCAGTCGCACACGCGAAGAGGATGTTTGACGATGAGAAGAAATTTGCCAGGGCTCTCAGGGTCGACACTGCCTATCATTCTCACCACATGCTACCATGTGGCGACCCATACATTTCCTCTCTGCAGAGCTCAGTCTCGTGCTCGAGGTAGGCCCTCATCCCCCGCCCTCAAGGGTCCAGCTACACAGAATATTGCCGACGTACGGCCATCTGCCATCCCCTACAACGATGTCTTGAGCCGTGGGGCCCACGACGTCAACGCCTTCTCAGACGCCTTGGGGTTTGTTTGGACTCACCTTGGCGGCCAGCATGTCGACTTTCAGAGTTACACAAAGCTTGTCAGTGACCAAGAGCGTCGACTAAAGCTCGTGGTCGGGTTGCCGTCGTACCAGTGGAATCATGCAAGACTACATTGGAACGAATCACGCAGGTCGAAGAGGCTTCGTGGACGCAAACAGGCTACGCATGAGATTTTGGGCACAATCCTTCCTGAGTCCACCCCACAGGATCTTCGATGGTCCAACGTACTGAAAGTGTCCGAGGTGCCATGGATGGAGGGCCATCAGCTTCAGGGCCAGACAGTTTTCCCAGCTGCGGGCTACATCGCCATGGCATTGGAGGCATCCAAGTTCCTAGCAGCTGACAAGCAGGTGAAGGTGTTTGAAGTGAACGATCTGGCTATTCCCAGAGCCGTCACATTTGAGGAAGAGGATACCTCTGGTGTTGAAACCCTGGTCACGCTGACGGACATTCGGCAACACCAGAACCAGTATGTCACGGCTAACTTCTCTTGCTACTCCCTCCCTATTCTCAGCTCAGGGTCAGAGCAGGAGATGGATCTCATAGCCACGGCCACTGTAAAAATCGTTCTAGGCACCCCGAGAGTTGAGTCCTTGATGGCACCCCAGGCAGAGGACTACAATTTGTTCCCAATTGATGCCGATCGCTTCTACTCGACCTTGGAGGGCCTCGGCTATGGCTATTCGGGCCCATTCAAGACCTTTTCGTCTATGCAGCGTCGGCTTGGCTATGCTACCAGACAGGTGGCCACGTACGTCAGTTCGGGGGACGACACCTCACCCTATGTTTTCCACCCGAGCACACTCGATGTCGCTTTTCATGCCGCCATGCTTGCGTATTCGAGCCCTGGCGACGAACGCCTATGGTCTCTGCACGTTCCGACTGGAATTCGAAGTGTCCGTGTTAACCCGGCCCTCTGTTCTTTGCTGCCGGCATCGGGCACTCGTCTTCCCATTCGTGCCTCTATTGACGGGACGTCGACTTCATTTTCGGGATATGTAGATTTGTTGAGTGAGGACGGAGAGCACTCGGTAGTGCAGATCGAAGATCTCAGCATCAAGACCTTCGCCCCGGCTACCGAGGCTGATGATCGGGTTCTCTTTACTCACACGAAGCTTGACATTGCCGCCCCGGATGGCGCCGCAGTCGCTGAAGGAGTACGTCCAACGTCACTGGGAAAGGAGCTGGCTCATGCCTGCGAAAGGATGGCGTACTATTACGTTCGAAAATGGGACTCGGAGCTATCTGAGGACGAGTGGGCCAACGGGCAGCCACACTACAAGTACTTACACGACTGGGTGAAGCGTACCCTTGATCTTGCCAAGAAAGGCCAGCACCCAACTCTGCAGAAGAATTGGGCTAATGACAGCGCTGAAGAGATCTATGCCCTTATGGATCAGTATCCGGAGAATCTAGATGTGAAGATGATTCGCACAGTGGGAGAAAAGATTCCGCCAGCAGTCCGTAATGAGACGACCATTCTGGAGCATCTTTTGCAAGACAACATGCTGGACGACTTTTATAAGCTGGGCTCCGGGTTTCAGAGATACAACCAGTTCTTGGCGTCGATGATGAAGCAGATCACCCATCGCTACCCTCACACTAAGATTCTCGAAATCGGCAAGTATACCCCATCCATGTATTTTGGTGTTGACAAAGCTTCATGTAACTAACCTCCTCTACTTGCAGGTGCTGGTACCGGTGGAGCTACGAAATATGTGCTCAAAGCCATGGGCGATAAGATGGTTTCGTATACCTACACTGATATCTCGGTAGGATTCTTCGCCAAGGCGGCTGAGATCTTCAAGGCATACAGCGACAAGATGACATTCAAGGTCCTTGATGTGGAGAAATCTCCATCTGCTCAAGGATACGAACATCACTCATATGACATTGTCATTGCATCCAACGTCCTCCACGCCACAGAGTCGCTTCACACAACGCTGGTCAACACACGCAAGTTGCTCAAGCCTGGTGGCTACTTGTTGCTTTTGGAGATTACCAACAACAAAACCATCCGCACCGGGCTCATTTGGGGCACATTTGCCGGCTGGTGGCTCGGCGTTGAGGATGGGCACCGACCATTAGTCCAGGCCAGTGGCATTCGGCATTGCGCAAGGCTGGGTTTGCAGGTGTCGACGCCGTGACTCCTGAAATTGACACGGTAGCGTGGCCATTTTCCATTATGGCATCGCAAGCAGTCGATGATCGTGTGTCGTTCCTGCACCAGCCGCTCTCGTCCCTTTCGCCGCCCATACACAATGAAAGTCTAGTCATCCTTGGAAACCAAAGCCTGCAAACAGCTCGCCTGGCAGAAGAGTTGGCTAATAATCTCAGGCGCTTCTGTGGCGAGCTAACAATTCTCGACAGCCTACCCACCGACGAGGAAGCACTTGATCTGGCGCCACAGAGTACTTTTATCAATCTGGTCGATATCGACTCGCCCATCTTCAAAGACATTACTAGTGAAGGGATGGGAGGCCTGCAAGGCATGTTTGAGCTGTCCAAGCACGTCTTGTGGATTACGTCGGGCGCTCTGATTGAACAGCCATATCACATGTCGAGTATCACCTTTAGCCGTGTCGTTCGTCGCGAGTCTGGTCACCTCGATGTCTCTGACCTGCAGCAGTCTGATGTGCCCAAAGCCATTTCCAAGCACCTGCTGCAACTGGTTGCGCTGGACGAGTGGGAGACACCCATCATTGGAGCTGATGGACAAGAAGACCAGCAGCGCATACTTTGGTCCAAGGAGTCCGAGGCCTTTTTGGACAACGGAACTTTGCTGCTCCCAAGACTTGTCAACAATGTTGAGCAAAATGCCCGCCTCATGGCCCTTAATGTGCAGTCGGATTCGTATCTCTTCCTCGCCGTTTCCAAAGAGGATACTACCGGCCGTCCATTGATTCTGCTTTCCACAACCAATTCGGCGGCCATGGCCCCAGTAGCAACGTTAGAAGTGCCCCTAGATGCCAAAGCCTACGCCAAGAACCCATCAGAGCCAAGCAGTCGCTTGCTTGTCACCGCTGCCAGTGAAATCCTTGCCTCATCGTTGCTCGACCGTCTGTCACCGGGAAGCAGCGTGCTTATTCACTGCTCAGACAAGGACAGGTTCCTCACCGCGGCTTTGTCTCGCCGTGCATCTCGCGCAGCTGTAAAATTCGCCTTCACGTTTGATGCGGACGATAAATCGGGCACGGAGGAGTCGGCTTGGGTATCACTTAGCGGACGCGCATCAAACTATGGCATAAGGAAGTCGATGCCGAGTGTCAAACCTACTCACTTCCTGGACTTGACAGCTGGTACCGAACTCGGCCTGCGGATCTCCCAGCTATTGCCATCCACTTGCCATCGCATCGAAATATCTTCTCTGGTTCGGAATGAGTCCACGGTTGCTTCGAGCTGTGACCCGACAAATTGGCTAAGCGCCTCCGAGAAATCTTTTTGAGGGATGAGCTGACATCTGCCTTGGCTTGTGAGCAAGGGGAACTCAATATTTGATCGTTGCAGCCGACAACCTTGGCACCAGCGCAACCTACCACACCACGAGCGCCGTGCACTGGCCTTCAACGGGTCTTGTCAAGGTGGGTGTGAGCTCGATCGACAGCACCGGTCTCTTTTCAAGGGACAAGACCCATCTCCTCGTAGGCCTTACCGGCAAGATAGGGCAGTCCATCGCCAAGTGGCTCGTTGCCAATGGAGCTGCATGTGTATGCCTGATGAGTCGCAACCCCAACATTGAGCTAGCATGGATCGAGAGCTTCCAGGGGACCGGTGGAGACGACACCCTTCGCGGTTGTGACGTCTGGTATCCGTAACTTTTCCGAGGACGAGAACATCAAAGGACCATGGTTTACTAACCCCTTCTTCTCCCACTGCGTCATCGACGCCAAGGTGGCCGAGCTGGAGTCTGACAGTTCAGACAAAAAGTCCAACATCCCCGCAGCTCGACAGCCAGTCAAGGCAACGAGCCGAGAGCAAGCATTAGACATCCTCAAAGGTAAACCAAGCTGGACGAAGACGATAGGGAGAGCCCTATTAATATTAAATCATGAACTACGCTAACAAATTTGTGTCAACAGAATGTTTTGCCACCAAGCTACGCGTGATCCTGCAGCTGGGTAGTCAAGATATAGATTACGATGCGCCGCTCGTTGATCTTGGCATTGACTCCATCGTTGCGGTCGAGGTCCGCTCGTGGTTTTTGAAAGAAGTCCGAGTGGACATACCCGTGCTCAAGGTGGTCGGAGGGGCGTCCTTGGCCGAACTTTGTGACGGGGCCGTGGACGAACTGCCCGAAGAACTTCTTGTCAGCATCGGCAAACAAGGGGAGCCACAACCGCTGACGCCCAGTGCCCAGCCCAACCCGTAGCCCCGGAGCCCCGAAGCCCACGCCCCTCCCGGTGTCATCCCTTGTTGTCGATTTACACGGCCCCCCCTCTGAAGTCAGCGTCAGCCCCGCCGAGACACCTCTGCTCAGTGCTGGCCCGGCGAGCTCTTCGGCCACCGAGGCGTCGACCCGGTCCGGCTCTCCCTCGGAAGCCACGCGGCTGTCTCAGAAGGTCAGTTCCAAGCTCCAATCCTATTTCCCACGTCCCGAACCGGTAGCGGAGCGCAAGCGTCCTGCGAAACGGTTCATCAAGAGCGTGCCCATATCGCTTGGGCAGTCGCGCTTCTGGTTCCTCCAGCAGTTATTGGACGACCAGAGGACTCACAACGTGGCATACTACTACCACATCAAGGGCAACCTGGACGTGGGTGATATGGAGAGAGCCGTCCGCCTTGTCGCTTCTCGACACGAGGCTCTACGCACCTGTTTTGTACAAGACGAGACCGATGCTTCCCAGGCTTACCAAAAGGTTCTCCCTAGTTCCCCAGTGCGCCTGATCTGCAAGAAAATAGACTCTGAAGATGATGTCGCTTCAGAGTACCAAAGCCTGCGGGCCCACGACCTTGACATGGCGAGCGGCGAGCTGCTCAAGCTGGTTCTCCACACGCTCTCGCCGTCGTCGCATTTCCTTCTAATGTACCACCACCACATCATCATGGATGGCATCGGTTTACAGGTTTTCCTTTCGGATTTAGAAAAAGCATACAAGGGCGAGTCTCTCGGGCCGGCCCCGAAGTGGTACCCAGATTTCTCAAAGGCACAGCGCCAGGCCTTTGAGAATGGCGAAATGTAAAAGGAGTTGGCGTTTTGGCGGCGTAATTTCCCGGATGGCGAGCAGCCACCCATTCTACCTCTACTTCCCATGGCGCGAGCGAACTCCCGAGTTCCCATGGCCAAGTTCGACACGCACCAGGTCCAAGCCCGAGTCGATTCCACCTTAGCTGCGAAGGCCCGAATGGTCGCCAAGCAGCAGTGGTCCACTCCATTCCATCTATATCTGGCTGCCTTCAAAGCCCTTCTCTTTTGCTTTACAGACGCAGATGAATTGACCATTGGAGTTGCCGACGGGGCCCGTCATGACAGCGCCTTGATGGGAAGTATAGGGTTCTTCTTCAACTTGCTGACGCTGCGATTCCGCCGTCAAGCCAGCCAGCCATTCACCGAGGCCATCGCGGAGGCGCGCAAGATTAGCCATGCCGCGCTGGAGAACTCGCGGGTGCCCTTTGATGTCCTGCTGTCAGAGCTGAATGTTGCACGCTCTTCAACACATAGCCCATTTTTCCAGGCCTTTATCGACTACCGCCAAGGCCACCAGGAGGAACAGACTTGGGGCAACTGTCAAATGCGCATGTCAGAAGAGGTACATACAGGGAAGACGGCGTATGATATAACCGTCGACGTTACCGGAACGGATGCCGCGGCTTTCATCTTTTTCCGCGGGCAAAAGAGCATCTATGACCAAGCAGTGACCCAGCTGCTTTGTGATACCTATGTCCACTTCCTTGAGGCTCTCACTAGCGAGCCCTCCCTAGTGATGAGTGCGATTCCCCTGTTCAGTGAGAAGCAGCTGGCAGAAGTCGTCCAAGTTGGCCGCGGTGAGTTCCCTCTTCCTATCCAATACACTTATAATTTACACTCTTCAAGAGGCTGATCCTTATTTAATACTCACCAGGCCCGAAGCTCGTTTCCGACTGGCCAGAGACGCTACCCCTTCGCATCAACCAGATCGCTCGGGAGAATCCAGACAAGGTTGCCCTTATGGACGGCACAGGTAAGTCACTGACTTATACGTCAATGATCAACCGCATTCACGCCATCGCCGAGACGTTGCAAGAGGCGGGGGTCGCACCAGGACTACGCGTACTTGTGTTCCAACAGGCAACTTCTGACTGGCCCTGTTCGATGCTTGCCATTATGCGGCTGGGCACGATATACGTTCCGCTTGATCTTCGCAATCCCCTGCCGCGTTTGGCAGCCGTTGCCCAGGATTGTGAGCCTACGGCGATCCTAGCAGATGCCTCCACGCTACATGATGCGTCTCAGCTCGGTGTACCCTCGGCACGTCTCATTGATGCATCTCTCGTAAAGTCTCATCCTTCAAAAGAAGTTACCAACGACTCACGAGCACACTCAACCGCCGCAATCTTGTATACGAGCGGGTCCACGGGAACGCCCAAAGGCATCATGGTCACACACGAGGGCCGTAGGAATGAAATCGAAGGCCGTACAAAGACCTGGAAGCTGGGACCCGAGCGTGTGCTCCAGCAGAGTGCCTTTACCTTTAACCGTAAGTTATTTGACCCAACCAATTTCCATTCTTGCCTTCCCCGCAGCTTCCAGTAACCATTTTCTTCGGATATATTCTTCGGACCAGATTTACACAGGCCTCGTTAACGGCGGCATGGTATATGTCGTTCCTTGGGACAAACGTGGCAACACACTGGAGATCACTAAAGGTATCCAAGAGCAGGGCATCACGTATACCAAGGCTACCCCGTCCGAGTATTCACTATGGATGCTATATGGCCGTGAAAGCCTCCGCCTCGCCATTTCTTGGCGCTTTGCTTTCGGAGGCGCAGAATCGCTCACAACGGCCGTCACGCAGCAATTCGCGGACCTCGACCTTCCACAGCTCCACTTCTTCAACTCATACGGCCCCACGGAGATTCCTATATTTTCCACCAAAATGGAGATTCCGTACCGGGATAGGTAAGCGTTAGAGCGTGTCGGTCGTATTCCCTGTGGCTACTCATTACCCGGATATTACATGTACGCCGTCGACGAGGAACTGAGGCCGCTGCCCGCTGGTATGCCGGGACAGCTCTGTATCGGTGGCACAGGCGTGTCGCGTGGCTACTTGAAAAACCAAGAGCTCACCGACAAGCACTTCTTACCTAACCCATTTGCTACAGAGGAGGATCTGGCAAACGGCTGGACACGCATGTACCTCACAGGAGACATTGGCCATCAACCAGGATGGCACGATGGTCTTCCACAGTGGTATGGCGGGTGACACGCAGGTCAAGATCCGTGGACTACGCATCAAGCTCAGCGACATCGAAAGCAATATCGTTACGGCTTCCCGGGGGGCTCTGCAAGAAGCTGTGGTTACGCTGCGTGAGGGCGATCCAGAGTTCCTGGTCGCTCACGCGGTTTTTGTACAGAGTGCACCATTGAGGACAAGGAAACATTTCTCCAACAGCTGCTGCACAACCTCCCAGTCCCGCAATATATGATACCCGTCGTGGCTATTCCTATAGACGAGTTACCTCTGACTAATCACTCCAAGGTAGACCGCAAGGCTGTCAAAAGCTTACCTCTGCCCCAGAGAGTTGGCCGGCCCGACGCGAGTGACGATGCAGAACTGACAGAGACCATGATTCAGCTCAAGGACCTGTGGCGGGGTGTTTTAGGAAAAGCCATCGATCAACTTGGTTTTGATATTACTCCGTCCACCAGTTTCTTCCTGGTCGGTGGCAACTCGCTCTTAATCATTCACCGGCAATCTGAGATCCGGAAAAGGTTCCGTGCCGCTGTGCCCCTGGTCGAGCTTCTCGATGCCAATACTCTAGGTGAAATGGCACAAAAGGTCGAGGAAACCATCTCCGTTAAAACTATTGACTGGGAGTACGACACCAGGCCCCCTACTGTCTCTGTCTCTGCCCCTGCCATTGCCATTGCCCCCGTGCCCGACGACCGAGCCAGAAAAGGAGCAACAATCGTGATTACGGGCGCCACCGGGTTCCTCTCCGAGCACCTGCTTCCCATGCTCGACGCGAGGCCGGACGTCAATGTGATCCACTGTTTGGCCGTGCGAGATATTGAAAGGGCGTACTCGTCACCCACGGTCGTCCACCACCCCGGAGACTTGTCATCACCATTGCTGGGTCTCTCCAAAGAGGAATTCAACGAGCTTTCGAGCACGGCCGATGCCATACTGCACATGGGCGCCGCTCGCTCCTTCTGGGACAGCTACCACGTGCTACGCTCTATCAACGTCGCCCCGACGAGCGACTTGGTCAAGCTGGCCGCGCCTCGCCGCGTGCCGATTCATTATATTTCCACGGTAAGCCTCTTTGGTGGGGCTACCGCGGCACTTGATGGAAGAGCAGTATCGGCTGCGGTACACCCGCCTCCCACAGACGGAAGCAGTGGTTACGCAGCAACTAGCTGGGCCAGTGAGCGCATCTTGGGGCGTTCTGCGGCAGATTTTGGTGTCCCATCATCCATCTACCGCCTCTGCCCCGCAACTTTGCGACAGGATGCCCCCCAAGCCCTTCTAGATGAGATCACCCACTATGGTAACATCATACACGCAACACCCGACTTGAGCGGGTGGTCTGGTCGTCTAGATATGCTCCCCGCGGTGCTGACAGCACAATGGCTCTGCGAGGCCTTGCTCAATAATGAAAAAAGGTCCGGTACTGTTGAGTTCCGCAATTATGAGAGCCTTCTCACCGTGACGGGCGCAGAGCTTGCTGCATGCTTTGATCAGGAGCAGAGCGGCAACGGCAATGTCGAGAAAATACCGCTACTAAAGTGGACAGGTAAAATTAAAAAAAGCCGGGTTTCCTTATTTCCTTGCGTCACATGAGATAGCAATTGAGAAAGAACTAAGTGGAAACGGCACAAAATTGGAAATGCGCAGATGAACGATATTACTACTGTTTCTTGTGTCATTTATACTCCTTTCTTTATTTGTATCTAGAGCATTTCTCGTGTAGCAAACCATATCTTATTTTCTTCATTGACTGTTTACCATTTTAAAAAAAAAAACAAGTACTAGCTGTAAATGTTGGAAGAATATCGGCTGACCTTGACCAAGATTGTCATAAAGTAATGAAGATGAAGTCGCTGCAATTCGCCACCATCTGATAAGACCTTAGGCTCCGGGATACCACTGGGTCTTGAAAATCGGTTGGGGTGTAGTAGAGCTTTCAGTTAGGCGCTGACATACTTACATAAACGGCAGCAATGTAGCTTTTTGTATGAGCACCCGAACATATTTTGGTACAATTTTATGCGATATTACGCAACGAGTGTCAGAAATCGACAAAAGCCACACACGGCACCATGGCAACGCGGGGCCGTATTGTGAAGATGAGATCATAGCTTCGTACAATAAGTTCATGCAAAGCCGATTTTATCAAGCCTCGAATTGTTTCACTAGTTGATACTATTTTTCTAGAATATTATTAGTTCGTGATGAGGTCTTGTTTTCAAGGTCTATTGAGACCCATTGTAACAAACCAACTTAAAATAGATTAGTAGGTTGAATTCAAATTTGTGTTAATAGAAAGCGGTTTACGTTTAACCTCCTCATTCCAAAATGGGTATTGGGGGTGACTAAACTGTCGCAATGCCGGGTTCCTTCGTTAAAATACCGTCCTCTATCTAGATAAATGAGACCAGACAAGTAAGTTAAGTTAAATATCTCTCGTCTACGATAGGGACTTTATTTGAAGAGCATCGAAATTGTCACTGCCGGATTAAATTGTACTATGATTCATGTTTGCGCCTTGGTCCTTACAATAATTAGAGCTCCGTATTTTCGATGCTGTGTTTAGAGTCTGGGCGGGCCAGGTCAAGTATATGTTGTTGTATTGCCAACAAACGGTTTACACCTCACCAAATGTTGTTAAATATAGTAATTGGTACCATTGCGATCTTGATAACTAGCTCTCTATGTGAATTGCGCCACATAGTTCCCATATTCCTGCGTAAATTCGCTGAATCCTCCTAAGCAAAAGACTATTTGCTGACCTCAACTTATATTTATATTAGTTCATGGCCAATAATCAGCCTATACTTGACACAGGTACAGGCTGTCAGGCGATCATGAGCAAAGTGGAATGTAACGCCGGTTGTATCTTAGAGGAGAAACCGCGTCCGAGCTTGGCGGGGCCACATACAAGCTCGGCATTTCACATAACGCCGAAAGCGTACGGTTGCGTAAGTTTTAGGAAGATCATCCTTGCCTATTCTCTCAATTCAGAACCTCTCCTCTACAGAAGTCAAATCCATAAGCTGATGGTCTCTTTATATTGCTTGATGACATGGCAGTACCTGCACTGTTGCATTTCAGTTTGCGTTGCTAGACTCAGCTTAGCTAGCGCTGGATGATGGAGGTCACGGTTGTTCCTATTATAATCAACAATACGGTTTGTTTAACTAGATTTACGTGTATACGTCTGTAACAAACTATCAGCAAAGACAAGACCGCCGGGCCTATTTATAGCTTTGTAACATCCTAAATATATATCCCTGTCGTTACTTATCCAACTTTGTGTTAATAGGGATACAGAATGCGAAGACTTGCATGTAGCTTAATTTATGTCAGATGCGGCACATAAACCCAGAAATGTTTAACCAAAGCAATTAAAGCATAAATGGACCGTAGACTGGCCACCTAATCTGTGTCAAGTGCCTTTTTATATATGAGCTCATTATAATATGGCTAACTTGATAAGTATTTCCACGGCTTTGGAGGCAGTATCCGTGGACTGCAACTTTACTACCATTGAAGCATTCTTTGATTATGCAACGGAACATGAACTCAATATTACGGCGCAGATAGAGCAATGCCCGAATCTATGCATCCTCACGTTTGGCACGGGAAATCCAGACTTGTCTGGCATTGGAGTAAGTGGGCTCTTGTTTAAATCTGCCCCGCAAATATCACCAAGGGCCATTTCCTAACCAACTTGACAGATGATGTATGCATATTCCTTTCAAGTTGCTTTAACTATTATTTTTGGGCCTCTTCTGCGAGGTCTTGATATATTTGACAGATTTCTCCCCTCAGGAGATTTCTTCATGCTACGGAAACTCTTCAGAGAAAGTATTGACGTGCAGTCCATTTTTTGGGAATCTAATGGGTTTCTCATTCTCGCGTCTGCGGTGGCGACGCTAGTTCGCATGGGCCAACATCCTACAATCTTCGAAATTGCCGAGATGCAGATGTTGAACTTTGTGCAGCTCAACTCGCTGTTGGTGATATTTTTCTGTCTCATTCACCCAATCTCTAGGTGGTGGCAGCGTTTCTTCCAATTCCTTTCGGGCTTCGCTCTAGCCACTGCCGCTTTATCCCAAAGCGGACTGTCAGGGCATTCAGAGACGGACTGGCTGCAGGCCAGTTTAGGTTGCCAGAACGAACCGGCTTTCCGCAAGCTCACACCAGTGCCCTACAACAAGGCCGTGGTGTATGCGGCTGCCGGCCTGTGCATCATATCATTCTTTGCGCAGACTGCCACTACTGTGTTCCCTCGGATCAAGCAACGGCCGAGCTTGCGGAGGGTCTTGACTATCATGGCGATTGTGTGGGGGCTGCTGACCACATTGTCGTTAGTGGGCATGGTATGGGGGCTAGTCAAGCTCTGGGACCAAAGAGGTGAGCTCATTAAGGTAGCAGGGGCTGATTTTGAGGACAACGAATGGGGCTTTGGTCAAGTCGCCGCACTGTTTACCTGGTTGCCAATTCCCGTGGAAATATCATACAAGCTAAATGGTATGTCTGAATTGAATCTACGGATTGCCCCAAGAATTTCACCGTGCTAACCATGATGTCACCTTCAGATTGGATGAAAGAGAGATCCAGTACCTGGTATCGGTTCCAAGCCGCTGTTGCGCCATATGGCGAGTCGAGGAACGGCGAAAGACAAGGCGAGCACATAGCAATGGCGCCAGCGACTACCGCCAATAAAGGGGGGGTCCTAGCACAAGAACACCCACAAGATTCTGGCGATGGATCTGTATGAAAGGCTAAAGAAGAGCTGCTACTACGTACAATGAATCAGAGAAATTTAATTACAAATAAATATGTCTGTAGAGCTTCGTTGACCATTCTGGAAACAAATCCAGCAATTCATCATCACTCACGGCCATGCAACAAGCAGTCATCCAGATGCAGGTTCGTTCCCATCCACTCCCAACGCTTTTCAACTTATATCCACTTCTACATTGGGTATTCTGGTAATTGACCCGGAGTGTGATAGAGCGGGCCCCCATGTTATGGCAAATAATCTACAGGAAGTCGCATATATTAATACTAGTAGATGTTATGTCCGCCATCCTACACCGTTTCTCGTATGCCAAGTCGCCATGCCATAGTTATTATTATCCTCAGAGCGGTTGTCACTATTGCGGCAACTCTTAACAGCATCCTATAAATGTGGTGCAGTTCTGCAACTGGACCGAATGCTGTGTTAATCCTTGGCCAGTATGAACCAGTGTTCCGGCGCCGCCCAACTATCTTTAGGATAAGCCTTCCAATGGAAGATAAAACATACCTAGGTATAGTGAATATATAGGACAAGATATACAGAAGACAGGTGTGCTAGGATATTAGTAGTAAAGCACATCCGCCCCACACGCTCTTAACAATGCACCACCACAACTAATTCGCTCCTCAGCCTCTATTGATTACGTAGCTTCAAATGCCTCAGTGTAGAAAAGAGGCTCGGTAAGAGTCTCGTGGTTATAGCAGTAGGCCTCGTAATAGTTGATAGGGGAATGTGTTAAGTCCGTTCAATTATCAATGCTGTGGTCTACATTAACAACATTAACAATGAAGTATATAGACACAGGGTACATAAAGACAAACAACCACACTGCTGTTTCTGACTACGTTGTTTTGAATCAGTCGTGTTGAGAAGATATAGATTGGCCTTGCAGTGTTTATATCTCCAAAAAAGCAACTTTTCTCAACAACCTGGGATATCACACAACGTCTTTCCTGCTCATAGGGTGGGTGAAAACTTGTGCTTAGGTTAGATCGTTCCGGCCAACTAAGACTAAGACAATCCACTGAAAGCCACCCGGATGTACTAATGCAATATCTCGGCAAATGTATACTGTATTTGGTTAGCGTATTGGTCGAGGATGGCCCACCTGTCACGCCAATGGTCCAAATGGTTCATGCGTTTACGCTTTGATGAACAGCGTAAGCAACAATTCTGGAGTAAAAAGCTTTCGTGGTTGGTGGGCCAAACAATCACCGAAGTCACGGAGGGTTGCAAAGTGAGGCTACTGCTTAAACTCGCACAAAGTATCCTATTCTGTTTGATCCTATCGGTATTTCACTTTTCACGTTTATTAGTAGCTGTGAGGGACAACTACGACAAATGGACTCTAAACAACACCACAGAGGGGCCTGTGAGACATGTCGTCGAAGGAAGGTCAAGGTACGTTATGAATCTTTGCGGTTGCAGTCACAATGATTAACTGAGAATTGGCAGTGTGACCTTGAAATGCCGGAGTGTCAGCGCTGCTTTACTACTGGCAGGAAGTGCCTGGGCTACGAGCGCAATTACAGCTTCAAGATAACCACAAGTAGCAGTTGGCCAAAGGGCGGGCATGCCAATAAGATCATTCATGAGGAAGGTAGATCTGATGGTGTTATCGATCAGACTAGGAGCTTCACTGAATCAAACTTGCAAGCCCCGCTATGTATGCAATTGGCACAGACTGCAGTGGTCTGTGATGCATTTTACGGCGTGTTCATGGATCTGCTTTTCCCTAAAAACACAGACCTGCGGCAAAACATTAACTCTCCTGGTTCTTGGATGAGCTCATTCGCTACTTTGCTTAGTAGTCGGAATGAAACTCTGAATCAAGGACTGCTTGCACTATATACGGGCTTTGTTGGCCGTCAAAATGGCGACGCGGCGCTCATCAACCGCTCAGCCGAGCTTTACTCGAATGCACTCCATGGTCTCCGGAGAAGCGACATATGGGTCAGACAAAAGCCATCTCATGTGGATATTGGATCCGCTTTAGTGAGCATCATGATTTTTTCTCGCGTCGAGCTTCTGGCGGGCGAAGGAGCGAATGGAGGTTATATGGCACACATCAAGGGTGGTTTGCATCTGGTGCAACGGTTTGGCGCAAACTTTCCCTGTGGTGATTTGACGAGAATCCTTGTACAAAGGCTTCGGTATCTTGGCGTATGTTTATTTCCCTAATATTCTGCACATTGTTTAATAACAGTCTTTAGTTTTATGACGCAGCGAGACATAGGCGAGGATTCTTTATGTGCCATGCACCATACAATACTCTTTGCCTAGCTAAGAAAGAGGATCCGAATTACCTTACGCACAAAGCCATCGAAGCAGTTATAACATTACCTACTCTTTGTGAGTATGCAGACAGATTAGATGCCACAGTCTTTCAAACTGAGAAGAAAGTACGGCGAGGCCTCCTCACAACACAATATCTGCTCAATTGTGCATCCATAGTAGAGAACAATCTGGATCGATGGCTTTCAGAAATGACTGCTGTTACTCCATGCCCTATTGTGATAGAAGTATCAGATGCTGATATCAATATCAGCCCACAGCCGCATGAGATAGGTGTTACCGCTGCTCAAGCCAGCGACCTGTGGATGCTTCATTGGTCATTGACAATCCGTTTCAACTTGCTCATCAGGCAGTTGCAAAACCGATTTTCTACTTTATCAGTGCTTGTTTCAGATCCTATTCAGCTATCTGCTGGCTTAAAAATCTTGGGTAAGGACTATAGTACCTTAGATCGATTTGCCGACTATATTAGAAGGACGCTAGATGAGGGCCTAGCAGACAACACACTCCAAGCTCAAGGTGTTATGGCATACTTTTTTAATCTTCATTGGTATTGGGAACAAAGGAAAAACATCGAACAGAAAGCTTGGTGCATACAGAGCCTCCGGGACATGGCGAGTAACCAACGGCTGGGGCTTGATGTTCAGATTGTAAAGAACCCCGAAAAACGCGCTTCCTTATCAGCACCGTTCCTTGCGGACGATTTTATATAGAAAGCCTGAATATATTCAGAGTGCAATGTTATTTGTTTACATTCGTCCCTATTGACTATCATGAAACTTCGACTTCACTTCCACCGCACAAGTGTTATTATAAATTTACCACAAATAATACATTTTATGGCGCTTTCAGGAACAAATATGATAGTGTGGCATTTGCTTGAGAGTAATGGAGCGGGAAGGGTTGATTTCGCTTCGAAATGTATGGAAATGTGACAAAGTCTAAACCATCTCTACTACACGAGTCACTTCCAACTGATTCAAGTCGTAGATGCACATACTCTTGGCTAGATGATCGAGATTGACTTATTTGCTAGGGCTTCTGTAGGTAATTTAGAAGTTGGGTTTTAGATTCCCCGTCTGCGCTCTAGTTCAGAAAAGACAGCGCAAGTGACTACAGTAGACGCATTCTTTCGAGCTTTGACTCATGGCTGCGGCCGTCAAGACTCTCCAAAGAACTGTCAACAGCAGGCCTGGTGAATCCACACACGTTCTAGTTGAAATCTATGCGAGCGATGTGAGATATCTGAATGATCACTTTGTGGATCTCACAGCGTTTTAGTTACATCTCTCTCTCTCTCTCTCTTGTTATGATCAAAGAAGGCGTGAGTCACATATTCGCCAGGTGCTATTAGATTGGTCGAACTAGTGGAATACGGCTAGTAAACGTTGACGATGAACCTCCAAAGAGCGATAGATTTCGTTTACACATGCTATACATGTGCAATGTGATTATTCAAAAATAAAATTTGGGGGAACATGAGGGCTCTATGCACGACAAACATTTACCGAATTTACTCAGTTATGATTGCCTGCTGCTGCGTTGCATCCATAATTCTCTGCGTCTTGCATCCAGCACAAATGGAAGAAACATTTGACCATTGTTTGGCCGTAGCCCGACCCCAGCCGGTCTCATGGGATTCCACGTGTGGGAGTACATCAATAAGATTGGTATCGCAGTTTGAACACCGTGAAGTACCGTAATGACATATTTTGTAAAGACCCTCGGGGAGGCATACACTACTCTCTGGGGAGTACATGGAGTTATACATGTATGGAAGTCAGGAGTAGCATATTCGACGTGCGCAAGGTTGGCTTCCTGGCTGGCTACGTGTATATATATAGACCCTTCAAAGGTGTTCTAAGCACGAAGAAGCAAATTATCTAAATTATCCTAAGTTGGAAGAGGAGTAACTTGGAATTGCGGTGTAGTGAAAATGTCCCAGTTGTCAGAGTTTTGTGGATTGGTACTAAATGGACGTAGCGCCGCCAATCTCATCCAGTATGTTCCTGGTGTCATCTGAGATCCGTTCGCGAGTTGTCCAAACCAAAGCCACGCATATGAACCACTAATGCTTCTTGGTATGTCCGTAAACGGTGTTGCAGTGACAAGACTTGTGTTAGGAATGAGAAGTGGAATTCCGTTCAACCAGAGGGACGCGGCTCCGACGTAGCCTTTCTTACCAACGACTGGAGGGTACGTCCAGTCTTTCTCCCTCCAAGTCGACTCAAATATATCCCAGCGAAACTCAGTCGTGTCAAAGTTAAAAGCAAGCCGAAAAGTAGGATAGGACTTGACAAATGGGTTGACATTGAAGCTCCAGCTAGGAAGATCTCCGATTGGTGTTCCTCGGCTCCCAGAGGTGATTCCGGGAAGTCCGCTGCCGTAGTAGAATACTGAATCTAGGTCTTTATGAATGTTCGCACCGACACCTATATATGGTACTGCGAGTGATTCCCCGTTGCTTCCCTTGATGATGATCTTACCACTGTACAACGGTAAGTTGGTCGCGTTCAAGGCCGATGGATACATAAAGTTGATGTTGGCCGTCTTTGTTTGGCCTGGCTTTACGGTAAATGTGCCGTGAGGCAGCGTGACAGACGGGACAGCAGCGTAAGGAGCAGCGAAGACTTGTGTGTACACTCCAACTACAGGCTTGCCTAATGGGTCCTGATTGCTTACTAGCGTATCTATTGAGCCGCTAGCTTCGACAGAAAACGTGTAAGTAATTGGATGCGGGCTGTTATTTGTAATGTCGACGCTGTGGTAGCGCTTGAAGTTGTGTGTGTCATTGAGCATGAACTTTGAGAATGACAGGCTCGTTTGGAAGTTTAGGACTTTAGACGCATTCACGAGGCCAGTACCAACCTGGAAAACAGGAGCTCGGATATCAGAGTTGACAGGATTCAATGGATCAGAAAGCCAGTCTAGCGATTTTCCAGACGCAATGATTCGCATTGACAAGTCTTTGGCAAAGCCACGGCCATGGACATGTCTACCTCCGTACTTGCCAATGTAGAGCGCGGCCACACCGGCAATGTAGGGAGTAGCCATAGATGTGCCACTTAATATTGCCCAACCATCGTCAAGATAAGTCGAGAAAATGTCTCCACCGGGTGCTGCAATGTCCGGCTTTAGTGCTAAATCATTTGTAGGGCCAACGCTGCTGAAATAGCTGGGCATTCCTCCTCCATAGAAAGCCGGGCTCGGCAGAAATTTAAGATGCTCGACAGTGTTCTTGAAACTTGCTGTCACTTTAACACCCGACCGAAGAGCCTTCATGAGGGCTTCACCAGAATCGAGAGGGATATAGCCGACCGTGCTATCCCCAGAGCCGTTGAAAAATGCGCTAACAGGATATTGAGAAGTGTATATCAGGATAGGCAATGTATAATTGTGTAAAGCGTTGAGCACAGAGAGCTTCGTCTGCCAATCGCATGCACCGTCGCTGACAAGAACGATGGAGTTGGTGTAGTTGAGATTCCAGCCGCTATTGAACGCATGGCAGGCGTCAGTTGGGGCAGTAGGATCAGTATTAAATGGAACGATAGGCCATTCATCATATGCAGCCGAGTCCCAAAGGACAGATGCTTGATATGAGACCGTAATCTTCTTTGAACTATGGCTTTCGAATGTAGCCTCGAAAGCAGCCTCAGCAGAGACATCGGCATTGACAGAAGCCACGGCGAGAACAAACTCGCCGTTTGAGCCATTACTTTCACTAAAGGGGCCACTGCTACCATCGTTGCCGTTGGCAATGGTTACTACTACGCCTTGTTCCGCGAGACGAGAGGCGGTCACGGCCCATGGATCATCCGAGAAGCCAGATTGGCCACCAACAGATGACGTGATGATATCGGCCTAAAAAGGCACCAACGTGTTTATTAGTACTACAGGGGGAAAAGGCCTTTGGCTGTTAGGTAGGATGATGAATTGAAACATACCCCATCGTTGTATGCCATCAGGAAAGCATCAATAAGCGTGTCGGTGTCGGTGTAATCTGCATAATCACCGAAAACCTTGTAAACATACAAAGACGCCTCGGGTGCTACTCCGACATAACTGGGTAAAATTAGCCATAAGACACTCACCATCAACAGCTTTGGATTAGCTGACTTACCTGTCAGCCTGTCCAGCAATGATTCCCGAGACGTGAGTTCCATGTCCTAGGCCGTCTAGCGGATCTGGCTTCGGTGACTTGTCTGAAGTGTTATAGCCCCACCCTGATCGTAGATAAGTAAGTGTTTCATATACCTGGGAAGGATTGTTGTTACATACAAGTGCCAACAAGATCGTAACCCCCTGCAACTTTAAAGCCTGGTCCAAAACCACCACCGAGCTGCGGAAGCGTGAGTTTACGGATCTCTTCCCATGAGCATATAAGGAGGCTCTCTTACAGCAGGGTGTGGATGCCAAACCCCAGTATCGACAACAGCTACTTTAGCACCCTTGCCTAAAATTCCGGCCTCGTGAAGCTTGTCCACGCCAGTCATGTGATGGACGGAGAAGTTGGAATTTGCTGCACTAGGGCCGAATGTTTGTGAAGTTGCAATAGGGGCAGTCAATTTAATCTTCTTAGAGTGCCATGATCGAATGACTGGTGCAAGTGACTGTAGCGTGTCCAGATTATGCGTATCTGACAATACTGATGCACCACGGAAGATATCTGAGTCAAAGATTTTAAGCACAGAAGCCCCTGCATTTGCAAGATCACCCGCCGCTTGTTGAGGATCGACGCCCTGATCATATTCATCAGCATATATGCAAAGGACGAGAGAACATTGCTCATAATCCAGAACTGACCTCTGCAAACTCCACGATATAGCGGTTGGGAATAGGGGCAGACGAAGTGTCATTGTTGGCAAAAGCATCATCACGTCTTAACAAAGAAGCTTTGACAGAAAACCCCCCTGCAACAGCCGTCAGAATCGTCAAAAAGTTTGATAAGCGCATGTTGGAACACGCAATGAAGGAACAAATGGGTCACCTCAGAAGAGACGATCTCAGGACCAGCTCTTATCTGCGGTATTGTTGGCAACACTTCCATTTATACAGGACAAGCACTCGATACTTATACATGATCAGAATCTCAAATGAGTGTATATGTCCACCAACAACAATCGACTCTCCAAGCAAGCGGAGCGTTGCTGGATCTCGGAAAACGTTCGGTGAAGCTGGGGTATAATTTACACATGGCTTTCTAACCTATTTATCACCCCGAACCGTCACTTTCATTCTTTGCCAAGTTCATAGAACCCTAGTCAACTGCGATGTAGCATACGAATCAAGACGTTTGCGCCCCCTAAGCCATATTAGTGCTCGCCTAATACTGCAAAAAACTGTCACTGACTAAAAGGGAAGAGAAAATCGACGAGTCAGACGACTTGAGGCGACCCTGTCTCTTTGATTTAGGCTTCTGATAAACCATTCCGTACGTTCGACGGAGGTTGGCTGACCGTTGGAAGTAGATGTTCGTAAATCCCTCAATTGGGTGCATAGGAGCGTGTGACTGACCGTCATATCGTTGCGCCGATAGGCAAAATATTAGGCTAATAATCGCATCTACGCTGTGCACTCCGTCGTCACTAGTATAACAGTGCCAGTTATTGGGAAAGAACAATTAGGTTAGAGATGGGTCCGCACCACTTCCATTTGCATACCCACTACCCCTAATCAACATGAACTATCGGAACATTTCTGTAATACTGTACTAGAGTCCGACATGCTTTAAATACCTTCCAAAAATGAATTAACGATGACATATCATTAAATACATTTCTTTGGATCATGCACCAAAATCTCGAGACGGCGTCCAACTCGGCTGTCTCTATCCCAATCAAGTGCGGAGGCACTTAAACTACTATTGCCTGAAATGGACCCATGAGTGAGATAAGTCGGTGCAAACTCCATGCAAATTGAAGTTGACATTTATTACCCCACAGGTAACTGATTACTTTTGAAGCTTATGATAGGATCTTGTTTAGATATGTCTATGACACGGAAAAGAGCATTGGGTTACAAGGGATATTATTCTAATGGAATCCTATATAATTAATATAAGGGTCATAAAAGTCTTATCTTTAGCGTAGGCCAAAAGCCATTATATGAAGCCAAAAAGTAGCTAAATCGAAAATAAATGGCCTACTTACTTGTGACGTATCCATGGTGCACTACGATATGTATTTTAACATTGGAAACAGTACTCGTAGAGATTGCCAAGTCCTCATTATTCCCTATTTGTCCCCCATATACGAACACCCAGGGAGTCTTTCTTTTAGCGCCCTGGTAGTGCTACTTATGCATGGGTTTAGTACTGTATAGATAACGTTCCTCGTACTATGGGGCCTATAATAGGTTCCAACAAAAGTGCAGCTACAGTATCTGACAAAAGTGCCAAAGCGATACCAAATTTTGCCTATCACCAGGAACCTTGTCACATTAAACCCCCCATTGACATGGGTTAAAACATCTAGTACACAAACCCTTATCTGTAGAAGCTTACCAATCTATATGTCGGAATGAAGTGAGCTATTTTTCACACTTACAATACCCATTTTCCCTATTCTCTTAGGATTCAATGGAGGAATTCTTCAAAGACAGGCTCCGTCGCTTTCACCCACCTTGGGACAACTATAAAGCATTAGCAGCGTACGCTAAAAAACAACAACAACAACAACAACAACAAAAAATAAGAGAGATTATTTTCACGATGTATTGTCTACAGAAGAATATTACATTTCCCGTGGAATTGCACGTCTACTAAAGGATTTCTCATCCAGGTTCCGTATATAAAATGGATGACACCGCCCGTCAGTTAGCTCGTATCTATGATACGTCCCATTGGTTTTGCTAAACAACTGGCACTCTTTTCACCCAACGTTTACTTCGGTGGCGAAGGTAAGTAGGCCCCAGGAAGACTACAGTGCATCTCTCCCAACAGAGATAAGTCTCTCGGGATAAATTCGTTCGTCTCGGCAGGTGCATGTATTCTTGGACAGGCCGTCAAGCTCAAAACGACTATCTGTCATATAATTAAATATTCTTCTTGCCTGAAGTAATTTATATTGGGACGTATATGATAAGACTAATCAATCACGCGATATAATGCATGTCTACTTGATGTAATGATCAAAGTGTCACGCTGCATATACAACTGTGAGGATTTCAGCTGCAAATGCTGTGCCTGTTGAATAGAATTCGTGACGGTTTTTGACAAACTGGCTCCGATAATACTATTTACAAAAGTTAATGCAACCTGTGTTGTAAATGCTAGTTATCGATTATGTTGTGTAGATTTTGCATGTCTCATATCGCATAAGTAAAACCTTGTTAATAACAGTATGCTTAAAAAACCAGAAAGTCAATTTCCGAACATACTTACCAGTGCCTATTACTGTTGAAGGGGTGCATTTCCACATCTCATTTGCTTTTAGTTGCCCTGGAGAGCATTAACTAGATATTCCACAATCTATCCGCTACTCGTAACACCTGCTCTGCTAGATAAAAGAAGAAGAAGAGACCTAGCAGATATATGCTTGGCATTACTTGAGTCTTCTTAATAAGCTGTGTATGTAGTATTCTTGTTCTTTGTTACATTACCTAATATTATCATCAACGGAGCTACGCTCCAACACCATAGAATCTTGTAATCCAACGAAGGTTAAACATAAATCCAGAATTTCAAGACCTTAAGGAAACGTATAGATTTATTGTCGTTGAGAAATCTTGTCAGCTCATATGGCTGCTGTAGAAGCAAATAGCCCTTTTATGTATCCGGAATTGTATATGGCATAAGTAAAGCTTGCCATCGGTGAGTGGCTTTGATACCAGCCACATACGTATTTTCAGGCGTATCTTGGAACGCCTGCTCAACATTTAAAAATGAGAACGTTACAAACAAAAAAGCACAACAGAGTCAGCTCCAAGATCGGAAGGCTCGAGCAAGACTCTGGAAGACCGCTCCGAAAAATAAGCATCCACCTAGGACTGAGATATTGGCTAAAATCAGTGTTGACACTGGCGGCGAATAGCCAGCCCAGAAAATTAACGCTATGAATACATAGATCCTCTCAGATCAGTGAAAACGGTGGGTACCTGTATTAGCACCTTATTAATAATCTTCGACAAACAGTGTCAATAATGTTTTAGATGAATGATGAAGGGCGTCAAAGGACTGGTGCTACCATCGTTGACGCCAGCTACGAAGAAAGAAAAGACTCAGATAGAAAAATTTGCCGAGACAATAATCTGGTCCTTGTACCGATTCCATCTCAAATGAGTCAATACTGCCTTTGCTCCGTTGTGATATACCGATGTTCTCAATCAGACTTTAAGCATTCACCTGAGTCTCGGTGATGGCCATGTTGGGCAGTTAACGGTAGAGGCTCGAATACTTAGTCAGTGGAACTATGGAAATTATTTTATCATTTATGCTTCATAAGTAACAAAACAAGCTATTTGTTCCCTGAATATGCAAACCTCCAAAGGCCCAAATCTCTACGGAAAACTCAATTCTGGCACTTTTACGGGATAATGGCCGATGGAGTAGTTTTCTGGTCTTAAGTGGGCAAACGAAGCGTAGGCTAAGAGAGATGGCCGTCATGTTTGAACACTACTTTTAGTATGAGAATGTAGGTTTATTACGGTTTCAATTACTACTTCGACACACATGGTACTGGAACAATGACTAGCCTTCACCAAGCTGCAAAAGGTGTACATCTTCTCATGCGTTACTTGGTAACGGTATGACGAAATATGTGAGTTATTGCACATAACGTCTCCCAATTCATCTACTGTTTTTCTGATGTGGCGAGAGAATATTAGTGGCTTTTTGGCCAAGTGACCATCATTCAGGTCATGTTAATCCTAGAGGTGCATCGAAGTGCCACTCTCAAGAAAAAAATAATTAGGTACCAACATTACTCGCATTTATTTCAGTCTTAGTAGCTGGGATGGATAGCGATTATAATCACGAGTTCCTCGACGTGAAGATCGAGATGCTCCCTAGCTAGAGAAATCTGCAGCCAACCTACGACAACTTAGCTGATCTCGTCAGCTGTTCAGATTGCCACAATTGGGTAGTAATCTTGAAAGTTATACTAGATGATCTACACACTCATGATGATGGCCTTAGAACGGCTCGAAGTTGCTAAGGAGTAGATCAATGTGGATCTGGTAATGTTTGTTTCGCAATCGGGGATGCACCGCGAGCTGTCAAACTGTGTAAGTGGCCCCGGGGACTGTTATATGTAGGTTGAATTCTGGGATCGGGGACCCACCGCCGAGTTGTGGGTAGGCTAATACCGGTTCAATATCGGAAAATCCTTCGGGGAGTACCGCTCTTCTCACCATACCTCATGAGTTCTAAACTGCTATTCACGATCATCCGATGGAATCCTTGCATTCGATTACATGATGTAAATCTACAGTTTGCGGATCCTATCTGTAAGTATTAAAATGTTGTTCTGTGCAATAGATTCTGCAGTTACCGTCCGACAATCGATATTTTTCTGTTTTGAATTGTTGCAACGTTACCAATCATCATAAGCGCACCAAGTAACAATGGCGACTCACCATAACCAGTATGCATGGCAACAGATCGAGCAGAGGGTTTGGCAACGCTCCGTTGACGAGATTGAACAATCTTATGCTGTGTTGTCAAAGCTATACGAAGGTAGCGGTCGGATGCTTTTCGCTATTACTGGCCACATATCGCTTTCCTTCGACTTCGTTGACTCCTTTCCTGATAACTTGGATACTCGCGTTGATACGGCTCTGAGTAATGCTTGGCTCACTCTTAGACAAGATCACCCGACGATTGCGTCATATGTAAACTACGACGCCAACACGAACGGATTTACAAAGGTGTATCGCACAATTTCTACAATAGCTGATCAGCAGGCCTGGATCGATGAAACCTTTGTCAATATCTCTAACCAACCAGACCGGATCTGAATGGACAAATGACGATCCTCCAGCTTCAAAGCTTCCAACATTGTTTATCATCACACCACCACCTATACCACATGAGGAGAATAGCCCTGGCCCGATCCGCCGCGATCTTGTTCTACGTTCTCCTCATGACGTTATTGACGGTATTGGTACTCTGCTTCTCTTAGGAAATCTTGTTAAAATCGTGTCAAAAGCGTACGATCAAGAGTCTTAGTTTGAACTACCTACATTTGACAACAGCTCCGAGTTCAGCAACATGAGTCCACCTTTTCGTGTGGCGGCAAATGTACCCAAAAGTCTAACAGAGACTCAGCAACTGCGATTAGCGGATGTAGCATCTTTAAAAGAACAACAATTGGCAAGCGACATTCCCCCGCTACCTATTCCATGGAAGAAAGGGGAAATAAATCCAGCAAGGCACCAGGGGGTTGCGCTGAAGCTCTCACAAGAGAGGACTTCGACGCTACTACATGCGTGCTCATATATTGGTGTTACTGTAACCCATATCTTCCATGCTGCCATTCCTATCATGATGAGGAATCTTCAAGAAAAGTGCCCTCGAACACAGACGGTTAGATATGTCAGCTACATTTTACGGAACGAACGTGTGAACTGCACTGAACCGTACAATTCTGCAAACCATCCGGCCGCATTATACCACTCAGTATCATGAACAAGCCTCCTGGTGGATATGACCATTCCAGCTGCCGGCAGTAGCCATACTGTAGACCAGCAACAGTCGGAATCTGAAGAATTCTTCAGAGTTCTCCAAGAGATGAAGCAATTCTACCACGATGTCCGCAATGAAGCAGAACATTATCAACTTGTGCCATACTAGTGGGCCTTGGCACACGACAGCTGCCACCAGCGGCCAAGGAGCCTTTGTCTATACCACCCCCAAGCACTCAGCCGTCCGTATCAATATCTAGCATGGGACTCATCGATAATATTGTACCTACAAAGGCTGGTAGTATCTCGGTTTTCGATCCATGGGTAACGGGGGAAGAGCTTCGGAACGGTCTTGGTTTCTTTTTTGGAACATATAGGGGCCAACTTTGTCTAAGTGCTGCATACAACGATGTGTGGCATGTCAAGCAAGAGGTCGAAAGCTGTTTAGAAATGTGTGTAGATATTGCTTTCAAGGGGCTTCAATCTTATATATTCTAGCACTATACACATCTTCTAACTGGGCAACTTTATCAAGACATGCGCTAAGGATCTGATGTAATAAGTAAAGCTACCGAAGATATAATACACCAGATGGAAACATGTTTGGGACAATGTGAATTATAACCATTCAAACACCAGAACATATAATAGAACAATACTTATCTACACACCCAAAAAACTTCTCTTTGACTAATACATTAGTAAATGCCAAACTATATCACACCTTATTCTATTTAAACTGCACTTGCGTGTTGTGTATGACTATCAGGATCTGAATCAATAGCCCAGGTTGGTAGTCAGGTAACTTAGTTGGTCTTCCCGGTAGAAGATGTAGGTTCGGCTGCGTGGCAGTCATATTGTTTGATGGTTTCTCCGTAGCTGCCATGGATACTCCCCAAGCGACTGGAATCATTGTAGCCCGGTTGACTTAAGATATAAGGGGGAGTAAAACATTTCGTTGTTTAGGAATGCTGTCAGCAGCAAGCACTCGCCAAGGCAAATTGAAAAGAAAATGCGGCAACTCTATCACAAAGCATATAAGGCGCTCATCTCCCCGCTGACATGGCATCCCGCTATTCCCTACGAGTTACTGGATGTAGTATGGATGGGGAAATCAGCTCGGATGAATGGAAACCCGACCAAGTGGAGGGTTATTGGCCTTGTTCGAATTTGGCATGCGGTTCACGATCGTAAGGTATTAGCGATGCCGCGCGATATTGTATAGTCTGTAGCCAAAGAGTTCAAGGACGCAGATCGACCTAGTTCATGAGCGTCCAAGGTTTGTGTGTACTCTGTCGTGGGGCCTCTCACAGGAATGCCTCTGTAGATGCCCCGCAAAGTTTGTCCTAATTGTTCCCCGCGAGTAGGGATGAATCACACAACGGGCTGAGGGTACCGCAACTACGAAAGGGGAAATGCGGGGAATAAGAGCTGGAGGGAAAAGAAAAAACGTACAGAGGTAAAAGGTCCCTTCTTTGATCTTTGGCACGGTATTCCTAATGAATAAACCAACTCTCCACGTGTCCGCAGAGGGTATTTCAAAGAACAATCATCCAACACCCAGGAAAGGCGAGTTCACATAAACAAAAGAAGACTCGCAATCAGTATTTGCAGCTGAAGAATGGCGCAATTCGTTGATGATATACCGGTGCTCCTGGCTCCTCTCATCAATCCGTTCCCCCGATGCTCAATATAATGGTCTCAACCCTACAACTCGCATTCTGCCCGCAGGATTTCAAAAGACATCTTCTCATCGTCCATTTCGCGCTGCTACTATCTTCTAACAGGATATGGAGATTCCTCTCCGAGACGGAGTAGTCATTCGGGCGGACCTCTTTCGACCAGCAGGCGTAAAAGATCCAATTCCTGCGTTGGTGGTTTGGAGCCCTTACGGGAAATCAGGTACCGGTATGTTACAGTCGAGTCTTATACAATGGAGCACAGAACCTTGGAGCTCAATAATAGAAAGGATATTTTAGGCTTGACATCATTCCGGGACGTGTGGGTGTGGCGCAAAGCAGTCTCTCAGGGTTTGAGAGTTTTGAAGGGCCGGACCCAGCAGAGTGGACAGCTAGAGGCTACGCATTGTCAATGTGAACAGCCGAGGATCTTACGACTCATAAGGCGATGTCAGGTCGGCTTAAAAATATCACCAGTTCTATGTTGACAAACCTCCGAGCTAATAGCCCTTTAGATGGTTTGGCTCAGGGGAGGGTCATGATGGCTATGATACCATTGAACATCTCGCAAAGTTGCCGTGGTGCAGTGGCAAGACTGCCATGGTCGGAAATTCTTGGCTCGCAATGGTTCAGTGGCATATTGCTACATGATATCCTCCTCTCCTCATCTAACCTATTTTGCTCCACTGGAGGGCTGCAGTGACTTCTACTGCGAATCGTTATGCAGGGGTGGTGTCCCATATCTACCATTTTGGGGATTCCTTGGAGGACAGACTCTCTTCGGTAAATTTCATATTCTTCGTTCAAACCTCCGAGAATCGTTTCTAAATCTCATCCAGGAAGAAACAATCAGGAAGACGTCATCGGTATGTTGGAAAACTATCCCCAAATGAACGCATACTGGGAAGACAAGAGGGCGAAGATAGAGCAAATTAAAATTCCGTGTTATGTTCTCGCCAGCTATTCGACTGGCCTACATACTATCGGCTCTTTTCGCGAATTTGAAAATTTTCCCACAGACAACAAGTGGTACGATGATGATTTAAAACTCAATAATTGAGAAGAAAGCTGACGAGACGTTCTTGGTTGCGAGTTCACCCAACTGAGGAATGGCACGACCTATACTCTACTTCCCGAACAGAGGATGTGCAGCTATTCTTTGATTGCTTCTTGAAACTTAAACAGAATGGGTGGGAATAGTCACCGAAGGTGCTACTGTCTATGCTACGTTATAACAAGGTAAAACTCAAATCTGAAAGCTCATAGGTCTTGTATAATTCATCTCACATAGCTTTTAGGAGCCCGAGTGCAATCACGTATTCATCGATTTCCCCGTTCCAAGCACGAGTATCGTATCTATTACTTATCGCAAGATGGCATACTTGCACGAGGCCCAGACCAAATGTCGACAGCACTGTCGTATCAATCAGATGTTACAGCTCTTCAGATGGACTCTGACTCTGAAGAACTGAGCTTTGACTGTACGCTAGCTGCCGACAGCTACCTCGTCCGGTATTCTAAAGCAGTTCTCTACATGGCATGCCCAGATCATGATGATCCAGATGTTTTTGTTCAAATACGCAAGGCCGACTCCACTGGAAAGGTTCTTCAAAACATCAACATTTCCCTTCACCAGCTAGGTTTAGGCGCCGAAGAAGTGGCCCGGATCAATACCAACGTGTACGTTGGACCAATGGGTATCCTCCGTGCCAGCCGTCGCAAAATAGATGTGGATAGGTCGAAGCCACATTGGGCCCTCCATAGCCATGACGAGGATGAAAAGATCCCTCCAGGGACCATTATAAAGCTCGAAACTGGCATCTGGCCGTCTGGTATAAAGTTTGAAAAAGGAGAGAAGCTGGCGTTTAAAGTGTCTGGCCATGACATGAGACTGGCTGAGTTCGAACCACTGCGTAGTAAATTTGAGACAGGCAACATAGGTCGCCATTTTGTGCACATGGGTGCAGAGTATCCTAGTTATATCCAGGTTCCGTTTGTAAAGGTATAGGTGGTCGAGAACACATCTTACGGTGCCCTAAATACCACTATGAAACAATCATTCTCTAGGTTTGAGCCACAAGAAGCAGAAATCTCTCACATATAAAGGCAATTCCAGGAACAACAGTGTCATAAGTTGGAGATAGCTATCACAATATAATACCACCTTGGAATGAGATCGTCGGATCTAGTTATATGAAACTCCGAGCCGGTGAAAGGGGCTAATGTATCATCGTCTTTTACTGTCTTTCCGTACTCGGCTTTGTATCTTGACTTAAACTATGGTCTTACATTTGGATACACTGTAGCAATTCTATGCCCCAAGTGTCATTGTAAATACATGTATTAGTCCCACGTGAGCATTCCCCATATCATGGTAAATAGGGTCGACTACCCCGCCTTCTTTGCATATCTGTACATTACGAGTAGCCTTTGATTCAAACAGCATTAGACAAAATTTCTTCATGTTGTGTGAAATAGCTTGTATGTAATTAATATCTCGACAGATGATACGTCGATGAGCACTCGCTATTTGTTTGTAGTCCCGGAGAGGCGGAAGTGAAGACATTGCCCCGGGAATTTGCCCCGCCCCCGCATCTCTACGCCCCGCATTCTTGGAGAAACAGAGGGATTGTCCAGAAATCACCGTCGTTGTTCCCTAGCATTTATAGCGTAGCCACGAGTGCTTAATTATTATTTAACAGCATCTTAGAGTAAGGCAGTGTGTGAATCTGCAGCTCTCTGTTCAGCACAGATCTTTGAATCGAAATTTGAGACTATTTACAATATTAAGATGGCTCTCTTACCAGCCGCTGCGCTCTTTCTTCTGTGTCTCTGGATCCTCCATAAGGTTCGATCTACAAAAGGCAAAAGACTGCCTCCCGGGCCTCGCCAACTGCCGTTGATTGGGAACTTGCACCAGGCCCCCCAAAACAATCCATGGAGAACATATCAGCAATGGTCAACGATATATGGTCCAATCTTCCGCCTCCAGTATGGCCTAAATACAGTCATCATTCTGGGCAACTACGAAGCTGCCCATGATTTGCTAGACAAGCGAAGTAACATATACAGTTCAAGGCCGCGATCTGTAATGGGCGGCGAGAATGTGAGCAAGGGAATGCGGACTCTCTTGATGCCTCATGGCCAGCAGTGGCGCACTCATCAACGTCTTCAAGCCTCTTATCTCAATATCCGAGTATCTCAGACCTACCGAGAACTACAAGATGTAGAGAGCAAGCAGCTCCTTTGCGAGTTGCTGACGCCCGATGTTGATTTCTCGGATCGATATCATCGATACTCTTCCAGTTTAATTTTTGCGCTTGCCTACGGCCGACGTCTCAGGACTGGTAACGAGCCGGAGATCAAGGCAATCGACAAGGTCATGCAGAATTTTCTCTATGCCGCGCGTGTTGGTACATGGATCGTGGATTCTCTTCCGTTCATAAATTACCTGCCCAATTGCCTAGCGCCTTGGAAGATGCACGGCGAGCAAGTCCACGAATTTGAATCGAGCCTGTACATGGGAAATATGCGCCGCGGGAAAAGGACCAAATCCTGGAATTGGTCAAAACAAGTTTCCGAAATGAAAGAGTCCAACGGCATGACAGAAAAAGAGCTGGCGTACGATGTCGGCATAATCTACGAAGCTGGAAGTGATACAACAACGATGGCTCTTGAAGTATTTACTCTTGCCATGATCCTCAACCCCGATGTGATGAAGAAAGCACAAAAAGAGATTGATGAATACGTGAAGGGGTTCCCTTCCTTTGAAGATAAAGACAATCTTCCATACATAGATGCGCTCATCAAGGAAACTCTTCGCTGGCGACCGGTCTCTGCTGGTGGTATACCCCATGCTGTCACGCAAGATGACGAATATATGGGTTTTCACATTCCCAAAGGGGCTACTGTGATCGGAAATCATTGGTCCATTCATCTCGACAAGAGCGAATACAAAGATCCTCACTGCTTCAGGCCAGATCGTTGGATTGAAGACCCAGCTCTTCCTCTAGCTCCATTCGGTTTCGGGCGCCGCGTATGCACTGGCCAGCATATTGCCAGGAACTCATTATTTATCAACATCGCACGTATCCTATGGGCCTTTGATATCAATTATGCATATGAAGAAAGCGAAATGGGGAAAAAAAGATGCGAGGTGGATCCGTGGGCATTTACGCAGGGATTCAATTCCCGTCCATTGCCCTTCCGTGCTTCCTTCACTTTACGATCCGATGAAAAGGCTGCTGTAATACGGGAAGAATGGGATGCGGCCGATGAAGATCTTGACCAAATTCTGACCAGGATTAGGTCCTCGCAAAGGACAAGAAAGAAATAGTGTCTTAGTAGTACAATATCTTTGACATGCGATGCGAATTCATTCGTATTCAAATCTGGGGTCTAAACTGATGACGTAGAGGTAGTCGTATACTACCTACCTATAGCGGTTCATTAGTTCCAACAAAAGCCACACCTATCAATGAAGAAGTACTCGTTTTAGCGATAATAAAAATATTCCCCATGTTGTGGATTAGCGGCTCTGCACTTCGCCTTGTAATTTATCACCAGTACCTAGTTGGGATAAAACTCTCTCTCAATTCATGGTCTTGGCACATAAAACCCCTGATGGACCGATGGTGAAATTTGCGGCATACTTGTCAGGCTGTATTACTTGTTTATCATGAAACGTAGCTACTTCATTACAATACAACCGCCAACCAACGACCAATGACTAGGGTCTTAGCGAGCAACGAGGTAGTTTCGCAGAGCATCCCTTGAACGTCCCGCAGAATGGAGAGTTTGCCACCACCTCCGTTTCAACGCCCCGCCGAATCTGTCCCGCAGAAGAATTACCAAGGGGCAGCCGTCTGTCAGTCTTAATGCTATAAATTCTTAGCCTTGCTTGTTCGCTTTCGTCGTGCAGATATAAGAGCTATTTTCTTCTTCCTTCCTTCTTCTTTTCTCGCATCGTATTTAGAGGAAAGTCTAGCAGTAGAGGCTGAGCCTTCAACCCCATTTCTATAGCTAAACATATTCAACCCTAGCCCACGCCAATACCGGATGCGCAGACGCTTGATACAAGGAACTACTCACAACATGGAGGACGCGGGTTGTCCAACGGATCAGCTGGGGAAAGATGGCACCTGCGTGATACTGGCATGTGTATCTGAACGAAATTGCGGTATTTTTGGTATGCAAGCGGCTAAAAGCTATTAAATGCGAGCGTGGTTCCATGGCACCAGCAGGAGCCAATCTGATATATTTGCGCAAAAGGGACCTAAAAGATTTCTCAGAGGTGCTGTTGAACTGTTAACAGTCTTGAAGATTCAGAAGAGACATCGTATATCCATGACGCAAGCTATGTTGCTTAGAGGAAGAACGCAGCCGGAGGCGGATTTATCGTCACTGTCAATCATCCAAGTGGGATACTCATCAATCTCATGCATCAGCAACAGACTGGTAAGACGATAGATTGATAGAGAACTTCTTCATAATATACGAAAGTGGAAAAACCAGAGCCTCAAGTTTCTAGCATCCACAGAGGCAGCCGAGATCCAATTTACTGGTCCCAAAATTCCAAATCTACCACAGCCTCCAGTATTCGTGGTAATACATTTGTTGTCTGCCATGGACGTAGTTGTTTCGTGCCGATACTACATGACATGTTACAGTCGCGAGTAACCTGTAAAGTCCCACAAGAAGTCTGAGCCTTTTTATGGTGATGGCGTGTATTCTTCCACCCTCCATGTGGGCTATTTGAAGAATATTTGCTAAATTCAAATTCCCCATCGTCGGGCGCGCCATCGCTGCTGTTCCACGTACTGTGAGTAACGACCCGATGATCTTCAGGAAACTTTTGTTTTGACTACGTCTGAGCACGAAGCAGCCTTGACCCGTGATGAGTATTGCTGGCGTTTCTCTATCCCAGAATTTCAAGATTGCAGCGAATCAACGCGGGAAGGGCCAATTGAAGTAGTATTGAAATGGCTTCGATCATCCTGCTGAATGGTATGTAGGGGGGGTGTATTGCCGTTTGAACATGGTCAATGGTATAAGAACGTACTAGAGGCTGTACTATTTCTCGCATACATTGGAACTACATCGCTCCTCCTTATGAGGTAATGTAACGACTGAAGTGCTCATTCTTGGCAGAACCTACTCACGCAGATGGCGTATCGTATCAGCCGGTGCTCATTGTGAGTACCACAACTGCTTTGGCGACCCAAGGTGAAGAGTGGGAAGTCACTCAGCGAAAATGATGTCTCACCAGGTGTCATAATATGTAATGTTTCATTGGGTTTGCTTCAGTTGGTAAAGAAATACTTAACTGTGGGACTGTGGCGAAACTGGGATTTAGAACCGGACTATTTCATCCTTCGTAATAAGCTTATGCATTCGCTTATGTATTAAGTCTCAAGACCCACAAACCATGTCAAAATTAAAACTGGAAACTATATAGGTAAATTCCAGCCATACATAGCTTTTGTAACATTGAACATACCTTCTATTCCCCAATGGTATTGTAGACCTAGCAAATAAGGACAATGGCGGCAGCGGAAATGACGTTATAACCGGGAACTCGCAAGTCCGGGTGCAATACGAGCAAAAAGTCCCCGGCAGCCAGGTAAAAAGCCTCCAAGATCAACAAACCCCTACCCCTATTCGTCATGCATTCGGGCCTTACACACAAAGCATGGTTTACTTCCACCAAAATCGGATTTATATGCCTACAGTATATATTTCCGATAGTCAGCGCTAAGCCCTAAAAATATAGGCCAAAACAAACCATGTGGAAGAGTGAAGCAATATAAAATCTGTACTGACAACAATTAGCAGTATTGTGAATTCCCATCAAGCATTAGCTTTCTCTTTTTTCCATGATTGGCACTATGAAAGTTGCCCCCGTCTTGCTCTCAAGCTTGGCTTTGTCCCTCGCTGATAGTACATCAAATCTCCCAGGACTACTCCAAAACATATCTCGTACTGTGTTTTCTCAGCTGAGAGATATAT